AAAAAAAAAAAAACCAAACATACCTGGGATATATCTCTCCTCCAGCTCGACAAGGCTCAAGTCAGGTTCATAACGCTTCGTGCGTTGGGCCATGTAGTCAGCCAGCAAGCGGCTGTCCATGCGGCCTATGGCAACGTTCATGCCCTTCTCTTCGTCCAAGTCACCCTCGTCGATGTTCTTGGGCGTCTTGTTCTTTCTCCGCCTAGCCCTCTTGCTCTGCTTGGAATCGTCGTCTCTCTTCCGCTTGCCGCCCGCGGCCGCCGGCGAGGGCGAGGGCGACAGGGGCTCCATGAGCGGGACGCCAACTCCTCCGTCTTCCGAGTCCGACATGATGTGAGCTGCGAGCGTGTATGTGTGAAGTGCGAGAGGCGGAAAGAAGGCAGAAAGTCCGGCGCCAAAAGTTACTTTGCGCCTTATCGATAAGCATTACTCGATGGCTCGACGCGCTCTGACGCGGGCAGCGTTCCCAAACAGCAACAACATCAGCCATGGCCGAACCCCCAGCAAAGCGCCTGCGCGCCACCCCTCGCAAGAACGACGCCGACGAAGCACAGGAAAATGACACGACTCCGTACACTGGCGTGCGCCACCCCCACTCCCGCACCCGCACCCGCACCACCGGCTGACCTCTTTTTCTCGCGCAGCTCCGCCAACTCGCCAGCAACCTCCGCGATACCACCAACACGCCCCAAGGCCCGCCAAGCGCCTACCGCACCGCCAACCGCACCCCCGGCACCGCGTCGCGCACGCCGCGGACCGGCATCCGCCAGCGCCAGTTCCCTGCCAGGGTCGGCCCGCCCACCACGCCGCATGCGATCCGGGCCCTGCAGGCGCGGCGCGACGCCGATCGCGCGAGCGGCAGCAAGAGGCGGCGGAGCGGGCTCCAGGCCCGCGAGACGCCGCGCGACTTTCTGAGGGCGCTGAGTCGGAGTAAGCCGTCGTGCCACCACCACCGTCTAGCTCCAATTGTCGCTAACAACGCGTCTGCTTCGTTGTAGAGCTTGCACCGACGTCCGAAGTCATTCGACCCACTCCCGTGCCTTCGAATAAGCCTACCCCGCGGGCTCGCCCCTCCCTCAGCGATGACTTTGACGAGGGCCCCGATCCGGGCCCCAGGCCGCGCCTGTCGATGCCGATAAGCAAGGACGAAATCGACGATGACAGCTTCCACGAGGCGCCGCCGCGGATGTCGCTCGCGCTCGAAGACATCGACATGGACGGGGGGAACACGACGATGCACTCGGTCGAGGGCATGCGGCGCGCCGTGAGCGAAGACCCGACCCTGCGCTCGCGGCTATCACTAGGGCGCATGCGGCTGAGCGAGCGCTTCGGCGGCATGGAGGAGCTGGGCGAGGAGGCCGACGAGGGCGACATGCTGAGCTATGCTGACGACGATGACGGCGGCCCGCTCATCTTCGACGACCCGGATAACCCGCTCGAGGAGGAGATCACGACGCGCTTCGGCGACGACACCACGCAGGAGCTGCGCGCCATGTTGGCTGCGCGCCGGCGATCGCGCATGAGCGACCTGGGGCTGGCGACTCGCTCGGATGACTTGGACGAGGAACCCACGTTTAGATTCGTCATGTCCCAGGCCGAGCGCGATCCCTCGGCCATGCCGCCCGGGTTCGGCGACGACATCGACGATGAAGGAGCAGCAGTGGGGGAAGAAGGGGAAGAGGAGGAGGAGGAAGAAGGCGCGCCCCAGGACGAAACCGTACGCACGCGATTTTCACTCAACGAGATCGACGCCGAAGCCGGCGCAGAAGTGGAAGCAGAAGAGTACGAAGACGTCGAGCCACAAGAAGACGAAGAGGCCGAGCCCTCGCCCGACGCAGACCTAGGCACCGACGCCGAAAAAGAAGAAGAAGAAGAAGAAGACGCAACAATAACACGGCGCCTGCGCGGTTCCCCCACCCCCGCCGACGCAGACGCAGACACGACCACGGCTCCAGGCCAGCAGCAAAAGCGCAAGCGCGCGCTGCCCAAGCTCTCCCGCTTCGGCACGCCCTACCCGGCACTCCCCGCCAGCACGGTCAAGCGCGTGGCGACGACGTTTGCGCGCCTGCACGGCGGCGGCGGCGGCAAGCTCAGCCGCGAGACGCTGGACGCGGTGGCGCTGGCGTCGGAGTGGTTCTTTGAGCAGGTGGGCGAGGACCTGGGCGCTTATGCGGGGCATGCGGGGCGCAGGACGATTGAGGAGGCGGACGTGGTTGCGTTGATGAATAGGTATGTGTATCTTTTGTTCATGTTCGTTCTTGCTTTGCGTGTTTTTTTTTTTTTTTTTTTTTTTGCTATGGTACTACTACTACTGTTACACGGCGCTTGTGTATACAAGCGCTTGGGGAGGGAGTTCTTCTTTCTTCTGCTGTTTTTGTTGTTGTCACGCGCATTCATTGCCCTGACGCGCAGCTTCTCCCTTTTTCTGTTTATATACTAACGACAGCCACCATATAGACAACGCCAGATCTCGGCCTCAACCACACCCTTTTCGCTCGCGCAAAAATACCTTCCTCGCGAGCTGCTGCAGGAAGTGCGCATGCCGCGCGCGGCGCCCAAGGCCAGGAAGAAGCGGCGCCGTGGGAAGATGGAGACGATTGAGGAGGGGGAGGTGGAGGAGGTGGAGGAGGAGGAAGCGGGCGGCGATGCGTAGACGGAGTAGAGGGCGGGCGGATGGGCTGGTGCTAGAGCATCCTACCACGCCCTGCTGTGGCGCACGCGGCGCGCCGTGCTGGACGAGGGCTTCTTGATGACCATCCAGAGCATGACGGACGTGGCGAGCGAGAGGGCGTACCTAGCCAGGGGGTGAGGGACTCGTAAGAGTGAGGAAGAGGAGATGTCACTTACCACGTGAAGATGTACTGCGTGTGGTTGTTGCGGAGGTTGACTTCGGCGGCGCGGCCGATGGGGATGCCCTTTTCGGCGCGGGACATGGACTCAATGAGGTCGGGCTCTGCGCGGCAATGTACACAATTAGCAAGGCCCTGTACCCGCAACCCGCGCGCCGCCGCGGTAACCAAAACAAAGCAAAAGCGGGAGAGAAGCAGCAGCAACAACAGCAAACATACTCATCGTCTCCTCGATCCACACGGCCTGCGTCCCCGACACGCGCGCCATCTGCTCGACATCCGGGAAATGGAACAAGCCAATCTCGGGCCTATTCTCGGGGGTGAACATATTGCGCTTCCAAGGCTCGCGCAGCAATCCCTTCACCACAACCTCGCCGCGGGGCAGCGCCTCGGGCGCCCTATCCTGCTGCCGGCGCAAGTGTTTGGGGATCCAGCCGCGATTGACCAGGATGGCAGCGCCGGGGCCCAGGTCCGCGCGCTCCAGCGGCGTGATGACGAGGAAGCCGTCGTCGCCGTCCAGCAGGCGCGGGCCGACGAGCATTTCTTTGGCGTGGTTGAGGCGGCCGGTGGCGTAGACGGGCCGGTAGTCGAAGTCTTTTATGGCAGAGGGGTCGATGCGTGGGGGGAGTGGGAGCGGGGGCTGCACGAGCCGGTCTTCGAAGCGCGCGATTAGGTCGGATTTCCAGCCGAGGCGCTGCACTTGCCAGGTTCCGAGCGCGAAGGCGGTGAGCGGGATGAGTGCTGGTGGGGGGCGTTAGTGTTGGTGTTGTAAAAGAGAGGGAGAATGTGTGTTTGCGCGTGGGGTGCGGGGAAGATGGGAATGGATGTATGAACGAATGGATGGATGGATGAGTGAGTGCGTGTATAGCTGTAACGCACCGAGGATAATAAGACCGGGCCCATGGCGCCGCCCCGTCTTCACCAGCTGCGGCGGCTGGTCAATGATGGAGGAGAAGTTGGGGTCGTCGGCCGGGTTGGTGTGCTGGAAGCGGCGCGGCGGCGACGGCGGCGTGCGGAGCAGGCATTGCGGGCAGCGCCAGGCGGCGGCGCGGCGGGGCGAGCGCGCGGGAGAGAATGACGAGGAGGAGGAGAAGGTGCCGCCGGAGGAGCTGCGCAATTGGCGGAGGAGGCTCATGGTTGCCGTAGGTGGAGCGTGTAGGTGGACGGAATGGCTGCGGCGGAACCCATGGAGCTCCATCGTCGGACGCGGATGTTCCAGGCCGGTAGGGCTGACTCGGGCCCTGGCGTCATGCGCGCTGTCAGTGCCGATCCCCGTCGTCTCTCGTCCCCATCCATTCGCGCCCATCACTGCATAGATCCACCCATCGCCATGGCCGCCGCCCGCGAAACCCTCCTCGACTCGCTCGACGCCCTGCTGGGCCAGTACCTCGTCCTGCTCGACCAGTACACGACGGCGCGCGAGCAGCTGTCCACCGCCCTCGCTTCCGTGCGTCCATCGTTATCGTCTTGTGGTGGGCGCGACCCTGATGCGTGTGTGTATAGGGCTTTATTTCGCTCGCGCAGGCCAACTTCAACAGTCCGAATCGCGTGCGCTACGGCCAGGATCTGTACGATGAGCGCATGCAGGCGCTGCGGGCCGTGTGCGTCGCGTCTACCCATTCTCTTGCTTGCCTGTCCGCGCTGACTTGTTCGTTGTGCCTTGTCCAGGAGCATTGACGAGACGGGCCCCGCGCTCACGCGGGCCATTGGCCTTGTCAAAACGACGGGGGAGCCGCCGTCACCGTCGTCCGACCCTGCAGACGAAGCACCGCCCAACCCCAATGACCCCGCCGAAATCACCGCCTCGGACAAAGACAACACCCCGCAGCACGCTGCAGAAGGAGAAACACATCCCACCCCCCGCGACCCCATCCGCATGTTCGGTATCCTCGTCCCCCCAGCCCTGCGCACCTCGCAAGCACACTTCGTCCGCGCCGTCGAGGGCCCGGTGCCGCGGCTCGCGAACCTGGCCGCCGAGCTGCGCGCGCTGGAGATTGAGATTGGGCGCGCGAGGAAGGCGGTGCGGAAGTGTGGTGGTGGGGGAGGGGAGGCTTGAGGTGCGAGAGTTGGGAGTCGAAAGAGAGGTATGGTTGTGTGTGTGCATGGTGTAGAGTGTTTTGCCACGTCGATATGAATGGATGGATAGGTAGGCACGCTGAAATTACTTCCTAAACCGCAAGCCCTCAACCCCACCTAATACCCACCAATACTATTATCGGTATACAGCCTCGTAGCCGCCGGCCTCTCAGCACCCAGCCCCGCCTCCCCCGCCTCCACCGCCCTCGCCTCCTGCATAATCCACACGCCGGAACTGGTGCCAATCCTCTCCGCGCCCGCAGCCAGCATGGTCCTCGCATCGCCCAACCCCCTCACGCCCCCCGACGCCTTGACAAACATCCTCCGCCCCGTCCCCGCGCCCACCCCCGCCCCAACGCCCAGCCCCAACCCAGCGGCACCAGACACGGCCAGCGCGTCGACCGCCGCGGCCATGAGCCGCACGTCGGCGACGCTGGCGCCGCGCCCGCAGAACCCCGTGCTCGTCTTGACGCAGTCGAGGCGCGCGGCCGCGGCCAGGCAGGTCCCGGCTATGATGTCCAGGGGGCTGAGCTGCGAGGTTTCGAGGATGAGCTTGAGTGTTGTGGGTGCCGGCAGGGCGGTGCGCAGCGCGGCCAGCTCTTTGTAGATGGGCTCGTAGGTGTGCGCGATGAGTTGCGGGTGGTTGATTACGATGTCTAGCTCTGTGGCGCCGAGGCGGACCGCTTCTTGCGCTTCGCTGTTTGTGGGGGGGAGGGGTGTAAGTTCCAGTTTGTGTGGTTTGGGGTTGTTGAGCGGGGGTTGGGGTATGGGTAAGGGTAAGAGTGTGGGGGGAGGACGTACACAAGCTTGATGTTCGTGTCGTAGGTGCCTTCGTGGAAGCCGACGACGCAGGCGACGCCCACGCCCGAGCCCTTGAGGTTCGAGATGGCGCGGGCGACGTGCTGGAGGCGCACGCACACGGTCTACAAGGCCCGGATGGTCAGTTAGCAAGTGTGCCTGCACGCATGTCCAGCCGTCCATCCATCCATCCATCTACCCGCCTTCCATGCAAGTCAGACACGCACGCACACACGCAGTACGCACACGTCCAGACCTGGCGGCCGGGCCCAAAACAAAACAACAGACAAAAAAAGGAAAACAAAACGAATAAAGTGCCACGCATGCTGCTGCTGCTGCCCCTGTCTGCTGTCACTGCTACTGTCACGGCCCCCTGCTGCGGAACGCCCAGCACGTTGCCCGTAAATGACGAGGCTGCATTTCGCACACCGCAACTACCGCCGCGATCGCCCGCCCCCGAGCCTGTGCCGCCCAAGGGCGCCACCGATCGTCTGGGTCGTCGGCGGCGTGCGGCGTGCCGCCCTGACAGATCCCAGGGAATCCAGAACCCCACGCGAGAGCGGCGGCGGCAGCGGCAGCGGCGCAAGCGGCGCCAAAAAGCAAGACCCCTTTCCCCCTTCTTCTTTTTACGCGTGGTCCCTGTCTTGTCTTGCTGCTGGAGACTGGCTGGCTGTTCTCTGACCGCCGAACGCCTCAAACCGCGACAACAGCAGCAGAAGTGACAGCGACAGCAGCGGCCGCAGCGCCCCCGGGCCACAAAAGCAAACGCCGCGGGCGAACGTCACTGACAAAAAAAGGAAAAGTGGAAAAAAAGACAGCGAGCGATCGATGACCTTGTGGAGCCAAGCAAAGGGACGGCGCAAGCAGACAAAGAATCAACAAAAAAAAGCAAAAACAAAAAAAGAAAAATATATATCCCGGAGATTGATTTCCACGCGCCCGGCTACGACCGCCGAAGAGAAACGACGCCCCGGCACTCTCCCTCCCAAAGGCGAGGCTCGACAGCAAAAAATAAAATAAAATAAAATAAAATAAAAAAATAAAAATAAATAAAAATAAAAATGAAAATAAAAAAGCGACCGGAAAAATAAAAAAGAACAACGCCCAACCACGCGCGCAGAAAACAAAAATATCGGGACCATAACCCGCAAGCTCACAGCACACAATAAGCACTCACCGCAAAGCGCTCCCGCCTCGCCTCGTCGCAGAGCCCGTCTATCTGCGGCAGCGTCGCTTCCAGCTTCAGCAGCGTGTGGTCGATCGTCTTCGCCAGCGCGGCCATGTCCAGCGGCGCGTCCACGCCTACATCTGCGCCGTTGCTGCCGTTGCTGCCGTTATGTTGCTGCTGCTTCGTCTCAGCGCCCGCGATGGCGCGCTGCGTTTGCAGGGTTAGCGCTTCCCATTCCGCGTTCGTGTAGCGCGATGTCGATGTCGCCATGGCGGGTGGGTTGGTTGGTTGGGTGGTTGTGCGCGCGCGTGCGTGCGGGGGTCGGCCGGAGGAGTGCGTGTGTTGGGCGAGTTGTTGCTCTGGGTAAGTACGGGCAGTAGAGTGGGAGAGCGCGGGCAGGGTAGAGTTGAGCAGAGTCGAGTAGAGAGGACCAGCCACTTGCGTGCGCGCGCTATGGCGGGATTGGGGAAGGTGAGGAGGTGCGGGGACGACGGAGGACGATTGTACCGACGGCGACGGTGAACGGCAGCCGCCTACGTGCTCCTACCTACCTATGATCGGGTTGGTGAGGGCGACGTGGGCGTGGGCATGGGACGTGGACGGATCTCCCACCATGCTGGATTGATCGGCGAGCATCATCAAGGAAGGGCAGGTGGGCCCTTTTTTTCCGTCGTGGGGGTGCGCTGCTGTGGGGAGTGGGCGAGAGCGCGGAGATAGCATTGCTGGAGACGGCGACCGCCGCCGCCCGCCCGCCCGCCGGGAAAACGCGTCTTCTCCATCTTGCACGACCATGGTAAGTAGACAGACAACAGAAAAACTAGGGCTGGCAATCTGTGGTTTTACATTTCGAAAGACCGCGAGCATGTTTCAGGTATCCTCGACGCTACACACGGGTCCTCGCCCTCAGACAGTGCTGAAAGCTCATGCGAATGCCATCTCCCCTCCCACATGCGTATACACAAGAGGCAGAAAGAAGCAGGTGGAAAGAGAAGAAAAACAAGGAGAGCTTCAACATTGCCAACCAGAGCAACAGCACAACAAAGAAAAAGCGTCATCATATCGCTGGATATCCGGAACTCCCGATTTTAGTATTTTCGGCTGGGCAGTCGACTACCAGGTGAAGGATTCCCTCTTCTATCCTGCAAGGTGATTCCGAGATGTAGTGCACGCCATTTTGAAAGCCATGAATTTCGTTTCCCACAGCACCGCCGCGCTCCAGCCGAACCCTGTCGTCCTCGGTTCTGTCGAGGCGATCCGTTTACTTCCTGCGGAAAGAGCAGCCCTCGGTCAGGCGGGCCTTGCCACCCGTGGGCTGGCACAGGACTTGCGAGCAGCCCTGGCAAACGACGACGGTCTGGGCGTGCGAGAAGACGGTGGTGATGGTGAAGCAGCCGGGGCACTTGACGTCCATGAAGAAGGAGCGGGGGCCGGGGACAAGCGTCTGCGTTTCGTGTCAGCGCTACCGTGCACTTCACCTACGGATGCAAACAGAATTTGCGAACCTTCAGCTTGTGCTTGCGGGCCTCAGCCGCGGGGGAGGGGTTGAGAAGGTCAACGGCGAGAACCTGGTGGCGGCAAAAAATTGTCAGCATGGCGCTCTGTTGTCCCATTGTCGTCGTGTCACGACATCCTGGCCGCATCCATCATCATCATCGTCGTTGTCGTCAATGTGTGTGTCGGTCGCGATGTTTGTATTTCGTTTTTATTTTTTCCAACAAAATCATCGCGAAGTGTCGTGTGCGGGTCGCGCATGTCGTGTGCTTGGTTGGGATGATGAATGATGGGGCGGGCGAATTTGCCACGCCCCCCTCGTGGGCCAGGACGCGTGGTGAGGGAGGGTTCTCACCATCTTGATGTCTTGTCGAGTATCCTAGGAGGGCTGTTCCTTGAGTCGTCGGTAATGGAAGCAGCGGGTGCAGGAGAGTCGAGATGGAGTTCCGGAGGAAACCAAAGTCAAGGCGGCAGTCGTGCGTTAAAACCCAGAGCGAGCGTGGGCGAATCGACACGGCGCTAAGCTCGATTCAGCAACGTTGGCGAGCCGCGCTTGCGCTCGGGGCAAGAGAGCATCATCGCAGAACAACAACGCTCCTTCTCTCGTCTTCGACTGGTGGCAAACTGCTCTTTGAACAATTCCTAAGCGTTCTCGACTCCTGCTGAGCCTCGTCCTTGAGAATTTCCTGCTTCCTCACCGTTGCCACCGTTGATGGCCACTCCCTTTGTCCCGCCGCTAGCATTTCCACTTTGGGCACCTTATTGTCCCGACTGAGTGCACACGTGTGAAGAGCCATTGTTAGGCAGATATTATTATTCCCGCTCGCCACTACCGCAAGACATCCCGAAGCAAGCATGCCATCTGTCTTATGCATCCATCCTATCTGTCCAGCTCAATGCCCTTCACCGTCGCGAGTGTTGGCATGTTGGTGAGGTATGCACGCGTCTTTCCATCTCACGTGTTCTCCGTCCGTCATCACTTTAATCCCATCATCTTGTCCCGCGCCATGTCATCTCGTGAAACTAGCAAGCACGCAAGTCAACCGCGATGGTGGTTCCTGACTGGCTCACTGTGGATGCTGGAGATACATTCTACAGTCTGGGAGCATTTCTCGTTTCTGTCAGACATTGACCACCCAACAACATTATGTTTTCCCTTTCCAGCTCTGGCAAAGCAGCGATGATGTATTTCAAAGACAGGTGCAGGATCGCCATGTGACATTACTCGCGGCTCGTGGCGGGCACGGAGCCAATTGCCCATGGATCAGCGCAACTGGAGCTGCAAATGTCCCATGAGTACCCTGAAAGAGTCCCAAACAATGCGACGAGGGTTGACAAAGAGTAAAGGCTTCGTTGGCCAGCGACCAATCGACGCACCGTGATTCGAACGGTGATGTGCAGCATGTCCCCGGCTGCCCCGGCGGCGACATCCGTGCGCATCACCTCGGCCTCTTCGCTCTCACCAAAGAATTCCTCGACCTTCGCCGCCGCTCCAACCTTCCTCAACCACCTTTCGCCATCCCAATCCGCAACCTCATCACTCTCCGTCACCCACCCGCGACTCACCACCCCACGAAAAAGCAATCATGCCTCGCCAGTCCCGCGGAAGCGCTCCTCCCCGCCGCCCGGCTCCCGCGCCGGCTAGGCCCGCCCCCCAGCAGGCCCGCCCTGCCTCGACGGCCGCCCACACTCCCCAGCAGCCGCACCACGCCCCTCCTCCTCCTGCCCAGCAGCCCCAGATGCAGGCGCCTCAGTCCTCGGGCGGCTCTGGTCTCTTCGGCCAGATGGCCAGCACTGCTGCGTGAGTTCCAACCCCGGCGCTCGCTCGCTCGTTCGCCTCACTTCCATTGCTCCGCGGACACGCCCAGACGGGACAACGGTGGACCAGAGGGCAAGAGCGTGGGATCCAGTGCAGGGAAAGCAAGCAAGCGAGCGAGAGTCGCCAAAAGCAAACAAAATGGGAAAGCAAAGTACACGCAGTGCTGACAGTGAGTGATATATATAGCGGTGTCGCTGTCGGCTCTTCCATTGGCCACGCCATTGGTGGCATGTTCGGAGGTGGCTCCTCCGCCCCCGCTGAGGCGTCTCCCCAGGCCGCTGCGGCGCCCGCCGACAGCTTCGCCCAGCAGAACCAGTCCTCGGGCGTGTGTGCGACGGACATCAACAACTTCCGGAAGTGCATGGACGACAACCAGGGCTCGCTGACCATCTGCGGATGGTACCTGGACCAGCTGGTAAGTGGTGGTAGTGGTGGTGGTGGTGGCGCAACGTCGGGCTCCTTTCCTGCTTGCTGCTGTGGGCGGTTAGCTAGCTAGCTGTCTGGCTGGCTGACAGCCCGCGTGCCTGCCGTACCGCTTGGACGGGCCCGTTTCCCTCTTCCCGCTCTTTTTCCCTTCCCCTCCCCCGACCCCACCGTTTCCCCGCAGCTTTTAGGTCAACGTTGTGGCTGACCATTGCGTGTGCGTATGCAGAAAGCGTGCCAGGCTGCCGCCAGCCAGTACTAGACGCGCGCCGCGGCGTCGGTCTAGTCCCGCCCGGAGAGAGAGAAGAGAGAGAAAGAGAGACAGTCGGGGGTTCGTTGTGGGGTCGTACATGTCAAGTCGGCATTGCATAATAACAAAACATCACGGGCGCCTGGCCATTCACCGCTCCATCGCAGCGGGAAATTAGCTGCATCTAGTCCAATCTCATCGTTGCTCCGGCCGTTTGTTCTCGTTTTTCTTTGCGCGCCGTGTCTTTGTGTTGCCGGTTTTCGTGCGGGTTATTGGTGGTGGTGGTGGGGTGGTGCGCTTCTGGCCCGGCATGTCCTGTCCTGTCACTGTCACTGTCACTCGTCTTCCTGCTGCTGCTGCCCGGAGAATAATGTCCGTTGCATACATACATCCAGACACACATACATACGTACGTACGTGCGTGCCTGATCTCACTCACCCCACACACACGGCGCAGACCCCAGAACCCGGTCCCGCACGCCGCGGCCACAATATCCTCATCTAACCAGGAAGACCATCCTCCACTATACTGGGCCCCTGTCGTCGGGACCCCGGTCACGGCACTACCTACCTACATACATACATCACACACACATATCATCTCTCTTACTTGAGAGCGCCCAGCTACTATACCGGCGACCACACCACTATACCGCCCGCGCCGTGCTATACCGCCTCTCCCGATCCCAGCCCCAGCCTCCTCCCCGCACTCGAGCAAGCGCGCGCGCGCGATCTTCCCTTCCCCACATTCACTCACTCTCTCTCTGCTGCCTGCTCACCGCTTCGTTTCCCCCCTCCCTAGGTCCTTTCTTTCCTTCCACTCAGGCTTTCACCCACCCACCCATCCACACACACAACCAACCACACCCCACTCCTTCTTCTCACCCTGCCGTACCCACACACCTTCCCACCAACCTAGCGCCCGTCCCCCATCCGCACCATTGGAACGTAGCACCACCATGACCGTGACCACACCACCACCGTAACCACCGCACCACCACCGCCGCCACCGCCGTGATTGCCGCTGCCCCCCCTCCCCGCCCCGCGTGTGGGACCGCAGATAGACGGCCTGGTGTGGTGTACCTAGCGTACGGTGCACCCGCGCCCGCGTCCACGACGGCGGCGGCAGCGGTAGATATTGATTGCCTGCTTGATTGCTTGCTTGCTTTAATTGAGTGAGTGAGTGAGTGACGCCTTGGTGCCGCTCGTTCACACCACACCACACCGTTGCCTTGCCTTGCCTGCCTGTCTATCTCCCTGACAGCCAGACACATCCCATCCGCATCCCACGCCCGCGCACGCACGCGAGTCCCCCTCCCTCAAACAAGCAAGCGCTTGCTTACTTGCTTCTTCCACGCACCCGTTGTGCCCAAGCCCAATCCCACGCCTACGCCCCCCCCTCACACTAAAAATTTACAACAACAAACAACCCGCTTAGAGAATGTCCTTGTTTTCATTACAACATTGCCAATTTGTTATGTAAAAATTTACTTAGTCCCGCGCCCGCTTAATCCCTACTCTTCCCCCTAATCCCCTCCCTTTCCCTGATAATGACGGCGACGGCAACTGCAGCAACAGCAGCAGCAACAGCAACAACAACCTTGACTCCTGTTTCGTCCAAGCCTTGAGCTTTGGATCCCGATCATGATGATGATGATGGTGATGATGTGCTTTCTTTTCTCCCTTCTTTCTTGCTTGGGTCCCCTCTTCCTCTTCGTCTTCTTGCCCTCCCGACTTTGTGACGAGCGTGTACTTGGCCAATGCACCCGAAACGGAAAGTAAGATAGATAGAAAAAGAAAGAGAGAGACGGAAAGAAAGGGAGGGAAAATGGCGTGCGTAACGGTGAGCTTGCCCACTGTATGCGCGCCAATGCCGCAGCCGATGCCGATGGTGGTGGCAGCCGAAGGCGTTCGTTCCAAACGCTGAGCAAGCCATGTCCCTGCTGTTGCTCGGCGACGTGAAGACTGTCCGTCGCGAGCGGTCAAAGCCGCATTAAGAGGCGAAAGACCTGAGGGAGCTAAGACCTGTCGCGAAAAAGGCTAATGTGCTACGCGCTGTGAGAGAGGATCGAGAGAGTTGCCTAAATATTCTGACGGTAAGGGCACCCTGAGGCAAATAGTCTTTATGTGTGGTCGTAACGGTCGTTTTCGTAAGATATGATGCGCGTGCAAGCAGTTCGAAGAGAGCGATGAAGAGGGAGACACGACGCCGGCCGGTCGGACGACGGAGGCGGGTGAAGAGTAAGTGAATAATGTGGATGGGGGGAGGAGCTGAGCCCCGAAGGAGAGAAAAGTCTCGTGAATTGTGCCATTAGGTCGTGAATGTCGTGAATGATGCTTATGCAGTGGCCCCTTGCAACGCGAACTCGTTAACGCCCAAACCCGCTGTTGTTTCCGAAATGGTCGAGCCAACAAACATTCAGACCGATGTTCGTAAGGCTGATTAGATCCATGAGACTGGCAAGGCCCAAGGCCTACTGCGATGTTGACTTGTGTCTCGACCGATTACTCGAGGCATATTCAGCGTCCGGTGTCCATTCTTCCGGCTGGAAATCGGGATTAAGGAAGTGCGCCGTGTTGTAATGCGAGCTTCGACGCGTAAGCATACACTCGCACAAAGGCCAGGACAGCAAACTTACTTCTTGAAGATCGACGTTTGGAAAGGCAGGGGGTGGGAGGGACCAGCGGCAAAGTCTAACTCGTAGGCGGAAGGTCGGAACGGGCCGCCTCGCTCGGTCTGTCCACTAGGGCTGTTGAGCGGCAGTGCAACCGACGCTTCCATGGGCAAGCCATGCGTAACATAGTCGGTGCTCGCATGTGACACGGGAAGCGGTGTATACATTGGCTGTGGCGCGGGCTGTGGTTGCGGAGCCGGTGCGGACGAGAAGCCGAAGGGATCGGACATATAGCCCGGCTGACCCAACGAGGGCGCGAACGTCGAGGCGCCCATTCCGGGAATGTAGGCGAGCACATCGGAGAAGCCCCTGTCCATGTGCACGTAGTCCTCAGACAGATGAGGGGCCAGATTTACGGCGACATGGGTGGATGCAGGAGGAATCATAGCTTGTTGGATCTCCTCTGCCTTGTACAGGATGTCATAATGACCACTGGGCAGGTTTTAGTAAGCCGATCAAGCCACCAGATGCTCGAGGTGGTACTCACGGTCTGTAGAGGAGCCTTATGGTGGGAGGGTCAAGGATGGTCAAGCCGTCATGGCCAATCACGTCATAGCGGAAAGTGTTCCCTTCCTCGCCGGCGCTGCGGTCGAGGTAGAGAATCTCCAGAGCGAGGCCTGCAGGCTTGAGCAGGACATTGAAGAGTGCATTGACGCCAACGTGCTCGATCTCACAAACGGCAGCCTCGATGTGCGTGGAACAGTAGCTCCGGATGTCCTGATCCAGCAAAAACGGCGCAAAGTCTGCAGGATGCGTCTGGATCCAAGCGCTTGTCAGGAGCTAAAATGGGTGGGTCAGAGTCAGCTCAGGGCTAAGACCTCGGGTGTCACAGCATAGAAGGGCATCACGAGACCGACCTTGAGGTGGGTGATGATACTCTGCGATACCATCTCGTCGTTGAACGCCGCCAGCAGCTGAGCCTCGTCGCCCGAGGGAACGTTGACGAGCTTGCGAAGCAGAGAAAACGTCTCTTCGGCAAAGTCCTCGTAAACATCTTGCGGGAAGCCGACCTGGTTTAGGATGTTGGCCAGAGATCCGAGGCGAGCCTGCTCTTCGAAGAACTTGTTGCTGTCGCCCAGGCGCAGCAGGGCCTCGAAATAACCAAAAGCGATGGCTGGCAAATACTGTCAGCGTCTTTTCTCAAAGCTCGATCGAGCTCGCGCAGAAAACGCACCTCTCCAACCACAGTGTCCATCTCCACGGCAGGTCCGATAGTGCGAGTATTTGTAGGGTAGGTTCTGTGACGAGCGACACACGGATCTTTTAGTAACAGAGCTTCGACGGAGAGAGAGAAAGAGAGAGAGAGAGAGCGGGCAGGCGGGCGGGCGGGCGGCAACTGACCTGCGTCTTTGCGCGATAGACGGGGTCGCCGTTGGCGTACTCGGTGGTGATGGCGGCCGTCGACTGCCTTGGTCCGACCAGCGGTCCCTGGGACAAAATCAGCGGGGGCGAACGGGCAAGTGGGTTTTGCAAGAGAGCTTACCGTCGCCTCAGGTTCATACTCGTTGGACAGCTTTTGCAGCTGGGCGAGGTCGTCGTCGGATTGCATCGCGTAGCTCATCCTTGCGGCTGGCGGGCGCGGAGGCAGCGGTGTTGGGTTGTAGCCGGCGGGAAGCTCCGCGGTCCGATGAGGTAGCTGGAAGGACCTGTACGACAAGCTCGACACCGAAGCAAGGGCCGGGTCATGGAACGACGGCTGCGGAGGGTAAGGGTGATGGAAGGTAGGCGAGAGGATGGGTTGGCGGTTCATGGCCTGGGCTCGCGAAAGCTTCACGCGCTGGTGTTGAAGAGCTCAGGAAGATTTTAGGATTCCACGGCAGACTCGGCTGGTCACCCACGAACGGCCATTGAAGAGCTGGCAGCGGCGGATCGGTTTTTAGTATGCGCAGAGACCCGCGCCCGTGGTTGCAGAGACGACGTCCTCGCTGTGATACACAGCGCTTTTGCCAGGGGCACCGCCAATATATCAAGGGAACGGTGGGGAAGGGGCTTGCAAGAGTTATCGACTATGCTGCCAGGTACCAAAGCGCTCTGCAACACATTCACGCAGACGGTTTGAAACGGCGAGGCTCGGTAGCACTGCGATGGCATTGAAGAAGGCTCAATCGAGTCTGTCCAACGCTAAGGGCGCCTCACGACGAGCGATACGGTAAGCCAGGTGAAACCGGCTGCTCAAGGAATAGTGACGACGCACAGCACTGTGTGCTCTCGTGGAGCGCTGGAGCCATGGCGCCTCGCAGCCGGCTGCTGCACTTCAGTCACGGTGCTGGGCAGAAAGTGACTGGTAACATGAGGTTGTCACCAGCCGCTGATTCGCCCCGGCCGCCGGCGCGCAGGACCCTCACGCCGCGCAGCATTATAATCCGCCCGGCCCCGGGCGTCAGTCGACTGCTCGTACCATCGAAGCCCGGTTCAAGGATCTGTCCAGTCTCCACCTGGCGTCGACCTTGTCCGCCGCCTCGGGCCAAACGAGCACGACTGCAGGTTACTCCGGTGCGCCCTCGAGTCCCGCCGAGCAACTCCGCCCGATCTTGCAGCAAGCGCCGCCTCACACCATGGGGGGGTTTGGAAAAAGGAACGCTTGGAATCTACTGACCCTCCGCCCGGCCTGCCCGCAGGTTTCAGCCCTTCGAGTGCCAGCGGCTTGCCCATGACGCGACCTGGCCCTGGGGAATGCACCCGCCCCGTCGCCCAAGGTTTCAGTCCATTCGCCCCATCGTACAAGGGCTTGCAGGCGACCGCTGCAAGTCATTACCTTAACCCAGCTCCCGGCAGTCTTCCCGAGAAACCCTTGCCCTTCGTGACGCTCCTGAGCTTCGCGCTGGGCCCATGGCGCCCTCCCAGATCCGATGCGCCTTGTGCTCCCGTGCCGGCCTGGAATTGCGATCCTTCTTCCGACCGGAAGCCCTCGCCTTCGCTCAGCACCGTCGTCCACAGCGCTCCTATCGCCGCCGTCCACTCCTGCATTGCATGCACCCGATCCCTGTCTGTGCTACTCTCGATCTCGACCGTCCCGTTCTGTTGGTTGATCTTCCCGCGCAGCTTCTTATCCACGATAAGGAAGCCCACTATGTCTTGCACCTCTGGAAGCGAGATCTTGAGCTGCTTCGAGATGAAACTCAGCGTGAACCGCGTGTACGGCGCGACCAGCTTCAGCACCGCCTTAGTCCGCATGTTGCGCGTGACCTCGTCAATGTTCTCCGCAATAAAGGGGTCCGCGAGCAGGTCCTTGTTGTTCTGCAGGATCTTTTCGTAGCCATGGATGTCGTCCCTTTGGTATGCGTCGACCAGGTCCGTCATGGCCGCAATGCGGGGATCATTCTTGTAGGGCTTGGTCTCCTGAGAATCGAATGGGTTGATGTCGGACCGCATGAGCATCGTGGTAAGGACCAGGTACTTGAGCACCTGTATGCGCTGGAGCGAACCCGCCTCGTCGTAGTTGCGGAAGCTCTCGAAGAAATCACTCTGAGCCTCCTTCCAATTTTCTGCCCCCCTGGTTAGCATCATACATCATCTATGCTTCACAGCGGCTGTTACAGGCGTGCATTACCTTCGCTCATGTGCATCTTTCCTCCGCATTCTCTAATGATTCCCATAATCTTGGGATGCGGTACGGCTGAGCGGACCTTTAGCGCCCGCTGGTACAGTGCCTAGACCAATATTAGATGGCGCGGCGCTAAAGAGTCACCTCCGCTACTGACCTTCAGTCGCTTGTTGTTCCTTGTCTCGGCGTACATGAGGATCTCTAACGAGTAGACTTCTAAGGAATAAGTGCCCTTGCTGGGGTCATCTGTGCCATCTTCCTTTTGACACGCTTTGTGAAGCTCCCGCAACTTGTCGGTCAGTTGGCGATAGTCCTTGCGCTCTAGCCACAGCTTTGCCAGCTTAATGTTAGTCTTGAGCCAAAGCCTCTCGTTGTTGGTGCTCTGGAAGGAGTCGAGTGTGAGAGCATAGAACTTCTCCATGCAACGATATGCCTGGTCGTCCTCGGCAGCCTTCTCAATGAAGTCGAGCATGTTGTTAATGGACTTCTCAGAGTAGTTGCGGGTCACGGCCGACTTGACGTAAGTCAGTAGTTCTTGGTAATGTTCTACCGCCTGTAATGCATCAGTATGAGGATAACAGACGAGAAGGTCAGCCATTTACCTGAGCATAGCGTTCCAGCTTGAACTCCAGCTTGATTGCTTGCTTGAGACCCTTGAATCCCCTTGCGACGGTCAGTCGGCAGCTCAGCCAAATTCAAGGGTCTGCGCCACCATGCGCAAACCTACCAATCGCCCTTTTCCTCCTCCAAAGCAGGGACTCCCAGAAATTCGTCTATCGCGTCCTCCGGGTTGTCCGCCTTCATCTGTTTGGCGCCATAGTACTTGTTCTCGATGTCGACGTCGCCGGTCTGCTCGTCATCGTCGTCTTCGTACTCGAAGTCATAGCTGGTAAAAGATTAGTGGACTCATCAGGCAGATATCTAGGCGGCGGCGGCGGACATACTCCTCTTGGTCGGACTCTTGCATGAAGTCGTCGTCGGAAGACATGGTGGCTGGTAATCTCGGCAGAACGGCGTACGAGCGGGAGCGCCGGCGATCGGGGTGCAGGTGGCAGGCGTGGGGCCAGAGGGGAGAAGCTAGTAGGTAGGTTGGGGTGTTGATGGATGCTGTCACTCGCGTCCGCCTGGAGCTCGATCCCGGCCGATATCGATAAACGCGCCAAGCCGGTCCGCCGCGCCACTAATGCGCGAACCAGCATCAAAATGTCAAAGAGGCCTTTCCGCACAATATGGCCACTTGATCTTCACGCTAGGTCCTGCGAGCCTGCATCATTGATCGCGCGAGCTCTGCACCTCTGCACCTCTGCTCCAGCCTCCCTGTGTCCGGCTCATTTCCGGACTGCAGCCGCTGTGCTGCTGCAGCAATGCAGATGTGAAAGACGCGGGCACGCGGGCAAGAATGCCGTTATTGTTCCAACCTCCGTGGCCCACCCTCTTCCTCCGCATCCTTCTCAGCACGAGGGTTCAACAGTGCTGATATCCGCTCTTGGCGAGATCCCAACCGCCTGTGTGGATCCCGCCGCCGCCAGGCCGCCCCGCATCCCCCCGCGCGCCCGCTTGCCCGCGCCGCAAGCTGAGACCCCGCTCGCCGACCGTTACGTAGGTACCATAGCGCATGCCGCGTCCTTACACGCAAGTCGTCGCGTTCTCTTAGGTAGCTGCAGTTGGCCGGAACACAAACCGCTGCCGCCGGCACCAATCACGTTGGACTACCTATCCACGTCTACTACGTATGTACCCACGGTACCATCGCTTACAGGTAGACGTGTCGTCGAATACGGCCGGTACCCTGCCCGTAAGCTAGCGCATAACGTCCATCAGCGTCAAGCGACATTCACTGCCTAACGAGATAATGACGCTTATACGGAGTGGAAGAAGAAATCCAGTTAAGGTGTTTATAGCTAAGACCTTTTCACTAGACAAGAAGTATCTAGTCAGTAGGGACTGCCTCCATCATTCCCTGTCTGGCTAGAAGGCGAATCTCGGTTGACGGTAACGGACGTTATGAGCTGGCATATGATCGTCTCATGAGGCTGACTGGTACAGCATCGTGGCTCGACAAAAAAAAAAGATGAGCGCGCAAGAGGGCAAAGGCTCAAAGCAGGGTTCAGATGGAGGCTTGTCGAGGCCATGACTCGTGCAAAAAGGGAAAGCATGGGCCTGGGGCGGGTGAAGAATGGCAAAGACAGGCGGCTTGTACTCTAGCTAGACGGCAAACGGGCGAGGCAAAACCGTTGGTTTAAGCCGCGGGGAGGGTGGCATTAGTCCGGCATCGGCATGGCCTCGAGGCTTGCGGTGCCTGGCCTCGCATTGAAGGCCGCTCGCAAATTGTTTGCAATTTTCGACGGTGGGGAACCGGACTTCACGGAGGAGCAAAGTACCTAGCGGCGACGGGATACTACGTACGTCAAAGGAGCGAGTCGTGGGCCCAGCATCACGACAACCGCCCGCTTCCCCCGTTGCACGAGCTGCGCAACCTCGCCCGCCTAATAATAAGCACCTGCTCGCCGTGTTCTCTTCATGACCGCAACGCCCCAGAGCAGCAAGCCAGGACCGGAGCCGGAGCTGACCAGCATCCTTGTTCCCAGTAACGCATCGGCCGCCCAAGCCACATCGTCGCTAAATTAAGGCGAACCTTGGGACTGATCTCCATCCTCCTCCAGCTGGCACCGCGTTCGCCTCTACCTCCTCCCGACAACCTCCCCCCATCCTCGATCTGGCCGTCCACCTCTCCCCGCCCGCCCGTACATACTCTGCCCTCCATCGCCCTTACGGCAATCGCAACGCCCATCGACGACTCTCTTTTCGCGGCTCTCCGTCCGAGCCACGCCTCCCGACTCCGCCGCGCGCATATTCTCTCGTAGCATCTCGTCTACTCCGGACCGGCATCTTCCCTACCCATAATACCGCTTACCATGCCTCTCTGTGGTGGAACCAAGACCGTGCAGCGGAAGCTTGTGCTTCTGTATGTACTCTCGAGCGCCGTGGCGGCGCCGGCAGGACGAGCACGCGGATGACCAGTATGCTGACGGTTGGCGCAGCGGCGACGGTGCCTGTGGCAAGACTTCGCTCCTCAATGTCTTCACCCGAGGGTAAGTCAGCCTTCGCCGGAAAAGGCGCATACCCCAGTATTCACCAGGGGATTTGCTGACCTAATTGCCTTTTACAGTTACTTCCCCACGGTTTAGTGAGTTCTGTCTGCATATCACCGCAAAAAAGACATTCAGTTAACCCAGGTCCCTCCTGCGCAGCGAGCCGACGGTCTTTGGTTTGTTTCCCCCGGTTTCTACCAACCAGCAAGGGTCCATGGTCGCTAACGTGTTTCGCGCGCAGAAAACTACGTACATGGTGAGACATTTTATTGCCATTTTCGGCAGCCAGTCCGGCGCTTCTGACACTTGTTACAGACATCTTCATCGACAACGTCCACGTGGAGCTGAGTCTATGGGACACGGCCGGTCAAGAAGAATTCGACAGGCTGCGCTCATTGTCATACGATGACACCCATGCCATCATGCTCTGTTTCAGCGTACGATGTTCTCTCCAATCGCCCTTGCGCTTCCCGATATACTGACTCGTTATGAACAGGTCGACTCTCCTGACTCCCTCGAAAACGTAGAGACGAAATGGGTGGGAGAAATCGCCGAGAACTGCCCCGGAGTTAAGCTCGTACTCGTAGCATTGAAGTGTGATCTGAGGGAACAGACGGACGACGAAGAAGGCCAACAGGCCGCTGAAAAGCCTCTCATCAACTACGACCAGGGTCTCAAGGCCGCGGAAAAGATTAGGGCGCTCAGATATCTTGGTATGTGTATTTTTGGAAGCGAGATACGGGGAGGCGCGAGCTTCACTCTATTTCGACTGCTACTAGAAACAGCAACGCTAACTTTATACAGAATGCTCCGCGATGAAGAACCGCGGTGTCAACGAGGCTTTTACTGAGGCCGCAAGAGTAGCGCTCTCGGTCAAGGGAGCGAAGGAGAACGACAAGAAGTGTGTGGTGATGTAGGCCGAATCATCCGATTCGCCGTTCAGAGCCTACTTTTCTTTATATTTCCTTCTTCAGCAGATACCTTCAGCGTCATCATTGGAGTTTAGAGGCGTTCAAGGCTGCTGCATGGCCCGGGCTGCGCCAATTTTCTGAGCGTTTGCCAGTGGAAGTTACGTCTCGTTCCTCGTTTGTTCTTTGTAGATGGTTTAGCATATGGTTTTTGGATTTCAGGTCTACTATGCCCTTCGCGGGGAATTATCGGGCAATACTCGGTCGAGTTCATTTTTCAGCAAGCATTGCACGCTTTCTTTTGCGGCTTTACGGCGGCAGTCTTATGGCCGGGGATTGCGTTATGGCAGACGTAACGCTGGACTTGCGTCCTTATTTAGTATCAGGGCTGGATCCATATGGATCACCGAAAACACATAGAACATTCACTTTGTGGCTGATCATCATCAAAAGAGCACCGGCAAGGCCGCCCTCAAAACCCCTTAACAGATGCGCGCAATCTCCGCAAATATTAAGCCGTGGACAGTGCTATCGCCCGGGCCGGCGAGAAGAGGTGAGATCCAGGCACGCACAGGCCATGTTGAGAGATGCTGGCGAAATTTCGCTGCGCTGATATCATAAACTTTTCCCCGTCATTATCTTGCAACCCCAGGGTATGAACAAGGAATCAACTGTCATTGAGTTTTTCGGGCCTGAAGCATAATGTCCCTAGGTAAACAGCGCCAAAAGCCATGCCCCACCGTATAGCCACCCCAGCGACCACCCCCTTCCACTCCAACGTCGTTTAGATGGTGGTCTCGTAGGCGAGCGGCGTGATGGACTCGGGGAGGTTGTCCTTCATGCTGACGGTCCTGGCATCCCTGGGCATGACGGGCTGCCTCTTGAGCTGGACGCTCTTGCCGTCGGCCTTGGCGGCCTTCCTCCTGGCGGCGTTCTCCTTGACGCGGACAAGGAACTCCTCACGGGAGCGCGAGTGCTTGACGTGCTCGATGCGGACGTTGATGCGCTTCTCCATGTAGCGGTTGCCGACCTGCTTGTAGAGGATGACGCCGACGGCGGACTTGGTCACGTTGTAGACGATGCCGGTCTTGCCGTGGTAGACCTTGTAGGGCATACTGTGCGCCTGGTTAGCTGCTGTCTTTTTTGTTGTCGCCGCGACGTCGGTTGTGGCTGCGGCGCTCTAATCGGGCGGGGGTTTGTTTTTGTTTGGTGGGTTGGGCTAAGACTGACCCCTTCTGGACGGCACCGTTCGCAACGACATCGACGATGTCGCCGACCCTGTAGGTCTTGAGGTAGGTGGAGAGAGGAATCGCACCGTGATCCTTGAAGGAACGGCTGAAGGCGTATCTCGTGCCAGCGCGGAGACCTGCGGAGTGACCCATTGCGACGGAGTTGTAACTTTGGAGGCGGAGTCAGCGGGAGGAGCAAGCGGGCTGGCAGCAGCAGGAGAATGGGTGTGCGTACGGGAGTGTTGTCGGGGTGTTTGAGGTTCTGCGCTGAAAGTCGCCGTCGTCCTTGTCAGTGCGGGCGGTGGTTTGGGGAGTTCAAAATCATCAGTGGCCGCCGTCGGCAAAACTAGTTTCGCCGGACTCGCTTGCGCTGCCGCACCCACTATCTTCGCCCGCGAAAAGTCCAACATCGCGAAGTCCCCGAGCTGCGACTTCTCGACAACCTCGACCCCTCCCCGACACCGACGACGCCATGGCTCCCAGGAGTTACTCCAAGACCTACAAGGTCCCGCGTCGTCCTTTCGAGTCCGCTCGTCTGTACGTTCTTCTCTCGATCGGCCACTGAGCATGAGCTTGTCCTCTGCTTACGTCGGTGAGAACCCTCGTTGATTAATACTCGCTGGATAGGGACTCTGAATTGAAGATTGTTGGCGAATATGGCCTCCGCAACAAGCGCGAGGTCTGGCGCGTCCAGCTGACCCTCTCCAAGATCCGTCGTGCTGCCCGGTAAGTTTGTGAACCACGCGCCGAATCGGGTGATCATTGGACGTGTGGAAAAAAACGAGCAAAAACTGACAAACTGTCATCATTATAGTCAGCTTCTCACCATGGACGAGAAGGACCCCAAGCGTCTCTTCGAGGGTAACGCCCTGATTCGCCGTCTCGTACGTGTCGGTGTCCTCGACGAGTCCCGCATGAAGCTCGATTACGTCCTTGCCCTCAAGGTCGAGGACTTCTTGGAGCGCCGCCTCCAGACCTGCGTCTACAAGCTCGGCCTCGCCAAGTCCATCCACCACGCCCGTGTCCTGATCAAGCAGAGGCACATCCGGTAAGCGCCCAACCACCAGCTCGGCCAGCAAACGCGCGCTCTCAGCCGCAATGCGATCCAATGGCTCGAGGAAAAAAATCAGAAGACATTCATTTCTGACAACCCCTCGCAGTGTCGGCAAGCAGATCGTCAACGTTCCTTCCTTCGTTGTCCGTCTCGACTCCCAGAAGCACATCGACTTCTCCCTCACCTCGCCCTTCGGTGGCGGACGCCCCGGCCGTGTCAGGAGAAAGAAGGCCAAGGCCGCTGAGGCCAAGGACGACGCCGGCGAGGAGGAGGACGAGGAGTAGATCTTCCTGTCATGACCGTCAGGTGCAAAAGGGTCGATTCATGGGAATGGGCGTAGGCTTTTCTGCTCCCCCGCGAAGGAGGGTTTGGCGGAGAAGTAGTTTCGAAAAATTCAAATACCATTATGCCCATGCCGTCTCGAAGCTTTGCTAAGGCTCAAGATGTGAGTTAGTTACGATCAATTAAGGTTTTCTTTTCTGCCGTCTGCTCTCCATGGGACACGCGTCACGCGTTACCGCGTTTTGACTTGTGATATCTGTTTAACGGCCTCCGCTCCGTTTATCCATCCGCATATCCACCTCTCCCCAATCCCCGCTCGCACACCCATCCACTCAAGCCCTGTAAGCTGCCACTCAAGGACGCACAAGGAGCCTCCATCACAGCAAAGATAAATACACATACTTGACCCACACACGAGCCTATCTACGTACACAACCCTCCTTCCCCCAAAAACACCACACCATGCCAAAGCATACACCAGCACACACGCTCTCCGCTCAAAAAATCTCAACACGCTCCCTACAACTGATATAATGCACGCAAGTAATACTCGATTTCGTAACTCCCGCTGCCAAGCAAGCAAGCAAGCAAAAAAGCAAATGCCGCCCTCATCCCTTCCTCTCAAGCCTTCACGCTCTTATGCCATCTGCCCTCGTCTCTCATCTCTCTCCACCAGCGAGCACCTTAAAGCACCAAAGCCGACCAACACGCAGGGCAGGGCGGGCCATAACAATCTCCACACAAGCATGTATGTACGCATGCATACGTCCATCCATCCATCCTCGATGCCATCGCGTTCTCTTTCCTCCCTTACGCCTTCCAACTCCTCCCAGGGAAGGGCAACAGCGGGACCCGCAACGCTCTGCTCACTCGCTTGCTTGCTGCCTGGCTCACGGCAGCCCGACCTCGAGGTGGAAGATATCCGCGTCCGCGCGGTCTTCTTCCTCCTCCTGCGCTGCAGCGGCAGAGGCGGCCGCAGCAGTACCAAGTCCGCCGCCAATACCGAGACCTGCGCCAGTGTTGTGCTGCTGCTGCTGTTGTTGTTGTTGTTGCTGTTGTTGCTGCTGTTGTGCCGCAGTGTCGTGCTCTTTATTACTTTCCCCGCCTTCCCCACCACCACCACCTTCATGCTCATGCCCCTGCCCATGCCCACCCTCTCCCTCACCCTCATGCTCCTCGTGCTCCCGATGCTCCGGCATAACCGGTGTCCCCGGCTGCGGTGAATCCGCGACCGGCGCCGGCACAACCAGCATATCAACGGGCTGCTCGCCGCCGAAGCCATACGTGTACCCCTCGCTCGCATGCTGGTGGAACGAGCGATCCGACTTCGAGCTATTCGATCGCGCGTGGCTGTATCGGCGAGGCGGCAGCGGCGGCGGCGCAAGGTGCTGGTCGTCTTTGCTGCTGTCGTGCTGGTGCTGCTCGTTTTGCGCGTTGGGCCGCTGTGGTAATGGTGGTGGTGGTACCGGTTTCCGCCGTGTTAAGCCTGAGAGCGGGTTTGAAGGCCACTTGCTCTCAGATTTCTGTGGGAGGGGGAGCGGTGTCCCTGGGGGAGGGAGTGGCTGGCCTCGGCCAATGGGGCGGGCTTGTGAGCCCATGCCTTCGGGTTTGTGGGCTTGATTGTGATGGTGGTTGTGGTTGTGATTCTGGTTCTGATTGTGATTGTGGTTTTGATTGTGATTTTGATGATGGCTGTGGATAGAGGATGTGTCTGCGTCGCGGGCGTGCTCGTGCGTATCGTGTGGCTCGGAGGGTGTCTCTGTTGACTCGGCGATGGAGGGACTGGGTGATGCATGGGACGAATTGTTGTGGTTGCGAGAGGCAAACCACTTCTTTGCGGCGGTTGTGGCCGAATTCAAGGACACATTTAGTGATTGTCGTCTGTCTGTGTGAGATGTTTGAGAAGCAGTTTTCGCAGACGAGGAGCCATGCGATTTGAAGTCGGAGTAACTTGACGAAGTGCTAGGGATTGAGTAAAGCGAGCTTCCGTCAAGGCTTACCAAGCCTGCCCCATTGTCTGTTATTCCCAATGGGTCCTGATCGGTTTCTTCGACTGCCCTAGATCTTTCAACATCTGGATCCTTTGGCACAGAGGTTGTTCTCTCTCTTTTCGAGGCTCCGCGAGGCCTGGTTATTGTACTCGCAGCTGAGGGAGATCCAACTGGAGATTCCGCAGGAGATACTGGTTGTGATCGCGCTGACAGGTCTTTCATTGCCGAGGCAGCATCCTGCTGGGCCTTGACTGGTGGTGACTTCGAGGCGTCTACCATCGCTGGTTCTGTACTGACGACCGGATGGGCAACTGTGGCAAAAGAACTGGACCTCATGGCTTTTGGCTTGAACGCTGGAGACCGATCCACCCCGCTTGACTTTGCATCTTCAGCACTCAATTCGGAAGAGAGGGCGGACTTGGTACTCTTCCGTGATGTAACCCCAGAAGGCGCTGCATGGGGCAGGTTAGGCATGCTCACAGTCTTCCCCCCTTCTGTCATATACATCTGTTGCGTCTCATCTCCTTCACCAGGGGTTGAAGTACCAGTGACGGGGTCTGTCTCATGTGTAGTTGGTTTCAAGGTCGCATCGGAATCTTCTTCCGGCTTTCCTTCTGTATCCCAAATACCGCCCCTAATTTCTTGGTGCCTGGTGTCATAGAAGGGTATGTCATCCCAATTGGGCATGACCAAAGTTTCAGTGATGACCTCGCGGATGCGGTTTTCGATGGCCCGTAGAATGACACCGTATGTAATCTGCCGAGAACTAACAATAGGTTCAATGGACATTTCCAACTTTGGAGGATGCTCGAAAGTCATCCACAACCGATTGCTCGGCGGCGGTTTCATCCGCAGCAGCACGTGCCCTTCCAGCTTCTTAAGGATACCCGCGAGTACCAGATTGACGTGCCGCGCCTTGAATCGCGAGCCCAGATCAATGCGAGCCACTGCTGCTATCTCGAGTCGGAAGTTTCCATTGTACTTGACATCGGCCTCCACAGTGAGATCTCCGTCAAGTGTCAGTTCTCTCAGTTTCGGGTTGACGATGAGTGGCGCGCTATCGCCCATATCGATGCGTTGGATGTTGATGCTGCTAATGAAAGGCGGCTTTGTCACGCGCGCAATCTTCTTGGTGATCTTCAAGCGAATGAAATCCTGGACGACCGAAGTCTTGTACTGGGCAAGAAAGAGCCGCCCAATCAGTGCATTGATCCATCGGGTTTGCAGATTTTCTTCAGAAGCGTGTAACTGTTGTACGAGCTTGACCATGTGTTCCGGGGTAAACTTGAGTGGTAACGATACCGGCAGTCCGGCTCTCTGCTCCTGGTTCCGGAGCAGAGCAAAGTAGAAATCCTCTTTCTCATTGCAGTTTTCGGAAAATAGATAAAGAGTGTTGAAGTCGGCCTCGGCTTCTTTGTGAGTTTGCTTGCGCATTAGCCGTATGCAGTTGCGCTTGATCCAAAGCTCTCCTTCAGCAATGGGGTCGCCGCCAGCGTACACATCCACGACGCGGTTCGCCAAGGAAATGACATGGCGCACTTCGAGCTGTTCAGAGTCGTCGAAAAGGATCAGATGGCCGTGCCTGTTCAGCGTGAGTTACAGGCAATGGCCAGGCCGAGAAACGGCGCACTAACCTGAGGACGACAAAGAAGACGTTCCGAGCCTTCTTTGCGGCCTTCGCGTTCCCCTTGACACCGCCCTCGATGCTTGGGCTTTGGGACCTGTTGCGATCGAAGAGGCTCCGGTACATGGTCTGGTATACACTAGGGCTCTCGACGCCTACCACGGTGCCAGCGGGCGTGACGCGCTCAGGCGGCTTCCCCTGTACGCCGCCGGGCACGTATTCCCTACACACGGCAAAGTATGCGGCGGCAACATCGGGCTCGTTGATGCGCGGCTTGGCGTCGGCCTGCAGCTCGCTGAGGCGACGGGCAGGCGTCGTGGCATCGTCGTCGTCGGGCGTGGGAAGCAGCGGCTCGTGGGCGTCGGCATCTGGGTCCAGGTGGCGGGTGGGAAAGGTGTAGTATGCGTGGCACAAGACGACAGCGATGCAGAGCGGGACAAAGGTCAGGCCGCCGAAGACGTAGATTAGCAGGAAATTCCCGAAGGAGAGCATTTCTGTGATAGAGTCCTGTTCGGCTCAGCCACAGCCATGGAGCGAGCCTCTGCGGTGATCAACGGTTGCGGCGTGGCGTCTGCTGCAGTAGCTAAGGGTCTAGAGGCCAAATGGCTGCTCTTGGGTCCAGGCCGCGGTGGTGTGCGCCGGCTAACGTCTCATTGCAGGCGCAGCACGGAAACGATGGGCCGTCACGGGAAGCAGCTGGAGTGTCTAGAGCCGGAGGTCGTGGTGCGCGTGGCAGAGAGGTCAGCGGCACCGCCTTCCAGAGAGCCCGCGCCACCGGCTCACCCGCCCTGCCGACCGCGCCCCGAGCCCCGCCACCCCGAGATCCCGCCCATCGCCCGCCTCCCCATCATCGACGAATCGAACCTCAGCTGTAAAGTTTGGGTTTAGGCGCGCACTTTCAAAGAGCAAGAGAGTCAATGATAGAGCTTTTGTGAGCAATACTTAGAGAAAATTATCGTATTGTGTATTGGTTGCCTAGTTCTCCTAATATCCAGGCACTGAATCTCAAAAGTTTCGCCGGGGTATGCTCTATCTACTCAATTGAACCATGAACAAAGCCATTCTTGTCTCCTCCCAGTTAGTCAACTGATCCTAACGCCTTTCTGGATTGTTTCCAACTTTGGACTTCCTGCAATTCACTGATACCATCTTGTTTACCCATTCATGAGGAATATGGGAGCCCAAGAGTACCTAATGCTCAAAAACCACCATAATCCAGGTCATCCCAGTTGCAGTCTTCAATGATGTCGGAGATATCCGTATCCAAGACAGTGAACTCTTGGAGATTCTTCAAGTCAAAGTCAAAGTTGTCCAAGGAGACGTCTGGGTTGAACTGATTGTTGTAGGGGTACATATCCCCAGACTCCAAGAAGTCCCTGGCACACTCCAGATAGTTTTCCTGGACGCTGTACTCGGGCTCGGCTTCAATGTTTCCGCCAGCATCTAAGTTGCTGTTGGTCGTGGTCGCAGAAGTAGTAGGTTGGCTGCTTGTCCCTGCAGAGTTTCCGAGTTGGCGACGGTTGTTAAGATCGACGAGTGGATATTGTGGGAATCGGACACTTGGATCCGTGAACGAGTTTGCGAGAAGATCATTGCGTGCAAAAGAGCCAATTCTCATAGCGCAACCATTTGATTGTGGATTAGGGAAGTTGTTAGTCTCCTCCGGCTCGTCGTCCGTCTGGTTCGGATTATGGCCCGCAGCCGCCGCAGCATTGGCCATTTGAGGGTTGTTGTTGACAACCTGGAAGTTCATAGGTACGGCAGCTTGAGGCGGGTTAGGAACAGCTTGGCCCGCTGGCATGGGAGCCATAGGTTGCTGGGCCTGGGGTGGCGCATTTCCACCATTGTTGTTTTGCGCAGCAACGTTGACGATGTCTGGGTCAGCGGTCGGATGAACTGCCATAGCCATGAATGGCTCGCCGTTGAAGTAGGTGTCCTCGAAGTTCTTAGGGTAGTCTGAATGGCACACCCGCATAGCCAGTTCATCGGCTGACAGACTAGTGGTGCGCAACTCCTCAGGGAAAGACGAGATATCTGGGGTGAAGCGGCGAGAGATTTTTCTCTCGCCATCGCTGAGAGAAACTTCCCAACCAAGCATCTCCATATATTGGCCTGGGCTAATTATGCCGATTTCAGGACACGCGATCTTGAAGTATCTGTCCAGGGGTGCATGGTCTTTACCGAAAGCATCGCGAAGCTTCGAGTAGGCTTTTGCAGTGATGGCCCACTTGGCTTGGAACGGGTCGTTCTGCCACATGGTGCTAACGAAGCCCGAGATTTGCTTCTGCTGAAGTGAGGTGAAGAGCGGAGAGTAATAGGCTATAGACTATTAGGTGCATGACAAATAAGTAATAAGTATGATGCCTTACCTCGAAAGGCCATCCAACCGTTAAGAGGGCGCTTTGCTTTATCCTCATGGTTGTTGCCGGTCGCATGAAGTGATTTCTTGGGTGATTTCTTTCCGGCCTTGGTCTTCTTTCCAGCTTTGCTTTTCTTTGCATCGAGGACTATCTTTCCATTCTTGACTTTACCATTGTTAACGGCTTCAATGGCTGTGAGAAGCTTTCGCTCTTGCGTGTCCTGTAGTGAAGCAGCAAGTTGGTCCCGTTGCTGCTTGTTACACGAGAGCAAGTATTGCTCTACGTGTGGCGGCAACCCAAGAGTTTCGAGGGCTGGCATCTTGTCTTTGCGAGAGCAGTGAGCGGCAGTGTAAAGAGTTCTGAAGAAAGGCTTGCGACACAACGAGGACAGGTTCCAAGGCTCCACCGAAAAGTCAAAGATAACTGTCCGGTGGTGGTTGTAGAGTGGTAGGTTTGAAGCAGAGTTTGGACAAGGACTTCTAGTACGTAAAGTGCTGGGTGGCTGTTAAGTAGAACAAAGGAAGCCAAGACCCTCTTCACTTCACTCAACTTCATTTCACATTTCTGTGTTAAGACTTCAGTTTCATTGTTTCTCGGACCAACCCATCCACTACTTTGCAACTTCAGCATGGGATTTGGCTTAAAAAATCAACAGCCAAACTTTCTGTTTGAATACAGCGGATCATAACAGTTAGTGCTGTAAATCGAATGAACAAAGCCTTGTATCAGGGGCAAGGCCACTGAAACAGCACAGGAAGAATTGGTAAATGCCCTGATCTCAGAATTCATGGCTGAAGATGCTTTGGTGGACATCTGCGAATCCAATCCAATGGGTGCAGCGAAGCGTCAGGATCAACTTATTCAGGATGGAGTATTCGATGCCAGTTTCGACCTCTCTTCTCACGGCACGGACTTCAATTTCGAGTTTGGCTTCGACACTGGATTCGATTTTGGTATCCACAACGAAACGTTTTCCCACAATTGAAGGCAAGTCTCAGACACCTTGAACTCAAGATACCAAGCTCACAGTACAAGGCACTATCTTCTGGCCTATTCTTTTCACGCTGATCATGTCGGTGTTGGGACCAGCCCGGCTCTCCCTCGTCCACGGAATTTGATAGCACTCACTTCTTAGTTCTTACTGGGGTTTATCTTTCCTTTCTTCCTTGGCTCCAATGCGGGCAGCGGTTTCAATTAATTGATGGCGATCATGCATGGCAATTGAGTATGGGATTGTCACATGGCTCAGCAAATAGTATTCTCGTGCTAAGGTAGCCCATCCATGATGCATCTGATCAACGGTGTGTCAGCTCGGAATAATTATATGGGCAATAAACTCCATGATTTATACCCACCGGGCCAACATTTGAGACGTAACTAGTGTACCTTACAGAGACACGTGTTGGTGGGAAATACCAGCTCCTTCCGGCTGGAAAGTGAAAATATACAAAAACTGCGGTGTTTGTGAAAATACTGCTTTAACGTCAAGGTAAGGATACATATGGCCGCCCTTCACGCACTTCTTATTCGATGACTCAAACTGCCAGACACCGACCTGAGAGATCGCAACCGGCGCCAATGGAGAAGTACTAGGTTGAGACTTCCACAGGAGGTAGGCAATTAGCACCTGCCTTTTCCGAAGGGGTAAGCGCCCGCCTTCAAAATGGAAAGGCCGTATCTTCTCGCTTCATCCAGATACAAACAAACCCATAACACCGCATATCTTCTCAGTACCACGCTTCAATATCACACGAACGAGCTCAAAGCATCGCGCATCTTTCCATCACTACACTTTGGGACCAGCAGTTTTCAAGTCAATCCTTCATTCAACACGGCATGCCTTTAAAAAGGTGTATTTTTAGACACCAGCCGGTTATAGACGATGAGACAGCAGCTCACCTGGAGCAACTTAATCTTTTGACTCCACCACGAAACGGCAAACGGACAATTTCAACAGACCAACTCACCTGTATCGACGTAAATCTCACTGAAGTCCCAGCACTACTCTACAGCAGGCAGACTTACGAATTTATTGGGTTCTGTCCTATGATCTCCCTAAACCTGTGGCGAGATTTCCTCTGTTTTCCTGGCTCCTTCATAGGTAAAGCCAATGCACACCTTGCCGATACCGACATAGACAACATCGCGGAAGCCTCAGCTGGTGACTGGTACAGATGCTTAGCAATCCTTGGTATCAACGATGAAACCATAGAGGAAATCATGCATCCAAAACATCTCGATTTGCGCCGGACTAGGTTTTGCAAGGACTGGGCTAATGACAAGATCGAAGCTATGTGGCTAAGCATTCAATTAGTGGGGGAAGCACTGCGACAGGAGGTTGCGTCGATGGAGACTGGAGTTAGGACACATGCTTCTAATAACTTCCCAGAGTGAGGGACTCATTGCGCTACCTCGACGCATGTAAACTATCCATTCTTTGCGGTATAGGTAGCTTAAGCACCAAATACTGTAGAGCCTTTATCACACCTCATAGATAAAAATCATGGCTGCTCTAATGATCCATTGCCTACGGCAGTGCTCTTCAGTATCTGCCTCGCTGTGTAATGAGAGACGCATCAACCCCTGGGTCCCCTGCGCTTCAAGAACTTCTGTATCAACACGCAGCGAAATTGTAGGTATTCGATTGGTAGTTCACGGTCTCGCTCATCCATCTCCGCTAAAGCGAGTAACATTGTCAGCTCGGTCTCCGCTCGTAGGTCTTGGGAAATACATACCATACGAACGATCCATAGACTCGAGGTCTTGGTAACCCAAGAGGTCCTCCGAGGTCTACCAATGTCAGCGTAAACTCCGAACAGCATAAGCGCACCACACGCCACTCACCTTGTTCCATGGCGATGGCTCGAAGATCTTCGGCTCGAAAGTCCGCAATCCATTCCGCAAGCTATGGACGTTGGTATGACCCCATTCAATGCGCTACAAGCCATCAGCCAACATCCACATTCACGAGCCACCACTCCACTTACCTGCTGCAAGAGTGTCGGCTGTCCTTCTCTCTTCTCATCCAGATCGTTGATGATAGCAACTGTCTCGTTATCCCAATCCATCAGTATCATCACCCCACCATGCGGGATGACCTGGTAGGTACTGCGGTTCGGTTGCAGCACATTTCTGTACTGAAGCAACAAGCGCTGTGCGCCGGGCGCTTCATGACCCAGGAACTGCGTCCAGCGGGGGAGGTGCGGCTTGAAGCCTGAGGGGTTCTCGGCACGCCAGGTCACCAGGTCCTCGTAGCGCTTCTCGCGGCAGAGAGCGGCGTAGGCTTGCTTCTTCTGGATGAGCTTCATCAGGTCGACGGCGATAGAGCGGATGCGCCCGAACATGTGCGCCCGGACCTCAGGGGATGCCACGACGTCGGTGTGGTTCAGCAGCTTTTCGCACTCGGCTACGAAGTCGCGGACGGCGTCCTTCGTGTTGGGGATTGTGTGGTTCTTTGACAGGCGGACGATGTAGTCGTAGCGGATCCATTCGAGGTCCAGCATAATACAGTCGAGATGCTCAGCTGAGCCCTGAAGTAGCTTCGGAAGGATTTCTGTGTGTATACGTCAGTGTCGTTTCAAAGGATGGTCAGTGGGGACCTTACTCTCACTTGGCCTCCATGAGTTCTGTCGCTGCCTGATGAGCTGGTTCACAGTCGGCTTAATCTGTATGAAGGGGTGTTGAGGACGCCACCAGCGGTTCGTCGGCATGTTGGCCATCTTGCCAAAAGCTCAAAGTATTGGAGCTAAGAGCTCAGCTACGATCGCAGTTGGGAAGTTGATGCCACAGTCGAGGGATCGTAGCTGAGAAGTAAATGTCGCAGTCGAGCTTGGGCTGGAGAGGCGGAGATGGCATTAACAATGTGAAGTAAACATACCTTTCACGCAACATTAGCCCTACCTAACCGCATATAGTAACCCTATATCATAGATGCGACCTGCTCCGCCAAGCCCCGCTCGTAGCCACCTCTCCCGCCGCCTCCAGTTCAAACACACGTCTCCAACGTCCCATAGATAAACATAACCGCCTTGATGCACGAAGATGCACACATACCTGCGCTGCTCCGCCCAGGCAAAGTGGCGAAGCTGGCCGTGTCTTGCACCAACAGCACAACACCGACAAATAAAACGATGTTTCAGGAACATGAGGTCCTCTACTGGTGCGTGGGAAGTCAACAGATCACGAAGAATCTCTAAAGAGAAAGACACTCCAAAAATAGGAACGAGGAAGCCCAAAGCAAAGTCTCTGGGAACAGCGTTGGAAAACGAGTTTTAAGATGTCTTTGAACTTAAACAATGTAGTGGCTCACGAACCCATCTCTTGTGAATAATTGTCAAGGAACCCGGCTGTACTGGATATGCTGGAGTTAGTAGCAGCAACTACATAATGGCTCGAGGCTACGGGGGTGATGATAGTAATACAGGCCTGCAAAGCGTAAAAATAGGATATTCGAACAGTGAATAATTGCTCACCCGTTGCTGTTGCCCTGTCCACCCCTCATCCATAAACAGAACCTGCTATACCAACCGATTGTCCAGTAACTTTACGAAAACAATAAGACACAAAAGAGCACGAGAATATCTTACAAGAATAGGAAGACAAAATCTCCGAAAATTCAACAAAACTTAAAAATCAAGAATATAAAAACAAAATGCACGAATACAAGGACAACCCATAACAGCACGATAAAAGCAACTACAGCTACAAATACACTATCACGTCAAACCAAGAAAACCTTCCCCCCCCAAAAATAGCACACAAACTGCCCTCATAGACGATAGATCCCCTTACCCACAGCCACGAATGCCCCAACCCCCTCAAAACTCAAAATACCAGAAAAGAAAAACCAAATAACCAGACAACCACCAGCACCAGCAACAATCCCACGAAAAAGGCTTCCAGTCCCCCACCCCAATCCCAACACCAGGCCCACCCGCACTCCCAACTTCTCCGCCCCAGCGCCCCCTCTGAAAGCCATGCCACTGCTCAGACGCAGCTGTGCGAGCCACGGAGCGGGCCCTGCCGTTACATGTGGTGGTTTCGGCATGCTGCGCGAGACAGGAGATGAGATGGACGCTGCGGTGCGGTGTCTGTCTTTTTCTTTTTCTTTTTCTGGCGAGGACTCAGGTTGAGGATGAGTTGGGTGCTCTAGGACGCCAGATGCTGGGGTCTGCGTCGGTGTGTGTGTGTGGTCGATGCCTCCCTTACACACACGTGCACGGTGCCGCGTGAGAGGAATACCGGGCCGTCCTCAGCCGGATTTGCGCTGAGGCGTTTCGCGTGGCTGTGGCCTTCTAGTGGTGGATTGCTGCGGTGGTGAGTTCCTGGAGGCCGTGAGCTCACCCCAACCCCAGATGCCAAAAGATGGATTGAGTATGTATGTGTGTATGTATCCTCCATGCTATTTCCGCTGTCGCTCCCGTTCATGCAAGCAAGCCAATCGGCTGTCATATCTACCTGCCATGCCAGAAACAGCGCACAGCAATCTCCACCCACTAGGTACCTACACACCATGCCCAGCAAGCGTACTGTGCCTAACCCATCGCCGCGACCAGCGCGTACAATTCTTCAAGCGCATAATGCGCACAGCCAGTAACCTCGCCCTGCCAACGTGCCTGTCGTGAAACCATATCGAGTACCACGGCGCCGGACTCCACAAGCACAAACCACCGCATACCGCAGGTCAAGCACCCGTCCCACCATTCCAGTCGCTCGCCCAAATGAATGTTCGGCACCGCCACTCCGTGTTTTTCTCCTTGTTGCCACTGGGGCCCACAGGCCTAGAAAGCGCACGAAAAGTCAGCATCGACAGCGCCACACAAAACGATCTTATCCTCGCAACCGCAATCTACAACCCGAGAAAGAACTCCGCGACATACCTCGAGCACATCCAAAACGCTCTCCCGCAATTGATGCCGGGTTTCTTCGTCGTGAGGCTGATGCACGGCTCCTCGTGGCCTTCGCACCGCGGAGGCGCGCGCTTTGTGAAAAGCTTCGACCAGGACTCTTTCGAGACAATGGGGTCGATTATCTCGGGGCTTTTGTCGCGCTCGCCTGGGAACTTATCAGACCTTACAGTTGACGGACTTCGTGTCGCTCTCTGACCCACTGTTTCTTTTGGTGCAAGGGTGGTATCGGGGCGTTTCTGCTCTGAGGTGGATGGAGATCGTGTTCCGACGCTGCCGTCAACGGAGGACCCATTGACTGCAGCGGAAAGATTCGAAGCTCGGCTCTGTTGCGACAATGTTGTAGTCGGTGGTTGTGAGTTCTGGGCGTCTGTGCTGTGATTCTGCTCAGGCGGTGCGCTCGTCTTGGGTTTGAAGAACCCTGTTAACATCTGCTGTCCTTTCACTGGAGCCTTGGGAGCAGACGCAGGTGCAAACATCTTGCTACGCTTGGCTGTCTTCGTGTTTATCGGGCCACTTGCGGGTCTCTTTGTCTTTGGGCTTACCTGGCCTTGTGAGCCGTTGCCGTTAGGTTCGACTTGCGATTGAGATCCGCTATTCAGCTCCTGAGATGATGATGATGCTGAACTTTCTTGCGAAGGCTGCAGTTCCTGCGAACTTGGTTTCACTGTGCTGGCTTCTGTGCGTGGACTGCCGCTAGTGGTCGGGGAATTCTTAGTAGAGGATGGGTTCTTGAACATGTCTTTTATGTTTCTCCTTTTGCTGAATTCTGGCAAGAGTTTCCCGCAGAATGCAGGACAGCCTTTTCCATCATAGCTCCGAAGCCTCTTTCCGTTCTCGAACATCCCGGGCGGGTTCATGATATCAAGCAAAGCAATCTCTTGACCATTGTTCAACACTTTGTCTTTCAGTGTGGCGTAGACGGGACAATGGTCAGAGCCCTGGGCTGGTCAGTGGCTAGGCTTGACGCTTCAAATGCATGCAACTCACCATTAACCCTTCTTGAATATTGGCCTCGCTTATCCAGTCTTTCATGGTGATGCTGCAGAGCACATAGTCGATCCGCGACCCAAAGTTTCCGGGTCTGGCATTGATCTTCTGCTCCCAATGAGTGTACATTCCCGTCCGCTTTGGGTGAAGGCCTCTGCACGTGTCCCATAGCACAGGCTCTTCTCTTCCCTCATCACGAGGCTCCACCACCTCGCCGTCTTTCAACAACTGGTTGAAAACTCGCCGATTGGGAAACGAGATGTATTCGGCATGTGCGACACCTTCTTTCTTCATCATCTCATCTGCTCTCGCAGTGTCTATCTCCGCACGGGAAACGTTGAGATCTCCGGTCAAAATAACCCGCTTTCCCAAAGCAGTGAGGTTCCTGATTCGGGTTTCAAGCGCAACCAAGAAGCCATAACGAAAATCATCTCGTAATCCAGAACTGTTTGCTGGGCTGTAGACACCGAAAATGACGAAAGCCGGAAATTCTAGGACCACACAACGTCCCTCTGCGTCGAGCATGCCTGGGTCAACCTCGATCTTTTCCAGCTGCTCTTCGGTTGGATATCCGCCTATGTGTTGATCGGCTGGAAGGTCACAGTATGGGATTGAAGAATTGGGCGGGCATAAAACACCGAGAATGCCTTCCTCTGCACGGATTGGCGCGCACACGGACTGGCGAGTGTAAATTGCGACACCCGAATAGCCTAAGGCCTTGTGAGCTTCAGTTGCGTCACCGTATAGACGCGTTATTTTGAATTGTGAACTGTTTGATTGCGCAAGTGACAAAACCCACCTTTTTTGTGTTTAGGCAAGCTGAAGTAGCAGTCCCAGCCCGGCACCAGCACCATGTCGTCTCGCAGATCTTTGCGTTGGATTTTTAGTTCCTGCATCACAACGATGTCTGCTTCGAGAATGTCGAACATGGCGTCGAAAGTGCGCTTGTCGCACCATGGATGATAGCCAAATGGGTTGCGAATGCCGTTCACATTCCAGGTGGTTATGCGCAACGGCATGGTGAAGGTGGCGGACTGGAGCAGTAGTAGACGCAGTGGTGATGCTTCAAGCCATGAGACCGAAAAAGAGAGAAAGACGATGGCACAGTGGCGAGCTTGCGCGACAGCAGACAGAGAAACAGAGAGAGCTCCGAGAAGCTCCAATCTCACAGCCAGTGAGAAGAGGCGCGATGTCGTCAGGGCGCGCCAAGCGCTGGCCGGAAGATGCCGGGGGCGCCGGGGTTGTGGGCTGACGGAACATCGAACCTCACCCACGCAACTCGACGTACCTGCACAAACCCCCCCAGCCCCGACCACACTCTCCACTCAACCCACCCGCAACAATGCTTCCCCAGCGCACCCTCGCCCGCTCCGCGCAGCTGCTGCGCGCCCCGGCCACCCGCTCCGCCCTCCGCCGCCCCTACTCCACCCAGGGCGCTGGCGAGTCCGGCTTCCAGGGCGCCGCCGACAATGCCTTCAACCGCGAGCGCGCTGCCGTGAAGCAGCACGCCGCCGAGACCAGCGGTACGTGCGATCTCAATTGGATGAGGGGCGGGTCGCGACAAGGAATTTTGGTCGGAGTTGGAGTTTGAGCTCCGGAAGAGAGAAAAGAGAAGAGAGGGACAGAGAAAGGGCATTTTTGCTTGCAGTTTTAGCTGAACCATCGCTGATTTGATCGTGCATTGCAGACCTCTGGCGCAAGCTCTCCATCTAGTGAGTCCTACCCCAGCTTCCCTCGAGCACGCCAGCAACAGCCCAATCGCGGCCTAGAAAGAAGCACTAGGAGCTTGGGCTCCGGGGCCGCGCTATCCTGCGCTAGTTGCAAGCATGTCTAGCAGCTCGCGCAGTACAGTTTTGCGCAGACAGCTTCCCCTCCGCGCGCGCACACACACACAAACAGTAAACTGGCACAGGCGCCTCCGGCTAACCCAACACCCCTCTGCAGCGTCGTCGTCCCTTGCCTTGCCATCGCTTCCGCCAACGCCTACAGGCTCTACTACGAGCACGAGGAGCACGAGAAGCACCTCCCCCCTCGCGAGGAGCGCCCCGAGTACCCCTACCAGAACATCCGCACCAAGAACTTCTTCTGGGGCGACGGTGACAAGGTACGTTTGAGTTCACAGCAACCCCGCTCGTCCCGGCAGAATTTTGCCCTGCTCGAGCCTCTGAGCCGGGCGAAGCCGGGCGAAGAGCCGTCTGTTCTGACCCTCCTGCTGCCGCTGCCGTCTGAACGGCGCCTCGCGCGTGCGAACGTGCCCTCGGATCCCCAGAGACGGCGGCGGCGGCGGCGGCGGTGGTGCGTGCACGATAGTTATGCAGATGCTGACGCCGTCTGCGCTTATAGACCGCTTTCTGGAACGACAACCACAACTACCACAAGAAGGACTAAGCAGCAGCAGCAGCAGCAGCAGCAGCAGCCGTCACCGCGTCAAGGATGCTGTGATGCCGCTGAGCGCAGCCCCGAGATAACTCACGTTGTACATACCTGCCGTGCTAGTAGTTATTTCCACCCAGAAAGTGTGCCATTCGCCTTTTTTTGTTGTTGTTCTCCCTCTCTCTGGGTGTGTGCTTTGCTTTGCATTGAATTGCATGGTGAGATTGTACCTAGCGAGCGACGCGCCAGTGTAGAGGCAGTCTCGACAGCGCGCAAAACCGTGCCAGCAGCCAGCCAGCCAGCCCAGCCCAGCCATCCCCACCGCAACTCCCAAAAGCGCAACCCGATTTTCGTTCGTTCGAGAGCGTACCTACACCGCACCCACAGCAGGGGACCTGCGTCCCGACCTGCACAACCCAACACAACAGCTTCCGCGCACCGTGCCCCACCGCCCGTTATGCCGCCGCTAACAAATAACGCCCACGCCCCGCTCCCCCGCCTCGTCAACCACCTTCGCACTCTCTGTCGCTGCTTTCGCCGCGCCTGCTTCGTCGCCCCGCAGTTTGCCCAGCAGCGCCTTTTTCGCGAGCGTCTCGCTCTCGCCGCGGACGTCTTCGATCTGGTGGAAGCCTGCGCGGGGTGTGTTGTCAGTAGGGTGATGGCTTAAGAGGGAAACGCGACAACGGGGTTGGGGATGTGGTGATGGTGATTCCGGGTGGTGGTGGTGGTGGTGTGCAGTGTGCTGTGCGCAGTACTCACATTGCCCCGCCTTGTCGAGGAACAAGTCCGCCTGCACGATTTCAGCCTCGTAGCTGCTTCCGCTCGCCATGGCGTGCCCGCCCAGCCCGACGTGCGCGTCCGCTTGCACGGCGTAGAGTTTAGCGCAGAGCTGCTTGTCGCCTGCCTCGAGTACCTGTGCGAGAACAGCGTCAGCATTGTCTTCTAAATAGCAAACGCCGCAGAACGCGATCTCCTCTCAACCCCGGGTCGAGGTTCAGGAGTCAAGACGTCTTGTCTTTGGACAATTCATGTAGCGAGACGCAAGCTTACCTGCGGAATAATGGCATCCGCCAGCCTTGACGCGGCTGCAAACTCGCCCAACGCGACCAGCGTCTCCGCAATTACGCACACGGCCTCCCACAGCGCGGGCCAGAGCCTTGCGCGGTGCGCAGCACTAGCCGCGCGCATGGCGACGCTGAAGCCCTTTTCTGGCTCGCCGGTGCGGCAGAACAGCATCGCTTTCATGGTGAGCAGGTGGATGCGCTGGTACAGGTCTGCGTCCTCGGCTTTCAGCTCGGCCAATAGGTCTTCGATGCGCTGTAAGGCGGCGCTGTAGCATCCGTTGCGGATTTGTTGGTGGATGGAGAGCGTTGCGAGCTGGAAGAGGATTTCGGGGTCTGAGGGGCTGAAGGATTGAAGTTGGCGGATGAAGTGCGCTGCTGTGTCGGTGTCGGATCTGTGTTTTGCGGAGTTAGCTTTGGTTAAAGGATTGAATTATTGAAAAAGGCTTTCAAGGGCCTCTGGGCCGCCAATCCTGTAAGCAAGCCCTTGAGATAGGAGATTTTTGGGTTTGCTCACTCCCCTAGGCATGTGCAGGGGGCAAAAAGAAAGACAGTATGAATTGGTGTTACCTTCTCAATGCACGCTTCGCCCTCAATAAGGCCGAGTTGTTCACAACGTATTGATGGAACTTTAGTGTACGATGATCTGCAGTCTTCACGGACTCAAGTATTTTAAGTGCCTCTGAATAAGAGCCTGACTGTGAACTCTTCGGGAAGTCAGCAATATCCAAGAATGACAGACAGTTCCACGTACGATAAATGCGGTATGGCAGATTGACCGGAGTATATCATCTACGGGACAGACGGATCCGTAACACACCCGAAGCACATCACAGTATGTGTTCGAGAGGTGAGTCATGCCTATGGTGAACTGTCTCAGTAATTTGTACAATGGAAGAGAAAATTCAATATCCATACCCAGACGTCCGTACATAGAAGCTTGCATGAGCATCTGCGCGCCTTGATTGCTCGTAAGGCAATGAGTTATGTTGAGATGCGAGCATTGGAAAATTTGTTCAAAGGCTCGGGGTACAGGGCCACCCTTCAAATACATTTTAGTTATACGGAACGAGTAGAGAAATGAACAAGAAACTTACATTGGATAGAAGCATCTTTGCTTCACTCAGTAATGTCGCACTCAAAAGGCTCCACATCTTGGTTTCTTTAGCCTTGGACTTCAAGAACGCAAGTCCATCACGCTCGGTCCCTAACATCCCTCCATACCCGGAAGCTTTTATCTGCTTCGGATAGGCCTTGGAGAGGTGATTGAGCCAACTCAGACTAAAGTTCAAGCAGCTCATATCTTGGTTCTCTCGAGCGGTCGCTATCGTCTCATTCATGGCTGCAATTGCCTCGCTAAAGCAACCGAAATCGGCCTGAAGTATGGCCATGTGAAGGAGTGCATACTGGTAATAAGTCTTGTCTCGCGTTTGCATTGTGTAGTCGAAGTAGCGGTGGAGGTGATCAAAGGAAGATGTGTAATCCCCTGCCCTCCAAGCATCGAAGAATCTGCTGCAGTTAGCGTTGAGGCTCAAAGAAATTCAGCAATATTCAGCAACAAACCTGACGAAATGTGCAAGACTCGGGGTGGTACTCGTTGGGCCAAGCATTTGGCGTAACCCTTCTTTCATATCATCTGGCACGCGATTGCCGAATCCTATGGGATTGTGAGATGGTGTTATGCATCCACTATTTGGTCAATACATACTTTGCAACTGATCAATTTGAAAGGCCAACAGTCTTTCAATCTCGTCGGTACTGGCTAATGCGTCGGTCTTTTTGTCTCTCGCCAAATGTCCATAGGCTGCTTCGAAGAGATCATCTCCACGAATTGCATCAAGGTTTGGAAGGTTGGCATCAAAGACTGGGTTCTCAGGATCCTCAGTCTGCTCCAAGCCTGACGCGGCCGTTGGCTGTCTGTAGTTGATAAAAGCTGACCACAGTTTGCTCGCATCGTAAAATTGGAGACGAGTAAATTCAAGCTGCGCGCGTCGAATGAACATGCCTAAGGGAGATGTCCGAGACAAATATATGCGACGCTTACCCGAAGGTTCGGCTTCAGGTCCAGTTGCGCCTTGACCTGGCTTGGCCAAAAGGTCGCTCAGGCCATCGAAGAACTCATGCAGAGCGTCGAGGGAGTCAATGGACCACAACCGCTCTAGAAAGAGGTCGAGTAGAGTCTGGTCTGGGCTGATGGAAGCCACTGAAGCGAGAGCATTCTCAAAGTCATGAATTGAGACGACACCATTATTGGAGTTCTCAGAATCAGAGAGAGCGAAATGTGGAAGAGAAGGAGGAATGATTTGAGCAGTGATGAAAGAAAGGATTGGCAGTGTTGCCGAGACAGGCAACACCGAGTCGCAATACAAACTGGACAGAACCAGAAGGCTGATCTTCTGCGGATTTAGGTAACGAGCCATACTGGAAGTTGAGAGGGCGTTCTCGTCAAAACGGTAGCTTCCTATGACCTATGTGCAGCCAGCTCTGGACTCTGCTGCTAGTCACCGCTCCATGTCGGGAATCAGGTGCTGAGTTGATCGCGTCGGCAGCTGAGCGAGAACACACGGGCTCCATGGGTAAACTGCGGCCTGTTCACCATCGTCACAACTCACAACAACAGTCAACTGCGCATCAACTTATTAACATTCTGCTTGAATACAGTGAGCCTCCGCCTTTTGGCCCAGCGACCGGCGCGCGAAATTGCGGCAACGAAAGTTATCGCCCCGGCCCGAAGGCCCTAGACAAGGCACTGCTATGCTACGCCAAACGCCATCCTTAGACACAATACCTTAGATTGAAATCTTCTCGGAGCCCTTTGGCTCGCCGGCTTCTTGCACCGGCTTCTTGGAAAAGTCCTCCGAGCGCGCGTCTTCTTTGATATCCTCTTCCGACAAACCATTGGTGGCCCACACTCTGCTGATGCATAGCTCGAACGGTCCCGGAACCCGGTCCGTCAAGCTAATACCCACCGTGCGCACTCTTTGCTTGAGGATCTCCCTCTGCGGCTCCACCACAATGCCGTGATTTGTGCGCACAAAGTCGCCCCAGCTGATGAGAACAGTCTCCCACTCACCCGACTTGCGCGAGTAGAGGCGATGCTGGTGCAGGTCTGTCGGGACAACCGACTCCGTCTGGACATTGACAAAGTATTTACGGCCGTCAGACTTGATGCGCAGCGCCAGATATTTGTACGGGTCTACGTCCCACAGGGACTTGCCAAACATGGTCGGAGGCCTGTCCAGGGTTCTCCAGCCGGCGTAGCCAGTCCGCTGAATGTGAGGCTTGTCCTGAGGAAGGTCGATGGAGATGTTGCCGTGGAAGCGCGCGTGAGGAGGATCAGTCGCGTCGCCGGGAACAAAGTCGAGCTTGGCGTTGGAGAAGGCGCCAATGTCCTTGTCGGACATGGCCTTGCACATTTCAATGGACGAGGGCTCGGAGAAATTGATGAGAGGGAAGGGCGCGCTGGGAGTACCGAGGCCCTCGAGCTTGAGAGCTGCAGCACAAGCCATTAGCGAGGCGCCGGCGACGGGCAGCTTGATGGTGGGAGCATGCCTGTGGTGGAGCGGCGCTTGAGTTCATCCATACTGCGCTTCAAAAAGCCCGGGCGGGCCATTACAGCCGGCGTGCAGCGCATGGTTGTGACGGCAGCTGAGGGAGGTTGAGCAGAGCAGCAGCAGCGTGGCGCCGGCAAGCGGAGGTGCCTGGATGGTCGAGATCGGCCGCGGCGCATGACGCACGGCTTCTTCCGCTAGGAATTTCGAGCTCTCCGTCATGAAATGCTCTTTTGCCATCACGAAAATCCCCCCGCCCGCAACACTCTCTGCCTCTACTGAACATCGCCCCCGCTCTCGTCTTTTTCCACAAGATACCCTCCCTCCACGCGCACAAGCAAAAGTTGTTCACGCGCAACCCTCGCTCGCATCCAAATTATCATCACCTCACCCATTTCACGCACCGCATAGCTATCGTATATGACATTACCCACGGTTCACGAGACTCGACAACTTCGAGCAGACACTCCATCTTTTCAGCAATCTCCACTACCGCAATCGCGCGAGACTGGTGAATTCGTCCCGCAGGATGTGCCTGTCGGCTCGCAGGTAGCGGCCAAGGCGACACCTTTTGCCAAGTCATGGGCTCATTTTGTCGCCGGAGCGTATGTTACCTTGCTAGTTGCCGTTATTGACTTCATGCTGACTGTATTTTCTTCTTAGGCTGGGTGGAACGGCGGCCGCCACGCTCACCGCGCCTTTTGATGTCCTAAAAACGCGTCTCCAGTCAGACTATTACCACAAGCAATTGCTGGCCTCACGCGCAGCACGCGGAATTCCGTGTCCATCGTCGATGTCTTTCACGCGGAGTACGCTTCTGCATTTCCGCGAAACTTTCCAAATACTGTTCGCCATCCCACGCAACGAAGGTTACCGCGCGCTTTTTAAGGGCCTGGGTCCGAACTTGGTTGGCGTGGTTCCTGCGCGCGCGATCAACTTTTATACGTATGGCAATGGCAAGCGTGTCATCAGTACTTATCTCAACAACGGACAAGAGGGCGCATGGGTCCATCTTTGCGCAGCGGCTTGCGCCGGCATTGTTACAGGAACGGCCACCAACCCCATCTGGTTGGTCAAGACCAGGTTACAACTGGACAAGTCCCACGCAAGCGAGGTTGGCGGTAGGCAGTACAAGAACGCTCTGGACTGCACTTTGCAAGTCGTCCGTAAAGAAGGCATCAAGGGTCTCTACAAGGGTCTTAGCGCGAGCTACCTTGGTGTGACTGAGAGCACTCTGCAATGGGTACTTTACGAGCAGATGAAGATGAGCTTGGCTGCAAGGCAGGAGAGACTTGATATTTCCGGCCGCCAACACACTTTCTGGGACAAGGTCGTCTCATGGACCGGTGGTCTCGGTGCTGCGGGTAGTGCCAAGTTTATTGCCACTATCCTCACTTACCCTCATGAGGTGCGTAGTTCTCTTTCTCAAATCTGTTGAGCAATTACTTACGATTTTATAGGTTTTGAGGACCCGTTTACGTCTGGCGCCTACGGAGAACGGACGGCCTAGATACACCGGTCTCGTCCAATGCTTCCGCCTGGTCGCCAAGGAGGAAGGACTTGTCGGCTTGTACGGAGGCCTTACTCCTCACCTGCTTCGTACCGTGCCCAGTGCGGCAATCATGTTCGGAACATACGAGACTCTGCTGAAGTTCTTCGGAACCACGTCGAAAGTTTGAAAACGTCCAATCCAGGACTGATAAAAAACCGCCAAGGAGTCGGGTCGATCGGATTCCCGCCGACCCAGTGTTCCTGTAAAATATTTCAAGAGACGCATTTGGTGTCGGTTGTACAGGAATGGCGTTGTCAGGTATTTGCTATGGTATACTCGTCTCAACTCCACGTTGCATAAAGGGAAGGAAAAGTGTTTTCAGAGCAAGATGCTCGTTCTTTAGAGGCGTTGTGGATGCCGTCTGTCCACGCGCCCCAAGCCTGTTGCCGAAGCAGAAGGGCAAGATTGGCGTTTGTATAACAGCGGAGCGTTGGGACTGGCCGAACTATTTGTAAAACCGCCCATGACACCGCGATAGGTGCTGTAGAATAGAAACAGATGTTATAACTTATAGAGCGCCGGTATCCGTCGTTCTTAGACCAAACAGCAATGGTAACACCACGAATCAATGGAAAGTTTTTATGTTATGACGCGGCAATGCTTGACGGAAGCCTCATTTCAATGAAAACAACAGGGCGTTGACTGGTGATCAACCAAGCGCGGTTAAAATCGGTGCTTAAAAGATCGGCTAGCCCGTTTGCGTATCGTGGCGTAGTTGGTACTTGACCACACGCGGCGCTGCCAACTTTCCCACCACCATCGCGAGCATCACCAACCATCGAGTGCATAATCGGACAATCGAGAAGCACCACAGCCCCATCGTATGTATGCTCGGTCGACCATAAGGCGCCCCGACTGACCAGACCTCGCAGGAAAATTCTCCCGCAGCCCGCACATGACCTGGAACCATAAGCGGGTTCCGGAATCGGCAAGCAAAATGGCAACGCAGCAGCGCGAAGTTGTAGAGACGGATTTGCAGGGCAGCCTCAAGCTCGTGGCGAGGGGCAAGGTCCGCGATGTCTATGAGATTGATGAGAACTCGTTGCTCTTTGTCGCGACGGACCGCATCAGCGCGTACGATGTGATTATGAAGAATGTAGGTTTTTTCAATTCATTGACTGAGTCATCTGGATTCATTTTATGCTGTCTTTGCTTTGTTTTCCATCTCTCGCAGATAGCATTGCTATGGTTTCTTCACGTAAATGGGACATACTGGTCCATTGATTTCCCCACCTCCATCGTTTTCCTCAGTCCAACAACACCCATGTCTTTTCCACTTCATCTTTTTCTTTTCCAACCACTAACTCCCACCAGGGCATCCCTCAAAAAGGCGCCCTCCTGACCTCCCTCTCGGAGCACTGGTTCAACTACCTGTCCTCCCAAATCCCCACGCTGTCGACGCACTTCCTGTCGTCCAAGCTGCCGGACAGCCTCCTCACAAAGGTCAACGCGACCGAGGCGGCGCAGCTGCAGGGCCGCAGCATGCAGGTGCGGCGCCTGCAGATCTTCCCCATCGAAGCCATTGTGCGCGGCTACATCACCGGCTCCGCGTGGAAGGAGTACTGCGAGCACGGCACTGTGCACGGCACCAAGATGCCCGCCGGCCTGCAGGAGTCGCAGAAGCTGCCCGAGCCCATCTTCACGCCCAGCACCAAGGCCGAGGTTGGCGGCAAGGACGAGAATATCTCCAAGGAGAAGGGTGAGTGCTTACATGAAGCTCTGCTCCGTCTTTCCTATCAAGTTTTCTGTTTTGCTGACACGCTGTCCCCGCCCCAGCCGCTGAGATTGTCGGCCAAGACGCCATCAAGAAGATCGAGCAACTGAGTCTCGACCTCTACAACAAGGTGCGCAGCCCCTCTCCCCTCTGTTCCCCCACTCAAAAACCCCATCTAACAACCCTGCCCTCGCAGGCCGCCGAGCACGCCCTCAAGACGGGCATCATCATCGCCGACACCAAATTCGAATTCGGCTTCGATCCCACCGACCCCAGCACCGTGATCCTGGTCGACGAGGTCCTCACCCCGGACAGCAGCCGCTTCTGGCCCGCGGACAAGTACGGCGTCGGACGGGGCCAGGACAGCTTCGACAAGCAGGTACGTACACGCTGTATCCCTCCTCTCTCCCCACACCCACTCCACCCACCTATCCCCCTTTTCCGGTTTTCCAGACTAACGAACCAACCCCCCGCACGCAGTTCCTCCGCGACTGGCTCACGCGCGAAGGCCTCAAGGGCCAAGAGGGCGTCGCCATGCCTGCCGACATCGTCGCCCGCACGCACGAAAAGTACGTCGAGGCGTTCGAGCGCGTCACTGGCCGCAAGTGGGGCGCTGGTGCTGCGTGAGCGTCTCTCTGTTCCCCTCGCTTGTCTATGGATGAGAGGAAGATGAAGGACAAACGGGTTTTATATAGCTGCTTACCTATATCAAATACATAAACCAAGACCGCTACGACGTTGAAACTGGGTAACCTGTACATTCGGCCCCGAAAAGAGCGGTAGATCATAGCTGTACGTGTTTCGACTGTCCGTACCGTCCGCCCAGCAAGACAGAAACCGACCCGACACAAGCAAGCAGCCCTACAGCGTCCTCCCTATCCAGCTGACGGCCCAAACCCCGCATAAGAGCGAATAAGTCTCAACGCGCACGCATACCGTAACCACCCAACCCGATTTCTGCGTCTCCTCCGTACAAGCGCTATTGTCGCGCTAGGCAGCGAATCGTGCTGGATGGTGACGGGCGTTGAACGCTCGCGTCGGGCTGCGTGTGGTGTGCTTGATGGCGTGCGCCGTCTTGTATTGTGCGGCGAGGCGTGCGGGCGCCTCCCGATCCTTCGCCGCTCTATCAATCTATCTGTCTATCCCATCCGTTTGTCTGTTTTTGCAATCTGATCTTCGTTCGCCCGTCCGTTGGTGCAATGCCCCACACAACCCTTTCCCCTACTCTGTTCTTTCCTCTCCTCCCCCTCCCTTCTCTCTCCTTTCTCTCTCCTTTCCCTCTTTTGCTTTCCTCAAATCTCCTCCACCCATCCCAAAACCCAACCCAACCCAACCCTAAACCCAACCCAACCCTAAACCCAACCCAACACCCTACACAAAGCGGACGTCCTTCCCGCCGGCCTCCACGCTCACCGGCTCAACACCACCGGCATACGCGCCACCGACACCGCGCTCCCCAGCCACAGACGCCGCATCGGGATCCGCATCCGCAGCCCTCGGGGCCGGCTTATCGAGCGCGGTGAAACGACTGCCTGTGTACCTCGCACGGGCATACAGGACGCTAAGCCTCAGGCCCAGCGCCGCAAGGCCGAACAGCAGCCCCCCGACGGGCGCAGCAACAAACGCGCCAAACGCGCCCCAGTCATCGGCGTAGAGGCCGTTCTCCAGTAGGATGAGCTTGGCGCCCGCGAGCGCGCTGCCGTAGTATATAGTGCCGAAGACGAAGACGGCGAGGATGCCGCCGAGGCCGCCAACCACGACTTCGAAGCCCTGCCAGAAATGTAGTTTATCCCAAAGCCCGAGGACGAGGACAGGGACCAGGCTCGCCGATACCAGGTCCGAGATGAGGTAGATTTGCAGGACGCTGGGGCTCTTGAGCGCGACGACGACGACGGGCACCATGACGAGCACGACGGCGGCCCGGATGTACCACAGCCCGAGCTTGTTGCGGAACAGGTCGTTGGAGCCCGAGCTCACCATTGCGGATTGCACGGAGTCGAAGGCGGAGGTCGACAGCGCGACGACCATCACGAGCACGATGCCCACGACCCACGCGGGCAGCTGCTCGAGCAACAGGAAGAAGGAGATGCTGCCCTCGGCGGCGGGGTCGGAGAGCACGCCCGGCGCCCACGCGGCCAGCAGCCCCGTGCTGCCGACTAGGACGAGGATGGCCGTCACCACGACCGTGGCGATCGATGTTCCGATCTTGAGGTCCCGGTCCGTGCGCGACGCGAAGGTGCGCAGCCAGAAGCCGGAGAGGAAGAAGTCGTTGGTCAGGACCGCGACGGGCAGGATGTAGATGAGCTGCCAGCCGAGGAGGCTCGAGTCCAGCAGCCCCGAGGATGCGATCATGCTGCGGTCGATTTTGGTCTCCACGCCCACGGTGATGACGCCGATGATGATGAGCCCGAGCACCATGGCGCCTTGGATGTTGTCCGTGATGAAGGAGACGCGGAAGCCGCCAAGGGCTGGTGCGGGGGTGAGATGTTAGTTTCATGGGTGTGGGGATGCGGCGGGAACGGAGGGGTTGCTTACAGGTGTAGATGGTCGTGATGACGCATTCGACGATGACGGCGGGCAGGCCGTCCAGACCCGTCAGGGCGGTGATGATCTGCTGGAGAGCCGAGAGCTCCGCAACCATGTACAGGAAAAGCGTGATGAGGCTGTACGTACACATCAGATGTCAGCCAGGCCGTCCCCAAGATACCAACGCCTCGCAGCACGCAGCAACTCACGTCATCAAGCTCAGATACAGCGCCGTAACGGTGCCATAGCGGGCTCTGGTCCACTCGGTCAAGACGAAGCCCTCAGGGCACTTGCGGCGAATGACGGGCCCGAGCCAGCCAAACACCAGCAGCGGCAAGCCCGACGACAGCGAGTAGACGACCAGGCCCTGCACGCCAGCAATAGTTGAGATCTCGGGGTAGGTGAACAGGATTCCGGAACCGAGGGCTGTGGGCCAGCGAAAATGCGGGACCTCTGGTCAGTGAAACTGCTACACAAGGGGGAAGGGGGAGGGGGTTTCTGTAGTGGATAGCGGCAGCACTTCCTCACGCAAGTATTATCTTGATCGAGTTGTTACGGTACATCTCAGCTTTGTCGGCATCGCGCCGGCCATCTCCCCGCACTGTCTGTCTGCCTGCGTGGGAGCAGAGCGAGTGCGGGGTTGGATGGCCGGCTGTATGCGTGACTCGGCGCCCGTAGTGAAGCCGCACAGGGCGGCTGCGCTGGCTGGCGCTGCATCATCTCGTCTCTCTCCTCTTCCCCCTCCTCCTCATCATCATCATCGCCATCCGCGTGCCAAAGGCAGCAAAGACGACGACGACAACGACTCAGAAAAGAAAGAGAAGAAAGGCGAAGAAAACACAGCAGACCAGCGCAGCCGCCGCTGCGAGAAACCGATCATAATACGAACCTGACGATGAGAGAGATGACGCGTCTCTGTCGAGAACGCAATCAAACAAGAGTTTCCAAGCCTTCGCGCCGCAGCATCAGCGGTTTTTCGCGGTGCTGCGGCGCGCTCGATAATACTGTTGCACTATGCGCTGCTGCTGCTGCTGCCGAATCCAACTCCGAGACCGGAGCCACTGTTGCGTGCGCATGTGCACTCACCCGAAGCTATGAAGTTCAGGGCGAGAGGAATTGCTGCACGTCGCGAAAAGACGGGAACGTCAGCTTCCGAAAATAATCTTGACAGGGGGAGAGGAGGAGGGAGGGGACTGCGAGCGGCGGAGGAGGAAATGGCGATGGTGTCGTTGCTTTTCTTTTTGCGGGGAAATAGGCAGAGGCAAGAGAGAGAGAGCGAGAGAGAGAGAGCGAGAGAGCAAGAGCAAAAGAAATCTCGCCACCACCGCCACCGCAGCAGCAGCTCAGCGCGTGTATGCTAACCCTTCTGCGTCCTGTTACTAGACAGATAATCCGACCTTGTCTGCCTGCGCAGCTTCCAAGCCACGAACAAGCCGGTAGCGCTGTAGGTATCTCATTAGCTACCGCGCCTAACCACGACAACAAAAACACAAATGCCCCCATCGCCAGGCGCGAAAAATCCTGCGCTAGGCTGGGACTGGGAGGGAGGCTTGTGTATATGTACGCACAGAAACGCCCCGTAGGTGAGGTAGATGACGGCATTCGAGGCCGCAAACGAGGGCGCGCCCATACTGTAGCTGATCTAGGCGACAACGTATGTATGTACGTATGAGGGATGCGTGTAAGTGAGAAGTTGCGACGACAATTCCCAGCCGGGGCGCACGGCGGATTTTAACGATTGCGCGCGCGGTGTCGGCCCGCCTCGATCAGCAGCTCCAGGCTCCTGCTCGGGCAACATGCGTGCGTGCTCGTCGCGCCACCATGCGTCTGATCGCTGCTAGCCCGCTTCCGGCCCGCTTTCTCGATTCCTCGAACCACCTCCGCCGAGCCTCCGCCACGCCTCGCCTGGCTACCTAGGTACAAATATCTCGCTCGCCTACTAGTAGAGTAGCCAGCTAGGCCGCTGAATCCTTCGTCTGTCCTGCAAGGCGGTGACGCGTAGGTTGCCATCTAGGTTGTCATCTTCTGCTTTTTACCCGCTCTTGTCACGTTACGTCGCACGCTCGTCAGTCAGTCGAGAGCGCAAGCAAGCAATTGCTAGGTACAAGCAAATCTTGATTTCCCCTGTTTACCGAGTACATCTCTAAAGCTAAAGCTGCTCTACTGCTTCATCTGCCCGTGTCCCCATCGAGTCCCTCTTGAAATTCTTGAGCTGTGCGATTAATTGTGACCCCCCCGGTTGAAGCAGTCAAACGAAACCCCGATCCAGAAAAAAACAGATTCCATCCGATCCTACATACCCCAGAACCCGTGTGTTGTGGTGAACATTATTAGACAGCAGAGCAATATCAATGAAAGAAAGAAAATAGATATGCTTGAATCGAAAAACGCCCGCACACAGATTCCCAGTGCTGAGAGAAATTGAGCAAAGTAGCGAGAGAGCTGGTCATGAGACGTGGTGGAAGTAGATACGTGCAGAGTAATCACTCGTAGCAAGTGTCGAGAGCCTGTGGATTTGCTTCGCGCATGCGGTCGTACCATGCATGGTATCCGCATTAGGCTTCTCTAGGACATGAAGGAGTTCCCGTCGGAAGCGAAGGACGAAGGATCCATCACTGGGAGATGAGTGGGAGTGGTTGGGTACTGAGCTCCACCAATGGCAGCGGTGTATGGAAAGGCGTAGTATCCAAAGGGACCGGTGCTCGCAGGAGTATAGCTGATGATACTCTTGTCCACTAAGATGTTATCGTAGTAGTTGGGCGGGGCATGATATCCAAGACCGTTGCCGAGGATTCCTTGGTTGGATCCAACAGCATACGCGTCGGCAGGAGCAAACTGAAAGCCACGGTTTCCGACACCGCCGAACTTGGGGTTGAAGCCGCTGTCCTTGTTGTTGTATCCATTGTACGAGATGGGAGGGACATGCGGATAAGCTTTGCGCGCAAACTGAACGCGGACCATGCGCCCGTTGAGGAGGCGGAGATTTTGGTGCTTGCCAAATGTCAGTGATATCAGCATAAGTGAAGAAATTCGGGCATACCGTCAGGAAAGCGGCGAGGTACGAGGCACGAGGGTTGTAGTAATGAATGCAAGCGTAGCTCGAATTCCCTACACCGGAAGGTTAGTATACGTAGTATTCGGAGAACCCGGGGCGATGAACTTACTAGTGCTAAGCGCCGATAAAGCGCGTATGCGCAGATCTATATGCGCAATCTCACGTCCCGGGCCTCCAAAAACTCTAGCCAACTCTGCTTTTGTTACTGTTTCCGGAAGATCGCCGACCCATACTGCCAAGTTGTCGTCCCTCAGCGGGTTGTACACAGGTGCCGTGCATCTTTCATTTGGAGAGCGACAAATGGACCGCTTGTCGAAAACCCAAGTCTGATCCTTCGGCATCTGGTGTGACTCAACATGGTATCCTGGAATGCGCCTAAGAAGCTTTTAGAGTATTAGCGTGTTTCTTCAGTCAACAATCGTCCTTGACTTACTGTAACCGCCTCCACAGCATCCTGGTAGTAAGCAAAACGAACGAAGACACCGGGTGGAAGGCGATGGATTTCACGATCCGTCTCTGAAGGGATCCACATCTTTTCGAGCTCGCCGCTTTTCTCCAAGAGGCGCGCAACCTCCTCCTCGGTTGGCTGCGTTCCGTCGCGACGGGACACATAGACGCATCCTAGGCAAACAATAATGTCAGTCATGGTCAAGCGCAAGGGAGAACAGGGTATACATACGCGGAGCCTTTGCGCGCTCGGTCCTGCATGGACGGCCAAGGATGTAGAGCTTTGAGCCTTCTTCCAGAGCAGTGGTAGCATCGCCAGTGCTGTGATACTGGACAAAGGCAATCGGCATGCCACGGTCACGCTTCAGCTTCACGTGGCATTCGCCAAACTTGGAGAAGGCGTCAAGCATAGCTCGGGAGAGCTCTTCATCGGCTCTGGTGTTTGGGAGACTGCGGGAAACGTCAGCACTGTCCAAATCTCAATCGAACGGTGGTAATGGAGACTTACTTGGCCACAAAGATGCAACACTCCGGCTTGTAGTGAGATTGGGCATTGTCTTCGGTAACCATTTGGCCTTTGCGATCCTGACGAGGACTGTACGTCGGGCGCCTCTGACTGACAACGACGGTGCCATTCGAGTTCAGCTTCTCGTACGAATCCCTAGGACTGTTGTGTGGAGTTGTGGCATGGAAAGCGGCATTGGCTGCAAACAGATGGCTCTGATCGTCAAGGGATCTCTGAACGACGGGGGCGCCACGGGCTACATGTTCATCAGCATCGTTGAAATTAGACATCGAAGCACAGTACTTACCGCCTGCATGGTGTGGGACTGTCTCGTCAACCATGTCCGTCAAGACTGGTGGACTGGAGCTAGAAGCGGTGAGGGTTGGAGCTCTGTCACGAACAGGTCTGACATGGTCTTTGCCTCCGGCACTGTGTCTGAAGTCGTAGCTCGGTGCCTTAGTAGGCACATTGCCAAGGCTGGAGGGACTAGTCGACGCTTCGGTCACGGCAGGAGCTTGGTGGAGATCAAATAGACCTGCTAATAGTGTCAGTTTTGTCCAACAAATACTTTGGTTCGAGTGAAATAGCCATGGACCAAGGCGTGCAACACAAACAAGTCCATGGAGGTGATGACGGGCCAGCATGTAATGGGACTCAAGAACATGAAGAGAAATGTGCAGGTAATGAGTGAAGGAATCACATCGACGGGCATTTAAGAAGGGACAAGGGAGAGGCAATGAAATATCAGCTTACCGAACATGGGCGTTGCAGGAGTACTGGTATGTTCGACGTCAGTGGCACCGCGGGTACTGGCCGGAGACGTGGGCACGTCGCTTTGGGTGAAGACGGCCACACTCGAATCATTGCCAGAGTCAGATGGAGAGGTCAACTCTTGAAGTTCGCATGACTGCGCAGGTGCGTGAGGCGCCGCCAGCGGCGGAGTCATTGGATTCATCTTGAAGCCGCTTTGCGATGTTGGGAGCGTGGTGAAGATGATGGGTGGAGCCAGGCGTGTTAACCAGCGCCAGAGGCAAAATATGATGGTGAAAAGCGTGCTAATTGAGCTTGTGCTGTGAAGAAATGTGAGGGATAGAAAGGTCGAGCTGATGATTACAGAACGGGGGAAATGTTGAAGGAGAGGAAAGGCGAGGAAAAGGGTGAAGATGGGACGGGGATGGCAGCCTTAAGTAGTAGACGCGTGCGACCCACGCGCCGCCGAGACTCGTGCCTTCCCAAAATGCTTCAGACCCCGTGGGCAAACGCGTGGGCGCTCGAGGGGACTCAGGTTGAGAAGGCGCGCGACCCTGCCACGCTCACCGACATGCCCGCGCCTGCCAAAATGGAAGGGGCAGTCGCGCCCAGCAGCTCGATTGCTGTGATGACTGTGAGATGACTTGGATTTGGGCCAGACGGCTAGACAACGAGGGCACTGCCTAGAATTTTCCTAGACCAAGCCCGTTGTTCATCGTCCAGTTGACTTACGTAGATTTTGACTGCACTCGCGCTGCAACACCGCAGCTCTATAGCTCTTTCTTTGCCCGCACGCTCGATCCCTCTCCAAAGCATCCCAGAAAGTACAGCGACCTCACAGCAAACAAGCCCGCCGTCACAGCAATGTTACCCCAAGCCACTGCCGTCCAGCTGCCTACGTCCGCAACCCCATCCCACCCCATCGCCCATGCCGTCACGGCAATATGGCCGATGTCGCCAAGCCACAGAGCAGCCAGATACGCCTTGACGGTCTTGAGCTCGTCGGTGGTGTTGAGGATGAAGAGTCCCAGGAACCCGAGCAGAAGATAGGCATTGCCGAGCTGAAGAGCTAGCACATGCTCGCTGGGGAGGAGATCGTGCGCTTCTTCTGGAGACGTAGCGACTTGAGAGGATACAAAGAATGCTGGAGCAAGGAAGGGGCCCAAGAAACCTCCGAGGCTGCTGCCGTATTAGAGGAGAGAAAGACAAGAAATTAGGAATTACTGACAGTGAGATGGGCTCAAAGATAGTGAAGACAAAACGAGGAAATAAAGGTAGAGAGGATGCCATTTTTGCTGCACCACGGTGTGGTTGATTTAGTCATGTCCATTGTTGTCGCCAGTATTATGGGCATGGTCAGACCTACAGCAGATGCCAATTGTCGATCGGACAGCAATCAAATCAAACTACAATGAGATATGACCGAGAACTGTGAAACAGGAATGTCAACGCTACTGTAAAACGATTGTTCTGGCTATATATAGAGCTGTAGGTGTGCTGGTGACCATCGGAAGGTTGGCCAAACCCGATACTTTGCTCTCCGAAAGCCTCAATCGCAGCGACTTACGTATATTCAAGGTGGGTTGAAGTCAAGATTTGATGAGCTCGTGAGTGGATGTCCGGGCGATACGATGACGGGATCGCACAGATAGAAACTGGCAGAAGCTCGGCGGGATCGCCGTCCTTGCCCCTCATGACACCTGCCAGCCAGGCTAACATACAGGCCCACCACCGACTCTTCCCTTCTTCCCTGCTCCCAAATTCTGCCAGCGCATGCCTTCGTCTGCCCGCGCACACAATTGACCTTGTCACTCTCGACGCCTCCAGCCTGTGTATCTTCGACATCGCCCAGCCCCTCACACCACCGCCCTTCTCCACAAACCCACCCCCGCCCCGCCTACGACGCTCGCCCTGCTCGGCCGCCCTACCGCCGCCGCCGCCGCCTCACTCGCCCATCCACGACACCCTTCGCTGCGACTGCCCTTGCGGCCTTGAGATAGGCTCTCCGACATCGCCTCTGCGCCTGCCCGAAGCGATCCGAGGCTTCTGCCCAACGATACCGTCTACGACAACCTCATCCATATACTTCACCCTCGCACACCCGGCACAATGCAGTCGCTCCCTGAGACCCGCGCCCAGACGTACGAGGAGCTGTACGGGCCGCCCGAGAACTTCCTGGAGATTGAGGTAGGCACAGCACCAGCAGGCGCGGCGGCGCAACCCCCGATCACGCACCCATCAGCACTGCCCCGCAACAGCGCGCCGCGCCACGCAGCCCAACGAAGCACCACTCCGAAGCAAGCAAACGCACTTGCAAACAAGCAGCAAAACCCCCCACTGACACACGCGCGCGCACAGGTCCGCAACCCGCAAACGCACGGCGTGGGCCGCGGCATGTATACGACGTACGAGATCAACATGAAGACGAACATACCGGCATTCAAGCTCAAGCACTCGACGGTGCGGCGCCGCTACTCGGACTTCGAGGCCTTCCGCGACATCCTGGAGCGCGAGTCGGCGCGCGTCACCATCCCCCCGCTGCCGGGCAAGGTCTTTACCAACCGCTTCTCCGACGACGTCATCGAGCATCGCCGCGAGGGCCTGCAGCGCTTCTTGCAGATAGTTGTTGGCCACCCGTTGCTGCAGACGGGCTCGAAGGTCTTGGCTGCTTTTGTGCAGGGTGAGTTGTCACACACACATACTTTCTCCCTCCTCTCCGTTTCGACCATATTCCCCTCCCTCTTCTCCGCATCCATCCCCTTCACAAAGTCCCACTCGCTAACTCCCGTCCCCCACGCGCACACAGACCCCAACTGGGACCGCAACCAATGGTAAAAACCCCGCCCGCACGCACCCAGGAACTCAATCACCGGTGTGGGGAGAAAGAGATGAAGGGAGGAAGGGAAGACGAACGGACAGACAGACAAACAGACGAGCCTCCTCGTCTCTCGAGAAATACCGCGTGGGCGCCGCTTCTTCTCTGATATGTATGCTGCAAGATACCCTTATTACTAGTTGGCTGCTCGCGGGAGGGAGGTATGATGGATGGGAGGTGAGCGGTGGAGGAAGGAGAAAGGAGGAAGTAGGAAGTAGGACGGAGAGAAAAGCAAGGAAAAGCAAGGAATAGGGAATAGGGAGGAAGGCACCAGGAAGGTTGGCGACGGACGGACAGACGGACGGAAGTGTAAACCAGAACGGAAGTGCCTGCTGGATTGAGAGCGCGAGCGCGAAAGAGCGAGAGCGAAAGTGAGAAGGCGACAGAAGTTGTTGTTGAACACGATTCAGATGCGGAAATGACAGATTCATACATTCACATTCAAATTCACACATGCATGGCCATTCGCATACCCGCATACCCGCATACTCGCATACCTATACCTAGGACATTTGCACGCACGCACGTACATAAACGCATTCAGTTCATATACTCTACACAAACAGCACCTAGACCCCTCCTTCCCCTCCCCCCTCTCCCCCACCCCCACCCCCATCCCCACCCCACCCCCCCAAAACCAAACCCCTCCAAAACAGGCCCCTCAAGATCCCCACAAGCGGCACGCCGCGCCACGTCCCGCGCGCGACATGCAGCTGCAGCAGCAGCGCGAACAGGCTCGCCGTGCTCGAGACCCAGAAGGCGCGCACGGCGGCGCGCGTCTCGCGGCGGATGTTGACGTGGCGGTGGGCGAGGTGGTAGAGGAACGTTAGCGTCTGTTGCGGGGGAGCGAGCGTTAGCGAGCTTGTGTGCGATGGCGATGGTGGTGTGGGAGGGTGGTGTAGGAGAGGGAGTTTGTGGCAGCACTCAACTCACACTGGCAATGCAGATCCAGGCCGGCAGCAACAAGCGGGCGTCGCGCGTGGCGCCCGAGAGGTGCAGCCACCAGGACGTGGTGTAGACGTTTGTGATGCTGAGGGTGAAGAGGCGCACGAGCGTCGCCGAGGGCGTGTAGTTCAGGAGCCTGATGGGGTGGGGAGGGGGTGGGTTAGTTTGATTGTTTTTGTTTGCGTGTTTGGGGGTTTGTGTTGTGGGGGAGTGTGTGTTTGGTTGTGGGAGTATGGAGGTGGGTGAATGTGGAGATCGGGGAGGAGTGACTTACCAGCGCGACATGAGGCAGTCGGCAAAGTAGAAGGAGAGGTAGCCCGACGCCGTGCACTGCAAAACGGGGAGCGTTAGCGGGATGGCTCGTCCAGTTGCGCGCTGCGCTGTGCTGCGCTATCCATCTATCCATCCATCCATCCATCGTCATGGCTGCTTCCAGCAACACCCCAAGAACAGGATAGGACACACTCACCCAAAGCATGGCCAAAACCACCTCCGTAAGCGCCAGCCCGTCCTCCAGCTCGCCCAATTCACCCCCACTACCACTACCAGCAACACCCCCTCCCGCTCCCGCTCCCCCTCCCCCACCCATCCACGCCCGCCAAACCAACCACCCGCACCGTCCCCACCACCACACCGGCGGCCCCGTCGCCAGCGCCCGACACAGCAGCAGCGGGACATGCCATCTTTCCTTGACGCCCAACAAGACCGCGACCTGCGGGTGCAGCGCGCCTCTTGCCTCTGGGCGCTCTGCGTCCGCCTCTTTCTTCTCTTGCTGCTGCTGCGCTTGCAACTGCGACTGCGACTGTGTCTGCGCCTGCATCTGCTGCATCATAGGGTGGTTTGCGCGGCGCTCGGCCGTCGCTGCTGCCGCGGCCGCTATGGACACGGACGTCGAGCGCGAGCGCGACGTCCCTGTCGCCGAGAGCGCGAAGACGCCGTCTGGGGGGAGGGAGTTGGAGGGGAGGGAGCGCTGGCGCTGGCGCTGCTGGTGGCGCGGGTACTGGCGCTGCTGTTGGTGTTGCTGGGGGTGCTGGTGCTGATGGCGGCGCCGCCCCAAAAGCGCAGGCGACGCTGCTGCAGCCGGCGGAGAAGAAGGCGGCGGCGGCGGCGCGCAGTCCTCGGCAGCTGCGACCTCAGCGTAACAAGGCGGCGGGGACGAGGGCGGCGGGAAATGCGACAGCGACAGCGGCAGCGCGGGCGCCGAGGCCGCGATGCCGTTCAGGGCCGGGCGCGCGAACTGTGGTGGTGTTGGCGGGAGCGGGTGCTGGCCCTGCGGCGGCTGTGGCCGACTGTTTTTTTTATGCTGCGACGTCATGGCATGCGATGGGTACCTAGGCCCGTACCTTGGGCAGGCGGGGAGGTGGGTAGGTAGGGACGTCTTTCCGCGGGCGTGCGCGCGCGTGTGTCTAGGCACCTAGGTAGCTGCCTCGTGCAGGCAATTGGCCTAGTAGCGGTTTTCTGCGGTATGCTAGACCTCTCTTTTAGGCCCCTTGCGGACGGGACGGTGCTGCGGCGAATGGGAGGTGGTAAACAGAAGCAGCAGCCAGCTCTTTGCACGTCATTGAAGGATCGGCGCTAGCTAGGTAGTCTCCCAAGAGCAACGGCGTACGAGCGTCGAGGCAGTCGAGAGAAAGTCGAGGCAGCAATAGACAGGAGTCGAAGCAGCAGCAGCCAAGAGCCAACCCAGCAACAAGCAGCCAAACGCGCGAGATATAACTCCCAACCCAAGCGGGGGTCGAAGGAGAGGAAAACAAAAACAAAACAAAAAACGAACAAGCCCCAAACCCGCAGGGTCCACGGTCCACGGGCAGCGGAACGGGAATGCACGTACAGTACGTACGTCGCGGACGCAAGCGTCGTCGACAAGCGTCGTAAGCACAAGAGAGCTGTTTCAGACAGGGCAGGACGGCTCCGTGCCAGACGCCGGCCGGACACTCGTACGGTGCTGTGCAGTGCCGTGCAGTGCGTGCGTTGTGCGAGCTCGGATAGGTGGGTATGTAGGCACGAGTTCCCTGGCCTAGCCTACTCGTGCGTGCGTGCAGTGCGTGCAATGCAATGCGAGCAGAAGGCAGACTCGCAGGCAGACTCGCAGGCGGAGGCGGAGACACGGCCGAGATACGTACGTACGTACCTAGGTATGTAGCGGGATGGTTGTTTGCGGCTTGCGGCAAGGGGGGAGACGGATGGATGTGCAATGTGCAATAATGAGCATTCCCGTCGCCTTTCCCCGGGTTTTGCGCCGCGCTGGTGCTGCCTGTAGGGCTTAGCGCCAGGGTCTTGCCGTGCCGCTGCAGATCGGGGCAGGGTGGAGGGGAGAGGAGAGAGAGGGCTAGGGGGCTAGCAAGATCTCGCGAGCCGTTATGTATACGGTAGTGTTACGCCCGTCACCGTGAAGTGAGGTTTGTCGTCTTGCGGGGTGGTGATGCTTCTATATACGGAGGGGACGAAGAGACCTAGTTCAGATATGCAAAGCCTGTTCACCCATGCCCAGGGCTCGGACTGGCAGCTAGCTAAGGAGGGCTCCGTAGGGACTGCTTCTGGCGTGCCCCGTCTTGTTAGACGGTGCATCTCGGGTCGCGGTGACGGGCGTTAGTGGAGTGTGCCTAGTGTCTATGTATGTATCCCCGTCTACTGTACAGTGGCTTTTTTGTTTGATACGGAAGCAATTACCGTAAGGACCTTCACTGCGCCTCGATCTTATCGATGCTCGTCTCGTTCACCAGCCCCCACACGCGCCACGGCTCCTCCTTGGCCATCCACATCCGCCGCTGCAGCACCACGTACTCCTTCAAGTTCTTGGCCTCGAGCTCCCTGACCTCGGCGCTAACCTCGCCCTTGTCATCCACGGGCATGGGCTTGCCCGCCCGATCCACCAGCGTTTCCTTGCCGGTGCGGTCCTTGCGCGCGTACGCCCGCACCAGGCTCTGCCGCGACTTGATGCGCACTACCACCTGGCGCAGCCCGCACGGCTTGTCCTTTGGCACCCCCGGCACCGGCACTTTGACCGCGCAGTCCGACACAATCCGCACCTTGGGCGTGCCGTGCAGCGTCCATGTTATGCGCTCGTTGGGGGAGCGCGCGGCGATGCGCTTGCTGAACGAGTCGAGGAGGCCGTCGGTACAGATGCGGGAGAGCGTGTGCACGTCGCCTCTGGTGCGCGCCGCGGTGTCAGATTCCGGCTCGCTTGCTTGCTAGCTGAATGGGTGTGGGTGTGGATGGGGTCAATTGACTTACTCCGCAAATGCGCTGTACATCTCCTTGAGCAGCCCCGAGCCCAGGGCCGGGACTTGTCGCCTCGAGAGCTGCGGCCTAGGCTTCCCGGACCGCGAGAAGAACTTCCACACGACAAGACTGCGCGCGGCATCGTCAGCTCCAATCTCAAGTCCACCACCAAGCTCCCCCAGTATCCCTCCCAATCCCCCACCCCAGCACCTACCTCAGCGTATTCTGGAACTTGCTCTTCACCCACGCCTTCTCGACCGCAAACCTCGCCTTCGCATCGAACAACCCGGGAAGATTCGCGCCCGTCGGCCTCACAAACGTTCCTGTTCTCACATGAATTAGCCCAATTCACGCAATCCAATCTTCACAACCCCAATTCCCCAATCCAACCCCAATCCCCAACGCCCCAACCCCCCAATCGCTCTTTCAAAAAAAAGCGTCACAACAAAACCCAAACAAAAACAAAAAGACACACACGCACCAGGCAACAACCCCATATCATTCGGCACCGACATCATCTGGCCCTTCTGCTGCGTGCGAAAACTCGGCGTCGACGGCCGCTTCTGCATCTGCTCCATAGCGCGCGCCGTCGGGTCTATGTCTGCGGCCGCGGCACGGGTCGCGGCGAAGGTGCGCGACTGCTGCGACGGCAGGAGCTGCTGCGAGAGCAATTGCTGCGATGGCCGCAGCTGCTGGTACCCCGCGGCCCGCGGGCGGAACGCAAGACGTGCCGCCATTGTCGTCGACTGTTTGTTGTCGTCGGCGTCGACGTAGTCGGCCTCGTAGTCGTAGTCGGAGGAGAAGGCGCGAGAAACGGCAGGAGCGGCTGCCTAAGCCAATGGCGGAGGAGAAAGCTGGAGCTAGGAGGAGGCGGCGGCGCGGGTGGGCGGACGGCCGGCGGTCGTGGTCCTGGTCGTGGTCGCGAGAGCTTCAATTGCCCTGCTGCTGCGTGGTGCCGATGATGGCAGAAAAGTTCCCGGCACGGACCCGCGCTCGCCGAATGCTCCGACTGCCCGACTGGCGGCGTGTCACGTGCGGACGGCATGACGTGCGTGCGTGCGTGCGTGCGAGGTGCGAATGAATGACGTGGTTGTGATTGGTCAATGGCTCGTGGTGAGGTTTTGTGAGGAGTACGGGCACGTCTACCTAGGTTGGTTTTATTTAAGGGGATGGGTAGTAAGGCAGAAAGTCCTCAGAAAAAAATACGATTCGGGTTTTTGTACATATTCACATATTCAAGCAATCCGCCTCATTCCCCCTCTCCCCCACACCGCGAAACATAGTCCCTCAGCCCCATCAAGCCCAACCAAACCGCCTCCTCGCAGCGAATCGTCCTGCTCCCCTGATCCGGCACCAGATTGACCCACGCATCGAACATGTCGCCGACATTCGCGCCCGTGACGCCCTTCTCCCTAAGCTCTGGATCCGCATTCGCCGCGACCTCCAGCCCCGCCACGCCGCCAAACACCAACAGCAGGTGCTCGAACCTGTCGGGCAAGCGGGGCGTGCCGTCCCCATCCTCGTCCTCGCCCTTTTTCTTCCGCGGCGCCAGTATCTGCGCAAGCGTCGTCCCGCGCTCGCTCGTCCCCACGCTGAGATCGTAGCCCCCGTCAAAGGGGCACTCGGTGAAGACGGCGCTGAGGCTGTCCGCCTGCCGCGTCTGGTAGCCCCAGAAATAGCCCGCCTCCTCGCGCGGCGCGGCAGGGCCCACGGCTGAGGCTTCCAGCTCCTCGTATGCGCCTGGATCCTCGGTGGCCGCGAACTTGAGCGTCACGCGTGTGTGCGCTGGGATTGTGGCGCTGATGGGGACGGGGTAGGGCAGCCCCGCTTCCACGTATGTCGTTGGTGCTGGGGCGCCGGCGGTCGTGTCGGCCGCGTTGGCTTGCCCTTTTTTGCTCTTCTTCTTTTTCGACGACGACGATGATTGCGGCGTCGGCGGTGCGTGGTTGTTGTACCCGCCGTACTCGGCCGCGTCCAGGACCACGCCCTCGCGGTACTGGCACCACTCGTCGGCGCGCAAGTGGTGCGGCATATCCAAGCTAGGCAGCGTGCCAGCGGTGCGCAGGTTCGGGTGCAGCGGGAAGAGCACCTTGCGCAGATTGGGTGGGGTCTCAAGGTAGGACAGGACATGGTAGATGAAGTTGTCCGGGTCGGAGAAGCCCGTGTAGCCCGTCTCGGCGTCGTTGTAGTGGCGGTAGTTATCGCGGCGGCCCTTGTCGTGCCGTTGGCTCTGCCCGTCGTTGAAAATGACGATCTCGTCGACGCTGAACACGGCTGCGGCGCGCGCGATGGCGCCCGCCATGGCGGTCTTGAGGTCGTGCGATTGCGCGCTTGCCGTGCTGTCAGCAGAGACATTGCAGGAACTGCGTTTGTTTCAAAGAGCCGTGTTTCGGGAGCTTACTTTGCTATGATGCTGCCCGGAAGCGCGATGCTCAGGGTATGCGACCTCCCGCGCCTGGGCTTGTAGACGGCCGTCGGCTTCGTCGTGTCTGCGCCATCGCTGCTGGCCGGCGCGGGGTCTTGGTGGAGGACGACATTGGCGCGCTTGCGCTTCTATGCAGGGCGTCAGTAGGAGTCGCGGCAGGGCGTCGGACGAGGCGTACCTTTGAGTTAGTGTGCGAAGCCATTGCTCGCTGTCTCTGCGCCGCGCGACGTCAGAAAATGTTGCGTCCAGCCCTGCCGCTGCACGGCCCCGGATCAGCACAGGATCCCAGCGCATGGGATTGCGGCTAGCCAGGCACTCCAGGCAACAACGCCGACTTCTTGTGTCTCTGATTTCTACATTCCCTCTCCATACTCTTTTGTACCTGCAAACATGTCTTCTGGTCAAGAACAAAAGACGTACGTGAGCAACGGCGAGGTGGTTGCTAGGTATGTACAATAATCTGGGAACCCGCCGGCGGTCTGACCGTTCTCCGCAGACCCCCTGCCTCGGTGCAGATCAAGCGCTATGCCGACGACATCATCGTCTTCCTCGTCCTCTACTTCACCACTCTCTTCTCGGTGAGCTGCATCCGAGATTGCGAGATACGCGCGGTATCTAATCAATCGGCAGATGGACTCGTACGCTGCTGCGGCCAACTCGCCCTTCAGCAGGCGCAGGGAAGACCGCGCGTGGTCCGGGAGCGCGAGAGCCGTCTCGTCTGCCCCCGCGCCCGGCTTGCCGCCAAACGGCCGCTACAACGGCGCGTACAGGATGGCTCGGGAAGGGCATCTGGGGGGTGGTGGCGGCGGCGCTCCGATGCCAGGTCCTGGCTCCTGTCGGAGCTGCTGCGCGACGTCACTTTGATAATTGCTCGAACCGTCCGTGTTGTACTCTTATGGACTTGCGATAAGGCATCATCATCTCATAAGGCGGTCAATGTCACTTGACGGTGCCGGATGTTAGTCAATGTATCGAGATTGAGATAGGAAGAATACAGAGGTCGTAGGACGCATTGGCGCATAGATGTCCAGAACAGGTTTGCATGACGAGCCGGGTCCGCATGGCAGCAGAAGACTAACTGAGCGCAGGCAAGGCGGTTCTATACGAGGTGGCACTCGGGCTGCATCTTGTTGTTGCACCACCCGCTACCGTGGTTCGCTCGACCTCGAGCTCTATGATCAGATAGCCACTACCGCATTTCCACGCCTTACCACCTTCCACCTCGCACGCTTGGCTCGCCGCGGCAATGGCCTTCTCGAATTAGCTCGCCAAAGTATCGCGCAGACTTCACCACGACCGAACTCAAGCCCACACTCTCTTTCTCTTTCTGCGCAAACTCTTTATTCCTCCACGGCAAACGGAGCCCCGAAAATGTCTAATATAATGGCAACCTCCCCGCACATGCAGTCGCTGGCTCTGGCGCGTCTCCAACGAGCCCAAGCCCGCCTCCAAGACCTACATTCAGACTACTCGACCGAGCCGTCCTCCTCACTTGAGCTCTCGCGCTCGCCCAGCCGTGCCACCAGCTCCGTCAAGCGCACCCTCTCAAGCGCCGTCAGCAGAATGAGCGCCGCGACGAGCATCTCCTCGGCCGACCCTGACCAAGCATGCTCACGCGCCGCCGCTGCCGCCGCCGCCGCCGCCGTCGCGCATGAGGAAGAGGAACGGCCCGAGCCGGACCCCCGCGCTAAGGAAGGCATGAAGCTGCTGCGCTCCGCACAAGACCGGCTCCGCGACCGCTGCAGCTTCGAATACGACGACGTCGTCGACAGCCGCAAGCAGCCCATCACGGCCATGCACGACGGGACGACACAGCAGCAACAGCAGCCGCAGTCGCAGCCCCGTCCGCCCGCCCTAGCCACAACACTCGACGCCACCTTCGACGAGCCGTACACCGCGGCGCCGGACTTTGTGTTCGGCCCCTTCGCCGACGAGGCCAAGCAGCACGGGCAGCACCACCAGCACGACTCCTCGTACCAGATTTTCCCACGGCCATCGGCGCTGCTCGCGCAGGCAGCGGCACCACCGCCCTCCCCCTCGGCCGACTCCGCCGACCCGCGCGATGCGGACCGGGCGCTTGCGCGCGCGCGTGCCCTCGCTCGCGGCACGTTCCGGATGCTCGTCGAGGAGGCGAAGACGGAGCCCCGCTTGAAGCCCATCCTGTACGCGTACCGGGACCGGGTGATGCGCGGGCGGGAGATGTGGCGGCCCGAGGACTTTGACGAGATATTAGACCGGGCCGAGGAGGTGATTTGGGGGCTGGTGTGCTGAGACTTGAGAGGGCTGCTGGTGGTGCTGAGTGAGTGATGGTTACGGTATCTGGGATGGCGTTTTATGGGCTGGATGGATGGATGGGCTTTGGGGGTTTTTCGTTTTGCTGCCATTAGGTTGCGATCCTGGCGCGGAGGGACGGGTTAGAGTAGGGAGAGGAGGGGGGTTATTGTTGCTATTCTTCAGTGCTAGCTATGTATGTATGTATACCTAGGTTACTCTTGGTCGGGCGGGCGGTTACACCAGCCTCGACTAGGCCTGGCTAGCGGGCTCGACGGACGCGTGCAGCGGGCAGCGTGTGCGGCGTTGCGCATCTATAGCTTATTCTGCTTCTTCTTTTTCTTCTTCTTCCATGGCAAATAGACAATCAAGCATACACACTCACTCTCGGGAACCCAGAACTCATACTCGCACACGCAAACTCAGAAGCTTCCATACCTACCTGCGTCGAACACGCAGCTGCCCGGCTTCCCGGTTGCATCCCCCAACGACCCGTTGCAAAAGCAAAAACGGCCGATGGGTCTGATGTGATGGAACAGATACATAGTTGAACGGGCCCGTGGATCGCAGACACTGGCTCGTTTCCTTTTCCGTTTCGCAGCACGCGTTATGCCACGCCGTGTTTTGCCGTACTCGGTATCGAATACATTATCTCCGCAGTAGCACCTTGATTGCTGCGCCTACTGTAGTACCTCGCGCTTCGACACCTCCCACCCCTCAGTGCTTCGATGTTTTGGCCTTTTGACCTTTTGACCCTCAACCAACCTCAGGCCGCTGTCGCTTGCTTGTTACTTGTTATTTGCGTGCAAGACGAGCTAGGTCGCTCACTCACTCACTCCCTCCCTCTCCCCAGCGCAGCGCAGCCCTCACACGACCCCAAGGAATCAACCACCATCACCACCACCATGATCGCAGCCAACCAGCCAGCCAAGTGGTTTCAGCACCAGCCCCCCGGGCCCCGGCTCTCACGGCCGGAAGCAAGGTTTAGCCACTCCTCGTACAATAAGGTTTGCGCGCAGCGGGGTTTAAGGTTGCGCGCACGTTTTGCGCTGGGCTGGGCTTGGGGGCGCGCTTGGCTGCTTTGGGCTTGGTACGCGCTTGGGTGGGCTGTGCGGCTGCGGCGTGGGTTTGGGGTGGGCTATTAAGGTAAGGTTGGTTGCTTGGGGGTTTGATGCGTACGGCCGAAATGCGCAATGGGGTGCGGGTGAGGGTGAATTAATTACAGGTGGGTAACCTTGCGCTCCTTTGGTGTGTTTCTTGTGCGCCAGGCCGGGTCCTCTGTGACCGGGCAGCCTCTCCCCATCCTCTATCCCCCACAGCCCTATTTACTTACACCCAAACACACACACATCTATCCCACACAACCCCATCCACGCCCCAAGCAAGCATTTTCCCAGGACCTACCTACCTAGCAAGCAAGCAATCCTCCCTTCCAGCCTCTCGTATCCCAGCCCGAGTCGCCCGCTCCTCGTGCGTCCAAACAAAGTTCGCCCCAAACGCCGCTGCCGCGTAGCGCGTTTCCTGATCGGGGGCGAGCGCCGCGAGGTCCTGGGCGCCTGGGCGCGCTGATCTGATCGGCGGTGCGGGTCTATGCCTGTGCCTGTGCCCGGTTTCTTGATCGGGTCTGGCCAGAGGGGGAGGGGAGATCAGCTGCGTGGGTGGGTGGGTGCGCGTAAGGGCTGGTGCTGCTGGGGCGTATGAGCTTGTTGTGAGATTACCTAGGTGGTGCTGAGGGGAGCGTGGTGGGTATATAAACTCGTGGACTGCGTGAGGAGGAGGAGAGCAGACAACAGCAGCAGGCAGACTGGTTCAGCTCTTCGTTCTTTGATTTCAGCATCAGCAGCAGCAGCGCACTCTCGTTCTTTACAACTCTTTCTCCTAATATCGCTCACTTCGTCCCACTACCACCACCACCACCCACACAGCAACAATGGTCGCCACATCCCTCACCACCATCCTGGCGCTGGCCGCCACGCTGGGCGCTGCCGCCCCCGTCGCGCTCACCTCCTCGTCCACTGAGACCAGCACTGAAAGCAGCACGCTCGCGGCGCGCGCCCCGCAATTCAGCTTCCCCGCTATGGGCAGCGGCAGCAGCAGCGGTTTCGGCTTCCCGAGTGCCTCGACCGGCAGCACCGGCAGCACTGGCAGCACTGGCAGCACCAGTGGCTTTGGCTTCCCGTCGACGGGCAGCACCGGTAGCAGCAGTGGCTTCGGCTTCCCGTCCTACGGCACCAGCGGCACCAACACTGCCTCCAACACCGCCTCCAGCGCGGCCAGCACCGCCAGCACCGGCAGCAGCAGCAACACCGCCAGCACCGGCAGCGGCTTCAGCATGCCCTCGTTCTCCGGCAGCGGCAGCAGCACCGCCAACGACATCACCAGCCAATCCAGCTGCAAAGGCACGACGCTGATCTTCGCGCGCGGCACCACCGAGACGGGCAACATGGGCAGCACCGTCGGGCCCGCACTGAGCACGCAGCTCTCGACCGCGCTGTCCAGCGACCTCGCCACCCAAGGCGTGACCTACGCCGCGGACGTCAACGGCGCCATCCAAGGGAGCATCTCGCCCAAGACGGCGCAGGGCGCGACCACGATGGCGAGCTTGACCAAGGACGTCGTCGCCCGCTGCCCCGACACCAAGGTCGTGCTGGCGGGCTACTCGCAGGGCGCCCAGCAGGTGCATGGCGCGCTGATGAACTTGGACGGGGCCGCGCTCAAGGCCGTTGCCGCGGTCGTCACGTTTGGCGATCCCTTGTCCAAGACTGCGTTCCAGGGCGTGGATGCCGCCAAGACGAAGGTCTATTGCGCTACCGGTGATCAGGTCTGCGACGGCATGTTTGTGATTACGGCGGCGCACTTGTCGTATGCGACTGCGAGTGTGCCGGGCGCGGTGGACTTTGTTAAGGGGCTGGTTGCTTAGGGCGTGGGCTGTGTGGTTGTCTTGGTGGGTGGGGTTTTACTGCTGGCGTTTGATGTTTGGGTTTCTTGCCGAATGGGTTCGAGATGCAATAGTTACGGTTGTGCTTCTCACCTGCTTTTATGCTCTCGCGCGCTCTGCGCTCGTGCGTGTGCTCCTTGACCGTGTAAAGCTATATCTACCTCCTCTTCTTACGGAATAAGTCTTAAACAGATGAAGACAAGTTATCGCAACGAGCATTCTGCCAGTTAAAGTGAGGAGCGGATTCCTTTTTGAAAGGCATTGCATAGAGCCAGCTTGGCATGGGATTAAAGCCTTTCGTCGGGTCAGATGAAGGCGCTCCAAACACAAGAAACCGGTACCTGAGATGGTGGAGACGACTCCTCCAAAATGAGAAGCCGTGTGATGAGGTGGATGGACACAGTACCGTCAGGCCGCAGCGGGTGCTGGTACGGAGAATCGGACGAACCCGGGACGGACTTCGAAAGTCAGATAAGCGTCACAACGGGATGGAAGCGCTGAGGCTTGTCAGTGTCCCTCGCTGGCATCGATACGTATACCTTACCCTAATGTCGATACTCGTCATCATCTCTGCCGCGCGGTACTCATTCACATGTAGGCCGCCCATGACCTCATCCATTTGCTGGCCGGGAGCTCCAAAAGACGTGCTCGTTGAAACACCCTCTAAGATGTCCTTCATCCGACCCGGCACGGAGAGAATAGGACATGGAACCAGTAACCGTCGTGGAGCCTTTTCTTCGGCAAGCGTCTTCATTTATACACCCTCCCCTCCCCCCTCCCCCCTCCCCAACTCCCCCAAAACACGCCCCACAACCCGCACCTCCTCCGCGCCCGTCCGACAGCACCCCCCCACCCACCGCGCGCCCTCGCCCCACCACTCCCGCACCCGCTCCGCAAGCACCGCGCCGCCGCCCCGTGAGCCCCGCCACGCCTTGCCAGCGGCATCCCACGTCTCGCCGCTGTTGGGGTAGCAGAGCAGTGGTTTGCGCGTTGTGCGAGCGTCTGAGTGCGGTTGGTGCCGCCGCAGGATGCGCAGAGTGCGTGTGACGAGGTGCGGTGCGATGCAGTTGGGCCCGAAGGCGGTAATGGAGGGGGAGAGGGTGAGGAGGTGGGAGAGAGGGGCCAGGGGGCTGCCATCAGCGAGGACGATGGCGTCGTCGTCGTCGTCTTGCTGCTCGCATTCATTGCGCTCGTCACGCTCGTCACGCTCGTCACGCTCCCTCACGCTCAGCCCCACCCAAGCCCTGACACCACAAAACTCTTTCTCAAGCAAGCGAACCACTACCGCCACCTCCTCCGCACACGGCACCGTCTCCAGCGCCAGCAGATCCACGCCCGCGCCCACCAGCGCCCCAATCCGTCCGCGATGGAACGCCCGCAGCTCCGCCGCCCCCACCCGCGCCCCGTACGCCCCCGTGTACTCGCTCCCATCCGCCAAGCACGCGCCATACGGCCCCAGCGACCCCGCGACAAACAGCCTCTTCCCCAGCTCTTCCTCCCGCGCTGCCCGCTCCGCAAGCACGCGCTCTCGCGCCTCGTGCGCTAGCCGCACCGCCGTGCGTATTAGCGCCGCGTTGTCGTCTTCACTGTTGCCCCCGTTATCCTTCTTGTCCTCAGCTCCGTCCCTCTCGCTCACAGCCCCAACCTGGTACGTAGCCGTGGTCGCGACCTCAGCCCCCGCGCGGAAATACGCCTCATGCACAGCGCGAATGGCGGCGCGGCCGTGCGGCGTGCGCAGCGCGGCGGCGGACCATTCCGGGGTCGAGAGGTCGAGGCCGTGGGAGGTTTCGAGGGCGGTGGCGAGGGCGGCGTCGAGGGTGAGGGCGTTTGGGAGGGGTGGCGGCGGCGGTGGCGGTGGTGTGCTCATGTTTTTTTTTTTTTTTTTTGTTTTTTGTTTCGAGATGCGTGGAGGTTGGTGGTTTGTGTTTGGTGGTTGGCGGGGTTTGGTCCGACTCGCTACTCTACGTCCCCGCCACTACTCCGTACCGCTGCAGGCTTTCGTGCCTGAGGCATCCACTCCACCCCGCGTTCCGGGACTTTGATCCCGCTGCTTACTTACACCCACCCATGTCTGTCTCCCTGTCTGCATACATAACACTTACATATGCACCCCGCCCCTACCCCAGCCGTCCGTTCGTCCGCCGGCGCAGCGGCTCGCCGCGGACTGCTCGCGGAAAGGACATGTAGAACCCGACGTCGGCTGCTCTTTCTTTGCTGCAAGAAAGGGAGTAAGAAGGCGAGCGGGAAGTGGCAGGTTTGGCGCGAGGTAATGCTTGCGCTCTTTGTCGGGAAGTGGGCGAGATGGTCAAGCAGGCTGTTGGATTGTTTAGTGCTGTACTGATGACTCCGGGTTGAGGTTTTTGGAAAGAGGGTTGGTTGTTAGACGCCCCTTTCTGGTAACAGATGTAGGCGTCTTTCCGGTTTATGTAACGATGGACCGTCGCGTCCCGCGTGGCGGTATTTGGAGTTTCGGAAGACTTACCAGCTGGTGAAGCGAAACGACGGAAGAGTAACTGCCTGGACAGGAAGAGCCGAAACCTCATCAGCAGCGCCTGGATAGAAAGAGCTCGGAGTTGCGGAGAATAAGATCAATCCTATTGCCGAACTAACCTTGAAAGATGTTGCACTGGAGAATGAAGTGGATGTTTAGTTTCTCGGATAGGAAATAGGACCACATACCGTCGCCCAACCATATTCCACAGGTTAGCTCCAGCCCATCAGCTTAGGTTCTTTGTGGAAGCCCAGGAGTCTGTCAGCAAAGGCACCGCTTCTGTCTTTGTAAAGATTGGGCACATTTGGCTCAAAGACCACAATCTTCAAATGCTCCTGCTTCCGAATATGGACTTAGACTCATTTCCTGTTTGAGCGACCGGAAGCTGGAGATAGTCAGTGTGTGGAATCAGCCCGCCAGATCAACACAGGTGATTATAACAATCGTCGATATTGGGAGATTATACCAGCATCCGAATCGATGTCGATGGAAGGATACTTGCCCGTTTACTCCCGCCGCAGCTTGAGTGCTATTTCAAAAGTCTTTCCTTGTCAGTGGCCAAGTTCATTCCAGCGTATAACGCATCCCGATTTCCTCTTCTTCTGTTAATGATTAGTCCATTCCTTTCAATACGTCTTTTCGCTAGGCCCATTATCGATGGTAGGCTCGCCGTCCTTAAGAGCGCTTTCTGGGGCCAAGCTGCGAGACGCCAACGCTCTGAGCTGCGCCAGCACAAGCACAAATCCACCAGAAGCCTAGAGCTTGTTCCACTGTGCCTGCGTTCTACCGCAACGCCCGAGCACACTGTCATGGGAGCCAAACAGATCGAAGAGGTGGAACAGTACTTTCGGAAAACCACATGAAAGAAATTCTCAGGAGGATTAGGTACGTGATGTGCCCGATGCATCCTCACAGAAGCACAAAAGGCTTTCGTCAAGGGCATTCTGCGAGTTAATTTGAGGCTGACACGACGGTGATCGCTAACTCAGCGGCAATGGTCTTCAAGCCTTTTCTTGGGCGCGAGCAGCTCTTCGAGCGCGGGCAGCTCATGGAGAAGCTGATTCTGCTTAGGCAAGGGCAGCCCAGACATACCGCATATGCCCTATGAGCTCGCGGACGAGGCCGGAGGAACTCTGGTCTTGCAAGCCGTTGAACTGCATTGGGGCGCTTTTTATTCCTCTTTGCAGACCTTGCTGGTACTTCGCGGCTCCCGCTAACGGCTAAGGAGACATAAAGCGCTTGATACCTCATCCACGAGATGGTCCGGAAGATGGTTACGACTCGGACAGTAGACGCGGTTTTCGTGTAATCTCTTTCTCGTAGTCGGGACAGCTTGATCCGGATGGATTGTCGCGTAATACCTCCGAGTACATTGCTAAAATTGAAGTGCAGATAGGCTGACAACATAGAGTCGCATCGTCCGCGTCATATATAAACTCTGTCTTCATCCCCGAGAGCATAAACTGGATATCCTGGCAAACTGCAATTGCCCGGGCAATCCGTATCCGCTATTTGAACACCACTTCTCTAAAAAGGGGTACGTGGGTGTGTGGTCCAATTGTCCTCTTCAACAGCTCCATCACACCAGAAAGAGCCCGATCACTCTCTGAGGGATACAGCTTTTGGAAAACAGTATCAGCCCCAAGGAAGGTCGATTGTCACCAACATACTATGATTGTGCCCACCAGCATCGCCTACAATCGATGGTTTCGCCTTCTCAGCCTCACATCAACTAAACCTCTGCAGTTTGCCCGGACATCTGTCTTGGCAGTTGTAGAAACCCTCTGTTCCACCCTCTTCCGTTTTTCTTGTATTTCTGTCGTCCTTCGGATATGGCGAGGTGTCGTCCCAGCCCACTCTTGTTATGAGAATTGCTGTGAAGAACCGACTCTTTATAGGCTTAGCGACTGGTAGGAGCGGTATGCGGGCCCAGATATCATCTCTCTCGACCTTAGGTATGGTGCCCCACAAAGACGTCTTCTTCTTCCGGAGTAGTATGGGTAATTGCTGCTTTGTTCCGGGTAAGGCTTCTTCTCGTCAATAGGTTCTTGACGGATGCCTTTTGTACTTTCGCAAAGAACGCACGCTGCTCAGCCGGACCTATTATCTTCTTAGCCGGCATCGATGCCTATAGCCTCGTCGAAAGCCGTCTTCCCTTTGTCGGTCGATCCTTTTGCTAGTCGAGTTCGTCAAAAGGGTGTCGTCTATTCTGAAGTCGAAAAGAACAGACTCGTAGTCTGCGTTGTCGCGAAACTCCCTTGTAGACGTCGCGCAATCGCCTCTATCATTCGAGCTCTTTCACTATAGCGTTTCGGATCTGACGACTCGGGGCGTCCTATCTGTGCATCCCACAGTCGGTGCCTTGGATGTCATTCTTGGAATAGATATCAGTCACTCCGGACTGGTTGAATGGTCTACACAACCAAACAACCAAACAAGCCCGCGCTCCCAAAGATCAAAGCCGCATGTATGTACATACATACACCCAAGTCATTACAAGCTACGTCGCCAGTCCAGCACACCCATTCTCTCAAGGGCTTACAAATAATTTCATACCCCTATACACCCGTCTGCCGCACGAGTACCGAGACCAAATGATACAAATGTATCTTCTCATCCCCATCCGCCTAGGATAATCCAAACGCTCGTCCCCTCGTATACCTCCCTCATCTTTTTACAAGTCCTCGCGTATCCTCCTGCTTTTCCGTTTATACCTCTATACACTATCACCGCTCGTCTTTTCCCTAGTCCATACGCGTGGATATATGGCACCGTCGAAGGTAGCGTTAGAGCTGTTTGTGTCTGGTTAGGAAGTACTTCGTAAGTACCTAGAGGAATCATGTTTAGTATACAATCAAGAAGCAAGCCTGATCGAACACTCAAGAACCCCAAAAGCAAACAGTCCAACAAGCATATATGATATAAAACTCCAATTCATAATTGCCATCATCTCATAACCTACGCTCCTAAAACCCAGCAAAAAAGTAAAGAAAATAAGAAAAACGCCGCCCAATGCCATCAGGGTATCAGTGCAACACCACCACCATACAAACTCACTAAACATTCCCCGCCCCCACCAGCCCATCCCTGCGCATCCCCCCCAGCGCCAACTGCTTCATAACCTGCTTCTCCTCCTCTCCCGAATTATCGCCAAAGACCTGGTCCATCTCCTCGAGCGTACGGCCCTTCGTCTCAGGAACCAGGAAATACGCCCACACAGCCGACAGCAGGCACATGACCGCGAAGAAGACATAAGTCCCGTAGCCTGCCTGAGCAATCATCGTCGGCACCACAACGCCGACAATGAAGTTGCAGAGCCAGACCACCGACGTCGACAGCGCGACGCCCTTCGCGCGCGTCGCGTTCGGGAATACTTCTGCTGGCAAGGCCCAGCCCAGAGGGCTGTATGACGCGCCGTACACGAGCACGTAGACGTACGCCATGGCGCTCGTGGCCCAGCCGGCGGCCGTGTGTGAGGCCCAGTCCGAGCTGTACAGTCCAACGAGTACGCTCATGATGATATACGGCAGTGCCATGCCGAGCCCGCCGTAGATGGCCAGTGGGCGCCTTCCTACCCGGTCGATCAGGAAGAAACAGAATGCCACACCCACGACCTGCGCCACATTGAGTGTTCCCGACAACACTAGCGACATGTCGTCACTCTGCCCTATAGATCTGAAAAGGGTAGGAGCATAGTAGATAAATGAATTTATTCCGGAAAATTGTTGAAAGAAGGCAACTCCTACGCCGACGGCAGTACGGCGCCAGCTCTTCTTCTTGAGGAGGTCGAGCCACTCGAGGAGTTCCAGCTTGAAGCCGCGGGCACCGGGGTGGTGACGCTCCTTGATGACCTTCTGGAACTCGACCTCGGCCATGATGCCCTTGAACTCGATCTGCACGCGGTCGTCTGAAGGGGGCAGGCCACGGAGACGGGCCAGAGACAAGAGCGTGTCCTCATGGCGGCCGCGCAGCGCCAGCCAACGCGGCGAGTAGGGGAAGAAGTGGATGCACGTGCCGAGCAGAATGGCACAGACCATCTGCAAGCCAAAGGGAAGACGGAACGAGATCTCGCCAGTCATGCCGCTACGGGCTGCGTTAGCTTGTGTTCATATGCATGGATCGACAAGAGGGAGCTTACCGAGTGGCGTAGGCGATCCAGTAGGCCGCAAGGACACCGGTCACGATCGAGACGGACTCGAGGACGAGCAGCGAGCCACGGAGGTTGGGAGGCGCAATTTCAGAGATGTAGAGGGGTGCACCGAGGGCTAGGGTGCCGACACCGATGCCTCCAATGAAACGGCCAACGACGAGAACGGCGTAGTTGGGTGCAGCCGTCTGGATGATGGCGCCGATGCAGAAGATAACGACAACAAAGCTCAGTGCCCATTTCCTCGAGATGCGGTCGGCCAGGGCGGGCATGAAGAAGCAGCCCAGGAAGGCGCCGAGCTCCAGCATGGCTGTCATGAGGCCAGTGTAGAAGTCTCCCGTGGTCTCGGGATAGGCCGTATGGAACTGGTCCATGACATTGATAACGGAAATGACACCCTGGTCGTAACCAAAGGAGAAGCCGCCAAGTGAGGCCAAGAAAGCGGCGCCACAGACATAGGGCGAGGCGATGATGCCCCGGATGCCACCCGGACCGTACGAAACGTCCTCGGCAAGGCGTTCCGGGAGATCGACGGTGTGGATGGCCTCGATGTGCTCAAGGTGTTCGGGGCTGTCGAGGGACTGAGAGCTGATGCTCTTCTTGTCCACCTCTGCTTTCTCCGAGAGCGGCAGCGCCATGATGGGAGGTTCTTTCTGAGATACCAGACGGGAAGTGGTAAGGATGAGAGTGCAAGCTGAGTAATTGAGGCTTGGAGTTGCAGATGGCGGTGGTGAGGATGGAGGCGAGAATTGAAGCAGGACATGGAGGATTTATATGGACGACGGCGGGCACCATTAGGCGGCATATTGGTTAACATCCGTTGCCGTAGTGGCAGCAACATCCGGCTCAACAGTGGAGAGGCCCCTGCAGTCTGGGGTTCGCCAAAAGCCAGTTCGCATGGACGCGGATTGGCCGGGTATGACGTCGCAATGCCGGGGGTGGAGCCGGTGGATCGTCTGGAGATGCGGAGAGAGCTGCTTGCTCGGCCCAACTCCCTCGCCAACACCCCAGCTTAACATGCGTCGGCGGGCCTTTTGTGGGGCTGACAACTGCTGCCAGCACTGCACGTGATTCGACGCGACAGCCGTAACTACGCTGTTGGGAAGTTCGACCGTCGCGGGTCCAGCTGACTGCTCGCGGTGCGGATGAGCTGTGTGGTGCTTCTCCCCTCACGCACACGCGTGTCGCGACTTTTCCAGCGCCTTCGCTGCGGCATATAACGCGCGACCAGACGTCACTCGGCGACGACGTGCAGTTTCAGGCCGGCCCTGGGATGCAGCGACAGTGACGTCGCGACACGCACTGTTGTTTGTTCTGCCAGGCGGCGTGCGCGTGCTGGCGGATGGAGGTTTCTGGGCGTCGCGTTGTCACGCTACTCGTCCATGCGCGCCGTCATTGGCGCAGCTGCCCGGTTTCGCGCCAACGAGTACATGCGGCTCTGAGCATGGATGTAGGTAGGTGAGCCTCAGCCGTGGTCCCTTGGTGCTATCGTTTGCTCCAATTTCCACATGTCTCTATTTCCGTGCTCCTTCTCTTTCTCGCCACCCAAATATCTCTCAGTGTAATTGTTACAACCAATCCACCTCAGTCAATTTTCTCACATCTCCTCTTTTTTTCCCTTCGGGTGTACCTGGCCGTGGCTGAACTTGCTGCGCCGCGTGCGTTCCGAGGCGCTGATCGTCCAGCCCTAGACCGGCAGGCGACTTGCCCGCTCTTCCGCTTCAGGAAGGTTGGGCCCCAAACGCCGACGCCAGGGTCCTACGGGTCGGTGTTTGAATTGCTCCTTCGTTTCATTTCCCGATGGGTGGAGATTGGTTGATACGAGTGGTGGCTGCTCCGCAATGTGCATGCTGCTACTGTTTCGCGTTGCTGGACACCGGATACTCCGTACTGGATGCTGGAGGCCGAGTGCTGGATGCCTGAGGTTGCTGGTTGGGCCGCGCGCGTCGCTGTTGATGATCTGGGGAGGGAAGGCGGGAAGGTGGACGGCGAAGCGCGCCTGCTGCTCGGGTAGGTAACTAACTGCGACACCATCACCAACATCATCACCACAACAGATCGTTTCCACCGTGAAATCATCTGTCTCCAGTCTTTCGCAGCACGCACGCAATCTCTATCTCTATCTGTCCTGTCTCTCTTTCTTGCTCATCTCGTCTCGTTTCTCATCCGCGCGATCCGTACCCGTCCTCGTCGGCGTTTGATGCTACCCGCATTGCCTCATCACTACTACCATCATCCACCACCGCCACCAAGACGCTCCCGCCGCCGCCGCATCCGCCGTGGCCGTTATGGCCACCCATCCTCAAGCCTCGAGTCGGAAAAGGCTGCAGCCCAACGAACTTAACCCCAACCCAACCCAACAGGATGCAACAGTCCCCGCACGCCCAGCGCCGCGCACGCGAGAGAGTTCCCGACCAAACCAACAAGAAGCCGTGCCTGCCTATCAATGCTCTAGGCTCCGCCAGTCAGGACGTCGGGAAAGCAGGGTTTGCGGCTGCCTCGCTGCGTCATGACGGGCTCCGCCGGCTCACGCCCCTTTCTTTCCGTCCGCTCTAAGCTCTCGTTCCGTGTTTCCCCGCCAATAACCCCTTACCCTTATCCATAGGTACCCAATACTCTTCCATGCCGATACCCATCTGTCTCCCGACTCACTGGTGACCTTGTCCCGATCACACTGCCGCGCGTTATTGTGCGCAGTGCGCGGCGTCCCCGCTCTATACGCCCCCGCTCTTCTGCACTGCTCCCTGCGACGGAGGCCGAGTGGTCTGGACCGGGTCCAGTTGTTCGACCTTGCTGAAACGGTCTTGCTCGACTTGAGCCTTGACCCGCTCGGGACGCTCACCCACTCATATCTCGCCGTGGCTACGTCGGTACTCGAGGACGGACCCCTCGCACGGTACAACACTTAAGTGCCGCCGCTGATGCTGCGCCCTTATTCTTCTGGCTGGCCGGTGAGCCTGCTGGCGCACGTCCGCCGCCACTGATGCGCGCCTGCACTTTTGCACACGCACGTACTGCGCACGGACAGGAAGTAACACTGACGCACTGAACAAGCCTGATCTAGGTACCCGTCTACTCTTCCCTCATTCCTATCTCTTCGATTTCTCCTTTTTCTCTGGCTACCACTCTCTTCTTGGTGCCGTCAGGCAGATATACGTACACGTGGTCGGATAGGGGTGGGTAGTATATCAGAGAAATGGAGAAGGGTGGGCGGCTACGGCGTACATATTGGTAAGGAAGGAGAACGACAATGAATAAGAAGAAGGATATAACTATTGGACTGGTTGGCTAGTTTGGTGGATGTGGAACATGGATACGTGAGTAGGTGGGTGGATGGACAGACGAACGTTGTAAGCCGGGCCTGCATGCAATCCAGTACGTCGAAGAAAGGGCCTAGAATATGGTAGATAGATATCAAAAAGCATGCAACAAAAGATAGGAATGGCAAACAAGCACCGCAAGGTGTAGGCAAACAATGGTTAGGGTGTGTTTGTGGTAATGGGCGAGGAACGAGTTGTTTGCTTGCTCGTTTGTTCTCCGGCATCAATGGTTTTATTCGCGAAACTAAGCCACCCCTCCCTCTTCGCTCTTTCCTCACCACCTTGCTCCTCCCTCAACTCTCTCTCCCCCATCAATCGCTTAATCTCCAGCTGCTCAACCCCTCAACATCTCAACTCAGCTCACCACGTCTCTCCCACACAACCCTCTCCCCCCTGCATACCCACCAGCACCACACCCACCATCACCGCAGCTCTTTCCAAACCCAAACCCGAACCCAAACCCAAACCCATGCCCACGCCCGAACCTAGCCCTTTGCCCTCGTACGTGCACCTCTCCACAGCTTGTCTCTGCTCTTCGTCACCGTGGTCGTCTTTGCCGTCGGCAGCGTCGTCTTTGCCATCGGCAGTGTCGTCTTTGCCATCGGCAGTGTCGTCATCGCCGCCGTCCTCCTCCCCCTACTCGTCCTAATTCTCCTCAGCCACCACACCAAGCGCACCCCCCTCCTCGTCAGGCGCATAGCAGCTCAACTCAGCTCCCCGGGCAACGATGTCAGGAGCGCAGGTCGTGATAAGCGGTGTTTCGGGGCAGCCGCAGCAGCAGCTGCTATTGCCGCTATCGTAGGCATAGCCGCACGCACACGCACACTCCTCACAAACCTGCGCAAAGCACGCATCTGCCGTCTCGCTGCCACCATCGTTACCCCAATCGTCACCCCCATCATCATCATCGCCCCCATAGCCGCTATCCCCGTCGTCGTTGCCCCCACCACCGCTGCCCCCATCGCCGTTGCTCCTCTCGTCGCTGCCACCCCCAACAACGCCCTCAACAAGCGCGCACAGCATTTCTATGACGGCGAAGAAGACACCTAGCGCTAGCAGCACGTAGAGTAAGTCGCGGGAGAGGGTGAATGCGAGGGTGGTGCTGGTGGTGCTGTATTCTTGCATGTGCGTGTAAATTTGTGTGTGGGTGTGCGCGTATGTGTATGTGAGGTACATGAGGGTGTCGGGGGCGGGGTTTGATGCGGATGAGGGGTCTGGATTGGTGTTCATGGCTGGGTTGTGGTGTCTTGTCTTGTCTTGTTCGTGACCGTGATCGTGGTCGTGGTTTTGTAGCGCCTTCAGGCGGAGAGCAAGTAAAGAAGTGTATGTATGTATGTATGACAGAGAGCCGATACTGCAGACGCCAGTGCTGGCACAGGGAGAGAGTAAAGCCGCGCCAATATACGCGCGCAAGACAAAGGCCTGAAGCAGCATACTTCTCGTCGTTGCTGCACGAGAGGAAAACGCGCGAAGCTTCTCTTCTCCGCTTGTAAATAAGGCACGGTGAAACAGAACAACAGCAAACAGAGAACAGTGTAAGAGCAGAGATCGGTGTTTCGTATTCACGGCACAATGTGCCCGGGGATGTTGTACAATACTATTCTACAGACGTTCGGGGAAGACTTGGGCGGCGGGGCGGCGGCAAAGGGTCAGCAGCAGGGCGGCGGAGACCGGCCATCTCCTCCCACCACTCAAATCCACGCTCCCTCCTCGTCCTTCTCCTCCACCTCCTGATGATGATGATGGTGGTGGTGGCGGTGGTGGCCGTCATCATGGCCGTCGTCGTCGTCATCATCGTCATCATCGTCGTCGTCGTCGCCGTTCTCGTTGGCGCTCTCATCGTCGTCCTCCTCGGCGGCGTGGTAGTGGTGGTCGCCGTCGTCATCGTCGTCGTCTTCCTCCCCCTCCTCCTCCACCGTCTCCACCACCTCCTCTTCGGAGTACGGCGGTGGCTCGACGTACGGCGGAGGCGGCGGCATGCGGAACGTGACCACCAGGGACCGCGCCTCGGGCGACGGCTGCGGCGAGGGACGCTGGGACGGCGGGTGCGGACGCGTGGGCGGAGGCGGGGGAGGCGGGCGCGTGGGTGGAGGCGGCGGGGGAGGCGGAGGCGGCGTGAACGACGCCGTGGACGACGCCGTGGTCAACGCCGTGGACAACGTCATGATAGACTTCATGATAGACGTCGTCTCAGAAGGCGACGGCGGCGGCACGGGGAACTCGACCCAGTAGGGGGGCGGGTCGTCCGACACGGGATGGCTAGGGCCAGTCAGTAGTATTGTAAATCGTGAGAATCTGGCAAAAAGTTGACTTACCCGATGACCAGCGGGGGAGGAGGGGGCGGGCTGTCCGGCCTGAGGCGGGGCTTCTCCTTGGCCTTGCCGGCCTTCTCCTTGGTCTTCTCCTTGACGTTCTGTGACTTTCAGTAGATTGGGAACAGTTAGAACGAAGAGGCTTTGTAAGGTACCTGGTAGATGTCGGCCAGGGAGCGCTCGGCCTTGCGGAGGTAGTTGGCCGTCGCGGCCTTGGCCCGCTCGGCGGCTTGACGGATGGAGAAGGGCATTGTTGGAGCCCGTGATGGAGAAGCTTTGGAGGGAGATGAAGAAGTGGCAGCAGCAGCAACAGCAGCAGAAGGGCGCAGGCGCGGGCGTGGTTGCAGGCGCGGGAGTCGTTACGGATGCTGCTGTTGTTGCTGGGAGAGAAGTGAAAATAGAAAAGGGCGTCGGAGGTCAATAGCCAGGCCAGAAACCTGCAAAGCCGGCCGGCCTAAGCGAAGGCAGTCGCGGGCTGTTGGTGCGGTCGTCGTCCGCCCTTCTTTTTGCCCTTCCGCTCCTCCACCACCCACCCCCACCCCCTGCACCGCAACCAACAACCACCTTCTCCCACTTCGGCTCTTTGCCACATCGATCTTCTTTGCCTTCTTTACAACCTCAAAGTGAGCGCAAGTTGATAGCTTCAAGTGCGCGTGAGCGGATGCTCTTGGAGCTCGCTCACGCCGCTGCGACATCAACTCTGCCCAGTTTGACAACCCTTCGTCGCCGTTGACGGCAGCAACTGCGAAGGCCTTCTGCACCATTGCAAGAAGCTTTGCAAAGCTCCAATGTCACCCGGAAGGGCTGCCAAGCTTCGGCTGACAGTGGTGGGCTCTGTCGCCGGCGACGCGCTTTTGAGCCGCCAGCAAACCTCAGCCCACCACCTTGCAACGCCATCGCTACACGCCGCGGATGCAACCAAAAGAAGCACCTGGGCAAGCTTCAAGTGACTGCTGACGATATGACTGACCTTCTTTGAACGCAGGGCGGCAATGGTCCGAGACTGACCTTCAACCGACACCCCGGGTCTGTCCAGACACCATGGGCTCCTGACCCCTCACCTACCTCACTTCTCTTCGCTCTCTAAGCAAGGCAAAAGTATCCGACAGAAGTAAGTCAAGCCTCTGATCAACCCTTACCCCATTGCAAGGTGCTTGTCGTCACGTTCAAGCGTCCGCGCCTGGTCGGCCTCGGGTCGACAGCTACATGAGCAACCACATGCTGACAACCCACCAGGCATACTTGAACCGGAACACCGAAGCGCCTTGAGGGTTTCTCGAAGAGGCAGCTCAAGTGAGCGACAGCCGGTTTGGCCTGCGACGTGCAAACCTGAAGCCTCCAGGTCTCAACCCCAAGGCCGATGCGAATCGCTGACACTGTCAGTTGTCTTCCCAAACCTTGCCTCGAGGGCATTCGAAAGGCTAAGCAAACAAGACTCATCTCGTGTCATCGCAATCCAAGGTGACAGCCAACTTGACCGCTCTCTTACGAATTGCCTCTTTACGGGGTCGTGCCTCTGTGCTCTCTTCATGGACGATAAGGTCTCCTGCCTCAAGTCAACATTCCGCATGCAATATTCGCGTCCGCTTCGTGAAGTAAGTAACCAAAAATCCTTCAAGTCTCCCGCACATGATGGATAAAAATCAAAATCTGCATTTTGATCGTTTCGATCTTTTGATGGGTTACTCGTTGTGGGCGCCAATTCTGGCATCCCCGGGATTCACCTGATGATAAAGAAGAGAGAACATCTGACTTACATTTTATTTTTTGAACACTCTCATTGCTGTCTTCTATGCGAACATCAGCTAATACTTCAGCCTGTAACCAGGTATTATAAGACGCAAACCCGTCAACTTGTGCGCGAGCTGATGCCAACGCCCATGAAGAGTGAGTAGTCATCTACACTTCACATATCCTACATCCTACATGATGAATAAATTTAGATCTTTTTATTGGGGGTTTCTCAATGTGGACGCCCTTGTGGTATCCCGGGGTTTCACCCATGCGAAAAACAACAAAAAGAGAACTTACTGATTTACATCTCCCGCCCCTCGACATCTTCATTGCTCTTTGAAGCGGACCTGAGCTAATCTTTCGATGACCAGACATGCACAATGCCTTCGGGTCAACTCGCTTGGCTATTGCCAGTACCCAAGCGAAGCTATCCTAAGTAAGTTTATTTTTGTTAATTTGGTTTCCTTTCCATAATGATGAATCAAGAACACTGTTCTTAAGAGAAAAATTGACTTCTGCTACCTTTTGTGGGTTGCATCACCCCGAGGGGCAGTATGAGAAAAACCCAAACTGCAACTTTACTGATTTGATGGTTTCTGTCCATGCATTGGATTAGATTTCGACGGCTTTTGTGCTAATCATCCATGTCGCAGGACTTACCTTTTCTTCTGTCTTTTAGGTTTCCTTTTATATCTCTAAGGCTCATGAACTTCATTGCCTTTTGGAGACCTTAACTGACAATCTTTGTCGCAGTGCTTGGTTCAATCCTTTGTCTGTCCCTAGTAAGTTTGCTCCTGTTGGTTTGATTAAGTTTCCTTTATTGTGATGATTTCGCGACCGAGAACAGTTTGATCTTCCTTCCCTTATGTGGTTTTCAGATGTTAACCCGAGGGCGGAAAATGCAAATACCCGTCTGCTTACTGATTTGATGGTTGATGCTCATGTATTCAAATTACTATTCGAAGGCTTTAGAACTAATCGTCCATTATCGCAGGGCTTACCTTCCATTAATATCACAGGCATCACCTGTTCTTGGACGGCTTCTCTGTGCCCTAGGTATGTCTGTTCTTGTTGTTCTTCGAAATTCTTCAGCTGATTATCCATGTTGCAGGGCTTATGACTATGGCGGCGCGACATTCGCATGGTCGTAACAAAGGGATTTGCGAGTTGGCCAGACCTTGAGGATCTCAGTGTCCTTCCATCTATGGGGGCCCACTGGAACATATCTTGCTGCTGGTCCTAGCCTTGAGTCCACAAGTTTTTGTTTGACGGAAGTGGCGTTGACACCACACCACTTCAGACTCCTTTGGACGCTCGTTGCTTTTCTCCCGGCCCGACAGCTTCGCGTGTGGGTAGAGTCTGGTCTCCTATACCAAGACTCGTCGAACCGTCGGAGATCAAATGGCTGGACGGAATGAAAACTTCTCTCCAAGCCAGGGTGGCGTGTGCAAGTTATCAACTCAATGATGAACCTTGCTCCTTTATGAACCCTAACATTTATTAGCCTGGAGATGAAGGATTTCGAAGCGTCAATTGAAGGAACCACAATGCTGACCAGACGCACACTTAGGCAGATCAATCGGCAACCTCCCTGTTCTCTTCTCCTCTGAGGAGCTTTGTCCAGGCGCAACCGATTCTCTGTGCATACCACTGATCAACTCCGCATGTCCAAGCTCTTCTGCTTTTACAAGTTCCTTTTTGAACAGGTATGTGGCTTTCTTTATCTCTTCAATTTGAACATCCCTTCCTCAGCAGCCTTGCCCAACGATTACCACGTAGCAGCGAGGTATGGATGGCAAAACTGGCTTTACCGCCGCAGATCCCGAGACTCGATGCGTATGGCGAACTTTGGAAGCCGAATCGAACGAACTGAACTGATCAGTCGTTGCTTTCTGTCAACACTCCGTCGCCTCTTTCATTGTCCATTTCTCGCTTTTTCGTTACAAGACAACGGCGCACCCTGCCAAACGGAACCTTCACATCGTAGGGTGAACAAACTTCTGTTGTGGCCGACGTTGAGTGAAACCTCTAACATTGCTTCGCCCAGAGGAACAGCACTTATGCCAACCGTAGAACTCTGGTCGATCACTTCGGGTCCCTTGACAAGTGAACCAACGGCCGTATAGGAACTCGTCTCCGCACTTCTCCAGTGGGATTGGCGAGGTAAAAAAGGCCGAGAGCGAACAGAGGCGCGCATATGGTAACCTCCACGGCTTCCAGATGTCAGTGGTAGACTAACATGCAGCACACATGGACAATGATTGTTCGACTTTTGTGTGCTCGAGGCCCCCCGTCTTGGGGTGCTGGTACACCTGAATCATTCGGCCACGATATCGCCGTTAAGCTCTTCCTTGGTGGGCTTATCGGATTAACGTAGGCCAAGAGGGAACTTGCCACTGCCTCTCGAGGACTCGTTTGCATGGAACCTTTGGTTCCCGTTGCAGCGACACTGAAGCAGGAGCAGACATTTTTATTTGCTCCACTCCGTTTGCGCATTCGACTCGTCTTCCGAAATTTTACTTCTTTCCCTTGCTCTTTCATCTCGCACCAATGCATTGTGCTTTGATATGTTGCTGCATAATGTCTTCTTTCTTTTTCTTTGTCGAGGGTGGGCGTGGGCTGCTGCTCACACCTTTTGTCGCCTGTATTCATCCAAGGCGTCCGATCCGATGTCCTTGCGGCCTAAGAAACGTCAAGCTGTTCAGTGCTTGGTCCGTCAATCACAGCCGCAGAGATCAAATCGATAGGAGGGGCCTTGGCCGATTATGGTCGAGGACTTCTTCCCTCTTGTCGTACATGCTCAAACAGCCTTTGTATCCTGAATCCAATCTGGTAAAACGGCAAATAAATCTCAGCATTTTACTTGGGCTTCGTTACTGTAGTGAATGTTGTAGTCGACGTCGGTGACTTGTGGCAACAAATCGTTGCCGTCTTGACAGTGAAGTGTTGGTCCATCAGTCCACTGAAGGCGGGTTTGGCAGCTCTTGTATTACCTCAATGGTTCGAGGTCCATAGGGTCCCTTGAGGATCTCCGCTCACGCGCACGTTGAGTAGTACTTGACACTGGTTGTAAGGTCTCGCCTTGGGTGCTCTAGCGCATTGCAGGATAAGCGAGCGTTTATCTTCAGGTAAAGTACAGCTTCCGCGACGCTGACTTGTAAGGCTGATGATGACAGGAACTAGGTATCGGTATGGTCTTGAGTGAATCCTGGTTGCTTTAGAGAGCCCGCAAGTCGGTCGAGCCTGACAAAAGAATCTCCGATGGGTCTTCCCCTGAGTTCATACATGAGGTAGGCGCATCGCTCATGGCCTGCCAGCAGAGAATCTTCCGAAGAGAATGGGTCAGTTGGGTGCGTCTCATGAAGCTGCGAGCCGTCAAGGTGTTTGTCTGACTGTTGATAGTTTCGCAGCGGCGTGTCGCAGATATGTACCGGCAAGGTGAAGCAATTCGATGAGCATCGCCAGGGGTACTTACAGTGAAGCAGACGCGGTGATGTTCGCCAGTTGAGCATCTTTCCAAGTCACGGTACCAAGCCGGTGCGTATCCTTGACTTGGATAAGAGTTAGTAGCCGACACTAGTTCGTAGTCGTGTCTTGAGGACCTGCAGGGTTAACACTTCAACACCCTTCGCGACGGCGCTCTCTGTTGTCAGTTCTACACCTTCCTCAGGACTTGATGTGCTCGACGGTCGCAGTCGTGTATGGTCGCGTTCCAGGGCAGGTTACAAGAAGCATGTCGACTGTAGACTCTAAGGGGCATAACCATATACGATCCAAGTGTTCGAACAACCAGGAAGCCTCTCTCCAGCCTACAGTCAAGACAGGTTCCAACATCTGAACTGGTCAGCAACTTCCGACCGTCAACAAGATGTTTATCGGCATATCCGGCTAGGTTCTGCGTGGCTGCTGAACACTTTGGCCGTTATAGAGAGAGTAACGTTATGCACAGTCGGCGCTACAAGGAGGTCAAACCGTGTTGTGGAACCCAAGGATGTTGGCAATGATGTGGTTGGATAAGTTGATGAAAAGGGGTCGTGCGAGCGGTGGTGCAGCAAAGTGAGCAGGGCCCTTGTGGGGTCGAAGCGAGAATGGTGGGCCAAGGGTCTCGGACCATCACCAGCTCCTTGCCCAAGACCCTCCTTCCCTTGGCGCCACATACCTGTTGCCCGGAACATCACCACTCACGGCAGGAGCTTGTCTCGGTGCGCAGCAGCCGCATCCGCGGTTTCGATGGCAGGAATTGGTGCATCCAACTCGACTCCTTGATTTGTCTTTGGCTTCTTCCTGACACCCACCTTCTCCACCTCACTGAGCACCTAAGGCGCGCCAATGAGAACCTACCTTCTCTGCACATGTTTCCCTACAACCTTGTCATCCAGCATCTCACAGAGGGTACGCGACTATTCTACATCGGTCCAAAGTCAGCCGATATCCAATCAGGTTACCTATTCGAAGAGTAGCACGAAATTGCCCTGGTTTTGAAACCCTGACTGGTCGGAAAAACTTGGTCTCTAGAAAATTACCCAGAGATAAGGTGAACCTACTCCTTCAGGCTTCGGTACCAGCTGGCCTTGATTGGTTATCCACTGGTTACTTACGGACATAGTAGTTTCTGTACCCACTCTACTTTGCCGTAACCATGGCGCAAGAAGGAGAAATAGGACATGAGTGGGGCGCCGCGCTGCAACCCCGCCGCAACATCAACTATGTCTCCAGCACTTTCGCCACAGCCATCTCCTTTGGCCTCTTGCTCTGGATCCTCGGAAGCCTGACTAGTACTGAAAACAAACATCCTCTCACTTGGCCCAAGATCATAACATCGGAAAAACCAAGCATGGCGACTTCACTAAACTCATCGGTCGAAGGATGGCATCCTCCCAATTCAACGTGGATCAATGACTTGTCGAAAGCGATCAACGGCACTGGCGTGCACGGGTTTGTCTTTAATGGCTCTGAGCTCCCAGAAGGGACGCCCTACGGGATGTACAACTGGTGCAATATGCCGCATGTGAGGGCCGAGGAATACCCAAAAGCTTCGGATGAGTACCAGCTTGAATATGTGGAAGTGGTAAGTCGTGCCTCCTAAGCCTCATTCTCTTGAATTCTGACATCACGCTTTGCACTGGCTTGAACCTGTCCCGAGTTGCTCCCTGCTTGTGAGCAGAACATTCGGAACACTCACAGGTTATGCGCAAAGCATAGCTACTTGCCAACGTCTCGAAGGAAAAATAGTGCGGAAGCTACATACAATTAACAATCCTCCAGATCCATCGCCATCACAAACGCACCCCTTACGCTGCCAACACTTTCCCGCATGAGACCTATATCTGGAACTGCAACTCTAGCAGCCTTTTTTACTATGGGTCACCCGCAGCACCCGATGGAAATATCACTGCACAAACCTACTGGGACGTCTACATATCAGCATCCAATCCTCTTGCACCCACGGGCTTCAACGGCACCTGCCAATTCCCTCAGATTACCGGCTCCGGCCTCAATGATGCCTGGCAACATGGCCGCGACTTGGGCTCCGTATACGGCGGATTGCTGCACTTCTTACCTGAAATACCAGCAACCGATGGCTGGGGCCGCAAAGTCGAGTTCCGAGTCACGAACAATATCATCACGTCGCAGGTCGCTGGGATGGTGATCTCAGGAATATACCCAGACGCAGCAGCGCATAGCTTCCCGCTGAAAATCCAACCCGATTCCGTCGACAGCCTTGAGCCAGGCTACACCTGTCCCGCCGCAGCGGCTCTCTATGCCACCTACGGTATCGGAAGCCGCGATCCCGCCTGGCTCGAGCACCTCAGCGCCTCAGACCCGCTCTTCAAAACCCTCGACCGCATCTCCGGTATCCCCAGCGCCGAGAAAGACTGGCACCAGTCCTTCGACCACTACTACGACAACCTCTCCGCGCGCCTCTGCCACCAGAAACCACTCCCCTGCAACGACAGCCTCTCTGACGCCACGACCACTAGCTCGACTTGCATCCCCCAGTTCTTAGCCAACACGGTATTCCGCCTCGGCCAACTCGAGTACTCCCGTCTCTACCGCGATGATCCTGCCTCTCTCGCCGCTGCCGTAGCAAGTTACGGCATTTGGCTCGCGGAACTTGCACAGAACTTGCGCGATGCTGCTGCGGGCACCAGTGACGTCGTCTACAGACACAATGTCGCACACGACGGATCACTGTCGCGCCTGCTGGCGGTGTTGCAGGTGGACGTCATGGTGTGGCCAGGCATGGGGAGCGAGGTTGTATTTGAGCTGTTTTCACGAAAAGCACAACAGGATCAGGGCCGCGCGGATGCGCGAGCAGCGGAGGATACGGATGTGGAAAAGGGGAAGTCCTTTGTTCGTGTGCTTTGGGGTGGCAGGGTGCTGAGGAGCTCGCATCCGGTGTTGGGGCGGATGGATATGGTGGCTTTGGAGACACTGCTGGAGTATTTTGATGGGTTGGTGGGCGTGGGCGCGGAGAGGGTGCCCGGACTGTGTGGGTTGAGTTGAGTTGGGGTGGGGAATGCAGGATGGAGGTGTTAGAGGCGTGGGAGAGGACGGTTTCGGAAACCCGTTCTTTGTTGGAAGGGCGGGACTGGTTCATATTCGGTACTCAAAAAAGAAATATGCTTATACGATGTGTAAAGGTAAAGTAAAATCCCTTCCGACGCTTTTGCCTACTTCGGTATATGACTTGCTTTTTCATCCCTTCGACTTTTTGTCTTTGTACCCACGTGGTATACCCGTACACTCCTGACTATCCGCACCCTCACATCAATTTGAATGTTCTCATTCTCTATAAATGAGTGTGCCTTCATATACTTTCGACTGCTTTTATACTCAGATATATTCTGTTTTTGCAGCTATCTAACGACTATTAACTGAACTGCATATAACTTTACTTTAACCTCCTAAGAAGCATTTAGCAGGTCCGACAGTCTTTACCAAATACCCATTCAAAAAGCCGAGCAAATAGTAAATAAAAGGAGCTAACCACATACCCACGAAGTACTCTACACTCAAGCACTCCCAACTCCCCCGTCTTCATCTCCACACCCCAACACCCCACCAGCCACACCAACCTTAGTGCAAGAAAGCACGTCCTCCCGCCCCCAAGCCACGCCCACGCCAGCATCGGCACCCGCACCGCATCCCCGCGGCGCTTGGCTTCGGCTCAGCGACCCGTCCAATCACAGCGTCTTCTTCCTTTGTTACGAGTATGGTAGGTAACCACTACCAGCACCATAACCACTAGAAGTAGCTGCCATACGCCTGCACAAACGACACACAGCCCTACGGCACTGTCTGTGCCCCCGTGAATCAACTGACTAGAGTACTCTACCTGACTATCTTTGCACTCCACAACTCCACCACCACCACCACAACCACACGTAACACCCGCTTCCAGCCAGCGAACCAGCCAGCCATCCACCCGTCCACCCGCCTGTCAGGCTGACAGGCCAAGCAAACGGGCGGCTACCTACTCATACTCGAGTACACACCATCTACGTGTACATACATGTCCAGACGTACTCGAGTACAAAGACGCCCGACCCTCCAGCGCTAGCACCAGTATCAGAGCCAAAGCCAAAGCCAGTGGCAGCGGCTACGTGCGCCGCCCGCGAGCGCGCGCGCGTGTACTCGAGTATGTGTGTGTACGTGTACAAGTACGTGTACATGTATCGACTATGCGTGAGGGTGCGATTTGCTAGGGTGAAGAGAAGAGAGGGAGAGAAACGGGAAGGGAAGGACCCGCTGGCTGGCTGGCTGGCTGGTTGGCTGGCTGGTCGGGCAGACTGGCACACTGGTTGATTTGAGTTCTTCACGCTACTGCCGGCGGCAGAGCACTGCTGCTGTTACTAGGGGTAAGTAGGTAGGATGTTGGCAATTGGCGACGGGACTACCTGGGTACGAGTAGGTAGGTTGGACTTGCAAGGCTGGTTGCCTGCCTGTCTGTCATGATGATGGTGGTGGACGCGCAGGCACAACGTACCACAGCCAAGACAGGGCCGCGCGCAGGACATGCGCCACCACTCGCACGGGTTTTGCACTGCGCGCGCACAAGTCACGTTTGCCTCATCACAGTGCCCGGAATGGGAAGGGCCCAAGACGCAGCCAAGAATGCGAAAGAAGCAGAAAAAGGTCACCGAAATATTTTGCATTCATTCCTATAGTGGCCCGCGCGAGCGGTTGACGGGAATGCCGCATCGATCGCTAAGCGTGCAGTAGGGACAGATAGCGACTTTCTTCACTTTCCACCCCACCATCCTCACACTCTCTTTCGCATGGAGCAGCGAAGGAGAAGAAGAAGGCGATAATAAAAAGCAGTCATCCCGTCATGTGGAAACCAGAAATGAGGAAAGAGTAGTAAGCAAAAAAAGGAAGACCGCAATCGTGATAAAAGCACATGACCGTAGTGTCAGCCATGGCAAGGGTATCTTGCCCAACGCCCGCCCCCATTTGTAAGTTTAGGTGAAACTTAAGAACCCGGCCCTCGCAAGCGAAGCTGGCACGGCTGTGTGCGAGCACAGAGCCCGCGTGAGTGGTACTTCATGACGCCGTGAGAAGGGATGCCACTTCGATCCGAATCGCGGGTGGGGCGCGGTGGAGTGGGCTTAGAAACCGTGGACCTGGAGAAACAGCAATCAGCGTGAGGCCCGACAGGAATGCGCGCGTGTAATGGGGACAGCGACGTACCTTGATGGTCTTGGCGTCAAGCTCCAAGCCTTCCTTCTTGTCGGTCAAGAATTCCTGGACATCCTTGCGCTGGTCGCCTTGGAGCTGGATGACTTCACCCATCTCCGAGTCGTTCACGATGGTGCCATTGCAGGCGAACTTCTTCTTGATGACCTTGAGGATCTTCTTCTGGTCGAACTTCTTGGGGAGACCCTGGACCGTAGTCAAGGTCTTACGGCCATTGCGCTCTGCAAATGCCACGTATTAGCCGCCGACCAGTCTAAGGGGGTTGTCGCACGCAGATGACGTAAAGCGGCGGTAAGGCGACACAAGCACGCGTTTCGCTCGATGCGAAAAGGGGGGAAGAGGGACGTACGCTGGATTCGGATGTGTATGTAGTTTTGAGACTGCTTGGTCTCGCCTGTATCTTCGTCGGCCTCGGCGAAGGGGTCTGTGAAGAAGGCGGTCAGCGAGCGGCTCACACGACAAGTCCATCAGCGGTGCCGCAGGCCCACAGGCGGCGATGCGCCTCTCAGAGCGACGTGCTCAGTCGGGTGGGGGGGTGAGGGCGGGCGGCAGCAACACGGCTGACAGAGGGGTAGGTGGGCTGAAGCGGGGCTGAGCGCACCGAAGGTCTTGAGGTTTTCGATAGTTGACATAAACCTGTCTTTGTCGAGAACTTCTGCTAAGTGGGTTTGGTGGAAAGGAGGGGGGGTTGGTTGACGAAAAGTAGCGGGGTCGCGAAAGTAGAGCAGCGAGATGGTTGTGGTGGGTTGGAGAGAGTCGGTGGGAGCGAGCGATGGGTTTTGGGTGACTTAAGTAAGCGGCCCCCCCGCCTGCAGCCCAGTCAAAGGGTGAATCGCCACACACACGACCCAGCAACCAGAGGCGCTCACGAGAGAAGGACCCTATCAACGCGGATGGACGGGTGCATTGCACGTTACTCAACGCCTCGCCATCCTCGCCAGTCACCCCGTTTGGGGGGGAGCGCGCCGCCGCGCCCGTGTCACTTAATTGCAAACAATAACGTGCATCATCCTTCTTGCTACTTATCGTACAACAGGCGCGTCTATCTACTCTAAGCAGGCGGCACGGCTGCAGGAGCCTCGGTGCCTGAGCCCGCCCCAGCCCGCGCCGGAGGGTTGGGAAGGAACAGCGGCATGTATGCCTGGTCGCAGTGTTAGTAGTAGTCATCTGGACATCTTGGCTTTGCTTGCTTACCACCGCGACCGACATTACTGTTTGCTCCAGTTAGCATCCCTTTCCGCACCATCCCTGGAGGAGGGGTCCACTTACACGACATGCCCACGCTGAAGTAGCCAGGAGTCGTCGCATGCTTCTTCTGCTCGGGCGTCTCCGCAAGCCACGTCTGGAGGGAGAACATGACGGCCGTCCTGGATTGCCGCGTTAGCTGGGGTCGCGTGAAGGGTGTGCATGCGCTGCATCATCTCCCTTACCAGCCGAGCAATCTGTCGCGCAGTCCTGTCGTTAGCACACGCTGCATGGGGATCCCAGAGCCGAGCTTGGACTGCGTCTTACTTGTTCCTCGTGAAGATCTGTTGCGCCAAATCAGCAATGCGCGCCACGCTCAACGTCGTTGAAGGTCAACTCACCGCGGCCATGGGCAGAGTGCTGGCCATGGTGCCTGCGCGCACAATCAGAAATCACGCCTTCATCAGCCTGTAGCGCAGCGTGAGACGATACCAGCAAAGTCCGGATCCGGCTTTCCCTTGTCGAGGTCCGCATAAGGGATAACTGCGGCGCGCGTCAGCACACACACGTGACGCGAGGTGTGGAGGAGGGTGTATGGGTGGTCAAGGAAGCACGCACTCAGGTCATCCCGACGCATGTCCTTTTTGGACGCCATGGTGGTCGTGATGGTCGTGAGGGGTCGTGGCGATGGGGGGGGATTAGGGCGGCGATGGGAGCTCGGCGAAGCTCCAACAGTCAGGCCAAAGGTTGATGATGGTGTTGGTGTTGGGAGCAGTGGTGGTGGTGGAACCGCGGGTGGATTGTGCCGCAAGCCGGCTGGAGTCTAGCTTTCCGCAGGGATGCATGCGCCCGGAGTGGAGACGGAATGCCGGAGATCATGGGCAAGTAGCGGTCAGGGATCCCGACGATTGATGAGATTGTTGTTCCGTTTCGTACACTGTGAGCCCATGTCTCAGCGGGTCAAGCCGAGGCGAACAGCCCCGTCCATCTCCCAAGAAGCCCGTCGTCCCGCGCTGCCCGCCGCCCTATCCCACACGCAGGTGCCACGGTGATCGCCATCAGATGCCCTGTCTTTCCCGAGACCACTTCTTGTCTCACTCTTCCCTCGCAGCCAACTCTTCGAGTCCTGGATCGGTACCTGCTCTCACCACTCCCCACCTCCGCACTCTCGACTGACACCTGCAGATGCCCGACCCGCCCCGGCCTGCCTTACAACCTCGCTTTACGCCCGCCCTCGTATGATCGCATCCATCATGCCCGCCTCCACTTGACCACGCATGGATCCTCAGTGCGATGACTTCTCGTCCTGGCCCGTCAATAGCACCGCGCACCGCGACTGGAGCCCTTCAGCGCCAGCCCACCCAAACACGCTCCGTCGCACCCCAACACGCCTATGCGCGCCAGCCGGATAATGTCATTGATCTGACGGCCGACGAGAGCAAGCCGTCGCTCGCCGACGCCGCGCAGAAAGGCAGTAATCCAAAACAGACTGCAGACGGCCGCTGGGCGACGCAGGAAAGTCAATTTGCGGCACAGGATGGATTCAATCGACTTCACGCGCGCGGGAAACCCCAGATATTCTTCGAGGATGATGCTTCGCACGATGGCGTGGTGGCTGGACTCGCGAGGTCCGCCTCAGCTGGCCAGCGCATATCGCCGACTCTCAACGTCGGGAGCCTGCCTATCCCCCCGCGTCCGGGATTTCGCGTCCAGAAGCGACCCTCGCAACAGGGATTAAAAACAGCGTCTTCGGTTAGCTTGGCTGGGAGCAAAAAGGACTCCACTCTACGGTCCGGGCCTTTGGATACCCCGGTGGAAGCCATGCGCCTATCTCGCGGCAAGACAGTAGACTTCTACCCCTGGAACGGAAGCCATCCTGAGGATGCACTCTCGGCGGAGGTTGTCAAGGTCGGCTACTTTGACGATCGCAAGGGCCAGATCGACATCAATGCGGGGAAGACGTACGTCGGGCCGCAGTTGAGAAATAAGACCACTCTCTCGACGCTTTCATCCATCTTCGTCCAGGCGCTTGAGAAACGGTCGGCGTCTGGACGTGTCAAGGAACCATCTTCTTTCAAACCTCCGCCAAGAATTACGGTGACGGATACGAAAAGAGAAGAATGGCTCCGAAACCTGGCCAATCCCGCCTTGCCTCCTGGCATTCTAACAAGGAGAATACCCCATGGAATAAAAGGCAAGCTCCTTCTCGAGCAGTGTTTGGGCAAGAATATTCCCATCGCTAGGGCTGTCTGGCTTGCCAAATGTGTTGGTGCCAACGAGATGCGCGCATGGATGAGGAAGGGCGCTAGTAGCACCACCGGCATGGGTGGCGAGCTCAAGTGGGTCCGGGAATGGACAGTGTTTGTCGAACAATTCGTGGACAGTACAATCAGCAACTGTGGCCAGCCCGGCTGGAAGTCGAAGATGGACTATACAATTCGTTTGTCTTCACATCTGTACACGGAACGCCTGCTGGACCAGGACCACTATCTGGACTGGCTCATGACGTCGCTCGAAGGCAGCGAACTGGATCGGTTGCCTGTCTGGCTTCTTCTTGTTCAAATCTACTGGCAAGACCTTGTTGCCATTAGACGGCGAGGCCGAAGGTTGGCCGAAGCACTGCTGATGCATTTTGACACCATGACAGCTGGTGACAATGCTGAAGTGGATCACCCCATGGCACAACGAACGCGCCTGCTCCTTACCACTCTCGTCATGTCTCATCGCAATTGCATGGTCGTACCAAAATCATGGAAAAAATATCGCCATGTCCTGAAGAAGCTCTTAGTGGACGGTAGCACGCCAGCTCTTCAGGCAGCCATCCTTTCAATAGCCAGGAGAAATGAGCGGTTGGTTGAATGGGGTCACAAGTCCGGTAACACCTACCAATCCCCTCAGAGGCAGGTTTTGACGATGTTGGACGCGATATCCCTCGACATCAACATTGAAAGTCTTTCGAAGAAATGTTTGACGGCACTGCCAGAATCTGGACCCTTGGTAAACACCGTGCTACAGTGGGCATGCTCGCTCTATCGTGAGGGTAGGCACAGGATCTACGTGACAGCTCGACTGCTGCGCAAATGGAGGACCAAAGGCATAGACACAGATAGTGCTATTCTCGCATTCCTCGGCGACCGTCAGAGGCTAAAGGTCATCAACGGAAGAGGCCTTTTCAGGCTTGTTGGCGAGCTAGTTCGTTCAAAACACCTTTCCGTCGGAAGGTATCTCCAGTGGCTTATCGCATCAGGTAGCCTCTCGGCTAGTGGAGACATCACCAAGGTAAACCCAGCTTATTTGTTAGTTTGCTACTTTGACTAAGAGCATGTACAGACTCATGATTGCCATTTGCGCCTCATTGCCGAAATCCCTCTACACGGCCTTCCGGAGCATGTGCTCAACCTTCGCCACACACTTCTCCAAGTAGCGCTACGCAATAACCCCGGTGCTCTAGATATCCTGGATGACCATGTATCTATCACGAAGCAGCTGGCTGTCCTATTTGAACCTGACAATGGCACGGCAATATCTTTTGATGTCCGATTTTCTGAACTGAGCACGGGCGTCAGACTTGAGCTCAGCCACTGGATGAGGCAAGAACTTTTCTCTCGCCTGATAAATTCAAATGAGTATGTTCAATCTACTGTTTACTTCTGGTCTTTGCTGACGTTTGATAGTTCGACTACCAATGAGTCCGACAACGGAATGAAAGACGATTACGCCCTGACACTCTCACGCTTTTACTCCATGAGAGATATCATGGAGCAACTCGAGGATTTTGCTATCCTCGCTGATATCCTAGGCATCTCGATCGAATCCGACGATCAACTGATCTTCGCCGCCATCGCCGACACACTCAACTACCACCACCGGACTTTTGCTGCCATTGGCGCTCTCCGTCATCTATTTGACCGCTTGGTAGAGCGTTATGGCAAACTCAGGCCCGAAAAGCCGTTGGAGCGACCTTTCCTCTTAACGCTCGCAGATCTTTGTTGCCGACTCCACGCCGATCGCCAGATACTAGATCAGCTGAATCTAGACATAGCCCGTCTCGAGCAACGATCCGCTGTAGCTGCGTGCTCTCCTGCGTCCGATAACATGGCCGATTTCCATAGCGCGAAGATGGATGCAGACGAGGAGATTGACCGCATCCTGACAAGCGGCACAAGCATGGACGAGAATATGGTTCAGCGTGTGTTCGCCAGAGTGCTCGCGCGCATTGATGAACAGATTGGTAACAGCGTCGGACAGGGCAGCAAATTTGGCCAGTGGTTCCAACGTTTGAAAACCTTCGACGAGAAAGCGTTCGAGAAACTCATGTCAGAGTGCGTTTCGAACCTCTTGATCAGCCCGAAAGAGGAGTTGCTCGGCTGTACGCTGCCTTCTGCTGTCGGATCCGGATGCCTGTCTTTGGAAAGCTTCGTTACCTTTTCAGCCGAAACCATCACTGCATTGCGCAAAGCCAATCCCGCTTTGGCCGCTGCAGCTTCTTTGCGCATTCTTGATGCCATTCTACCCATGGAAGGTCTCCAGGGACTTGGCCAAGTTCATGTAAGTCCTGTTTCGGTGTGCTCGTGGAACCTCGCTAACAAGTTTCAAAGGAGATATACCGGTACAGGTTGGAACAGGAGAAGTTCTGTGAGGATTCTGCGCAAGTCGCACTCCGGCTTGTTCGTCAGGCACTTGACCTATGTTCCACGTCGAAAGGGAACTTCATGGAACGGCTTGCTACGGTACTTTCAAGTGACCGTCTGCTACGAGTCTTGCGATTCCATGCGTCTCGCAATGCGCAAGACTTCTGTGTTGCCATTGGTATCGGACAGCCATTGGATAACTCATCAAACCCCACAACCCTCGACGAATCCCGCGCAACAGTCCTCAAAGGAGTACTAGATTCACTAATAGACTCCGATGATGTGCTCGGTAAGTGTATACGCAGCATTGCATATTTTGTTCTAACCAGCAATGTATAGGGCTGTCGAAGCTTGATGCTGAACAACAAGCCAGCGCGCTGGTAAACTCTGCAGACGACTTATCGGTGCCGTTTTGCCAACTCGAACTCCAACTGTTGTTCAAGATCCACACCGAAAGTGACGAGGAAGGCGAGCTGGGGGTTGCCGATGCCATTATCCAGTCTATCAAGGCCTCGGTTGAAGCAGACAAGTCAACATGGCCAGATCTTCTAACCGGCTTGGATGGTGAAATGACGCGGAAGGTATGTCTCCGGAAGCTCTTGTTATACGTTTTATTGGTCAAGGGAATTCTGACCTCGATTAGCTCCGTGAATATGCAGAGACGCATATCCTTTCCGCTGTGACGACCCTCCACAAATCCCGCGCCACTTCTGCCGAAGAACAACGAACCCCTGCAGAGGCAAAGGAAGAAGACGAAAAGGTGTTGCAACGGTACTTGTCCGTTCTCGATCTGACGTCCTGGAGCTTGGAAGACAAATCCCAGGGCCAAATTATCCCGGCGCTCGCTGAAAAACTTAAACTCTTGCGCGAGGTTCTGACCCATTCCGCTCAGGTAAATCAAACCCAGGCGAGTGACGGAAAAGAAGACTTGTCCAGCATGAGTGCTGCAGGTGCACTGTGTCCTTGGATACATGCCCTGCTCCATGTACTTGTCGTGCACAAATCCTTTTTGGTGTCGGTGGCGGGGAAAATTAGTACGAACCATCAGGCCGCTCTGATGTGTATTTTGCGGAGTTTCCTTCTTCACCCGGGATTGCAGCCATACGCCGTCACGACAGAGTATATATTCGACGTTGCTGCAGCACTATCCGATGGTAAGTCAAGACTTCCAGCAACAGCCTCCCTCGTCCCACTGTTCCTCGTTACACGGATACCAAACTAACAAAACTAAAAGATCTTCCCGACGAGGTACGCGTTCAGCTTCTGCGCCTCGAAGCCCAAAAGCCGATGCATGACCCGCGAATCGCCTTCCTCTTCGGCCTGTCACCCACACCAGATGCTTGGCTTGGTCTCATTACGCCCATCCAGCAACGACCTGCCACGCCCTCGACACCTGGCGGGGCCAACTCCCACGCCCAGATGACACAGGCACAAGCACAGGCACAACGCAACGCCGCGGCTCAGCATCAGCATCAGGGCTTCTGGCAAGCGCAGAGGCACCATCATCAGCAGCAACAGCAGCAAATCCAGCAGCAGCAGCAACAACAACAACATCCCCAACATCAGCAACGGCCAGGCTTAGGGCTCAACGTCGCTGGCCTCGGCGGCGCTGGTGTAGGAGGGCCGGATAACTACAACAAGCCGGTACCATTCCACCTACGACGGTGGGAGATTCTGCCCGACAGCAGCACCAACGCAACAGTCGGCAACGAAACGAGTCTTAGCTTGACGCTTTTCGGAGCGAAGAAGGTCGTTTAAGCGACATCCATTCATCCATCCATCCATATGATGAGGATCAAGACATTAAAGAGATGAAATGTAAAGATTATCTGGACATTGAGAGCAGGGTAGAAGAAACGGCGTTGGCCCGTTTGCGTGTACCTACCTCCCTTGGGTATTGTTCCTGTCTATGCTTTGGGGGCGGGGGTCTTCGCTTTCTGTTCGCATCAGCGATGGCGGCGGCGGCGGCAACGGAACGTCTGTGTTTTTGCACCAAAAGGCGGCATGACGAGCGAGGTTGTCGGGATTGGATTGGGCCGCTGCGGCGATGGATGGCGAAAATGGCGTTGTGGGGTGTGGGGGTTTGTTCTGGGTTGGGTGCGCAGCTGCAGCATATGTCTGATGGCGTTATTCTTTTCTTGCTTAGTGGTTGTTTGGTTATTGGCTGTTTTTCATCCTTTTCTTTTTTATCTCTACGACTACTTATCCCTTTGGAGTTTGTAGCGAGGCTGCTTGCCGCTTTGCTTGCTTGCTTGCTTGCTCTTGCTCCCTCCCTCTCTCTTTCTATCCCTCTCTATCTCTTACGATTACCACTGCTTGTTGTTGTTGTTGCTGTTTCTGACCTATTTATAGTCTGGCTTAGCACGTAGTTATTTAGTCACGGGATCATGATGATAGCGATGGATATATTCTTTTCTAAAACTTGTTGTGGGGCTTGTGGAGTGGCGGGGGATTGAGTGTTGTATTGTGCCAAGGGAGGCTGGTTTGCACGTGTTTTGGTGCGGTGGTGGTGGCGGTGCTGGGTTCTTTGTTGGTTGCTTCTTTGTTTGGGATGCGGGGTTGGTTGCGGTGGTGGTGTGATGCTTGTGAGGCTGTGTGGTTGGGGTGCATGCGGGTATGTATATCTTTCTACCTTTCAGCCAGGCCTTGTGGTGTAGACTTTAAAACCGTTTGTTGTGGAGTTTGTCAAGATTGTTTATATATAATATGTGGTGATAGCTCCGAGCCTGGTCGATTTAATCGTGTCCGCTTTCGGTGTGTAACGTCCGTCACCGCCAAGCGAGATTCATCGCCTAACGGGATGATAATCCCTGTATAGAGTAGAAACAGGGCTTAGTCAAGGTGTTCATAAGTATGTATATGCGTAGAGATCTCCTCATTTATATCGAAGATGCAGATAACTAGCTAGAGAAGGAGTGCTTTATGGGACCGTTCGCATACTTAGCTGTCTCGCTACGCGATGGATCTCGGGCGACGGTGGCGGACGTTACTATGCATTACTGAAGACTTGTGACGTTACAAACCTAAGCCGCCAGTAGGAGCTTAGGAGCTGCTCGATTGCCGGGGCTCCAAACTCTTTAAAAGTTAAACATTAATGTATCCCGAGTTTATCCCAACAGTGTTTAACCCAGATATTACCTCCCTAAGCATTCCATTTATTCGAGAGACACTATTTCAATAGGAGCTTCCACATCATATAGGGCCTCTCCATCCATAATACCGTGGACATAAGCATCTCCAATATACTGAAATGATCTCGAGTGCTGAGTTCCAGGAGCGCCAGATCGAGCATCAACTGGACGCAACACAAAGGGAACCCTGCTGCCGAACAACACGTAAACGTGATCACCAATCTCGACATCCACAGGACCTTGACCAATAAAGCCTCTCTTCGTCACGAAAAATCGTTGATCTGCCATGGAAAGAGGCAGTGCAAAATGGAGGCCGTCCTGCTGGCCGAGCTCGCGCAGGAAGATGCGTAGATCAGTAGGCACGACTCGACGGTACTGAGTAACTCCAGAATGGTGGCCTCCGATTTGAATGACGTCTTTCACTAAAAGCCGCCAGAATGCGTCTTTGCATTTTCCGCCCCCGATGTAGGGACGGTTCTTCAGGGCGTCGTATTTGGATACATTCATCCATTGCACTATGTCTGTCTCGTATGGCGTCCAGAGACGGTCTGCGGATGTCGCTTGGCCAAGTGCCACTATCTCATCTACATTGGCACCCTTCAGTCTTAGAACTGATTCAGGGCTACGATAGAGCTTTAGACTTGCTCCTTTTGACGCGTCGTAGAGACCATATTGGGATATTTGATGGAGATGCACGTCAGTTAACGACTCATCGGTATCGGCACCCCAGTCAGGAACCCAAGAAGGTAAATTGGAGCGGCGTCCGGATTTACCCCGCCTCAGGAGAGGTTGTAAGCTCTTGGAGTGCGTTTATGGAGTCGTCAGTGATGCCGTAGGTGTTCCGGTCCGGTGACCAGGCTATGTGGCCGTCTATAGATAGCATGTGGAGGAGGTTGAAGGCTGCTACGGCATCCCTTCGTTTCAGTGATTGACTGGAGTCCTGTTGTGGCTTAATTGGTGCCCCGAGAGGCATTTGACGCTCATCATAATCGCCGAGGAATAAAAAGACCTCTTGAGCCAGAGAATATATAGCGCACATCATGTTGACTTGATGCGTTCTTTCCTCTGGATCTGATTGATTGATGCATAATGCATCAACCCAGATGATTCGAGCTTTGGTTGGGTGTCGAAGGACTATCTCAAGTGCGGCGGTAACAGAATAAAGTCGGTCGTCCAGGTGTATTGTGCGACGAGAAGTGCGATTTCCCCAAGCGTAGGAAACTGCTTCGTAGATTGGCCTATCGTTCAGAGAAACAAGTGACAATGCACAAGATAATGGGTCCGTCCATCGTCCTGGGAATAAAACGAGTAATCGAATGTGTTGGGAGCCAAGATCAAGCCTTTCATAGACATATTTTTCTGAAATGGTTTCATTTTCCTCTGCGAAGGACCTCATTCCGAAGGCCAAAAGAAGAGAATAGGCTGTAGAAAATACTTGGTTTTATTTGAGAGCATATAGCAAGGCCATGGGGTTTCTAAGGAGGATTGATATCTCAATGCTATTGGGAAGAGGGAATTGCCGTGTGTCCACGAGACCAACAATAGCCGAGAACTCCGGGGCGGAGTTATCGTCCAATCAAGATAAGGCCTTTCGGTATCCTACTAATAGAAGGGATTCACTTAGTTAACTCTGGCAATGGACATGGCTGGTGGGGTAGACCCAGTTTTCTATTTGCAGAGTCAAGTTTCAGGTGATATTGGCCCCCAGCCTCGTCCTGTGTAACCACGTGCTGTTGGTGCCTAAAAGCGGGGTCATGTTGCCCAACTTCAGCCTCTTAATGTTTAGAACATCATCTCGAGTGTAAACACGAAAAGCACAGATTCGAAATAAGATTCAACAAAAAGTAATGATCTTCAAGATCCGTACTCAATCAGTTCGGTAGATGCCTTATTCTAGTACCTGAAAAAGGATGTTAATATGCTAATTAAGTGGTGTCCAGACATCCGTCATGCTCTGCGCTATGTGCGTATCAGTTTTCAGAAATCCGGACCGGAAAGGTCCTCACCATGCCAGACTGGAACATGTAGAAAGAGCTGCAAGTGCTGGTTGCAAGATCTGTTCTATTCTCCAAAATAAAATAGTTGCTTTCACCAAAGAGCATCCGGACCACAATACACTTGCGCCATGCCTACGGTACATCAAGTTCAAAAGATTGATTCGATTCGATATACTATGGGCCAATTTCAACAAAAAATCTCTGCAATTTCTTAACATAGAACCATCCAGGACTGTCTCATTACCAGAATGCTACGACAGTTTTTTAGCATTGGCCAATGATGATTTGGCTACAGAACCCTGGCGCGTCAGAAGAGACGGCTTCTACAGTCACTTTCCACCCAATACTGGACACCTCAAAGTTGCCGAACAGGCTTCTGCGTGGCTGCAAAATTGCATTGGTTATCATGAAAGCTGCGAAACATGTGATCCAACACGAGATACTACCTGGTATCCTAAGAGGCTCATAAATGTCACTACTCCTCGGAAGCCTCGGTTGTCATTGACTACTTTCGAGAAACCCAATGGAAGATACGCTACCTTAAGCCACTGCTGGGGACCAAATCCTCAATTTATGGTCCTCTCAAGTGACAACGAGGAGAGACTAAGACATCAACTACCAATCAACAAACTACCAAGGGCATTTCAAGACGCTATCATAACTACAGAGAGGCTCGGCATTCCTTATCTCTGGATCGATAGCCTTTGCATACTTCAAAAAGGAGATGGAAGTGAAGAAGACTGGAGAGAACATACTGTTGCCATGCGCCAAGTTTACCTTAATTGTGTGTTGAACATTGCCGTAGACCACGGAAAAGATCCTCATTGTGGAGCATTTCAAGAAAGAGATACATTGGCCCTCCAAAAGTGCAACGTCTTGGGATACGTATATGGGTCTGACGAAGGAATATGGTCTGTTTTTCACAACGAAAAGGATTCCTTTTATGTTTCCATGGAATCACCGCTTTCCTGTCGAGCTTGGGCAGTACAAGAGCGATTGCTCTCCCCCCGGATACTCCATTTCGGTTCGGCCCAAATTTCTTGGGAGTGCAACGAGGAAGAGTTCCTTTTAGAATCCCTTCCAGAGGCACATGAGAATCCTGTTACAAGTCCCCACCGTATATGGCCGTTCTCAATCCCAATGACACAGGAGAGCACATCTTCGAATCAAATACAAGGACATTCTCTCACAACCCTGCGGTCAGCATGGTGGACTATTGTCGAGGTTTATGCAAAGGGAGGCCTCACAAAACCTCACAAAGACAAATTTGTGGCGTTAGCTGGCATCGCAGAACGCTTTGCTTCTCTCTATGGCCACGATTACCTCGCTGGGATTTTCCGCTGCGATTTCCCAGTATGCCTTCTTTGGAACACACTTCCAGGGAGCTCCAGACCAACAGAAGATGGATACAGGGCACCGACATGGAGCTGGGCTAGCGTTGATGGCCCGATCTGTATGGAGAGCGATTTGTACAAAGACGCTTTGTCCCCGGAGACGGCAAAAGAGCTCACAACTGTCAAAGACATTCAGGTTGTCCATCTCCACCAAAACAATATATACGGCCAACTGAAAAGTGCAAGCATTCACTTATGCGGCTTGTTGTTCTGTTTTTCGACACCTTTGCCCCAATCAGTAAACCAGTACTCAGAGATGGAAGGATTTATCCATTCTATAAATGAGCCCCGTTTTATGTACAAATTGGGATTCAGGCTGGATGATGAGAATGACTTTTTTCATCCGGAATCACTGTTTGCTTTTCCTGTACTGCAGCATTTAGAAAGCAAAACGATAGACGGGCTGATACTAAAGCCAACGAATGTTCCAAAGGTTTATAAAAGGTTAGGTTTGTTTAAGGAGGGATACTTGGGGGATCTACTGGAGGGCCATCCGCGTCAAGAGCTTACTATTGTTTAATCTTGTAGGTGAATATATAGCAAGCGATACACACTTCAACCACCACAACTTAGACTCTAGGAGGCTTGTCAAGGGAGCACTTTGATTTGGTGTTCGACCAGATCATTTACAGCGGCCACAGGCGGCGAAACTTTGCTGTAGACCACTGAACAAAATCTCTACAACCACAGAAAAGAACGGAAAGAACATAGTATTGAGTTTATTGTACTATCGACAAACGACCAAGCCCCATGTAAACATACTGGGTATTCGTCTTTTCATAGCGCCATATCGCAACAAAGAGCAAACCACCGCACCGTCAAGCGCTTCCCCAATTAATACGACAGCTTAACCCACTTGCCCTCACTGGGAATACCATCCACAACCACAAACATCAGATACACGCCGGGCTGCGCGGTGCTGGGCCCCGGAGGCGCGGTAACAACGTGCTGGCCACTGGCCTTACCGGCCGACCCCTGCAGCTTAATCATACGCTGCTGCATATTCATGCCATGGGTATGGAAGCCCGGGTTAATAATCACGACCTCCAGATCCTCGCTCTCCATAGAGCTCTTAATCGCAAACGTCTTGCCATAGAAAATCGCCTCGGGCGCCTTCAGCAGCTGCGGCCTGTACACAGCGTCCATATAGCGGGGACTAAAGATCTCAACCCGGTACTCGGTCGGGTACTTGCTGGTCTCGCGCTGCTGCTGGTTCAGGAACGCCGTGTGGCCGTTGTTGCCGAACTTGGGCCAGCCGGCGGGCACGCCGCCGTCGGCGGTGTAGCCGACCATGGGGTTTGAGCCGGCGACCAGGACCTCGCCCGACGGCAGCAGCGTCGCCACGCTGTGGTATAGGCGCGGGATGCTGCTGGCGGGCATGTTCGTGAAGCGCGTGCCCCGCGGCGCTTTCGGGTTGTACACGAAGGGCGTGCGCGCCGGGTCGTCGGCCTGGAACCCGCCCCCGGACCCCCGGTGCGCCCCGTTGATGAACAGGATCGTGCCGTCCGGCAGGTTGATCCCGTCTGTCATCACTTGCGGGCCGTTGGGCAGGTTGTCGTCGGTTTCCCAGACGGGGTTCTCCGCGTGGGGCTGGATCGTGTAGCAGTCGTCCAGGGCCTGCGGGTCGGGGATGTCGCCGCTGGAGCCGCCGCACATGAGTACCGTTGGCTCGTAGTCCGGCGCCTCCAGCGGCAGCAGGATCGATGTCGCCGACGAGGGGAACGTGCGTGGCTCCAGTGGCGTGTCCGGCAGCGTCTTGACGAGCTTGTCATTGTGGTAGTCCCAGATGATGGCCTGGTTGCCGGCGACGGTGAAGACCTCGCTGGCGGCGCGGGGGTTGGGCATGAGGTGGACTAGCGAGACGCGCGAGTTAGCTCCACACACACACACGGATACAAGACACGAGCCGGACTTACGGATAGGGTACAAGTTGTACGACTTGTTCGGCTGGTTGTTCTCAGCGTCGGTGAACTCGAGGATAGGCAGCGTGACGGGCGGCGGGGGCGCCGAGCCGTCAGCCTTGACGAGCTCGTACGTCGGCACGTTGATGCTCGCCTCGTTGAGCACGAGGCCGCCGACGTTGGAGCCGCCCACGGCCAGAACGTCGCCGTTCGGCAGCGTCTCCGCGCCCGGGTACCACCGCTTGGCTTGCAGGTAGGCCTTGTTAACCGTGAAGTCCATGTCGCAGACATCGCCGGCGCAGGGGCCGGGGGGATACGTGCGGATGCCGTTGAAGCCGTCGCCAACGCCGGCTTTGGCGTCGGGCTCCGCGCCCGCGAAGTTGACCATGGTACCATCGGGGAGGAATGCGCCGGCCGAGCAGAACGTGTTCGTCTGCGGGTGCAGCTTGCGCAGCGTGTTGGTCTTCAGGTCGTACTCGGTGGCGAAGACGGCCGTGTTGGTGCCGTCGTAGTTGTAGGGCTCCGTGGAGTGAGCGCCAGTGGCCAGGTCCACACCGGGCCCACCGTAGTTGGCATGGTAGCTACGCAGGTATTGTCAGTTTTGGGTTGCGCTGACGAAGTGTAGACAGAATGGAGAAAAATAGCTCTCCGTCTATTGACAGCACTCACTTGTCAAGGAACACTGCCTTGTCCGTGTAAGGAGGAAGGAAGAGCAATTGCGCCGCAACTCCAGACGATCCTACTGTCCTGAAACCAGAAGCCGCAGCTTGGTGAACAACGGTAGCAAGGGCCGCCTTGGAAAAGGTTAGCAGGACCATCGAAACCGGCAAGGGTAGAAGTGACTTACAGCGCGGAGTAGTCTCGACTGCATCTTGATAGTTCAGAGATGTAAAAATTATTTTCAAGGAGTGACTTTTGAATTAATGAATGTGATAATCAAAAAAGCAAAGGCATCTACGATGTGCCTGTTGAGAAAGAGAGTGACAAGTGCGGGTCTGCAAAGGAGAGTTCCCGTGAAGAAAAAAACATGAGAGCGCTGTAGACGGCTCTTTATGTACGACAGAGAGAGAGAGGCTGAGCAAACACCATAGTATGCCTCGCTTACAGGGCATGGATTTGGAAGCCACCCCAAGGATCCACCTAAGGGCGGTTTGAACAAGCTCGGCAGATAGTCCTTCGGATTTGATCTAGAATGGACACACGGGCATGGGGGAGGGTTGCGCCGCAAGTAGCGGGGAGCATTCCAAACCCGCATCAGGCGAATACTTCTTGGCACTTTGCCGTAGCCGGCAGTGGCGTGTCCAAGCACCTGTCAGTCATTTGCTTTTTTGGGGTCTGCACGCTGGGGCCAGAGATGGTCATGAAGGACTTCCTAGCCGACTACCAACACCTCCTCGTAGACTCTGGCCATGACCTGGACCCCAAACGCTACCACAAGAACAAACATCACTAACACCAAAGTTGCAGAGCCTCTTACCCCTCCGGGAGCGTTGGCTCCTGCGGTACCCGGCCTCGCGGTATCTGTAGGCGAGGTTCACCTAGCGGCAGTGGTGGAGCAGGGGATCCTTAATCAAGCGAAACGGCCGACCAGCCTCGTACGGCCGTGTTTATACGGAGCATGAATTGGAAAAAGGGGCCGGTTGAGGTGAAGTCCCCAAGAATACGAGGTCGAGGAACGGCAGGCAAGCGCACCCGCGCGCTAAAACGTCGGTCGATCTGGGGGTCCGACGCTGTGGGCCTGCCATCTCTCGCTAATCGTCGACTCATCGTACCTTATGGTATAGCCACTCGTTGCTATACCCTCATCGATGGTCTGTCCTCTTTTAAGCCTCTCCGCCAGCTGCGTCTCCGCAATTGCGTTGTCGCCCGGCTTGTGGGGGTTTGAACTTTTTTTTCTCTTTCTCCCCTTGACCCGGCTGTTCAAGGCTTCCCGCTCCCGTCGCCCGCACTATGTGAAAGAGGTCCGGCCGCAAGCCGTGCCTTTTTCCTCCGCCCAATTTGGCCCTGCTCCCGCTACGCCGTCTGAACTTCATGCAAACACACTTCCTGACCCCACTGCGCTTGAGCCTCAAGACCTCCAGTCGTTTTCCGCCGGCCGCCATTGCCCACCCGGGTCAGATTTTGCGAGCAACCATATATTGGATCTTCGAAACATCCCACTTCTATTTTTGACTTCCGTTTCATTTACCGTGTGCGCGGTTCCGTAGGATGCCGTTTGCATGGGCGGTGGTTGGATGGTAAGAGCTCGGTGCATCTGTTTCACCGGTATGGGGTACGCCAAGGTCAGGGTCCTTTACGAAGAATAGTCCTCAGGGACAGATGCCAATGGACGGGTAGCTGGCAAAACAATGTTGTGCTCGAGCAAGACCACTGGTGACATTCATTCTTGGGTCTGCCTCTTAGTATATAATCCACCACACAACTTATACAAAGCACATACGACCATAGGTCGAGGAGAATTGGGCATCCCGTCCGCTCTGCCATACACAAGCCTCGAACCGGCTGATTAGTAGTTAGGTGGGTGACCACTAGCGAATCCCAGCTGCCGTATGTTTGCTATTTTTTGCTCTTTTGCTCGGCCGATGGTGACAGACGGTCAAGGAACGGGGGCAATCATGAGCCAACACATAGAAGACCAACCATGAAGAAGCGTCTGATATCAACAGAAAAGCAACAAACCCTTCCTTTTTGCCCACCGGACATTCAACCCCCCTTCACGCATCAATCAAGAACACACCCAAACACCAACCACCTGCAGACACGTTGTAAAAATTACTTTAGAACCGCTACAATGCAGTACAAGAGACGCGACAACCCTGGCACTTTTCTCAAGTCCCAATCGATATACCCCTCAGCTAGCCCCAGAAACCGCTCCAGTAACCGCAGGCCACCCACCACCACCACCACCACAACAGCAGCAGCAGAAACAACAACAGCAACAATTGCAAGCGACCGACCAGCCCCCTTCATCCATCACACCTAAAAAAACCTCAATCCATTTAACCTCATCTTCGCATCACTTCTCGTAGTCTGTCTGTCTGTCTGTCTCCAAACACAGCATGATCCGCTCCGCTCGCTCAGAAGAAACTGCTCGTCTAAGCAACACTGGCGATAACCAGCGAGGCGACGCCCTCCTCCTCGGAGCGGACATCGATCTTCATCGTGATGCCCGCCTTGGCGCTGAACGCCATGCGCACCTGCGCCGCCACCTTGCCGCCCGAGATCGTCTTGCCGTAGAGCTTGAGCGTGTGCGTGCTTGGCGAGAGGGCGACGTCCGTGCCGTCGAGGGGCTGCAGGGAGAGCGTCTTGGGGATGGCCTCAACAGCATCTGATGGAACGTTAGCATTGTCACGAATTTTAAGTTAGTTAGTGAGGTTTGAAATGCGCTGGACGTACCTTGTATGCTCTTCAATGCGCTCAGTTGCAGCGTCTCGGTCGCCTGCTCGCCCGAGGATGACTGTTCCCAGACGTTGTCGAAGCTACCGGCGTATGCAGGAACAATGTAGTCTGCGCCAGTAAGGTCGAGGTCCTCGACCTGGTACTCGTCCTCGTAGCCACCCTCTTCGGGCTCGTTTGTGGTAGGGTCGATCTCCTTCAGCGTGAACTTCAGGATGTTCGTAAAGCTGCTGGCAACGAAAGCCTCGCCCGCCGTGCGCTTGAACGAAACGAAGACAGTACCCGGCTCGTCCGTCTTGAGCTGCGGCGCGGGGATAATGAACTCTTCCTCGAGACCAGACTCCTCGTCGTCGCTCGGCGTGACAACCATGGTGACATCGGCAAGAACAGTGTCCGGCAGTGTGTTCTTGATGTCGTATTGGACGACGATGTGCTCGTTGAAAATGTGCTTGATCGCGCTGACGACGTACTCCGTCTCGGATTCGGTAAGCTCCACAACAGGCGACGACTTGAGGACACCGCCGAACTCTGCCAGCTCGGGAATGGCCTGCAGCTGCTGAGCGTACTGCTGAGCAGCGGCGGTGGCAGAGGCAGCAGCCTCGGCGCCACCACGAGACGTCGGCTTGGGGCCGGCCGAAGGAGCCTTGAGGGTGGGCGTAGCAGTCGTAAGCTTCTTCGAGCGGTCCTCCGCGTCGGCCTGCTCGCGGGTGACAACAGGAACCTTGGCAAGGTCGAAAGGCTGAGCGAAGGTGTCGCGGTCGTCGGCGGTGACGTACATGACGAGCTGGTGCTCCAGAACGGGGAGAGAGAACATGGAGTCTTACGTGAAGTCAGTAAACGTGGGACGTTGAAGATACTTTTGGTGTACTGACCGTTGCGAATAAAGCGGTGGGCAATCTCATCATCCTCATCCATGAGCCTCAAGTTAAGAGCAGCGCGGTCACGGACCTCGTCATCCGTGTCGTCCAGGCAGCGAGTGAGAAGCACGTGCACGCTGCTCTTGACCTCGGGGTCTTTCTGCCCAACACCGAATTTGGCAAGAGCAGTGACAGCGGCAGCGCGGACAATGGCGTTCTCCAAGACAACCCGGTTGTAGATGTAACGGATGTACTTGGTGGGTTGGGCCGTTTTCGGGCCCTCCATACCGAGCAGGTGCAATATCCGAACGGCAAGCTTGGTGAACTCGCAATCCTCGATGAACTCGCAAAGGTGCGCCAAGGCTGACAAAAATTAGCGATAGCCCTGTGGAACCCGTTTAAATACTCACCATCCTCTTTGCTCTCCGGCACAAACTTGATGAGGTCGAACATGCTCTCAACAACAGCGCGCTTGAACTCGTAACCACCCTCGTCCCTCAGAATACCGCTCAGGAATGCCAGCATGCCAGCCTGCTTCGAAGGGAACTTCAAGCAAAGTGTCCTGATAGCCTCGACAATGGTGACCTTGAACTCGTCGGTAATCTCGGCCATGAACCCGGAGATCTGCTTCATAAGCCTATCCACGCTCGATTCATTGCCGGTCTTGAGCAGGGTCGTAATGGCGAAAGTGGCAATGGAACGGTTGCTGTTGGTAATAAGGGCCTCGATGTCGGGGTTGCATTGACGAACGGCATCCGGCTTGAAGGAAGCGAAGTTGTGCAGGATGCGAATGGCCGCGAACTTGGTAACTGCGCGGGGAGAGGTGAGGAACAGCTGCAGCACGTGCACAGCTTGGACAATCTCCGCGTCAGTAACTTCCCTCATGTCGCAGATGGCCTTGGCCGCCTCGAAGTTGACCATTTCGCTCTTATGCCTCAACCATCCATCGAGAAGCGACATCATGGGCTTCCTCAGGTTAGGGTCCTCTTCCGCAAGCTTAGCCGCAAGTCGGACCAAAAGAACCGTCGCCGCAGGGCTCTTGACGACGCCCGCCGCACTGTACTGCTGGACCATCTTGACGAGCGCCATCCGGTCGTGCGAGCGCATCTGATACAGAAGACCAATGGCGTGGTATTGCGTCATGAAGTTGGTATTCGAAGCCGCGAGGTTGGGCTGGGAGGACGCGCCGAACCCGAATGAGAAGCCTCCGGAGGACTTGGCCGCCGACGCAGCCTCCTGCGTCTCGCTCTGCCATCTCCGCACGACGTCACGGGCGACGGGGAGCAGGTGGTAAGAGGATACGAGCGCCGCCGACGAGACGGAGGGCGTCTTGTCGACAATTGCGGTCTTAATGAGACGTTCAATCGCTTGAACGGTGGAGGCCTGGAACGAGTCAGCTCTTTCCCTGCGAGTGTCCCCTTTGCAGCCATACATCTATCACACGGCAGAGTGCCCTTATGGCGTTTGCGCGGTATACCACGTCACTTCCGACGGCCGTGTCCTTCATAATACTGCTAGTGACCATAATGACATCCTCGGCGGTGTTCGCCAGCTCCTTGATGACAAGGTAGACCATCTGCCGTAGACTGGCATCCTTGTTCTGGAACAGTTTGGAGATGCCGAAGAATAGGGAGGTAGCTTCATTGGTGGGGAACTTTTCGCCGGTGAAGAGGAGCAGGGCAATCTTGGTGAGTAGGATGCGACATCTGCGCGGCGAGATTGGGGACGAGTTGAAGACGCGAGCTGCATAGGAGAGTGAGCTGGTGCTTGCGGCCACGCATTGATCGAGGAGCGTTTACCCTCTTGAAAGACCGAGGTCCTGTCGACCTTGACAATGGCATTGCCCTCGGCATCCTCGTCCTTCTTGTTGTAGCTCATCTTGGGACCTGCGCCGGGCTCTGTTGCGGCCTAGCTGGAAAGTCGGGGTACGCGAAAGGTGTCCTTGTGATGTCCGCTTTGGCCGAATTGCACCGTCGCGCGACTGGCGGTGTAGTGGGGTTGGTGAAGGCGTGGGAGCTCCGAGCAGCGGTAATCAGGTTGCCCAGCTAGCTTGGCTCATGTGGGTATCGAGTTCTCGGTGTGCAGGCCGGAGGTGTCGTGGAGTCTCGCCCTGGCCCTCCCGTCAGGCGGGATCGGCCCTTGGAAATCGCGGGCTTGGCGCGGCCGGCCAGGTGTTACGGAGCGAGCGTCATCCAGGAACAACCTTATCAGCCTGCACCTTCCCGACCTTCATTAATACTATTCTCTTCTATTTTCGCACGGCTCTCTCCTTCTACACGCATCAGCAGTTGCAGTCCTCATCATCTCGCGCAATACCCCGCAAGTGCCGCCACCAAAATGGAGTCCATCATGAACAACCAGCCCATCCAGGTCGAGGTAGACCCGAACGAAGATACCGAATGGTAAGGGCCCTCTCTCCCCTCACGCGCCGTTCACCCTTACTGATTGCGTTGTAGGAACGACATCCTTCGCAGTAAAGGCATCATCCCGGAGAAGCCCCCATCGCCGACTCCTATGATCGAAGAAGCTCTCACCAAAGCCAGACGGTTAGCGCACGAGAATAGGTTGGAAGGCAAAGACCTGGATGAGTTGGCCGAGCTGGAAGACGAAGAGGACGAGGACTTCCTTGAGCAGTACCGGTACAACCGCATCGTGCCCCACCCCCACAGGCTTTCTATTAACAGGCAACAGGATGAAGCGCATGGCTGAGCTGAACACCATCGCGACTGCCTCTGTGTTCAACCAAGTCTACCCCCTGCAAAAGCCCGACTACGCGCGCGACGTGACGGAAGCTTCAAAGGAAGCGTTCGTGCTCGTTCTCCTCACTTCGTCACAAGGGAACGGAGAATCGCGCATCGCGACTGAGCGCTGGCGGGATCTGGCTCGCAAGTATGGTGACATTAAGTTCTGCCAGATGCGCGCAGACATGTGCATAGAGGGATACCCGGATAAGAACACTCCTACGATCCTGGTGTACAAGGACGGAGACATCAGGAGGCAAATCGTTACGTTGAGGGAACTGAACGGACCGCAGACCTCGGTCGAGGACTTTGAAAAGATGCTTATTGAGCTGGAAGCGCTGAGGCACGGGGACCCGCGTCTTCAGCGTAAAGAGGAAGAGGAGGAAGTCAGCACGAGTAAGATTCGCCAGACTCGCGTCGATGACGACGAGGACAGCGACTGGGATTGAGGAGCCTACCTAGTTGGCCTTGGTGAGCGGAGCCATGACGTTTTGCTTATCAGACCTCGCTCGGGTCGAACTGTATTCCACGAGCCTGCGTGCAGGCAACGCCACTAGTAGATCTCCAGGGAGAGGTGCTGCTGGCGGAATCGCGGCGCATTATCTTCCATAGGTATACGCAAGCGAGTAGGAGCAGGGATACAGTAAGTGATGGGGTTGCGGCCGGCTCCTGGAAGCATAAGCACGAATGGGCTGCTACACTGGTAGAGTGGCATCGAAGCCTTGGGGAGAAAAAATCGACCACGGCACGATTGTCCGGGCTTATCAATAGAAATGACTACCTACCTTCCACATGGAGATCAACGGGTTCCGGTGTAACATGGTGAGAAGGCGGGACCTTCCGCGACGGAAAAGACGAGCATCCCCACCTACGCTCAAGCACACCCACGAAGCAGCCCAAAGCGGAGGCAGTCAGTCACTCACGGCACCAGACAGCACTAGGGTATACGCAGGAGCAACCCAAAAGACGACCATCTCAATGACTAGGTAGCAGAAGCGCCCCCCTCGCAAGCGCACCGTCTCACCACCCCGGCGCCACAAAAGCCGTCCGCCGTACACCGTACGCATGGAACAAGCAGCATGCAGCACGCAACCCACATGCAGAAGCGACCAGGGTGCACTTGCTTACGTCCCCTCAGCTCTCAGCCCAGTATCTCTTGGCGCGGGTTACCTAACCGCGCACGCGAAGTCGGCGCCGTGCTGACATGCCGCGGACGCCATGCGCGCGTGGCCCGATTCTGCGGCCTGCAGCGTCGCTGCCGCACCTCGTGTCTGGATGGATGGACGGATGGACGGATGGACGGCCGATCTGGCTTGCTTCGACTGCGCCTGTGATTGCGACTGCGACTGCGGCTGGCTATTATTAACGCCGTGCTGCGTGGGCATGTAGGTACGTCCATACCTATCGTAACTGGGCCGCCCGCCCGGCACGTATGTATGTACGTATGGTGGCCGCTTCCCCTTTCTTCCCTTCCCAGCCAGGTTACAGGTAGGTAAGCATTCATTGTCGGCTTCTGCCCAAGGCCCGGGAATAGGGAATAACGCTTGCGCTCTTCTCTTCATGCATCACCACCACGACGCGGCGTTGAGCCCACCTAATAGCGCCCGCGTTTGCGGGTGTGGGAGCTGCCGTGCTGGGCGTGCGCATCTGCTGCTGGACTTGGCTTCTGGACTGCTCTCCCTCTCCATGCCTCCCGCACTCGCTAACTCGCTCAGACTCCGTCGCTTTCGCCGCCTTTGCCGCTTCCTCGGCATCTGTCGCTGTCACATCAGCGCGCATGCGAGCGTGCTTGTGTGTGTGCCAAGTTTACAGGCGGAGGCACTAGGTAGCCTTACGGCAGAGCAGAGCAGGCAGAGCAGGCAAACATCACCCTTAGCGCGCCGCCCATCCCTGTCCTACCCTACCTAGGTATTTACCTACATAGGTAGGTATGTGCCTGGCTCCGCGGCCGCCTTTTTCCTGCACGCATGCACGCGCTCTCCGCCACTACTACATCGGCAGCGGCATCGGCGTCGGCGTCGTCGCTGTCACTTTCCTCCGTTTATGCTCCCGCTTTTGGCATTCCGTGATCGCCCGTCGCCACCCTATGTACGTCCTTTACGTCCTGCCCTGCCTTGCCTTGCCTTGCCTTATCCTGTGCTGTGCTGCGCGGCAATTTGTCGTACGGCTCCCGGCTACATGTGCTGCCGTCTAGGTGCTATTCCCTGCTTGACTAACCGTGCCGTGAGATCCGGCCGTTCGCGCCTGTCCCGAGTGTGGGTGTGCGAGTGTAAGGGTTGCGTGGTGGGTGCGTGGGGGTTGAAATGGATGTAGAGAGGAGAGAGAGAGAGTGAGGGGGGTTTGTATAGTTGTGATAAATGGTATTGAACATTTTGATTCTTGCGCGCCGCGTAGTTGGGTATAGTCGATTGGATGTTGAAAAGAGAAGGATTGAGAGTAAGAAGAAGGGAAAAATGGAGAGAGAGAGAGAAGGACGAGATAGCTGTACTGCTCCTCCTGCTGCTGCTGCGCGCCTTGCCTGCCATGAGATACGCCATTGCCCTGACCAACCCAACCCAAACCACACCCCTCCCCCACTAAACAAGCACATCCCCGCCCCCCCTCCTCGCCTCCGCCACCACACTTAGCACAACATGCTCCTCAAACACAGGTCCCTGGCCATCACAGCGCGCGCGCCCGCGCAGGCGCTCACACACGTCCGCGACGTCGACGACGCCGGCCGCGACGAGCGGGTGCGCTTGCAGCAGGTCCCAGGTTGCGGCTGCGCTGAGGGGCTTGCTTGGTGCTTTGCCCGCGCCGCTGTTCTTCTCCCTTGTTTTGCTGTTACGCGGCTCTACGCCGTGCCGCCGTGGCTCCGTGCTACTCCGCCGCTCCAGCGTCCCTGTCGCGCCGCCCTGCCCGCGGACGGACGTGTACGCCTCCCCCACACCCGTACCCTCACTCCCACTCGCACTTCCCCCACTCCCACCTCCAGACCCAGCAGCCAGCGCGCCCGCAACGCGCAAAATCTCGTTCTCCGTCTCGGCGCGCTTCAGCAGCAGCGTCAGGCGCTCGTTGTCGTTCTGCAGGCCTTGGGCGCTGGCTTCGAGGTCTGCGAGCTTGGCTTCTAGCTCGCGGACGTGGCGTTCTTTGCGCTCGCGGAAGGCGCGCTGGGCGGCGCGGTTTTGGGCTTTGCGGCGGGACTGCGCGGGGGTGGGGGTGGTTGTGTTTGTGGTGGGGTTGTTGGTTGGGGAGGAGGACGAGGTGGACGAGGTGGAGCGCGCGCGCCGGTGCGAGGTGTGCGCGGGGGGGGAGGCGTGTGTGGTCGTGGTGTGGTTGGTGTTGTGGGCGTTGGCGCTGTTGTAGCTGTGTGGTTGGGTGCTGCCCGGGAGGCCGGGGCTCGGCGGGTGGGCGTGCGAGGACAGGCTGCCGAGATCTAAGTCCAGGTCCAAGTCCATGTCCATGTCCATGTCGTCGAGGCTCAGGGCGATCGGGCGGTGTAAAGGCTGCTGTGACGGCGGTGGAGGCGGAGGCGGAGGTGGTGGTTGTGGAGCGCCGGCGGGATAAGAGAAGGCATGGTAGGGGAGGTAAGAGTCGAGGTCCTGTGGTTGTGGGGTCAGGTTGTTAACGATAACAAAGTGTCTGTGACGTTGCGAGTAAGTACCTTGTCGATCGCCGGGGCGGCGGAGTCGTAGGACGGCGTGGCGGCAAAGTATGGCGCTGGGAAGTAGGAAGCGTAGTCCATGCTGCGAGGGGAGGTTCGGGAGGAGGGAGTAGGTATGGAGGTGTAGGTAGGTGTAGGTGTAGTAGGCAGCAAGTAAGCAGACAGAGAGAGTCACGTACGTATAGAGAAACAAGAAGACCAGACCAGACCTACGATATATGTACATACATATCACTCAGCACGCAAAGCAAACGGCAAGCCGGGCACGCCTCGCCAGCCCTAACACTCATCTCTCTCTCGGCTTTCCCAAGCTTCCGCCAAGCTACGACGTACATGCATCCTTTCGCTGACTGTCGCATCGACCCGCATGCCCTTGTCCTGACCGCCCCTGCTTGCATGCTTGCATGCGTTCTCTCTCTCTGCATCCCACGCCTCTCTTTCTTTCTTTCTTTCTTTCTTTCTTTCTTTCTTTCTCTCCGACACGCTCGCGCTCTCTTCCCCTTCCCTACCTTACCGTGGGTACCTGGTTACCTTCCTCTCTTTTCCCCTCGCATCACCACGCACGCGCGCGCGCCACAGCCCTATTCATCACACTCCACTCACACCCCGCGACACGAACAGCTCCACCCACCCGCGCTCAAAATAGCTCCATGTATGTATGTACCTGCCTCTGTACGGCACCTCTTGCTGCCGCTGCCGCCCTGCTGCCGCTGCCGCCCTGCTGCCTTGCCGCATGCCGCACGCCGTTGCTTTCTGCCGACCGCATGCCTGCCTGTGTACGTACCTACGTATGTACAGCTGTTCGGCGCGCCCGCTGCGTGCTGGTGCCTGCCATCTGCGTAGCTACGCACCGTGCCTCAATATCGTCGCGTCTACGACACGCGACATGGCGCGGTACCTGCGCGCACTGTCCTACACGTGTCTCGCGAGCCGGGCCGTGGTGCCGTCGCGTGAGCGGCTGCTTGGGTGGGTGGTTCTCCACGAATGGATGGATGCGGTCGTATTGGAAATGCCCGCCTCTTCGCCTATGACGCGGTGTTAGAGCCTGCGTGCGCGTGGACGAGGCTCCCGCGCGCGTGCCGACGCGTCGTTAGGTACGAAGTGGCTTCGAGAAGCTCGCTCTCTACCTTCCATAGGCAATTGCCCAAAACCACCAGATCACGCAGATGAACAGCATCCCACCACAGCATCGCAGCGGCCACCAAAAAACGCCGGCAGCCGTGCAGGGTGTAACCTCTCCAGCAGGCGCAAAACGGCGGGCGGGATCTCCGTCCCTTCAACCCTAACCGTTACCCCGGCGTTTACAGTCTGGAACCATCGTCCAAAAGGAACGCTATCGGCTGATTTCTGCAGGGATGCAAAAAAAACAAACAAAAAACATACGGCAGCTGGGATTCGCTAGTGGTCACCCACCTAACTACTAATCAGCCGGTTCGCGGCTTGTGTATGGCAGAGCGGACGGGATGCCCAATTCTCCGCGACCTATGGTCGTATGTGCCGAATGTTGTGGTTGTTGATGGTTATATACTGAGAAAGTTTGGTGTTTACTTGGTATGCTTGCGTTGAGCGTTTAGCTGGCCTACGAATGTATTGTGTGAGAACAGCTTTAGTGTTTTTCAATGAAGTAACATCCTTTACCCAAAACGGAGTTCACCGTTCAGCGAAGTCGATCAATTAGACCATCATTAACAGCGTGTCGCATTGGTCTCCTCGGCTAGAGAATTCGGGTTTTAATCGACCAGTTTCGCTGAACGGTGAACTTCGCTCATGGGTGAAGGAGGTTAAACGATGTTGAAGTATGAACGTTAGATACGCTCCGAATAGCTTTACATGATCCTGATCTCTTGCTCTGGAATTAACTGTATCACATTTCGGATGCGTTGAGGCACTCCGAATGTTCCAACCCTTTCATAGGCGTCTTCCTTTTCATGTTTCACTAACAATAGACCGTGTTTTTCTGAAATCAGTAACACTTTCTTTTCCTCCGTGCTGGACAACCTGGAATCATCGTCCACGTCAAAATCTTCATATATCAAAATCATCTTACCTCTTGGCAACTCAATACCCTTAGATTCGTCTCCAGTGTCTCCGGATTGCCAGTGCCATTTCAAAACGGGGCCCTCGATTGTTAGAATGCCGGATTCCACATCTCCATATCGTTTTTTTTCATCGACGTACTTCATTTCCACCTTGACAACTTTTGCGCAGGCTTCCTCGACATCTCCAAAAGTATACCAGCATTCTCCTTCAATGCTAGCCCAGCTCCAACTTGGTGTTTGGCCACCGATTCTTTTGCTTTTGCTTTTGTTATAGTCTATAGATGAAGCAGGTTCCCAAAGTAGAGCCTGCGGAAGGTCTCCTTGAAAAAGTCCAGCCAAGTAGTGGTCTCCCCTTAATTTCTCGAACTTGCGAGTAATAGCACCAATAGCTACAAGCTTATCCTTTTTGGGGTAAGTCAAACTCAGTTTGCTGTAGGCTTGCATATGCGGCTCCCACTTCAAATTGCCGGGTGTATCAATCGAGAATGGCAAATGAGGAGAGCTAATATATTGACCGTCAAGCTGGGAAACCTCGCTATATATTCCCACGTTACATTCCCAAAATATTTAGTTGGCGCCGAAATGCAGGATCCTCGGAGAAAGGAGTCTTTCTTAATAAACCCAAGCGCGCGATAAAAGCGATAGCCTAATCAGGCTGAGAATGCTGTTTTTAGGATTTTTAATGTACTAATGTATGCCGGTATTTTCTTAAGTGTTAATTAGAGCTATATATAGTTGTAAGTCTCTAACGTTTCTTTAAATAAACGCTCCCTAGTCAGGATCCGAAGCTCGGTTAATAGAGATGTTTAGAATATAGTTCTCGTATATATTGGCTATGGTTCTCGCGTGTTCGCCCTAGTCATCTTCATCATCTTAAATAATGCAAAGGCTGTCGATCTATAGATATTTAATATATAATTCGACACATGTGTCTATAGCATCTCTAAAGGACTTTGGAAGCTCTTTATCGCGCAATCCTTCTTTTAGGACTTAAGATATGTTATTGGTTGTTAGAGTGAAAGGTTTCCCACGTCCCAGCAGTGGCTCAAGGCGGTATAAGGTTCCTGATGTGAATGTTCCTAAGATTCAACTAGCGATAGCGTCCTTTTATACGTATCGATGAGTCGTTTGGGACGCCGGTTGAAGGTGGGATGCGGGCAGTTGTAATGTTCCTTGAGATAGGTATTAGGCCATTGCCATGCCATTTTCATGGCCGTTGGACCACCGGTACTCGGTGAAATGCAGGCGCCGTCAATGTCTTTGAATGCCTGAAAAGGCTTCTTTGCTGCAATGGCATTTTGCGCTTGTTCAAAAACTTCAAGGGAATTGAAGGGATGCTTTCTCAAGACCCATTCAAAGGCTAGTTCGAAAAAGACGTCTTTCAAGGCAGGCTTGTAGGAGATGTAAAGTGAGGAGTAGGACAATTTAAGGTTGAAAAGAGGCTGAGAGGAGGTGTGAAATTGATTGTCGTCGATTCTCTTGTTGTGGAAATCGTCCCTGAGCTCTTCCTCGACTTTCATGCAAATCTTGCAACCAGCCTCAGCGGTCATCTTCAGATCCGTAACATTTTTGTGATGGGCTCTTTCCTCTCTCCAATCAGTCTTCTCCCTGAGAACCACGATGCACATTGCATATAGCATCGTGATGTTACGACTCGCCAGATGTGCCCAAGATCCGGAAGTATGGGGTTTGAAGGAAGAGCTGAACTCTCAACAAGGATATAATGGATATCTTCTTGGTGATCTGATGGAATTGACGCGTAGGTTTATTGCTTGGCTTAGTGTAGCTAACCTTAGGATCACTAACGGTGAAAAATAATTAGTCTAAATGTAAATAATAATGTCCGTCACCGCGAACCGAGATTCACCTTATAGCGAGACAGGGGACAATATAAGCAGTCCCTATAGAGTACTCCTTGCCTAGCTCCCAGTTCGAGTCCTGGGTATGGGTAAACTGCTCTTAGAGCACGTATGGACTCTACATACCTTAACTGGGTCTCTTCTTCTACTCTATACACGTATCACCATCTCGCTTCACGGTGACGGACGTTACTAGTGATGAGTTATCTAAAACAGATAATGCACGGTGTTCGATGCTCCAAAGGGGTTGTAAAGCGAGAGAGATGATGCTGTGTATGGCGATTTGTACTCCTAAAATCAGTACTCTTAAAGAAAAGTAGCCAAGGTAATGTGCAACCGCAGTGTGGATAACTAAAAGCATGAATGGATGAAAGGACATCAGTGTTTATGATGGCGAGGCTGCCTTCTTCAAGGGAGGTATTATCGCGAGGCTGAGACACTCGGATACGTGGACGAATAATAGCGCATATACATTCTCGCCAAGCTGAACAACAAAACAATCCTAGTAAGAGAAACTCAGCCCTATTAGCCGCGATTGGAGGCGGTAAAATGCATGAATGGAGTGCTGGTGACATACTGCTGCACTCATTAGGTAGCTAAGGAGTTTAACCGTCTAGCTAGTTATAGTCGCGCCCCGTCGAACGTATATTTGTAAGCAGTTAGCAGACCGTACGCGTACCTGTAAAAAAGGTACCGTCCTATAGTAACGGAGCATGATTTATCTAGACGGTGGCGGACTAAATCTATACATAGGGGAGTTGATTTATAGTAGCGTTGCGGAGTTGGAGAGACAGTGTTGACATGATCGATATTAAAGTTAGCCTGTATAAAAAGGATGCTACGGATATAGTAAGTGACCTGGTTTGTGCCCACGGTAGTAGCAGGGCCTCCACCTACCTTTCATCTTTAAATGTTTTATTGACTAGACTGAGAGGGAACGCGGGCTGGACGATTTGCCACCCTGTAGGTAGCGGAACTAGGACCCGTTTCCGAAATAATCGTTTAGAAAGCCTATTTCAAAGAGTTTAGCAAGTTTGAATGCTTTAGATGATTTTCGAAGGAGCGATGACGATACCTGGTAATTTATGAGCTGAGTTGTCTGTGCTAACTATCAACAGCAGTGAGGTAAACATTGAGCGATAAATCACAGATGAGCAAGCTTCCAATTGCCCGAATTTTCTCTTTATTTTAGTCTCTAATATCTAGGCGACCAAGACTGGACAATAAAAGGTGAGTCCTTCTAAGAAAGACATCGATGAGGTAATAGCTAGGACGAATAAGTTTCCGAGGAGCAACAGGCAAGTACTAAACCTAACTACATCTACTCAGAACTACTCGTAAGCTTCTTATTTAGTGTTGAATTGGCTGGTGGTGTAGTTTTAATACGGGCCGAAAGTTATAGCATCCTACTACCAGCCCCGCAGCCTCGAGAACCTAGTTTACATGTAACGAAGCATCCAGGTCTCTATCTCGGTGATAGCGGGGACATAGGCGCCGTAATCGCCGGGCTTTATAACGAACTCATCCGGGTGGTTAGGCGGAAGCCAAAGCGTGGAGCACATAGAGTAGTTCTTGCCGTCGTCAAGGTAGTCCGGGAAGCCGAAGGTGTAGCCCTACGTATAAGTTAGCAGGTCTATTTCGCAAGTTATATACTCGACGTCTAGTATATACCGTTTCGTGCAGCAGAAGCGCCCAGCTGCCATTAAGTATCTTACTGCCAACTGTTTTCCAGCCGTATAAGCTGACGATAAATTAGGATCCGCTTACCGCGGCCATAACATCAGTTCCCCAGCTAGGATCGAGAAGAAAGTAGTAGTGGTAGCGTTTATCTGCGCCGCCATCGCAGCCACTATAATCACTATCGGGGTATAGGTAGCGCGAATAGGCGGGGTTACAGGTCGGAGAGCCGTCGGTATTAGTATAGCCTGTACGGATATCGAAGCCCTTCGTAGAGCCCTCTACTAGGTTCTTATCTTTTACCGCCTATCCGATCACGTTAAACCTGATATCCTTATACGGGAAGTTATCGTAACCGGGCAGAAGGTCGAGCTAGTATTTAGAGTTCTTCTCATACACGGCTACGACTTCCCGGCGCGTAGCCTCGGTTAACGTCTTGTTAGAGCCCTAGCGCATACATACGTTGATTGTTCTAGATATCGCATTTTTTATAAGCAGCTAGGTATTAAAGGAAGAGCTTTAATAGTCGAACATACCCGTCTCCGTCTACAAGTTGGTCTATCGTCTAGTTAGGATATTCTATTAAGATAGCTTCGGGGGTCTTAAGCTCCGATCGAACCTAAGTATTATCCTAGGCCTTTAAGACTAAGGTCTTCTATTTCGCCGGTATGTTATCGGGAGTCAGCATGCAGCTGCTAAGTAGGAACAAAACCGCAGTTGCGGCGAGCAAGGAGAACGAGTAAAGCAGCATTAAGGCCGGTGGTGGAGTTGGAGGTGTTGATTTAGAAAAAAAGGTAAAGATCGAAACTGCCATGAGGATAAGCTACTTTTAAACGTTGCCATACAAGAAAAGGGATATACTGTAAGAACGTTGACGTCGATTAGGGAGGTGCCCATGCTCAGGAACGGACACTTACTAAGCTGAGCGTGCATTAATAACGGGATTCAAGAGAGGCCCCGATTGGACGTTTTCCGAGGAGTAGTCGACTTCTGTGTCGTTCCAATGAACAGACCAGTCATATACTCCACCAACGTTTGTATTTTACAAGCTTGCTATATATAAACGAGCCAGCCAGAACTCCGGACAATGGGCAAGGCGTGCAGCTGCTCCGTTCATAGGTAGTTGCACCCTAGGAAATCTGTTGCGAGGATATTCGTACGAATTAGCCGGCTACTGACTTGGCCCATGTTTGTACTTTAGGCGGCTACTCCACTTATGGGGCTATCTTGCTTTGACTTGGAATTTCCAGGAGCGTAGGGAAGGCACTTGCCATCTACCAGGCGAAGCAGTTAAAGGAATTGCCTGCAAATGCTAGACCACGCTAACCAGGACAGTAAGGTTAGAACAACGGCAGACAGGCCGCATGACGCAGTCGTTAGGCTGGGCGCTGATCGGCGCTAGCTAATCGTCGGGTTGAGAGCTTGCTGATTGGCGGATACCCGGTGATGTACTACGCTTACCATCCTTTCTAGTTTTAGCCGCAGCGTCGCCGGCGAAACCGTCACTGGCGAAACCGTTAGATCGGAGCTTGCTGATTGGTGGATACATCCTTTTCCAGTTTTGGTTGTATCCGGAGCCGGAAGCACTAGAATTTCGAACTGTGGTGTAAGGTTTTTGCTGACTTGAGAGTGCTGGTTATACCTAGTATGTTCAAAGATATGCGGCAGTTGCTTCCATAAGTTTCTTAATAGAAAATACGGTAAAATCAATTCTAACGTCGTCGTAAAGGGGAACTCGAGGCTTTACTTGCAGTCAAATGGCAAAGCAGTGTTCCTCAGTGTAGTGAACTCGTAAGGCAGGACCACACAATAAATCAGTGTTCGACTTCGCTGTTCCTATTAAAGTAGATACCAGAAGCTCTCGAAGATAGTTTGAATGCTGGAAAGGGGTTAATCTGTTTGTTTAGCACGCAAAAATGCAAAATTAAAACCCGGTCTTCTCGTCTTAAAAGAGAATGAGGCCAGTTTTCTTTCAATGAAGAAGGCAAGCAAAACAAAAATGAGAGGAGAGAGCGACAGCAAAAAACAAAAACATACAACAGCTGGGATTCGCTAGTGGTCACCCACCTAACTACTAATCAGCCGGTTCATAGCTTATGTATGGCAGAGCGGACGGGATGCCCAGTATTCTATGACCTGTGGTCGTATGTGTTTGGTAAATGGTGCTTGGTGGTTTATATTGTTGGCGTCAATGGGCATACGAGACACGAGCTTCGCAGCAGAGTCTTTACCTTCGAAACCGTGTCGTTGTGGTCTGGAGGCAGCCCGTTCCAGGCCGTCATGTGGCCGACTGCGCCCCTTTCCGCGTCGATTTCCGAAAAGATTGATGGACGGATGGCGATTGGGATGAAGAGTGGTGACGGAGGCGGTGGTGGCGGCGGAATGGCAAGAAGGGTCTACTTAGTCATAAAGCCGTGACTAAGCGCAACCAATGGGGCGAAGCTGAATCATTCAGCAGTTATCATTCCGATTGCCCGCCGGGAAATCCTCAACGCCAGATCAACATCCTCACAACCCCGCAATGGCCTCCACAGCTCCCCGTTCGCGCTGCATGCGCCTGGGCGTCTCATCCTTAACCTCGCGACCCTCAATCCAGCGCCTCCCCTCCGCATCACTGGCCCGTCGAGCTCTTGCCACCGCTGTCGCCGAGCCCACGGCTTCCACGACCTCGAAGCCCCGCCCGCGCACCAATTTCGCCGACAAGCTCAATGCAGGCCCGTCGTTTGGGGACTTTGTCGGCGGCGGCAAACCTGAGACTCCGCTGAATTCCGAGGAGATGCTCGAGCTGCGGACAGCCATGGTCGGGCCCGAGGGCAAGAAGAAGCAGATTACGCGGCTGCCGTCGTGGCTCAAGACGCCGGTGCCCATGGGCGACAACTTCAAGAAGATCAAGAACGACCTGCGCGGCCTGAACCTGCACACCGTATGCGAGGAGGCGCGTTGCCCCAACATCAGCGACTGCTGGGGCGGCTCCTCCAAGTCTGCCGCTACCGCCACCATCATGCTTATGGGCGACACATGCACGCGCGGCTGTCGCTTCTGCAGCGTCAAGACGTCGCGCGCCCCGCCGCCACTGGATCCCCACGAGCCCGAGAACACGGCCGAGGCCCTGCGCCGCTGGGGCCTGGGCTATGTCGTCTTGACGTCGGTCGACCGTGACGACCTTGTCGACGGCGGCGCGAGGCACTTCGCCGAGACGATTATCAAGATCAAGCAGAAGGCGCCGACGATGCTGGTCGAGGCGCTGACGGGCGACTACGCGGGAGACCTGGAGATGGTGGGCGTGGTGGCGCGCAGCGGACTGGACGTGTACGCGCACAACGTCGAGACGGTTGAGGCGCTCACGCCGTTTGTGCGCGACCGTCGCGCCAAGTTCAGGCAGTCGCTGGCTGTGCTCGACGCGGCCAAGAAGGCGAAGCCCAGCTTGATCACCAAAACCAGCATCATGCTCGGCCTGGGCGAGACGGAGGAGCAGCTCTGGGACACTCTCAAGGGTACGTAATGTCCATTCCCACCCAACTGATTTCGTGGGTTCATCGCAGCAACGAGCGCTAACATCCGTCCCGCAGAACTCCGCAAAGTCAACGTCGACGTTGTCACCTTCGGCCAGTACATGCGCCCCACGAAGCGCCACATGAAGGTTGAAGAATACGTCACGCCCGCCACGTTCGAGGCATGGCGGCAGCGGGCCCTGGACCTGGGCTTCCTGTACTGCGCGTCAGGCCCGCTGGTGCGCTCGTCGTACAAGGCCGGCGAGGCCTTCATCGAGAACGTGCTCAAGAAGCGCATGGCGCAGAACAGCGACAAGGAGGTCCCAGTCACGCAGGTCACGGCGGCCGAGGAGGTCGCGAAGCTGCGGTCTGAGAGCTAAAATTGACAAGAAGCTGTCGGGACTGGAGCGGGGTGTTGTGGGATGTTTGAGAGGATAAGGACGGTGTTATTATTTCTATTTTTCCCCTTCCTAAGTAAGCAGGGCGCTGGCTTGAGAGGGTTTAACAGTTAATCGCATGGTTTGGCGTTTGGCGGTGGCTTTAACAACGGCGGATTTTGGAAAACTACTCCACCATGGTGGTGCAGCAATGTTTCCGCGGAAGGATCCAGGTACTGTACAGCTCAGCTTAGCCCAAGTATCTTTCAACAGAGTCTCAGGCTTTGGCTTCAATTTACTCTTGACAAGCTTGCTACAGCAACATCAACACCACCAAAAACTCTGAACCTACCATGCCGTCCCCACCCATTCATCAACAAGCTACAGCCCCCACCACCAGCCACCCCTAGCATCCCCCCCAAGCTCCCCAAATACCCCCTCACCCTCCCCACAATTGATTCGAAAGCCCGTGAGCCGTGTATTTTGTTTTCTTTTTCGTCGAATTTAGCGTCTCTGGTCATTTCGATGCAACGATGACCTGACAAACAGTGAACCGACAAACAACACTAGACGCCAGAACCTTTCGCTCTCAAACAACAGCTCTCAAGGCGAGCTTGGGGCTTAACAGGCTACTTCCTGGTTTTCAAACACCTATATGGGCCGGTCTCCAATTCCCGCTTTCGGATATAGCGCGCGCAGCAGCTGACGTCGGTGCCGCATCACGTGGCTGGAATTTAGAACCCGAACAGCACCTAACCACCATACTTTGTAATCCCGCCCGCGCATGTGCACTGCGTATTCCGGCTGGCAAAGATGAGAGGCAATGGGGTGGTTAGAGGGAGATGGCATTGTCTGGCACTTGAGTCTTCCTTGGTCCTATATCCAACTACCTCTTCCTTCCTAAACAATCTCCGGCCTTTCCTTCTCTGTAATGTTTTGCTGAACTTTACGTTCCACCGCATAAAAAACATGGGTAGTCGTGGCTTTGATCGCGCTGGTAGCAACTACCGATGAATGTCCAGGTTGGGGGGATTTTTGTGTAGCTACCCGGAAACCTCCTTTTTGAAATTTTTCGTTTCTAAGGTCCGTCACCCTCAAGCGAGATTCACCGCCTAATGAGACAAAGGCGCTTGTACAGAGTGGAAGAAGAAATCCAGTTAAGGCGTTTGTGTAAGTGTAGTCTCTAAGACCTTTTCATTCATATCCAGAAGTTAGGCTTGCAGCTAGACAAGGAGCATTCCGTAGGGACTGCTTGTATCGTCCACTGTCTCACCAGACGGTGGATCTCGGCTCGCGGTAAAAAAAATACATAAAACCTTTGTTCGCGTTTACATGCTTTGTATCTTTAAAAGTGCCGAAGGTACGTTTACTCCCCGTTGTTTTATCCACTGTCTTCCAGTCTCGGTACCTACCCATAAATGTCAACGCGCCCCACAGTTGGACTATGCAAGGATCTACCTAAATAACGTCTTCATTACACAGCTTCTACAAAATTGCTTTGTGATCTCAGTCCCTTATGGTATTTCTAAGCAAAACGTCACCGTTCCACTGTCTTCTAAAAACTGGGCTCTCGGAATTCAACCTCCGAACTGCTTACAGAGCAGAATAGCAGAAGATATATAGTCTATATAAATATTTAACTACTCTGTTAATGCACTGCAGTCGAAAAAAAGCATTGAGATACCATAAAAACAACTTTGCATCTCATACAATGGCTCACGCGCTCATCCTTGGAGCCTCTGGCATCTCCGGATGGTCTCTTCTGAACCAGACGAGGATCTACCCTACTTCGACGACATTTGTTCGCATCACCGGCACCACGAATCGCCCTTTCACCTTGGAGCAGGCTCATATCACTCAGGATCCTCGAATGCAAATTGCTTCTGGAATCGACTTTACCAAGTCAGTCGAGGAAGTCGCGCGCTTGCTGAAGGAGAAAATCCCGGATGTCGACACGGTCTCTCATGTGTTTTTCACCGGTAAGTGAAAAATTAATAAAAGGATAAAGGTGATAAAGTACTAAACCGCACAAAGCATACATTCAAACAGACGACTTTGAGAGCCTGAAGAAAGTAAACACCAGTCTTCTAGAAGTCGCCGTGCGGGCCATCGAGACCGTATCTCCCAAACTCGAAGTTGTAATTCTACAAACCGGTGGAAAAGGGTAAGAGAACAGTGAACAGTTCTCCGCTACACCAACAAGCTAACCAAGAACAGTTACGGACTCGAGTTCCCAAAAGAGGTCAAAATCCAGCCACCACTCAAAGAAAGCTACCCGCGCATCCCCGAGCCCTGGGCCAGCAATATCTTCTACTACACGCAATACGACCTGCTCCAAAATCTCTCCGAGGGAAAAGCCTGGACCTTCTCCGAAATCCGCCCCGACGGCATCGTCGGCTTCACTCCCAGCTCGAACGCCATGAACCAGGCCCAGGGCATCGGCATCTATCTCACCGTTTTCCGCGAAGTGTACGGCGCTGGTGCTGAAGTCCCGTTCCCTGGCTACGAGCACGGATATCATTCCACGCACTCCGACACGTTCCAGGATATCCTGTCCAAGATGGAGATCTATGCTGCACTTAATCCCGATAAGTGCGGAAATGGCGGCGTCTTTAATGTTGGTGATGGTAAGACCGTGTCGTGGGCGCAGGTGTGGCCAAGGCTCTGCGAGTACTTTGGCCTTGTTGGGACGGGGCCGGTGAAGAGCTCGAAGTCGATGCAGGATTTTGTCAAGGAGCACCGCCATGCGTGGGCGGCTTCGGTGGACAAGTATGGCGTCAGTGCGGATGTTGTGGATAAGCAGGGCTGGGGTCATACTCATTTCATGGTTGTTGATTTTGACTTCGATAGGCAGTATGATCTGACAAGGTCGCGTGAGGTGGGGTTTACGGAAGAAATCGATACCGTGGAGGGATATTTCCAGGCTTGGGAGCGGATGAGGTCTGCTAAGATTCTTCCTCCACTTTAAATATCGGTTTAGGTCTATGGAGCAAGTGGCGTTTTGTACCAAAATAGATTGATGAAATAGAACGCGCAGTGTTTTATTTCATACAACAAGATGAGCTTTTAGTGTAGACTGACTTATACGCTTCCCGAAGATTGATTTTCAACAGTTTGACCCATTCAATAGCTCAGACAAGACAAGGTTATTCGTAGAGTACGCATTCAGTGTTACCAGAAAACAATGTACCTAAATCGCCTTCGGAATACCAAAAATTTTAGTTCCTTGTACCTAAGAAACCTAAAAAGACTGGAATGTTGCAAGTACCAGCAAAGAGATAGTATGGGGCCAATAAGGATCGTGACAGACAATTTCTGCGCTAAAGCTCAGCGGCTTTTCCCAGAGGATACGCTCCAAAAAGTTCAAAGCATGGCGACGGCCCATGCGACCGAGGCCAACGATGCCAACTTGAAGTTTTTTAGGAGCCATGGAGGTAGTGAGCTAGAGTAAGATGAAAGAGAGGATAGAGAGCTGATAGCATACTGTTCGAACTTAGCGCCTGTCGTCGCTTTGTCCCCGCGCATCCGGAATATAGAGTCCAAGATGGTATAGGATAACTGCCGGCATGATTAGCATCACTATCCATGAATCCGAATATTATTTTTGAAAGAGAATGAATCACTGGCACTCATGTATGACAAACGGTGTAAGACATGTGGCTGCGCCAGAGTATGCAGGGATGATGTAGCCAACCGCATTCGGTTAGTCGCTATGAATCATATTGAGCGACTGGTGATCTGCACTAACGCACCAATCACGATGCATCATCGTCGAACTCAGCCTCACTAAGAACTGCATTCTTAGATTGTTAAAGCTGTATATAAGGAGTTGTTCTGCACACGAAAAAATAGTAGACACAGTTTGAGACACGCAAAGCAAAGACTCAAATGGTGAACGACATACTTGACGCACTTTCGGGTGGCTCTTTGCCGCCCCAATCTTCCTATACCATCCTTTTTTCGGCTTTGGCAGGCTTGTTCCTCGTCACAGTCTATCAGTGGTTGAAAGCGCCTAAGATTCCGACTATCAATTCCTACCCTAGAGATTGGATGCTTAAGAAGGCGCATAAGGATTTTGAGCAAAACGCAAGAGCTCTTATCCGCGAAGGGACTGAAAAGGTATGCTCGAAGGATGCTTAAGTCGATGACCGAAACATTATTAACGGAGAACATTTAGTTCAAGGGGCCTTTCCGCATTATCACTGCTCTCAGTTCCACTATTCTCGTCCCAACGGAGTGGTCGGAATGGGTGAAGAATTGCCATGATCTTGACCACTTGGAACATACCCACCATGTAAATCGACGCTGTCAAGCTAAGGAATTTAGGAGCTCAGACTGACGCTCAATGATACAGGAATTTTTTGCAGGGTACCCTGGCTGGGAAGGAATCACTGCGGCTGTCAGTGATCCAGATAAAATGCTAATCGAGGTCACGAAGGGCAAGCTTAACCAGAACCTACGTATGAAACAGCCTGAATCCCACCCAAGTTATCTTTCAATATGCTAACCATGACCCTCATACAGAGTGTAAGATTTTCCGGGAACGGATTACAACCGCCCTCGACGAAACCTGGAGCAAAAAGCAAGGTACGAAGTACTCCCAACCGAGACTATGACTCCCTCATTTCAAGCACCAGCTAACGGCCGGTCCTTTCTAGAATGGCACAGCATCGACTGGCACACTGACTCAATGACCTTCATCAGCCAGGTCTCTGCTGCCATCTTTGTCGGCCCAGAGCTGTGCAGCGACCCGGAGTGGCAAGACATCGCGATCACCTACGCGACCAACATGTTTCTCGCGACGCGAGCTCTCCGCACCTACCCCCGCTTCACAAGGACCGTAGTCAACTGGTTCCTGCCCGAGAGCAGCAAGTGCCGCGAGCAAGTGCGGCGCGGCCGCAAAATGGTCCAAGACGTGCTGAACAAGCGCGCGGCGGAGAAAGAGGATGCTCTTGCGCAAGGGCTAAAGCCTAAGAAGTACGAGGACACGCTCGCGTGGTTGGAGGAGCGGGCGAATGGGAAGCCGTATGATGCTGTGGCTATGCAGCTTGGCTTTGCCATGGCTGGCCTCCACACTACCACCCAGCTGCTTAAGCAGGCGGTTTTGGATATTTGCGGTCAGCCGGAGCTGGTAACCCCGCTTCGCGAGGAGATTGTGAAGGCAGTGGCTAAGAGTGGATGGACGACTGCTGGACTGTACAAGATGCAGCTCTTGGATAGCGTTGTCAAGGAGACACTGAGGCTGAAGCCTGGGATGTTGGGTAAGTTAACAATTCACCTTGCCCTCTTTCTTTTAATCCATTCACTGACGAATTTCTGCCATTGAAGCCAACCTGGAACGTCGGACCCTTAGGGACATCACTCTTCCAGATGGCACCAAAGTCTCGCGCGGCACCAATGTGTCCGTCGACAGCTCGCGCATGTGGGACCCAGCCGTTTACGGCGACACCGCAAATCGCTTCGATGGCTTCCGGTTCCTGCGTCTGCGGCAAGAGGGCTTGACAACAGCATCCATGGTGTCGAGTAGCCCTGAGCAGTTCACTTTTGGCATGGGCAAGCATATCTGCCCTGGTCGCTTCTTCGTCCATAACGAGGTTAAGACCATGTTGGCGAGCATCTTGCTCGACTATGATGTGCGACTGGCGGATGGTTATACGCCGAAGTTCGTGGAGTTTGGCTTTGAGATTATTGCGGATCCGTCACCGAAGGTGGAGGTCAGGAGGCGGCAGGTATAAGGGATGACGGTATTCGTCTAACATTCTTTTCAGTTTCCTTCATGAGAGGGCTTTAGAGTTTTAGAAGAAGATTTTATGCATTTTCGAAGATGGCTGCATTATTATTAGCATGGTTGAAGTGTGAAGCTGGCCGAGGGGCATCGCGGATTCCAGTCCTTTCCATTGTTTATAGCGTTGTCTCCCTTATTTGTTGAAGCTTCCAACTGTCACCGACTTTATGATTCGATATTATCCCATACCATATTTGCTCCCTTCTATACCGTAACCACTCTGCTAACTGTAAGCCACAGCTTGGTAAGATTTGAGGGCCTTTTTACTCACAGTCCAGGGCATTTTTCATGGCAAGGTCGTGCCATATTCGCAAAAGGGCATACCCCTAGGTTGCTATTATAGACTAATATAATTTTCCTGTTGTTAAGATAAGTAGTTAATGGTCTCGCTAATAGCCCCTGATAATTTACCCACCCCTTTAAGATATTTTACCTACCCCTTAGCTACATGTTAAGTTAAATCTACGATACCTATAGAATACTCCTTAGGTAGTTATAACTATTCTATAATACTACGGCTAGTAGGCACTATATAACTATATAAAAGTAAGAAGATATAATATATAATAGTAAAATTTTATAGAAGTTCTAGAGTATTCCTTACAGGTATAGAGGTATAGATATATATAACTACTAGAGTATCTACGAGGGTATTAAAATAAAATACTTAAAGGGTATAGAGATAGAAGGGTATAGAGACCTAGAATTTTAAAGAATAGAAAATATTTTAAATAACTCTATAGATACTATCGCGTAGAGTAGGCAAAATATCTAGAGGGAGTAGGCAAATTATCCGGTGCCCTCGATAATTTAGCTCCTTAACAGGTTGGCAACTTTACTTTATTCTTGCTTAACTATTATCCACCCACGAATACATCCGGGATGAAAAGAAAGGAATCTTAGTTTTAGGTAGGAAGTTATAAGAACACTAGCTATACTATAAATTCTACGGTCGTCCTACTAGCCCCACCAGGGGATGTCGCTTTTCATAGACCACTCCGAGTACCGCTAGATTCTGCGCATAGCTACCACAACACAACATGATATAACAGATCTTCTTCTCTATAAGAAAGCCAACTTTAGTGATGCGGTCTTTAAAAAAAAGTGGGTAAGAGTAAATTATCACCGCGGGGGCTGAAAACGAAGCTGATTAAATAATTCAATTTTCCGGGTAGTGGCCCATAAATTGTAACCCCATCAGTCCTCCCTGTGATTCTTAAAATGCTCGGCCAAAGAAAAGTTAGCTGAACGTGCGATTTTCATCGTCCGACTTGCTGCGTCGCTTTGACTGTGACTCAGTCGTGACAGCAAAGCCACGGCGTTTAGATCCGGCTGATGCTGCAACGAGGCGTGCTTGCCATGTCCTCTTGACATGGAGGAGGACGTCCAGTGTACGAGTTGCATTATTAAATATATTGCCCAGCTCTGCCAGCGCTCGACAGCACATCTCCAGGTGGCCAGTCAATTGTCGATGGTTCTGAGCATTGGTCTCAGACACAGTAGCATAAACGAGTATGAGTGCGGCGCTGAATGTAATTTGTACGACCTGGATGTTGATTTGACTGAAGGAGTACCACTTTTCGTACCAGGACAAGAGGACGGATATGCGAGATGCTGACCTGACGCACATTTCGCGCGCATGTTGGTGTCCTTGACCAACCTGTGGATACGGTTGGATGTAATGTTTAGCAACGAAAGGACGGTGCAGGAGAATGACCAGGTACTCATATAGCATGCTACTCCGAGATGTTAGAGGATGTCTGCAGTAAAGATCTCCAAACGTACTGTAATACGAGGATGTGGGGAACACATTTGGCAGGCATCGGGCTCTCAAGATCTAGATTGAGCTCTTTTGGTAGGTTAGCTCGCCAAGAGAGCATCTGCCCCCATGTTTTTTCTGCTAGGCTTTGTAACTCCGTCTTTGATGCGTCGGCTTGGAAGTACCTGTATAGATAAGCTGTTGGCCACAGTAAAGCTCAGGCATTCCACTTACAAAGAACCTTCTAGAGGAGACATGATTCTGGATAACTGAACCCACTGCCCAACAGTAACCTCCTGGTAATTTAGCAGCTCGTCTTCCGGGCCACGGTTCTCTTGCGATGTCCCTTCTGTCCAGTGATTACCCTGCTGCTGCAAGAATGAAATGGGCCTTTCCATAGTCACAGCTTGCGAGATATTGTGGAACGGTCTTCCGAGGTAGAGGCTCCACATACTAAAAGAAATATCAGTTCAAGTCTTTGCAACAACTTGCAATATGAAGGCTTTACCGATCTGTAGCAAATGCACCCCAAAATGCTACACTTCGACCCCTTGCTTCTTCTGTTGACATTGTCCCGGCCTCAACGTAAGGCTTTGCACTGATATGTAGACCGAAGTCGATGGCAAGACGAATAGCCATACCTGAAAGCCACGATCTGTTGTTAGCCTTCTTGGTGCCTGATTTTATGTGCATGGTAGACCCGTACCGCTTAAAAGCCAACCTTGCGTGTCCCGAGTACAGGCAGCCTCGTGACTGCTTAGTATTGCAAGCGCTTGGACTGTGGCGATCTGCGGATGCTCCAACTCAATGTCAAGTAGGGTTGTGGCTCGGCTTGCAAAGAACTCCCCCAACGGACTAGGTAGACCAGGATATTTTCGCGTTACAAATAATGCGCCAACGGCACACCTGTAAATCAGTCAGTTTCGTCGCTATGTGTTCAGAAGATTGAGAAGAATGTACATAGTGTTCAAGAGGAATGGAGAATAAAATGAAGTTTTAACGTCTCCTTGTTCAAACTGTTTGCGGGCTTTGTTGAAAGTATTTTGGTCAACAATATACAAACTTGGATTGTGCCACGTGAAGAAGAGATGTAGAAGATGGTCCTCGAGTTTGCTGCTTATGGATTGATCGAGACCAACAGCCTCTAAGCGGGCTTGAGCCTGACGCTCCTTTTCGTTACGTTTTGCATAAAGTGCCGATACAATCCCGCCACGTGCCAAGTTGAAATTCGAAGTGGCGCCATAAAAGTGCTTCTCTCCATTGTCAGTTGTCAACAATGATCCTAGGCGGGCCGAAAGTTGATTTGTGACAGCCAGATGGTCTTCGTCATCCGTGGAATCATCGTCATCAGGTAATGTCGGAGGAGAGGGGTCTGAAGAGCTGCAAAGAGCATTTTCTTGCGGTAATTGACCATCAGAGTTTGGTGTCCATGTCCCGAGCCCGCCAATTCCAATGTCGCTATCCATATGTGCCATCATTGAATGATCCCAGACCCAATCAACGTCAAAACAATGGTTGAATGGCAGCGCTGTTGTGGAATGATTCGGCTGCATGGGTATGTTCATGGAAGGGGCTTCGACATCGTCCGCGGGTGCTTGTAAAATGGCCTGTAGAGATGGAGAAGAAATGTCGAGAGGATCAAGCCTTAGAGCTTGAGGGCTGTCTGACGGGTCGGCAGCGGGGGTATTCACGAGGTCTGGAACGAGCCGTGGATGTTTGTTGAAGGCATTTTCGGGAGAGGTTTCTTGGCTAGAATTGGTATTCGGGGATTCATTGGGCGCATATAGAGTCGAAAGTTGGTTTAACAATGCCTCATGTTCTGGATCTGTAGGAGGGAGAACGAGGTCGTGTGCACGAATGAACGACTCGAGCTGCTTGACACGTTGGGAATAGGCCTCGACGGCTTTGCGGAGGGATAATCTGCTCTAGTCAGCCATGGATTCAAATTGATAAGAGAAACAACTCACTTTCGCCTATCAACTTCAGCGTACAAGCAATTTCGATTTTTCGCGTTACATTGCCGACATACTGGAGTCGCGCCGTCGCACTGAACAGAGGAATGTGAGACCTGGGTGCCCAACCAATGCGTTGGAAAGGAGAGTGCTACCTTGATCTTGTCATCCCGGCATGGCCAACATGCAATGGTGATGTGACGACGGTTCCGGAGGGAGCGAGCTTTGGCTTCTGGCATTTCCGTAGAGGCCTATCTGGAGCTAAGTCAACGGGCTGAGCAACGGGAAACTGCGCTTGGACGAGAGTTGAATCTGACCCGCGAAATCCTTACCCCGCAAATGACGAAACCAACCGAAATACCCCGCACACGTAACAGCTGCAAAGGTTGCCGACACGACAAGAGGGAAAAGAACATGCAAGTCAAGAGTTTGCCGCGCATCAGCCAGATCGAGGCCTGTATACAGGACGGAGCCAATCATCAACCTTGCTCGGGATTGCACTCCGAGAGATGGCAAGCGGGAACGCTAGTCCCAAAGTAGCAACCACTTTCACATCGCCCACTCATGCCTGAACAATTTTAAAGTCTGTTTGCCGTGAACCGAGATCCACTGCCTAGCGAGACAGGAGACGATATAAGCAGTCCCTATAGAGTACTCTGCCTAGCTTACAGCCTGAGTCCTCCGTATGGGTGAAAAGCCCTTAGAGCACACAGAGATTCTGTATATCTTAACTAAGTCTCCTCTTCTACTCTGTATAAGTATTGTCATCTCGTAAAACGGTGAATCGCCCTTCACGGTGATAGGCATTAAGAGCTGTATAGAAGTTTGTAAGGCTACAAACTAAGCGCAAGTCTTCGGATCCGTATAGTACCTGAGCTTAAACCTTGTCAAACGGCTCTGCTTTGATGCTTTCCATTCTGTAACAAAGTAGCCTCAGTCAGGCGAACGACTGTGTCTCTCCGGGAGCCAGGATTGTCGGAGTAGTGATGCATTGCCGGCCTAGTTTTGAATGCACTGTTATCGAAGTATTCCGATAAGGCTTGGTCCACAATAGATGTGAGTTCGGACACCACAATCCGAGAAGCAACGCCAGCTATCCAACCAACACAAATTCCGAACTTCAAGCAGCAGTGTGCCAATAGATCCCATGTAGGTCCATGCAGCTTGCCAAATGATCAATCTGCTAAATCCCGGCAGCCAAAATAGGAATCTCGGAGCAGTCGAAACTAGCGTCATCCCAAGTTACCCCGCATTCCTCGATATCCGATACTTAGTCCTTGGAATCCACTCACGGTTATTCAGTTTTTTAGTGATAGAGCGGGTGGTGCTGCGGAGCGAAACTTGACATTTCTTTCGATTCGAAATCCCACAAGACAACCACAATGGGAGTGAACGCCATCATCATCGGAGCAGGCCCTTCTGGCATTGCTATGGCCCACAAGTTGAAATTCGAGCTCGGCTTTCAAGATTTTACGATTTACGAAAAGTTGGACGGAGTTGGGGGAACGTGGAGGACAAATACGTATCCTGGCTGGTAAGCAAAAGCCCGCCGCTTTAGAAAATGCCAGATCACTTACTGGGAGCATGTAAGCGGTTGTGACGTGCATTCACACCTCTACTCATTCAGTTTCAATCTGAACCCAGACTGGTCAAAGGAGCTCGCTGAACAACCGGAGATATTGCAGTATATTGAAGACACGGTGGACAAGTTCGGTCTGCGTGCCCATGTTCATGCATCCGTGGAGTGCCTTGGTGCTACCTGGGATTCCGCTAGTGAGCAGTGGGGCGTGAAGCTCAAGGACCTCCAGACTGGTATCGTTTTCTGTCGGAAAGCTACGGTGTTTGTGTCTGCTGTAGGAGCCATCTCTATTCCACGGGACGTGAGTATATGGTGTCAACTTTACACCTCGCCGTTATCAACTAACAGTATACTCTAGATCCGTTTCGAAGGGATGGAGAACTTCAAAGGTCCCATGTTCCACACTGCACGATGGCAACATGACGTCGATTACACAGGGAAGAAAGTCGTAAGTTTATAGCGGCGTCTTTGTTTGCCCGGAAGATGCTAAACCTTCGACTTAGGCTGTCATCGGTAGTGGCTGCAGTGCCGTGCAGGTGATCCCCTCAATTTCTAAAGACGCTTCCTCAGTCAAACAGTACGCCCGGAGCCCTCAATGGTACACCGCGCGGCCAAATCGAAACTTCAGCGCCTTGGAGAAGTTCATGTTCCGTTACATGCCGGCCTTGATGCGTCTGCAAAGGTGGCGCATTTTTTGGGGTATCGACAAGCAGTCGTACTCATACCGCGGTACTGAAGCCGGCGTGAAGCAGCGCTTGCGGGAGGAAGAGCAGGCGCGTCAGTATATCCACAGCAAGGCTCCGCAGAAGTACCATGACGTCTTGGTGCCTGACTTTGAGCTTGGATGCAAGCGAAAAATTGCGGATCCTGATTATCTGGAGGTTCTGCACCAAAGCAATGTGGAACTCATTTCCGAAGGCATCCAGAGTATCACTGAAAACGGTATTGTCAGTTCATCAGGTAGAGTGGATGAGTACGATATCATCGTCCTTGCCACTGGTTTCAAGGTCTCCCAGTTTCTTACTCCGATGGAAATCACCGGTGCCAACGGGACTACGCTTGAGCAGCAGTGGAAGGGATGCCGCGGCGCGCAAGCCTATTTGGGCACCTTTGTTCACAACTTCCCCAACCTCGCCATACTGCAAGTCTTCAGCCAGGTTGACAAGGCTCGGTCCACTAACTTTGATCCCAGGTTCGGCCCAAATACATTCCCAGCCAACAACTCAGCCCTCTACGCCTGCGAAGTCCAGGTCGACTACGCAGCAAAAGCGCTGTTCAAGCCGTTGCTGGATAACCGCGCCTCCGTCATCGAAGTCAAAGAGGTGGTCGAAAACCGCACCACCAACGAGATCCAGCTCAAGCTGCAAGGCAGTGTCTTCGCGGGGAATTGTTCCAACTGGTACATCGGCGAGTATGGCCGCAATGCTGCTTCTTGGCCTGGCCTGGCCATCGAGTTCTGGCTTGCCACCCTGTTCCCAGACTGGCAAGCTTTTGATATGAAGGGGGGCAGTAGCATCTGGTTCGTCAATGCCTTAGTTAGGTGGATTTGTAGGCGTAAAATCGAGTGGTGCGTGGTTTTTGCAGTGGCTGCGGCGTTCGGTGGAAGCAAAACACGTGGATCTCTGTTCAACGATGCTGTGAGACATTCTACGTAGTTGTTAGCAGTCCGTCGTTCGAAGTATTCCGCAGTCCAAGTATTACTCACATTAAAATCTTTGGCTTCCAACCCTCACTGTAGACCGTAGCAACGCAAAGGCGAGAACCCCATTTCGAAAATATCTGCGAAGTTCTGGAAGGCGGCTGGCTGATTGACCTGAAGAGGTATGAATATTTTCATAACACTGCGCATGGGCGTGACGAAAACAGTCATGACAAAGTCGATCAGGCATCGGGACAGCAGCCAACAAATACATACCAACGCGGCTACGACGGCATTCTACCAACTCGAAAGAAGAAAGTGGCCAAGCAAGTATGCAGCAAGTCGTCAAAGTTCATCCAGTCCGCTTCCCGCGCGAACTGACCCAGCTCAAAAAACCCAAACATCGACTTTTCTGGATGCGTCTCAATTTCCAATGTCCACTTGCTCCAACTCATCATCTCGTCATACAGCGCAGATGCCGTTCTGCTCCGATCGCTGTACCGGGCCCAGCTCAAGCCGCCGCAGTAAAAAGGGAGGTCTACGCGGCATTTAGCAAACGTATCGCGGAAGGCGCTTTTGTCTCCTGTGCGGGCGTGGTATCCGAGAGTCAAAAGGTCGGCGGTTATCATCGCAGCTCGATCGCCATATATCGAGCCTAGCTGAGCCGGTCTCGTGAATAAATTGACGAAGCCTTCAGATATACCGTCTCTTACCCAGTCGAAGAACTCTTTCATGTGTCGAAGCAGCTCAAGTTGGTCTTTTGAAATCTCCTGGGCAAGCTGCAGCCAAGTTGCAGTGAGAAGTGGATCCCTAAACTTAGGGATAACTTTTTCAGGATCGTCTTCAGTCCTAGATCTTTTCAAAGGGCGAACTTTGATTTTCGAATGAGTAAGAGCGCGAAGTAACGAAGGTGAAGAAAACAGCTGACCTTCAGTCCCTTCCCTTTTATCATCCTGCACACCGACTGCAGAACCCTCTGATAGATCCTCCTTCTGGGTTCCTGAGGAATTCACCTTGCGCTTATTTTCAGGTCTTGCAGCGGTAGCATCATCGTACACGGGAGGGTCAAAGATTTCCCAGGCATTTTCAAGATGACCTTTAGATTGGTAGGTAACATTGAGTTTGTCGGTTGACCCGAGCTCACCAGACAGCCAAGCCGTGCGAAGAGCTTCCAACTTGGCCCGACTCAGCTGCTGAGAGCTGTCGTACTCGCCGTTCTTAACTTTGAAGTACATGTGAATGCGAGTGGCTTCGGACAGTGACTTCAAAGCTTGCACGACATCATGATCGCTTTGTCTTGCTGGCGGAAATGCTGACTTGGACGCCGCAGGCATTGCGACACTACCCGGTTGCTTGAGGTCAAACTGTAGATGCACCAAATTTCCGGTGGATGTGGAACTGTTTCTCATTCCAGCCTGCACTTCCGCTGTAATGGTCGACGAGCACTGCTCAATTTTGAAATCTCGGATATTTTTAGGTTCAATGTTGTAGATGAGCTTGATAGAGCTTCCTATAGTCGGCTCGCTCTCAACTCTGATGGGACATTTGCACCAGATCTGTGCAAGTCTTTCGCCGTTGGGCGCGGTAGAAAGCCCCAGCCAAAGCATAGGATCTGCTTTCCAAGAAGACGGCATTTGATAGCCAAGACTTGCAAAACCATCCGTATCTCGCGGCTTCCATCGGATCACGACAGGCTCTTTCGAAAGCCAGGATGTAGACACTTTATCTTCACTGTTTCCGGCCATAGCGAATAGATACAGTAGCAGAAGTGCGCACACGGCAGAGAAGATAGATCAATCACACGAAACGTACTCGATTGATACCCCCAAACTCTAGAGCCTGGGATCCCGCCCGCCCAGGCTTTTTGTCCAAAGTAGCCTTGACTCGACACAAACAACCCAAACACTTTACAAGACAGCCTAGAGCAACAAGAGCATTAGCTTGGGAGTTAATCCAGATCGAATCACTTTCCAGAGCGATAGCCGTAAGAGTTGATCCAGATCGAGTTACTTTCCAAGGCGCTAACCTTGGGAGTTGACCCAGACCGAACTACTTTCTATACCGACCTCGTCGTAGGAGTTGGCCCTGATCGAATCACTTTCCAAGCTGACAGCCTTAGCAGCTAATCCAGAATGTCCGAAAGCGTTGAAGACCTGCCACAGCCTTTCCAGAGTATCGTGTGCAGGAGCTAGTTCCGAACCGCTTTCTGAAGCATCAATGGCTAAAGGAGCCAGCTCAAGAGTTTCGCTGTGCTGCCTGAGCTTTGGAATGAAAGTGGCAGACGTTCAAGGTCGATAATAGAGGGACGCCAAAACGATGAAGAACACGGAAACGCGGTATGTAAGATCTGTAATCCATTAGTCGTCATCGAATTTATGTTTTAGAGAAGACCGTGAGCCGTACACGAGCATTACGTACCAGCAAGTTACCAGAAAGCTAAAGACAGCGATGAGTATCGGGAGTGGGGACAAGGCGGGTTGTCTAGGTAGGCATGAAACGCGGAGAAAGAATTTCCCCAGGCTTGGCACTCAGCAGTCACGTGACTTTTCCCCGACCAAAGACTCGATTTGCGAACTGCTTTTAAGTTTAGAACAGGTTACGTGTAGTTTCGGTCGATGTGTTATACTTAAAAGTTCTTGGTGAGGTCAGCATGTTGGGGTGTAATGTCATTGTTTTGTTTTAAGAGAAAATTGTTTTTGCCGTCAAAAGCCCACGCTTTTCATAGTTACGGCGGCAACGAAATTACGACTCGAAGCTTAGGTACGGACACTAAAGTCTACACTCATTCATGTTACTTCATATTGCGACATGATAGATAATGGGAGTTGGATGTATATAATATTTGTTAGCAAATGAAATCGATTAGTATAAGAGAAAGAACTTCATAGATAATCTTGAAAACAAGTTGAAACAAAATTATTTTCCTTTTTATAAATTTGACGGTAGGGTATATGCCCTAATATTCTATAAGGAGAAGCTTTTTCAAGGCGTAGTGGTAAAGGCTTTTTCTGAATATTAAACTAATCGATATATATTAAGAATACCGAGCTGGTATTTACGTCCTCTAATTTCTTACAGGTAAACAAATATTAGACAAAATAGATCTAATGATGTTGGATATGGCGCTAGAGTCTATAGTATTTTTAGTAATGCTAATTATAATTAAGGTAGGCGTAGTCTTGACAGTGATTACTTATAGTTTCTCCTTGTCTTGAGGTGATATTTTCACATGCTTATTGGCAAAAACTACTAAATTAATTCTTTAACAACAAGGAGAGTAAAAGACTTTTGTAGTCGGAATAAGGTTTTAGAGAGTACTAATTAATTGCGTGATCCGATGGCGAACCAGTTTTGGTTTTAAGTGTTGCCTAAAGCTTAACATCTTGTATAAAGCTTAGATTAACGTCCTGCTAATCTCTCGGAGAAGGTGTTTAACTAAAATTTCCAATCTGAAGGAAATAGGAATCAACGTGTAGACAGTTATCTCTTTATCCTGATTTGCAGTGCCAGGACTAATAGATAGGTTAGCTTCTTTTCGGAACCCGATAGCTGTGTTAACTCGACAGATCTGAATGGCGTACTACAATTCCTTTTGGTATATCGTACCTAATGGTCGCATGTAAGTGATCCTTGAAAAGTTTATGGTATCAGAAATACTTTAAGTATAAAATCCATTCGAACTTGCATCCAGTTGCTTAGGATATTGATAACAGTCTGAAAAGCTTGCCAATGAAAATATTGGAGATGGTTGACAATTTGGAGTGTTAAGGCGACGAATTTTAGGATCTAGGAGGTATGTGGTAGGCTAGTACAGAAACGAAGAAATTAAGAGAGCGTGGAAGCGCAACAGCGACATGTGAAAAAGGCGATGACTATTCTCTAGGAAAATCTGGATCCATGGTTCTCAGTACCATCCTCAATCCTCCCCGAACTGCGTAGGAGAGACATTAAAAGTACTTGGCAGTATTAATCTACAGAGAGGTTAGCACAAGAAAATCGAAAGCGGTGTATGTATAGCAACCGGATATCGGTAACGGAGGAACTTCGACTGACAGAAGAAACTTCAGCCGAATCCGGTATTTGCAGACGTCCATGTCTCCACTAAAATGCCATAAGCGTCACTTAGCGTCTACACTTTCGGTCTAGGTTATTCCACACTCTGCTCTGCACGCAACCAGGAAGCTTTAATTTGGCACTTCGAACATTGTGACTACTAAGCTGCTGTTTTCAGATCAACGGCACATAAAAGGGATCTTTAATCGAGCCGTCACTTTCCCAAATTCATGTATGCTGCATGCATTGGATACAAATATAGTCGCCTAGGACTGTGGGTGCGGAGATACCTAGGAAGCTTAGGAGATACACAGGTCTCTCCTTCCACTAGCAGAAAGGGTCTTATCCGAAAATATCATAGCAAAAGATTCGGTATGAGTTTGATTAAACACTGCTATCAAGCACTAACATTGAACATACTTATTTTCAACTACCTCTATAGACCTATAATTGGTACAAATACAGCTAAACAAAGACAAGACCGCGGTGGCTAGTTATGCAGATGTACTTAAGACTCATGAAAATACAGAGAGGCCTTGCACTAGTGTAGTGCCTGGTCAATATCCGGTTGCAGTACACTGCTCTGTAATTAACGCATTTCCAGGAGGCACAAGCAAAGCGGCCTACGATGCCCTACATTATCATCGGATCTATCTCCCTGGGACGGTGACGGCATGAGGACTAGGCATCACTGAGCGACATCTGCCTTCGATCTGCCGATCTGGGCGCGGAGGTGGCATGAGAAAACGCCTATATATATGTGCAGATCTCAGCCCAGGATCCAAGCTTACAAACTCATTGAGCCCTTGTACTCTCAAAAGCTGACTCCCACATTTAATTAGTCGGACAGCCTTCAGTCAAACATGAAGCTCGCCAACGCCTTTGTACTTACAGTCATCGCCTCTGCCCTGGCAAATGTGATTGGTTAGTATCTTTCCGCATCAGTCAGACAATGTTGCGTACTTGATCAAGTCTAACAACTTTACCTTCTCGATAGACGTACGCATTTCCACTAAAGATGTCTCTGCTTCTGAGCACACAACCGGCCACTGCTATTGGATGGGCACCTCACCATTTTGTGATGGACATTGCCCCGGTAACTACAGAACTTGCGTGTATAATCTTTGTGGTGACGGGAAATGTTGCTTATATGGCAGGAAGGCGTACTGCTGCCAGAATCAAGCTTGCCCCACGGGCATGCAGACAGCCAAAGATGTCTCGCCTGAGATCGAGGAAGGCGAGAGTCACTCATCCAAGAGTCACAAGTCTACTGAAGACGTCTCTGCGTCGGAGCCTAAGATCGAGGAAGGCGAGAGTCACTCGTCCAAGAGCCACAAGTCTACTGAAGACGTCTCTGTGTCGGAGCACGCAACTGGCCACTGCTACTGGGCTGGCACCGCACCATTCTGTGACGGAAAATGCCCGCATGGCTACAACGAATGCCGGACTCATGGCTGTGGCGACGGCTCTTGCTGCGTGTATGGCTGGAAAAAATATTGCTGCCAGAACCAAGCCTGCCCCGCGGGTACGCACATCTTCAATGCGGCGGAGCCTGAGAATGAGATCAAGCAACCCGAGGGGGAAGACTACTCCGAGAGCCACACACAGTACAGGACAAGTAAGCTAGCCCATTCGCTGCTATGTGGGCACTCTCACTTATCTATCTTCTTTCCTTAGGCGACGAAAACGACGACCTTTGTGGACCGGACAAGGTCATTTGCTGCACGCCAAATGCTAGAAAAAATGGTGACTGCGACTGCGTTGACAAGAAGGAGAGCAGTATCTCCGCACCTCGGCTCGATTCTAGCCATCAGTGGACTTTGAATGAACGTGAGTACACAATACTATTTTGCGCATTGATCCGTAGAGAGATATGAGAGCTGGCACTTAAGGATCAACGCTAATTGCATGTGTTCATAGGTTCCGACATGTGCAAGCAAGGTGAGAGCCTCTGCTGTGCACCGGGTGCTTCAAGGAATAAGGATTGCTTCTGCCATAAGAAGGAGAAATGAGTAATCCGCCGTATGCGCGTCTGCAGTAGACAACAAGAGCTCCCGTGTATCAATGTAGGGGAGCCTACCTGCTCAGTGAGGAAGGCGCTGGATAATTTTCCTACCCTACATAATAATATACCTTTAAATCATGTGACATAGCTACCTAGTGTCTACTATACGTAGAGTAATAGTTTATTATAACTATCTAAGAAACACTTTGTGGATACAGTAGATCTTTTAATATATAGTTGAGTGGTTACCAAAATATCCAGAGCCACAAGGGATAGTAGGAGCCTAGGAGGCAATAGAAGTCCGGTGAATACTAGATATTCTTTAACCAACGTATTCTAAAAGAGGTGCTTAAAGACGGTATTAGCTTTAGGCTGCCTATGTATAAATTTACCCGTTGGGAAGTCGCTCATCGTCAATTACGAACTCTTACTAATATTTATATCGCACCATGATGACTTAGGCAAAAGAGGTGAGAGGCATAAGCGGAACATAGGAAACGACCAGGTCGCCACATATGTAGATTACTCGAACCAAGACGCAGTCATCTAGAGGGAAACAATATGGCACGATAAAAGCTCGGGTGAAGTTTAATTACAACAGCAAGCGGTGTGTAATCAAGGCTACTGTATTAGCGAGTGACGAAAGCTGATAGTAGAGTAGTCCGAGGAATCGGTCGCAACGCAACCGACTATTTCAGGCGGTGCCCAGGCACTTGCAGCCCCTGCAAAGGCAAACTCGGATGGCGCCCAAGCTAATGCTGCCGGTGCTCGGGCGGATTAAGTTCCATGTTGACAGGTGAGAAGAGAACAATGAGGAAGAAGGGGGAGCTTTGCAGGAGATGTGAACTGGAGTGAAGACATTATAGTTGGATTGACGAATAGCTGTCTTGTTGCATATTCATTCCGTAGAAATGGCTCGATTTTACCATAACTGCGCTCAGCCTTGCATCTAAGTTACTTATTCGTGTTGAATGTGTCCACGCTGTACTGTTTTTTGAGCCTACGGATTGGCAGACAACGAAAGCGAAAGCGGCAGCATTCGCCGTTCAACGTATCGAAAGAATGTTGAATCTCAATTCAGATTCCGGATTTCTTCCAGGAGGGTGAGATTGGAGGTGAACGGAGAGCATAGGGATCGTGCGGAACCGTCCAAAGTGAACTTGCTTTGATGGTATATGTTGATGTTAAATTGTTATCTTCAACACATACGACCACAGGTCATAGAATACTGGGCATCCCGTCCGCTCTGCCATACATAAGCTATGAACCGGCTGATTAGTAGTTAGGTGGGTGACCACTAGCGAATCCCAGCTGTTGTATGTTTTTGTTTTTTGCTCGTTGCCGTGCAGTTATGTAGGAAGACTTGCGAATTGACTCTCAACGGTATATTTTGCTCGAGAATAGCTGGTTACGGAACATCATCGTTGTGAAGCTTGATCGCCTAGCATTTCTCAGACGAGCGCAAAACATACGAAAGGCCTCCACCAAAGAACAAACACAATGCCTCCTGGAAGTTAAATGAACCTAACTGCGTATGTTCAACCTCGGAGTGAGCGCTGAAGGATTACAGTAACTACAGGGAAGTCAATCTGAGGAAGTGAAGAGCGTTTCCCCAGCAACTCTGTGTAAGCGAAGACTAAGCGGCGTGTGCTTATAATGCAAAAAGATTTCAGACTTTAACATTAAAATATAGACACGTTGTGTTAGGGCTGCCTGACAGGCCCTGCGAGGCTGCGACACGATTATTGGTCCAGTCCGCCGTCTGGCTGGCACCAACGCATCGCACATCGCACCCTTGACCTTTCGCGCCGCTCTGCCTTGTTCGGTACCATGCAAAATGCGCAGCAGGTGGCGCAGCCAAACTTGATGGTAAGCGCAGGCTTCCTACTCGAGATTTAAAACTATCTGCCTACCCACACTCCTCAAGAGTCGGGGCTTCCCGCCTCTCCTGTTGCGCTTTTTCTTTCTTCTCCTTTCTTTTAGTTTGCCCCAATTCCTTTCAGCCCTGCTGTACACCATAAAGCATAAGCAATCCCTTGATCTTGCACAAGCCACTCACCCACCGCTGTTTTCAATTTTGCAACCATCACCACCTTATCGTTCCAGCATGAACAGTGCTGGTGAGCAAGACACCTACCACAGCCAGTCACCCAAGACGAGCCCTGCAATCAGCATGTTGGACGGCCGCGCAGACTCAGGCGGCGAGCCTTCCACACCGTCGCCGCATCACATAATCATTCCCTCCGGTCCCGCGCTACATTCACCGTCAGTCAGTGAATCGACAACGCCCAGCTGCTCAGTAGCATCTCTTTACCGGCCGGCAAGCGGATCTGGCCAATCTAGTTACAACGAAATCAGACAAACGCCTCATAGTAGTGGTATGAGTTTGGTTGCGCCCGTCGTGGATAGTAGAAACGAGCAACTCGTTGAAGGGGTTATAGACGACAACCACCACGACCAGGCCTCAGTTGGCCCTCCATCCGACACTGATGCCCTGGAAGGGGAATCTTCCAATGCGACCCCTCAGACGCACAACAACATAGTAATTTATATCGACGTTCTCAATAATGATGGGTCCGACATAAACCGCTTCCGGCTGATGATAGACTCCAGGAATCTTCATCAAAACCTCATTAGCAACGAGGCCCTGGATTTTCTTGATATCCCTCATAAGTTCCGCAAGCGTTCCATGCCAGAGCGAGGTCTTAGCCGTTTCCGAGTGAGGAGACAATGTGGCAATAGTCTGTCTAAGACTGTAAGAAATATGGAGAGGATCCGCAATGTGGACGGGACTCTTTTCGGCGGGCAGGATGGTAGCACTGCCAATATTGAGTGGTTTGACCGCAACCTAAAATTTTTCCCTCCGAAACGCATTCATACCAAGGACCACCTTATCGTGGATGCAAAGCACTGCCAGGCAGACGTTGTGCTTTGTTGGGAGGACTTCACACGCCTCAGGCCTAAACAGCGGTTCACCAATACCCTCGACGCTAACCCCCCGACTCCCGATCCCGAATGGGATGTAGAACAAGCAATTTCGAAGGCTATAGAAAGTGTACAGATACCAAAGGTGCCTGATATAGAATCTGAGCAGTACGGCAACTACAATGAGCGGAAGATAAGAAAGGAGACAGAAAGGGCCCTGAAACGCAAAGTCAGCCTAGAATCTCTTGCTAGCTTTGTGGTAAATTTTATTGCTCAACCTCCAGTATCCGACACCGGTATGTTGAGCAGCTCACAAAACAATGGTGGCTTTGTCATAGTACTGACTTACGGTACAGATTTGAAGCAGTACGCAAACTATCACGAGCGGAAGGCGAAAAATGGAGTAGAGGGAGTCCTAAAACGCAGGGTTAGCCTTGAATCTCTTGCTAGCCTTGTGGTAAATTTTGTTGTTCCACCTCCGACTCTTGATAGCGGTATGTTGAGTTGTTCATAAAATTCTAGTACATTTGGCGATGTACTGATATCAAGTATAGATCCTAAGAAATATGAAAAATATACAGAACGGAAGGCGAAAAAAGGCGTCGAGAGAGCTCAGACACACAAGAACAAATAGTCAAGGATTGGGAAATTAGTCCAAGACACCCGTAATGGGCATTTCGCTTTGTATTCGTTTACGCTTGAGCCCTTGGTAAATTTGTGAAGGGCTTAACTAAGGTGACGGATTGTAATAACACCCGCCTTGACCTCCGCCGAGTAGTTGTACCTGCGTCGAATCATCGCAGGCGACAGACAATTGCAACAGGTGGTCCAGGTAGGCAATGCGTGTGAGAGTGACAACATCAAGTCGAGCAGGCAGCAGCTCAGAAGTCGTCTTAGAGAGTGACGGACGGCTGAACACTAGGCAACAGGCGGATTGAGGAGGCGAATAATCGATATGCCTGCAGCCGCAATTGGCCACTGTTTGGCGCGCGCAACTTTAAGCCCCTGTAGACTCGAAACATGATCCATTTTAATTCGTTAATTCGCTACCCCAGTTGCCATAAGCCACAATGCACTGTGATCATACGCTGTGGAACATCTTAATGGCTGCCTCGTGGCGCCTTCACTCTGCCTTGGGAGACGGTTTCTATCATCTTTCGCATACAATAAACGCCCATGGCCTCGTCCTCGGCAGTTAGCACTTCCCACTTCATCAAACCTCCGCTTTTCCTTCTCTTTCCCATGATGAGCCAGGCTTCCAGCATCCCCATGCAAAATTTCATCGGCGGCCAAGCGACATCACCAACGGTTGTCTCAGATACCCCTGCCATAGCAAACAATCAGCATGGCATCGCTACACAGCAAATAAATAATCAACAACACTCAGTTGGCGGTACACAACTAGGGGGCAGGTTGCCTCCCGACTATCCAACATTAGCTGAGCGAATGAGGATTATACCGGAGACTTCAGTATTCCGGCGCTTCGGGTTCCTAAACCAGCTAAACTTGTTGTACCTACAAGCTGATCTGGTGGACATCGAGGACAGACTGAAGAGGATACAGAGAATAGATGATAGAAAGCCTGGAGATGAGAGTTCCTACGCTCGAGACTGGCTTTGTCTAAAAGAAGGAGATGGCCGGCAGCTGCAGCTTGTCCGGGAAGCCCAAGAATTGCTAGAAAAATATAGTAAGCCGCTGATTTTTTTGTTGTACAGCCCATAGGATATGTATAACAGATTTGACCATTTTCCATTTAGATACCGCACTGGTCCAACAGTCCAATATTCTTTCCATGAAGCCGCCCGGTAAATACGACCTGAGCTATATCCAGAGACTCCTTGCATCTCAAGACATGGGGCCCTGGGCATTGGATGGCCCCGACTCTGAGGTCTGGGGTACCATCAAGAATCCCAATGGCTATGAACCAGACATAGTTACGCTACTACCCCGCAAAGAAAAGGACATGTTTTCCAAATATGTCACTACCAGCGGCATATCCAAGTGGTTCAAGTGGCGCTTGGACCGTTTCCGCAAGCCGTCTCCTGTACATGGCCTAGTCATTTACGAGGAAAACACTCTGCTGCGCCTCACGTATCTGGTCTCAACAACACTGGCGTCTTTACTTCCGATTGCATCTATCGTGGTTCTATATTTTGTACACTCGATGAAAGTGCGTCTGGGTATCATCGCAATCTGCAATGTTCTCACTATTCTTTGTCTTGCTTTCTTTACTAATGCGAGGACCACGGACATTTTTGCTGTTGCTGCGGCTTTCTCTGCTGTTCAGGTTGTTTTTGTGCAGGGGGGTGGTGACACTACTGTTAGCTAGTAAAGGATCTGGAGGCTTCTTCGTGTTACGTAACTATTAGATATAAAACTTTAACGTATGGAGCTCCTGAAGTTAATTTTAGATATGTTCTTTAATAGCAATACTGTAGTAACGTGTGTTGCTATCTTTGGATAACTTCTAATACACAGGCCGTTCTACAGTTCTAATTTTTAACTCTAATAATCTCCAACTCTTCCCATCAAGAGTCACGGGCTAAGATTAAACTTAAATAGTCTTTGGCGGTAACTACGCAAGAATGAAGAGGCCTGACGTAAGGATCTAGCTGGGGTGCTATATAATTCGTCAGTGTAAAATATTACTATCAGTGGAATAAATTCTAATATATAAAATAACTACCTCTATGCCACCAAATCGTATGCATATTATAACGAATAGAACACTAATAAAACTAAGCTAAGTACTATCTCTAGCTTATGCGGTTTGAATTTGCATGATGGGTAGAAGACGGGTAACGTGGCCTCAAAGAAAGCCTATGTCACCAACAATGGACCAACCAATCACAACCGTTGGTGAACTGATCGAGCGTAACTGTAGAAGAATGACATAAGCGACTTATTGTTTAAATGAAGCCTTCGCAGTTCCAATTACCATCGTTCCAACACCGCTACAATGTTCCCAAAGGTGAACGGTTTTTTTAATTTCGAATTGCCATGCCCGGTGGCCTCCGCGCGGTCAGCACGCCGCCAAGTGAGAAAAGGTAAAAAAGAACGGCTGATTTTTGCAATTTGCATGCTAAAACTGCACGAAAATGATAAATAAGGAAAGCCTTTTCAAATGGACGTACGACCGCTTCCTGGCCGACGAAAACACCTTTATGGCCATGCACCGAGTCGACTTCAACGTGGGCGCCCTTGTACGCGCCGCGTCGCGAGTCACCAACGGAGTGCCTTGCAAAAGTATTATTAAGATTTCAGAGGATTACTACCTACCACAAGTACTACGAGCTCCAGATGCGAAATGGAAAACGATTAATCGCCAAGATGCCCCTGCCGCACGTCAGTATCCCGCGCCTGACATGCGCGAACCAGGTCGCTGCGATGGACTTTGTAAGTACACAGCTGCTCCTTTACGTGTGTGTTATATCTTTTCAGTTATTGATTGCTTTCACCCGAAAGGCTTGATCTATTCTGAAACTGCCTGCCCCGGAAGTGTTGGATTGGAACTCCCGCCTAGGCGCCGAGAACCCCGTCGGCTCTGAATACATCCTTATGAAGAAAATTCCTGGTATTCGCCTAGAAAGTCTTTGGGAAACCAATAGATTTACAAAAGAACACCTTGAAGAACTCGCAAAGCAGATTGCATATATGGAGAAACGTCTTCTAAATATGACTTTCTGTAACATCGGCGCAATATACTACAAGGGTGATATTTCCCCTGCTAAACCCTTCGTGTACACCAATCCGGAAGGAGAAGAAGTCAATAATCCAAAGTTCGTGATCGGACCAGTGACGAGTCGGTCATGGTTGCTGAATGGTAGATGTACATTAGAATGTGATCGGGGCCCTTGTAAGTAGTTGTCCCATCTAGAAGCGTCTAAAGTCCAGTTTTCCACTAACCAAAAAGAAAACAGGGGACAGCCCTATAGACTTCCTCAAAGCCATCGTTAACCGAGAGTTGCTAGCAACGGATACAGCACCGCAGCTTCCCCAGCCTATGGACTCGCTCCTTGGTCCGGGATCTTACAGACCTTCCATTTTGAAGAACCATCGTGCTGGCAGCATGTATCTACAGCTTCTTGAGCACGTTCTGCCGACCCATCCGGCAATGTCACAGTATCGCCTGTGGCACAATCGTCTCTCTGAAGACTGTATCCTTGCTCCTCTTTACAAGCAGGACATACAGCTTCCTTACTTCCACCACTGGGTTCGCAAAGCTGATGCTGTATACGGATATGAGGAAGATCCAAGCCTTAGTGAAACCTTAGACAACGAGCCTTATCGCGGTACATGCAAGTTACAGAATCTGTCCAATGATATACTACGCCTGAACCGGAGGCCAGATGTCCTACATGCACAAATGTATCGGAACTCAACTGCTGGTAATATCCTTGAGATGGGAGAGCACATTTTTGACGAGCCCTCAGCGGCCTTGGGAGAAAGGGTAGTGCGCTTGCGGAAGCGGTGGAAGAAAGGATTACCGTACGTAGGGAAGAAGGATCGAGACGCTGCTTTCCCGGTTAGGCTTACGCACAGGCGTATCAGGAGTATCCGCAGGGTCTTGAACGAGTGGAGTCATGCACGTGACATTAAAGGTGGCCTGAGTGCACGCATGAAAGGCCATATGCCCTGGTTGGCTCAATCAGCCATGGAAAATATGGAAGGTCTAAGAAGATGCTGGCCAATTATAAAAATCTCTTTTTGAAAAGGGGCTGGATTTGTAAGGAAGATTGGCCTTATGATAGTTGACGTAGTTAGTACGGTAGTTTGATTTACTATAGTTAAATCTTAGTGCTTGAATAACGGCATCAAATGGACTCTTATAGGCCTCTAAATAGTCTATTAGGCACATATTTGCTTGTTTGCCTCTTTTATGCAGTTTGGCTTTTAATGTGAAGTGAAAAGAAAGAAACCAATGAATCTCGCTTGATGGCGACGAACGGGTAGGTCCCTCACATTCGCGAAACTGACGTTGCTGCCCCCCGTTAGCAACACCCCGGCATTAGGCGTCACTTGTTGATAATGTAACGTCCTTTTGGTACAAAATAACTACCAACAGGGTGTTAGTAGTAATTTTATCCTAATCTGACGCCAAATTCGATAGTTTAGTAGTTAGTTTATCGTATTCTAGCGACAAGCTGATTAGCCCGATCCGCTGCCAGACAGCAGAGTGCTATTTTCGCCCAATTAGAAAAAGCGTAAATCTTACCAGAAACTACAGCAACCATCGAATTTGGCGTCAGATAGCGATACTTTAACTCACAGCACCCTGTTGGTAGCTGTTTTATAAACAGCTGACGTTACATTATCCGAAAAGGACGCCTAATTACAGGGTGTTGCCAACGGGGGGCAGCAAGGCCAAGGCATTCATCTGCAGCCGAAAATAGTACCAGGTCGCAGCAACGCAGGCGTCGTCTTCCCAGCCAGCCCGCTGCGTCGCGCCAAACCCTACCAGTCACAATACAAGCCCCAAAACCCGCATCAGAGGTACCATTGACCACCGAAGCCCCGCAAGCGCCGACGTCGAAATAACCTCGCGCCCAGCGCCTTAGCGCGACCCACAACAGCCGATCGCAACGCGCACCCCACGCCACCCGCGCAAACTCTAAGCCCACCTCACCTCACGCACCGCACAAAAGCGCACGCACGCACATCACCATGTTCGAAGTCCCGGACGCGAAACGGTGCGCAACCCTCCTTTCTCGCTCTCCTGGCGCGCAACCCGACTGACACCCCCGGCAGCGTCCGCCGCGAGGACCTCTACTCGCCGCCCGCGTCCCCGCGCTCTTCGCCTGATCCGGAACTGGCGGACGCGTTGCGCGCAAGCTTGAATCAGCGCTTCGAGATTGATGTGAAGCGCCATGTCGCCGCACCTGCCACGGCCGACGCCGACGCAGACAGCGACGAGGAGCTCGACTTCCGGCTGTTTGCCGCGCCTACCGCCACAACCACAAATGCGGGCCCAGACACAGCCCCAGGCCCAAAGCCCCTCGCGCAAAAAATCCGTGTGCGCAGCCCCTCGCTCGACCCTGCAGAAGCGGGCTTCCTGGCTCCGCGACCACAGACGCACTATTTCACACCCGGCACCGGCGCGTTGCCAGCAGCGGAGCTCGCAGCCGCGGCGCTCAGTGGGAAGCAGGTGCTGCAATTGTCGCGGGCGGCGTGGCCGGGGTGCGTCGTGCCGTGGAAAGTTGTCAGGGTTGATGCGGCGGGGCGGGAGTTACGGAGGCGGGTTGAGGGGCATGCGTGCGTTGTTGGAGAGGGTGGTGGTGGTGTGGCTGGGGAGGAGGGACAAGGGAAGAAGAAGCGGAAGGGCAAGAAAGCGCGGATTGCGTTGCGCGTGAAGGTGAGAGCGAGAGAGGAGAAGAAGGCGGTGGAGGAGAGGATGAAGCGGGAGCGGGAGGAGGCGGAGAGGGAGAAGCGGACGAGGAGGAATAGGGAGAAGAAGGTGAAGAAGAGGGTTAGGGATAAGGCGAAGAGGGTTGCTGGTATGGAGGGGGAGGAGGCAGGGAGTGAGAAGGGTGGGGAGGGAGAGGGCGAGGACGTTAGTATGGCTGAGGCGTGAGGGTCGATGTTCTTCGTCCTCGACAGCTTCCATATCCCACCCCGCGATAAAACGCGTATCTACCTACTAGCTATAGTAGTAAGAGCGCAATGTACGCCGGAATTAAACGCACACCCTGTCTTCCCTTCTTTCCTTCCGTACTTCCTATGGCCGTGATATACCGTATACGCTGGTGCTTATCCGCAGAAAAGCTCTTTGTGGCGCCTGAGCGCGCGGCGGGGCGGAGTGGAGTGGGACGGAGCGGAGCGAGATTGTGTGTGTGTGTAAAGGGCGGGGAATTTTGCTTATGGGTGGGCGTCGTCGCTATGCGATTACGCGGTGGTGTTTTGAAGGGTTGGGTGGTTTGCCTTGAGAAATTGTGCTGTTGTCGCTGGCCTGCCGCCATGGGGGCAGGTATTGGATTGTTGCTATGTTGCGAGACTCGGTCATCGTTGTGACACTGGCTATTGAAACTCGCGGAAGCTATCGGCATTGCTTGAGCAGGCCGCCGAAAGCTGCCAATGCGTCGCGGGGCCTGTATCGTGCGGCTGATCTAGCTCTGGTTGGTGAGCTTTCGATCAGCCTGGCGAGTGCTTCTCTACCGGCGCGGGAGTAGTGCAATGCAGTGGTCAATGCGTACGCAACTACGAGGAACAAAAATACTCAATTACTGAAAAGCCTGCGGCTGCTACGGTGGCATCCTAGCGCACGGTGGCCTTTTCGACCGACCAGCCGCCGCTATTTTCACCCTCAAGTCTGCGCTCTTTTGTCCTTCATCCCCCACCCTCGACGTGCCACCACAAACTCCGTGCACGCCCCTTTCAACCACTGGCCCTATCTCGCTGCACCTTGTTGGAGCATCACTTGCTCGGCTTCCTTCAAGATGCCAGTTAATCCCTCGCAGATACGCGGTATCCTCTCTAGTCGGGGTCTAGGCTATTCGGAGGAGTCGGATTTCGTCAAGGAGCCCATCTCTTCCATGGATTACCCGCACATCTACACAGTCAGCCCTTCAATCGACACGATCTGCCTCATTGGAGTCACTCTGAACGAGCAGCTTCAGCCGCTTACTCAACGAGCAGTCAATAAGTGTGTTATCATCGCTGACGACATCGACTACTCGTTTGATGTTTTCGTTGAGGTCGTCCGAAAGATTGCTGGTACGGACGAAGAGGACAATGCCCCGCCTGGTGATATCTTCGCGGGTATCTACCGTCAGAGGAACGTCGTGGTTATCAAGGGCGCTCGCCTCCGGAACAACTGTCCCAGCCTACAAGTATACGAGCATCTTCTTCATCTGGCCGGCAAGCGACTTCGTGATGCCCTCGTTCTTAACTCCGGCCTTGAAGTTGTCTGGCATAACAACGAGAATCCGGACCTGCTCCTCCACTGCCTTCAGACACCCGGCCTGGACATATGTTATTATGCGATTACCGCCTTCCAGGTTTTTACCACTGCCCTAGAAGAAAATGGACAATTCCAAGACCTAATGATACGCCAGGATTTCACCCAAGAGCAAGCGGACCTTTGGGCTCTTCTGATCTGCCAAGCGAGCAAAGACGACATACCTCTTGCGACGTACTCGGAATGGAGCTTACAGTCACAAGGCCGGGACACCATCCGGCTCGACGTTAATATTTCAGAGGCAGGGCTCACAAGCTTCTTCGATCTGTGGCTTTACCTAGTCCCTAAAGTATTCTGGCGTCCCCTACTCGACGAGTTGCTAAACGGCCTTGCCACTTTCCATCCACCTACCTTGACAGGTTCTACGAACAAGTATGAGGCGTCGTCCTTAGCATCTGATCTCGTTCGTATCCACAAGGACCTTTGCCAACTTCCTAGAAAGGCTACGAGTGCCGCCTTATACCGCCTCACCACCACCCGGTCGGACTCCGTACGCGAAGTGGATATGCTTCCTGTAACTATCGCCGTTCCCAAGGAGACCGATTACCGCCTGCCTCCATTTTCAGATATGCATCGCAATCCAAGCTTCGACGGAACGGTCTACTACCTAGTAGGCGGAAAGAAGACAGGGATAACTGCGCCTCACAACCACATCCGTAAACGCTGGGACTACCTCGTTGAGTGCACTCGCTCCGGCTACAACAAGGCCATGCGTGACGCTCAATACTTTGGCATGAGCGAGGAGGTTGCCCTAAAGTGGGCGAAAGCCGTGTCTGGTCATGCCGGGAAGAAAGGCGCGCTGACGGAAAGGCTTTTGGCCTGGAAAGCAGACAACGTTGCAGCGCTTTCTGCTCTGTCTGCACGTGACTCTTCCCGGGCCAAGGACAACCTCAACGCGGTACGTGAGGCTTCCGAGGAATGCGTCTTCTCTGTCCTCGCGAGGAAGACTTTACACGCGGCCGAAGGAGAGGTCACCGTCGGTACTGAAGACGATACCGCACTCTGAAGCGGATACCCAATTGGGGTTCAGCGACTCCAACAAGGCCTGTAGACGCCGGCAGTTTCAAGAGTATTGGCTACACTTTGGCCCTTCCCGAAAAGCTCCTCGACGCCTTACTATAGTATACCTTGGACTTTTGCGTATTCCCTTCTCACAAACCACCATAGCGAGGCTCGGCACCTCTGTAACCGCCATTCTCGATCAGCACACGAGTAGCAGGCACCGCCTTGGGATGAACGGTTTCATGAAGTTGGAAAGGCCTCCAGCTCTACTCGGCTTTTCCTAATCCACAAGCACGAAGCTCAAAATCGATTCCCTTACACTTTCCTTTACATCTGTACGTAGCGTGCTCGAGCGACATGCAAATTGTGAGTAGATAGCTGGTTTGGCGGTGGCGCGGCTGGCGATAGAGATATTTCTTCGGAGGTGGTGCCGCTAGCTAGATAATCAGGTACGAATGGATCCAGCTATCTGCTCTTTGTAATTGGAAGGTTGTTGTGATTAAATGTATAGACGTAACTTGTTGGCTGCAGTATCGCGTGCTGGACTAGTAAACAAGACGAACGGCGAAAGTAATTATGGCTGGGCCCCCGATATAAGACCACACACCGCACCGCCCACCCACCGCCCGCACCAAACCCCTCCACCCCCAAACCACCACCTACATAACCCCCAAGCGCGACCCCAACTATCGGCCCGTGGGAGGGTCACCTTCCACGGGCCACTTGGTCTAATTAGAAACGATACAGAGAGGATTAGCATGGCCCCTGCACTAAGGATGACTTGCTTAATCAAAGAAGATTAAGATTTTTTTTTTTTTGTTCCTTTTTGGGTTGGGCGGGTGCTGCTTGCTGGTTGCGTGTTCGATCCTCGGTGGGGTGGGTGTGTTTTATAGTGTTTTTTTGTGGTGTTATTTTGTTTGGGTTGGCGCTGGCGTACTGCTGCTACTACTGGTCCGTCGGTGACGGTGAGTGAGTGAGGGTTTGTGGGAAGCGGCTTGGAAAGGTAGATGTCGCTTGTGCTGTTTTTTGTAAGCTTGGAGGCTCCCTGCGCATGGGTACGCGGGAACTGTCTGGCTTGCTGTATAGGCACGCCTAGAGTATACCCGACAGTGGTGTCTACGTCGTCGGCCCGCGAGCTCCTCGAGATTTTTTCCATATTTCACCCGTCAAACACTACGCCCAGCCAATTCAACATCCACAGGCCTTCCACACACGCGACTATGTCTCTCATCTGGCGAGAAGCGCATGTACCTCACAATTAACAGTTTTCCAACAGGAGCAAGAAGACGAGCACAAGCGCTCGAGGCACTAACATCTTTCCGCCCTCATAACAAACACGCGACAGCGCAAACCCTACACAAGAAGACGTCTCGTCTCGCCCACAAAACGACAAAGCTACCAGACTCACGGCTACGGCTCCCTCAGTTCGTTAAAAGCGTATACGCTCGACAGCGACGCAGGAGGGAAGCGCTGCTGGTGATGTTTCTTCGCCTGCTACCCAGTTTTGCGGCGTCGCTGGGCAGCATAAGAACATGTATTGGTTTCAGAGCAACGATGGAACATTGTCAACGTTTGGGCTCGTCTCCTCTTGAAGATACCGGCGACTTCTGGAGGTGGGTCATCAGCACTACGTTTTGTTACTTCCGAGGTAGGCTAAGCTCCTTGACGGGCCGTAGGCGCGGTCAGCATGCTCGAGATCGCGGCCTTCCGTATCATCTAGCCCAAGGTTTGTGAGGTGGCATGAACGGACCTTCTGAGTGCTACCATACCTTCCCAACGGAGTATGGTGGCCTGACCTGCTGACGCTGGAAAAGGCGCGTGTCTTCATGTGCATCTTGAGATGCGACCCCGACCGTGAGCAGCGAGCTTGGTGGTTGCAAGGCCTGCTCGATCTATGCCACACGGCGTTTGTGGCGGACTCCTCAGAGAACGGTTTCGCCATGCGTGCCAGCCGCTATGGGTCCAACTTCTGGTGGCATGCCCAAGCGGTCCCACTTTTGCACAAGCTTTCGACCCAGAAAGAGGAGGATGGCGAAGAGTCGCAGACGCTTATCGGCCACCCTGGTCGTAGGGTTTGAACTTGGTCTTGCGCACCATCTCGCGGAGATGATGACGGTGTTCTACTCGGCTTGGTGTTGTAAATCGCTAGGATTTTCACAATCTGGATCTAGGATCGTAGGTTTGTGAGGGTGTTACTGTCCGTGATGTGTTTTTGTAACCGAGTACATTCTCCATGTCGAGAGTAAATCGAGAAATGAAGCTTGTTGCTGCGTTGTATCGAGCTGGGCGTCGGAGGCAATGGGTCTGGAAAAGTTGTAAAAGTAAGCTTTGGTGGACGAAGATTGTCTTGGAGAGGATGCCCGCAGCGGAGAGTATAACGAAGACATTGCTAGCAAGATACAAGAATAGTATATCATCCATTATACTCCAACTACTATCACCCCCACCCGATCACCAAAAGCTTCTGCCACTGGGACCGGCTCGCCATTTTGGAAAAGCCCATGTCTGGATAAACAAAAGAAAGCACAACCAAAGCTTTTGTCATCGTGTTGGCTATGTGAGGCCCTCCAACCTGTCGCAGCGATCACGGCACCGCTGTCCCCATGATTGAGATCGAAGAGCGTAGGTCGCAGCGCTGGATGTTGCCAGAGTGACATCGTCTGGCTCTGCCATTGCGAAGCCTGATCAAGATGCGCAATGGTCTGTGAAAGGCGAGCCAAAGCCGCATGGTCTCCAACAAGTACCACCATCTGCATGACCGACCCGTGAGCCGAGCGCAAGGCGCTGGCTTATAAGCAGCCTCCTGTAAGGATGAAACTCTCGAACGACACGCCCAGCCGCCTTGTAGTTGCTAACGGACCCCAATCAGAGGAAGATGCTTCATTCTGGAGTCTCTACCGTCACTCAACACCGTCCCAGCTAACACACTCCAATTATGCCAGCTAACGTGCACCCAGGAACAGTCCGAGCACCGCCGACCATGGTAAGCATCATCAGCATCATGGCGTGACGTCCCACAGCTTGAAAGTTCGTTGATGGCCCGCTATGTTTTTCAGACCTGATAGTGTACGCCACTGGAGTAGGAGTCGGCTTCGCGGATTGCGAAGCTTGGATGCGGGAGACGAAACGTCTCTATAACAGGTAGCTTCCGTAAAACAGACGACTCTGGGGAGCCATGTTTTTCTGCCACTTGCAGACTTCCGTGGCGGGGGAAGCGAGGACGAAGCGTTCCAGATTGGCTCGGTTGCTGGATCTTGGTCCGGGCTCTGAGTGGATTTTATAATGGTAGAAAGGTCGGATGTGTATCTGCAGTTACTGATGGGAGGTCAGCGTTGTACTTAAGGGCAAGCAAAGATATTGCGACGGAAGTGCTCGACCGACATTTCGCCATGACGCGCATCGACCTGCGCTCATACTTTTGTTTGATTACTGACAGCGCATGGCATTCTCGTGTCCTTAATGATGAGCTGTGGCGCATACAGAGCTGGCAGCTTCTACTCTTGCTGTATCTAATTAACTGTCTTCCTCGTGAATTGCTGAAGAATGTGGATCTCGGGAACTCTGCTCGATGGACGGCCATGGTGTGGCACCTGTTGTAACTCTTCGCTTTGCGACCGTGGAGTGGTACGGCTTCACAGTTGTTGCTCTTGTGTTGGCAGGCCTTGTGGGGTCAAATCAGGTTTCAAGCTTGGAAAAATGAGGATGCCTCAGCGCGCCGGCGCGCTTTTCGTGTCGTGTTCGGACATTGAGGAGGAGGAGCGGCGTGCAGCGTGACTATCTTGGCTTTCGAGGAAGAAAATTCAGTATTCTGAAGCAACGGAGGGATGGAAGGTTCTGTTTTCTAGAGGTCTGTCAGCCGAAGAAGTTCATGTCAAGCCTTGGGAGAGTTGGAGCTTCAAACCAGAAGTCCTTGACCTGGACGCAGTCAAAGCCGCCCATAGCGCTTCTGGTGTTTGTGCCAGCTCTGTTTGGAAATCTCCAGAAAGGCTAGGAACAATCAAGCCAATGTCATGATCCGCTTTCTTTGTTCATTCGGCGAGACCTGCTGTGCTTTTCCAGGGCATAAACCGCAACCTTTAATCTTTTCTGTCGTCTTCTAAAATTTCCGAATTCCGAGCAGCTGGTAGCATGACCTCGCTCGCCGATGTCTCCTTGTCATAACTTGCGCAACACAGCTACACGGCAATCGGCCAAGCGCAATCATGTCCACGGCGCGCCTCTGCCAGCCTTGCTCGTACCGAAGCCGAATGGCAGAGCTCCGGCGTGCTTGCGCACGTGTGCTCCCTCTGTGCCAAACGACCGATTGAGCGGCCTGGCCGACGGTCTTCGCGTCATCTCTGGCAAGCATACCTGCGCTTCTCTTCCCTCTCCCGCTCCGGAGGCGCGGCCATGGCGCAGGCGCGTAGGTTTTGTGTGCGGCGGCGGCGGCGGCGGCGGCGACGGAAATCCACGTCCTCTTGACACTTGCATGTCGCAGTTTTTTCGCTGTGAACGGGATCGTCTGAGAACTGTGCTGTGCAGAGATTTGTGGAGCTTGCTTGCTGTGCTTGCTGGACTCCTGCTCAATGAGTACTGGGCGGAGACTCCAGGAGGGGTAATCTTACAGGCAGAGACGTCGCGTTGAGCTCTTTGCGCCGCTTGAGTACTGTCATGCAGAGATAAGTGATCGACCGCTCTTGACGCAATTTGTGACTCTGTGAGCCGTGAGGTAGGCCGGTCTTTCGCGGATCGATGCGTGTGTGACTACGTATTGTAAATTTGTCAGTGTCTCTTCCGATTGGGAGCTTCTAGGTTCTTCTTGAGTACCTCTGTTCCTTTGGGAGCTTGTCATTTCGATGTCACCAGAGCATTCTGGGCTGCGTAGCTGAAATTCATTCGCGAGGGTTCGCTTTGCCTTGTACATCAAGGTATCGGTCTTCGGATGCAACTTGGGCGGAGAATAGTCTGACAGACAGGTAGGTGAATCCAGCCTTTATGTTTGAGATTGCGTTCGTGGGGCACCGCTGAGGTAAGAAAGCAAGGCGAGCAGTAAGTCTCTTTGGCAGCCCTCCTTCTGCTTAAGAAAGCTGTATTGAAGCGGTTGTGTCCTTCATGAAGCGCAAATCCTTCTTATGGGATTAGCGAAGCGCGTGGGAAAACTGTCCTTCAAGGACCTACAAGCTCAATAAAGCCCTCTCTCTCTCTCCTGAAGCTGACTTCATGAATGTGGTTTCTGAGTCAATCCGTAACGCGTGACATTCAAGCTTCGTGGCGGCAGTGGAGGTAAGAAGCGGCGCTTCTGCAGGGCTTGTCAACTGGGTGGGCATGCATGGCTTGAGCGTGTCTCGTTGGGTAACCGGGCGCCATGTGCGCAGCCGAAGAGAGCTAAGCTTGTCGACAAGTCCATTGGGCTTTTATCCAGTACTGACAGGGCGGCCAAGAGTATCGTGGAAAAGACATTCAGGCGTTTGTTGGGTAAGGTGGAGGAACGCGTCGTGTGACGATGCACTGGGGGATGTGACGGGCGGCGGGCGGCGGGCGGCGGGCGTTGCGACATTCGGAAAGCTCGCACTTCAGCATCGCACGCGTACGACGTTCGACGCATGAAAAATGCCATATGTAATGCACATAACACAGCAACGTAACTATTAGCCGGCCTGTCTGGCATCTGGGTAGATATGTATTTTCCTGTCTGTTTGAATGCACAATGGCAAAGCTTGGGCTACAGGATACACGGAAGCATATTTGCGCCTTCTGCTTCTCCGACTTCCACCTGTAAATGCAGTTTATGTCTACCAATGCCGCACTGAGCTGCAGCTTATGTCTTGCACGTTCATAGTGGTGGTTACCTGCTTGAGCGAGAAGGTGTTCCTAGGGTTCTGGAGGCTCTAAACGTGTTATCTGGCAAAATAGACGACACTGCGCGATGTTATAGGCCTTCGAGAGCATCAAAAAGGGCTTGTGGTGGAACGAACGATGCTTCAGCAACAATACACGGCATAGCACAAGGTCTCATGAGCAGAGCGACAACAGTAAGCAAAAGATGGATTGAACCTAAACGGCGCCTCACGCCGACCGGCCCCCACAGACACCCCGAGGGCACCCACACCAGCTCAATACCGAAACCCCTGAAGTCAAGTCAGCTAGATGCATTTGTGGAGCTTCAGTGACATATCTGACTAACAGTTCACCGTGACGCCGAAGGCGCCATTATCCCCCCAAGAAAGACCTCCTCAGCGCAAAGAAACCCGAAAAATGCGGTGATGACGCACTCCTGGTAGCCCTAGTGCAGTCAATCTCGCTCAAGTGATGTAAGGATTCAGGAAACAAAACTTACCTAAACCGTGGAGACGGCATGCTCCATCGCCTCAGCGGGAGAAGGAGCCGGGGCCGCGGGAGAAGCAGGAGCAGTAGCAGCAGCAGTGGGCGCAGCGGCGGGAGCCGGAGCACTAGCAGCGGGAGTCGCAGCAGCCGGAGTCGCAGCAGCAGCAGCGCCACCAAGGACAGCCAGGCCCTGAGCGGCGGCGGCGGCGGCAGACGCGAGGTTCTGCAGCGCGAAGCTGTGCTGCCGAGGCAAGTTCATGCGGCGGCGCTCGCGGCACCAGAGCCACAGGTAAGTGAGCGCGCCGATGACGACGCCGCTGCCAAGGGTGATGGCCATGGCGACACCGACCCAGTCGCCCCAAGGCACGCTCATGAGCCAGGTTATGAAGCCCTTCATGGTTTGGTTTGTTATTGGAGATTGGTGTGGTGGTGGTTGGGGAGTTTGAAGTTGCACTAGGACGTTGCGCATGGGGTGAAGAGGGAAAGGTTTGGGTGTGGCGGGCGGCGTAGAAGACCTCGAGCGGCCGGACGCTCGCACCCCGGGGGCCGGTGGAAGGGCAAAAGGCCCGCTCACCGCCCCTTTTGCGAAATCGCTGATAAAGGATGTAATGCAATCCCTCCTGCCGGCATCTACAGTTAATGCTATGAATGCCTTCTGAATATGTGCAAAGCCGTCCATGGGGCTCAGCATTTCGTTCCTCCGTGAGCGAACTGACACCAGAATCTCCTCCACGAGTGTAGAGGAACGTGAGGATGCCAATAGTCTCTATAGCAAAAGCATATACTCTCTCCAATTGCCTTAGAATCCGTTGATCACTGCGAGTAAAGAGCTCATTTTTCTCTCTAAAGCTCAAACCTCGTACTCTGCTCCACTTCCCACCCATTTACATTGAAACCCCTTCATCCGCTTGCAACAAGTAGCCGATTCCAATGATATAGCTACGTATCTGCCCTATCAAGAGCTCTCATGCTAAGTATGCTAGACTCCGTGGATGCTCATGCGGGGAAACATTGTTTATATCTGTTGGATTGAATGGTTGAAACCGTGCGAGTGAAGAGAGAACGCGGCTTGATTTGAAAGAGTGTCTGGCAGCGAGCTTTATATACATGAAGAGGTGGAGCAGTCATGTGCTCGCTTATAGAAAGTAACAGGGTGTTGAGACAACGAAAAAGCAAGGTGAATATAAAGAATAATGCATGAAGAAATGTGGTCTGATAGTCCAACAATATCAACAAGCCCTGATATATACACGGTTGTCGTCTTCAACGTTTATATAAGAGGTAGTTCAACCTCATGCACACACTAGCGAATTAGATGATTTAAGCCATGCTGGGATGCTCCAATAAGTCCACTTGATACATTGATATAAGGCGTTTTCCAATATTATACCTTTCAGGGGCTTGCCAATCCTACAAACCCTTCATACCCGCCCATAAAAGACGGCTCCGCGAGGACTTAACCATGTTGATAATGTGTGATATGCTCTTAATTATGCTACCCTAAAGGCTGTCCCGTGGATAGCGTCTGCGGTCGTTTATGTCCGTTCCAAGACCGGTTCCACCGGAGATGTTGTCAAGACATATAAATGTCCATAAAGCAGAATTACATTTGTACTCGCCGGTATTGAGAGACGCTCATAACACAAAATAGGTAGCATGATGACAATAGAGCATCCCTATTAGCATTGTGCCAAACGGTCTCAGTGTGCGAAAGAGGCGTAAGCCCGATGTTCGATCAGACAGTGATTAATTATGCGCCTCTAGGAGTAGAGTGGATACATGAAGAATGTGCAGGCCATTCTACTAGCAAACTGAACGATTATGAGAGTATTTGATGTCATGAAACCATTCGGAGCAGAAGTGTCGCCAGAAAATTCCCTACCTTCATCATAAATGGGAATACCACGACCGAGAGAAATGCGCCTCCAGGATGCCTTTGTAAAGCATTGCAAATACTTATATGCTGCACAGCAGTGGCGGGCGGTCGCGATATTGGCCAAAAATGGGTTTACGGCGCGCACGCCGCACGATCTCGTTGCGCGTCGGCGCCGCTGCCCAATCCAGAATACCAACCACCTCGACCCCGTCTGGCACTCGAATATGACAACGGCCCATTGCACGTATAATGGCATCGCAAATGGCAAAATCTGCAGACTCTTTCTTGGTACCGAAGCTCATGATCGAGTTTGTGCGTCGGCAGCCGGCAAACCCTCGCCAGACCCTTCAATCTTCAGACGCATCCTACGATCATTGATTTTGTGGTACTCATGCGCAATGCAACGCTCAGAAGCCGGCTTCTTTCCAGCAAAAGCGCAGAATAGAACCAGACTGCGCAATTCGCCCCCATCTTCTCCCACAATCGCAAGGCCGCATCACGATAGCTATGAACACGCGGAAGCACGACGTCATCGCACCCTCTCAGCTCGCAAGGAGCCGATATGCGCAAGGGCCCAGAGAATCCATACTGCGCAAGCTTCCTGCAATGCTCAAAAAGCCCACAAAGACGGCTCTCGCAAATAAAACACCTGAGTTGCAGGCGCCCGCTTTCTTTTGGCGAACAAATTGCGCTCCAAATGCTGACTGATTCCCTTTAGACGCGAAAAAGCCTGATTGCCTCCCGTGCGCACAAAAGAACACATCTCGAAGCTTCGCCTCAAGCACTTCAAAATAACGTCTGCCCTCCAAAGCGCTTCCGAAGTGCGCTCCAAAGATCAACTCCTAAAGCATTGCGCATCCTTTCCGCTCGAATCAAAGGCAACCACCGCTGCGCCTTACCGCCTTACCGGGGCTGCGACTTTGCCTTTCCGCCCTAAGTCCAGCCAGCTTTTCTTTTCCCGCACAGAAACTGCACCATACTGATAGAAATCCGTCACACCATCCCTAAGTCCGTCTATTTCCGCGCACGAAACTTCTGTGACAAGCTGTCAAGCCCCAGTCTGCTATCAGCCAGCGCGGTCTCTCGTCTAGACTGCAGACTGACATGCTGGCCAAATCCAAAGTCCGCCTGTACTCAGTAGTTTAAGTAAGTTTGAACCTGTCCAAGGGGATTCAAAATGGTATGGGCTGGCCGAACGTCGTACTCCCACGGAGCTTGACCTGGAGTATAGACACGAAACATGATGGCATCATTGTCAAACAAGCGCGTTCAGTCAACTCTGCAAACCACTACTACATAAATACTTGTTGCGAAACACCACAATGAGGGCTGGCCCTTTTGTAGGCGTTCGACAATCATAGTTCTGAAGCTGACTGTTTCAACGGTTGTTAGCCACCGGAGCTTAACTACAGCGTGTGACAAGCGGACCTTAGGCTGGTGAGAGGAAGGACGTGCGCGATTGAACCATCTGGCGAAAACAGTTGCGCATAGTCGGTTGATATGCTGTCATCCCGGAAAAGCGGCTTGAAGAGCCGGCTTGAGCATCCAGTGCCTCCCAGCTACGGTTTTTGAAACTACATTTTGCTTCTGCTTGATCACCGCGCAAGCTGCGAGCACATGGTAAGTTATAAAGTCTAACTAAAACCTTTTCTGGTACTGACATCTTTGTTAGGCTTTTCGCAGGAAAAAGCGCATTCTACCTTGACACCCATTGCCACGGTTGAAGGACGATGCCATGAGAAGGCCATGTAGCGGCCTGTCCAGCTTCCGTTACCTTTACCACAAAATCTTGATTGTCCCAGGTGCGAGGAACAAACCTCCGTTCAACAAAGCGCCATACCTGAGAGTCGAGTGCAAATCCGCAATGGGCCCAAACCAACAAATAGGACTTGTCCGCGCTGTGACGACCGCCGCCTTCAACGCCCTCGACCCACATGGATCTGCGTCAAGATCGTGGAGCGAGAACAGCAATGCCATTGAAGGTGAATTGTACAATGCGCGTCGACGCGCGGCAGCGGAGGGAGCAGCTTTTGTTGCTTAAAGATGACCTGGTGATTCAAGCCGCCGACCAAACCTAGCCGGGTAATGGCGCGCACCGCCAACGGAAAGAGCAAGACGAGTCTGCTTGTCGCTATGCTGCTAAGGAAAGGAAGCAGGAATGAAGATGATCCAGCTTTCTGAGGCTCTGTTGCCTTTGACAATGGAAAACAACATGCGCGAAGCAGCAAGCTGATCAAGCATCAAGCGCTCCACGCGTCACGAAGACCAGAGCGACATGGACAAGGCCTCAATGCATACCTGACAAGGCTGACATCACAATTTCGGCATGGGAGGCAGTTGGCTCCGACGGCATTTTGATCACGCGCTCCGACGCAGGCCACAAGCCCGCTATCACTTAATCAATGTCTGCGCTCAGCCAACACTATTGGTGAGCATTTCTATCCACCTTCCCCCTTCTACAATTGTATACACATACTGACAGTATCTAAGATTTTCATTCCACCATACCGACTACATTGCCTTTCCTTGGTCAGCGTCCTGGCGGAGCAGACATGCCGCGGCCCATTGCGGCTCAAACTTCTCGATTCCATCACACCAGCGCGCCACGGTGCCGCATACCTCGTCGAGCCACGTACACCTCTTCCAGCATAGCGGCAACGAAGCTCACATACCCTTGCCTTCGCCAACTTCATGTCAGCCCGCTTCCACTCTTGGCAAGTCAAGAGCATGACAGTGACCGCTCATAGTTAGATCTGAGGCGGTACGGCGCTCTGAATGATCAGAATTATCAGGATACTCTTCTGTCTTGAAAATGCAGCATCCATGAAGCCGGTATTCGGCCTTTATCTGCTGGTACAAAGAGATGATGCGCGGTGGAAGAGGTGATTCAAATGGTGTCAATACCAGTAGGAGGCGCAGTTTGTTGGTCGGGTTCCATGGAGGCGGCACGTTTAGGTTGCGAAAGCCGTTGGTGCAGTTATATGGGCTCAGTGATGGCTAAATGGCGAAGAGGCTGGTGTAGCGAAATGATGACAGTATCGGTAGGATGCGGGAGTCGTTGTTGTAGTTGTATATATTCGAATGGCAAATTGGTTGGTGCAGTCGTATGGAGGCGGCGTGAATTGGTGTCAAAAGCAGCTTTTCTAGCCGCAGAGAGACAGAATCATGTTTCTCCGGCATGGATGAGCCAAAACAAGTAAATGCAATAGCAGCACTTGTAGCTTCACTGGCGCCTGGAACCAGCCTCCACGAGGTGCTGGGGGAAAGCCTGCAGAGCAAAACGTCCTAAACCGTACTAGGCGGCGCAGAAGGAGTAAATCTTGGCAGTCATTTCACGCCAATTGCTCGCACGCTTCCGAAGCTAGCCCGGCCTGATGCTGCCCAAATTTCTTATTGTCTGCTCTGCAGCCGCCTCAGCTTCACTCCCAAGCACTAACGCGCCCGCCTTCCTCCGACGCTCCACTCAACCCAACCCACCAATCCACCAACCAACCAACCAACCAACCAACCCAAACCAACCAAACCAAACCAACCAAACCAAACCAACCACATCCACACAAAATGCCTTACAGCACCATGAAGGCCGTCGTCGCCGCCGTCGGCACCTCCGCCGCCATCCTCGTCGTCGTCTTCGGCGTCCACAAGTACGCCATCTCCAAGGTGCAGGAGTGGCGCGCCGTGTGCCGCCAGAAGTGGATTGAGGGGCTGGACAAGGAGTACGCGGAGCGCCAGCAGCGCCCTGGTGCCACCGAGGAGTTCGAGCGCGGCCTCAAGGGCCTCAAGCACGCCACCTCCCATTTCTACATCGATCCCCTCGGCAACTGGATCCGCCGCTTGCCTCGTCAGCTGGTCCCTCCGCCCTCGGAGTAGGGCTTCATGCCCCTGCCTACGCGTCTCCGCTCTGGCGCGCTGGAGCAGATGCTTGACGAGATGGTCAAGCGAGCGCGTCGTGCTGCTCCGGCTGCTTCCCTGGCTGCACCCATGCCGCGCGAGCCCCTTCGCCGCCGTCACACGCTTTAAGGTATGATGAGAGTGCTCTCTCCTTCTCCGGCTTCGTTTTATTTCGCGCATGGGTAGCTGACTGAGATATGTAGTCGTCGCCTAAGCACTGAGGGTGGCGCCCTCTTCGGATTCAGGGTTTCTGGGGATGGATCGTGGTGGAGAGGGGATGAACGAATGGGTGGACGGCACTTTGGGCCTCCGCCTTCATATCCTTTTGGATGCTCGCCTTCTCCTGGGAGCCAATGGGGCTTCCATCGAGATGGGGACGGCAAGCCGCCTGTGGGTGAATACAACAGGCCACTTTACGGAGGCGATGTGCTTGGATTACGGGAGAGAACTGCAGAGAATGACAATCTTCTACGTGCTTGCAAATCAGTGCTATTTGATCAACGTGATTGGGTTTTGTAGAGCTACTGTAATTCTACGAATGCCCTGCCTGCAGTCTGATTTCAAGAATCTCAAGCAGAGCACTGCTAAATGTAAACTTCACTTCACGAGAAGCATCTGCACTCTGTCGTGCCCACTTATCCCAATACGGTAGCCCAACTTATCCTTCCTTCTCCAGCCGCCCACCTCTTTCAACCCAACACCAACGCGCCCTTCTACAAACCTTTCGCCAACCCAACCCAACCCAACCAACCAAACCAACCAAACCTCCTACAAACAAACAAAATGATCTCCGACACCGCCAAAGCCGTCATTAGAGTCGTCGTCGTTACTATCGTTTTCCTCCTCTTCCTCGGCATCCTCTGCTACTGCATCAGAGCTTCCTTCATCCGCCAACAGAAGCGGGAGCGGGCGCAAGAGCAGGCGCAAGAGGATCTAGAGGAGCAGGGGGTAGAGTTAGAAGAGATAGGCTTGCCGCCGCGCCCGGAATCGCTTAAACTTCCGGAGCCTACGCTCCCCTTACCGACGCTCCCCTTACCGAAGGTCCCGTGCCTTTCAGGCTACTAGCCTCACTACACCTTCTAAGGTATATTAGAGATACTTCTTCCTCTATTCTCGGCTTAAGGGCGTGATAGTAAGGAGCGAGCGCTAATAGGGATACAGTCATCGTCAATACCAGAGGATAAGGGATAGTACCCTCTTAACCTACTTATTTAGGATAGCCTGAAGCCGTGCTAGAGGGTAGAGGGAGGGAGGTTTAGGAGGAGTAGGCGAGTAAACAGGCAGACGAGAAAGGCCGCGAGGGAGAGAGAGAGAGAATAACAAAAGTTCTTACTTTACTAGACACGTTCCGATAGAAAACCGTAATGTTTCTATATAAAGCTTACTCAAACGCTGCCAGGCTTATAATCAGAGCCATACAAGTTTACTAGCTTACCGTAGCGGACATTTCGTAGTAGAGCTTTTATCAGGCATATCCGATTATACTATACTAGAACTAAAGAGACTCTCCTCACTTCAAGGATCAAGTAAACATCGATTCGTTATAGTTTCTAATTATATACGCCCGGAAAGCAAGCCAGTCAATCAATCATACATTATATTCATCAGTAAGTACAAGGAATGTAGCATAGACCATTAGAGGGCTGCAGCCTATAAGAAAATACAGGGAAAAAGGCAGTACCCAGCCGAAGCTAAATCGCTCGAAAGCAACGTCACTCCGGAGGCCTATACGTTAATCTAGCCACTTTAAAAGAACCTAAAAGATACAGAAAGTCTAGCAAGTACACGCAATAGCAGAAGGACTGAAGAAAAAAAAAAGAGGGAGAGAAAGCCGGACGGCGAGGGAGTTTATATAGACTAAGAGACGACGCTACCAGGGCGTTAAGCGAGGGAGAGAGTAAATAAATAGGACTGCCTAGTAGGCCATACGGGCCGCAGCTGAAGCTCCTCCTGCCCTCCAGCTCCGCCACCAAATTTTCCGCCTCACAAACCCAACAACAGTACAACTCCTTCTTCTCCTTCTCCGCCTACTACTACTACTACTACCACCACCGCCACCACCATGCCGTTCTCCGTCAGCGACGCCTAGTTCAAGTTCAGACAGTAGTTCGCCGACCGCCCGGAGAGAAAGTTCGAAGAGAGGCGGATAAAGGCCTTCGAGCAGAGACTCAACAAGGAGTATTAGGCGCGCCAGAACCGCATAAGCGCCATAGAGAGACTCGAGCACGCCCTCGAGAGTCGCGACTAGCAGCACCTTTTCTCCCGCCCTCAGGAGTCGGCCCAGAAGTCGGCTAAGGCCTAGGTCGACGACCTGCCCGATAGGCCGGTCCCTCCGCCCAAGGAGAAGCACCGCCGTCTTCGTTAAGGTATATCGAGTCTCTTAATCTTCTCTAGCTTCGTGTTCTTTAAGCGCGGGTAGCTAACGGAATGTAGTCAAACAGAGGACAGATAGTAGTAGTCGGGTAGGCAAGGATGAGCAGGACAGCATAGTGAGCTCCAGGAACTCGCTTTTAGGGCTCTCCGCAAGCAATCGGGCAGGCAAACAAGCAGATAGACGGGACAATTCATGAAACTTCTTGTGCTGCTACCGTCTGAACTGCGAGAGGGTCAAGCTCCGAGTAGGTTTAATGTTTGAGATTCGGTCCTTTCTTCTTCTCTTAATAGGTCCTAACTAGTATTTGGGGGTCTCCGCCGCCACTACCACCACCACTACTACTACTGCTACTACTGCTGCTGCTGCTGATCCTTCCATTGGGTACGCCCTAGCGTATATAAGGTATATGAGATCACTTCTTCTCCTTGTAACATGTTGAAGTTTGGGTAACTAACTAAAACTGTCTCTAGCGAACGAATAGACGGACGAACGAATGGACGGACGAGCGCCTACGGGCGATAAAGCAACTTCTCTTCTCTCTCCTCTGAATCTCTGATTTTGTGACTATGACGTGCCACGCACCAGCACTCTCTCGCGCTTCATCCCCGAGATCGCTCCCAGCTCAGTACCGCAACCTCAACACCACCACCCACCCATCCCACGTAAAGAGACGAGATTCTCGAAAACACTTACAGCGCGAGAACCGCCGGAGAAAAAACTACGAACGATTTGCCAAGGCATCGCGAGATATCCAAAGACGTCCCCGACCCAGCGACTTCAACGGCTCATAATGGGCAGCCAGTTGTTAACCGCAGACAATGTGCTTGTAAAATAGCATCGCAAATGTATGGAGGAGGTTTTACATACGGAAATGTCGAAAATGCTTACGATTAACAGGGTAGAAGATTACTTTGCGAGCTTGAGGTTTGGGAGTCTTGACTTGGATAGGATAGTGGTATAAGCGGGTTGGTTTTGGTCAACACCAAAGCAAGCGAAAATAAGGATTGTATATACGCGCTGCGTGCTAACAAGAGCGGCCAACAGCGCTTATAACCGCCGCCAGTATACCTACTTTTAGAAGTCAGTACTTCGAATATTACTGAAAACAAAACATGAGGTTACAATTGATAATCTGTAAATCGCAAGCAGTAGACGAAAAGGGGGGAGGGGGGAGGCCTATGTGAGTGTTTGTTGGCTAACTTGGCTGTCTGTGGAGGGGAGGTGACAGCAAGCGGTAGAGGAGTTGGCGAACGCACACTCATACGGCCCACGGGCTGTGGCGGTCAACGGCCGAAGAGAAAGGCGTGGGCAGGGGCGGGCGGCGCGGTCGCTGCCCTGCCGCTGCGCAGGAGCGCGAGGGGCGCGGATGCAGATGTGCTGGAATCTGGAAGCAGCTTAGACTGTTGCGTCGGGGGGATAGGTAGGGTACATAGGTAGGGCGGCGGCGGCTTTGTTTGCCTGGGCGGCTGCCTGCATGAGCGGCTGGCGACGAGGACACGGGACGACGGTATCAACTTGCGCGGATAATAGATTCCGTTTGCACGGAAGAGTAATCAGGCTAGCTATGCTATGTACAATTCCACTGCCAGGGCTACAGGAGCGTCAGCGCAGGCAGAACGAAAGTCAAGCAAACCCACACAAGCGGCCTACAACTTCGGCTCAATGCACGTCCACTGATCCTCGCCCACATTCCTCAAATCCATAACGACATTATCGCCCCCAAACCTGCCCTGGGTATCCTCCCAATTCCTGTCGACAGCAGTCTCGGGTCTCCAGCGCCAACTCCTTTGCATCCGGTCCTCAAGCCGGCCCTCCATAGCATCCGCAATATACCCGCCAATGACAGGGATGTGCATGAAGCCGTGGCCGCTGGCGCCCGCGCCCAGCACCAGGCTCGCGTGCTCCGGGTGCCGGCTGATGAGGAAGGCGCGGTTGGGCGTGTCGGCGCACCAGCAGATGCGCGCGAATGCAAACGGCCGCTCTGCCAGGTGCGGCATGATTTCGCGCAGGAAGGAGCGCGCGCGCGCCTCCGATGCTAGCGGGATTTGGTGCTTGGCGAAGGGGACTGAGGCTCGTGCGCCGCTGGCTGTCTCGGTCCAGTTGCAGTAGCCTGGGTGCTCGTCGCAGAGTTTGAGCTGCTTGGCGTCTTCGTCGGGCTCCATGAAGAAGCCGCTGCGAGGGGTTAGTGGTGAGGCGTGCTTGGGGAGGGGTTGCTTGTGTGTATGTGGATGGTTGAGGGGAGGAGGGAAATGGGTTGGCATACCGCTCCACGTTGAACAGCACCGGCAGATTCTTGTACAGCTTGACCTCCTCGTCCGTCATCTGGATATGCGCGAGCGTCCACGCCGTCGGCCGCAGCTGGTCCTTGAAGTCCAGCAGGCCCGGGGCGTTGGCGCCCGCGCACAGCACCGTCCGATCGGCGCGCCACTCCTTGCCGTCCTGGGTCCTCGCGCCCTTGACATCCCCCTCTTCAAAGATCAAACTCGTCACGTTGCCCTGCGCCGGACCAGTCACAAACTTGGCGCCCAGGCGCTCCGCCTCGGTCGCCGCGGCCACGAGGGCCTTGCGCGCATGCACCCACCCCGCGCCCGAGGCCTTGTGCCAACCCTTCCAGCCGGGAAAGTCGCCTGTCAGCACGCCGGCGGGCATGGTCTGGCGGAACTGGTCGGGTGTGTTCAGCTCGACGTAGCCATCCTCGGGCGTGGGCTGCTCGCGCTTCTCGAGCGCGGCGATGCTGGCCGGGTCGCTGGCGGCGACGATGTAGCCCGTCTCGTGGTAGTAGGGGGCGAAGACGTGGTCCTTTTGCCAGGCCTCGGTGGCGCGGTTCAGCAGCGTGTTGCTCACGTAGGCCTCGTCGTCCTCGGGGCCGGAGAAGGTGCCTAGAGGTTGCTTGCGGTCAACGTTGGTTTTCTGGTCGTGGCCGGAGAGCTGCGCGTCAGCGAGTCTGTGCTGTTGGGGCAAGGGGCGCACCTTGCTCTACAATCTTGTTCACGTCATTGCCGGCGGAAATGGCCGAGGGCACGGGGTACGGGTCGAGGAGGGTGATGTGCTTGTAGCCGCGGCGGGCCAGGTGCAGGGCGGTGGAGCTGCCCCAGGTGCCGGCGCCGACGATGAGGATGGACGAGGATTCGGAATTCAGGGGGGAGGCCATGATTGGAGGTCAACTGGAGTGGCTATTGCAGAAGGCATGTTGTATTTATGGTGGGTGGATGTTGGATGGGTGGATGGGTGGGGTGAGGAAGGGCCAGGTGCGGGGCTTTGTTCAAAAGCCAGTGGATCCCCCGCCGCCGCCTGGACCTTCCACTCAATCAGCACCCGCCCAACATATACATAATATCCTGATGCCGCGTCGCAAGGCCGCCGACCGGAACCAGCCGCACAAGTCCCGCTCGCGCAACGGCTGCCTCACGTGCCGCAAGAGGAAGATCCGTGGGTACCTCCCCATCTCTCGTCGCTGCACAGATCATCGCTGATCTCACAAAGGATGCGACGAGGCCCGTCCCGTCTGCTCCAACTGCAATGCCAAGGGGCTGCAGTGCCTGCGCGGCGTGACGCTGAAATGGGAGGCCGAATACGCTGGCCGCGGCATCGCCTTTGGTCGCTGTGGCGTGTGGAGCAAAAACGGCCAGCACGACGACCTGCCCAGCCTTGACTCGAGCGCCGTGCACTGGCTACCCCTGCCGGAGATCCAGCCCTACCACTTCGTCAATAGCACCGTCGACGGCTTCGAAGACTCGCTTGCCGAACAGGAAGAGTTGGGCCTCGTGCCCGCCGGGCAGTCTGCGTGCTCATCGCTCAGTTCTGCCTGCACTTCCATTCCGCCTGTTTGGTCGCCCTCGCCGCTCCTCTACTCTCCCCCAGCATTCCCCCAGTTGGAAGACTCGACGTACGCCCCGTTGCTCAACTACTACTTGGAGCGCTTGTGCCCTCTGACGACTCCGAGCCATCGAGCATCGTCTCCTTTTGCAACTCTCGTCCTTCCTTTTTCGGTTTCGGCTTCCTCCAATGCACTCAATGCCATCCTTGCCTTGGCAGCACGACATCTGTCCAAAACCAACCGCGCCTGGAAATCCGCCGCCATGCAGCTGGAAGGCAAGGTCTTGCGTACCCTCAGGAAGCGTTTGATGGCCGAACACCCCGAGAGCGTGGCTCTGGACCCAGAAGTGCCAACCATCATGATGATGCTGTGTTTGTATGAGATCATCAACAAGTGCGATGAGCGCTGGGTCATCCATCTCAAAGGCGCGCGGGATCTAATCCGCACTCGAAAGCGCCTTGTGGCCGCTGCGCCAAAGCCATCGTCTGATCTTGTCGGCTTCTCAGAGCGCTTCTTCGCCTATCAAGATGTCATTGGCCGGACCGCCTGCGGTGAGGTGCCAATATTCGGCAGCGACTATTGGGATTCCGGCGACCAAACCGCAGACGCCTGGCTCGGATGCAGCCCCGAATTGGTTTCCATCATTTGCTCCGTCACAGAACTCAGCCGCCTCAGACGCGAAGACCCCGCCGCGTCAACCAGAGCCAGCTTCGCCATCAAGGCAGAAGCTTTGGAAACCCGGCTTACAGACCTGGTCCAAACAGTGGCGGATCCGGCCGATGATCTCCTTTGCAGGTCTGCAGAGATCAAGCGCTTGGCCACCATTGTTTATCTCTACTGCGCCTTGTACGGCGCCTCGCCAACCACGCCTCTGGTCATTGTGCATGTCAGGCAAATCCTGAGACATATCGCTGGCTTCATTGAGCACGGCGTGGCGTCGGGCCTGACATGGCCGCTCTTTGTCGCCGCAGTGGAATTAGATCCGCTGCAGGACGAGCTATGGACCGACGAACGCACCCGCCGACCCGTGTATGGCCGGCGGCTCGTATTGCAGGCACTCGATCACATGGCGCAGGCGAGCATCGCCAATGTGTCGCGCACCCGAGCCGTGGTGAGCAAGGTGTGGGAAACGCGCGAGGCGCAAGAGGCGACTAGCAGCCCGCCATCGTTAGACGTTGACGGGCTGCAGAACTGCAACGACTGGGAGCGCTTCGTCGCGCCGCTTAGCGGTAATATGAGCCTTGCGTGAATAAGGTCCTGGATGATTTGTCCATGTCCTTTGACTGATTTGTCGTTGGCTTAGTTGCCTACCGAATTCGGTCTGCTATACCTGCCAAGTGCTCCTCGGTGGACATGACATGGATTGGGCGTGTGAAGAAAGTTACGGCAAGACAGGATCGGACCGAGGCCCTGATATCGCACCCGCGCCGATCCCGCCGCAATGGGAAGCGGGGTGCGCGCGCCACTTCGCCTGGACCTTCGCTCGCTACCCCGCGGCCACGACCGTCTGCAATGCAAGATGTTGATAGCTTGATGCTTGTGGCAGGAGACAGCCACGGACTATAAGTACACCTACCACTGCTGCTCGTCACGCCATGCTCGAACGACGTCGCACTCGTCGCCTGATTCGGAAGAGACTGTGGAGCAATGGCTGCTGTGGATACCCGTGAAGACGTGCCGGGCACGGAATACTTGGTCGATGGTACATGTGTATGCTGGAGACGTATGTGGATATGATGGCTGATCAGTGCTGTTGGCAGTTGGACACCACCTCGACGTCAACCACGCCGGCCACGGAAACTCTGATGTCGTGTTGATTCCGCAACCTTCGCCCTGTGCGGGAGATCCTTTGGTATGTCGTCTGGTCACTGAGTGAGTGGTGGTAGACATACGACATAGATATGCTGATCGCCGTGTTCAGAACTGGTCGCGCGTCAAGAAATACTACCAGCTGTTCCTGCTTGCCCTGTATGCCTGCGTGTTTTCGTACGGCGAGAATGGCCTCGGTTGTAAGTGCCCTGTCCGCTCGAAGTGCGAGACACAGTGACTAACTAACATTTGCTCTTGCAGCGGCTTGGACGACTGTCAGTAAAGAAACGGGCGTCAGTCTTACCAACATGAACGGCGGCAGTGCCCTCAACTACCTTCTTCTTGGCTTCGTCAACATCTTCTGGATCCCCGCCGCCATGAAAATCGGCCGCCGTCCCATCTTCTTGGCCACGACGGCAATCTGCATAGGCGCCAGCGCCTGGCAGGGCAGCTTCCACGGCACGGCGCAATGGATGCTGTCGTGTGTGCTGGGCGGCGTGGGCACAAGCGCCTACCAAGCAGTCATCCAGCTGTCCATCTTCGACATGTTCTTCGTGCACCAGCGCGGAAAGGCGCTGTCGTTCTACCTCTTCGGGCAGCAGCTGGGCTCCATGTGAGTGACACGGCGCAGCGGAATGAAGAACCAAGCTGACGTGACGCAGTCTCGGCCTCATCACCGGCGGCATCATCGCTGACGGCCCCGGCTGGCGCTGGTCGCAGTACATCGTGGCCATCATCAACGGCGGCGTGCTCGTCCTGCTGTTCCTGACCTTCGAGGAGACGACGTTCCCGCGGTTCTTGTTCTACCGCGCAGAAACGCTGCCGACGACCGTGCCTGTCGCTCCCGCAACAGCAGCAGATGACTCGCCGCTCGAGCACGACGAGGAAGACTTGGACGCAAAGAAGGGCTTCGATGCGAAGCTGAAGCTGAAGCAGTCGCGGACGTCGAACACCGAGGTCGGCGAGATCTTGCCGGACTTTCCGAAGCGGACGTGGCGCCAGCATTTGGTGCCTTGGACGTACCATCTTGAGGACAAGACGACGTACTGGCAGTACTTCCGGCGGCCGTTTTTTCTGTTTGCGTTCCCTAACGTCGTTATCGTAAGCATTTCGTCCCACCCCCACCATCATACGGGCACCACAGCCACAAGCAAGCAAGCAAGCAAGCAAGCAGCTAACCACCCCATACCCACAGTCCGGCTTCATCTTCGCCTTCGGCTGCACCGCGGGCATTGTCTCCTTCAACACCATCTCCGAGATCCTGACCGAAGCGCCCTACAACTGGAGCACAACCTCAACAGGCTTAATCTTCCTGGCCGCGCTCGTCGGGAACTTTATCGGCTGGGCGACGGGGCTTTTAAGCGACAAAATCGTGCTCGCGTGCGCTCGGCGCAACGGCGGCGTCAAGGAGCCCGAGATGCGGCTGTGGACGCTGGGGCTGAGTTTTGTTTATGCTGGTGTAGGGTATTTTTTGTATGGCTGGGGCGCGCAGAGGGGCGCGCATTGGATGGCGGTCGCGGTGGGCGTCGCCGGCATGATTGCGCATCAGGTCTCGGCGTGTGGGGTTGCGATGGCGTATGCAGTTGACTGTTTTGGGGGCGTGAGTCCTCCCACCTCTTTTCCCCCTCATCCCTCCCCTTGACCCTTTTCCCGTCCCTCTTCCTACTTAAACCCCCCTGCTAACGTACCACGCACACAGATCTCGGGCGAGCTCGTCACCGTCCTCGCCATCTGCTCCAGCTGCATCAACTTCGCCATCTCGTACAGCGTGCAGCCGCTCATCAACCGCGTCGGCTACGGCTGGGCCTTTACCTTCTTCGGGCTGTGCGTGCTCGTGTGCACGGGCGGGGCGGGCGCCGCGCTCGCCGTGTGGGGGAAGGTGTGGCGCCGGCGGGGGAGGAGGCGGTATGTGGGCTTTCTTGAGGAGAGGGGAAGGGCGGGGGCGGGGGCGTAGGTGCGTGCGTATTTGTGTGGGTGTGGTGTGTTTGGGGTTTGGAGGGGTTTGTGTGTTGTTGTGATGTGGTTTTGGGGAAGGGAGGGAAAAGGGTTCGTAGTGGTACACAACAAGCACTGTTTCCGCACCTCGACGACGGGCGCCGCTGTGCCGTGGTGGCGTAGACCAGCGGGTTTGCGCGGTGATGGCCTGCTTCGCCAGCTTGGTGCGGCTGCTGGGGGGGAGAGGGCGTGCGGTGTTTGCGTGCTTGAGGCGTGCGTGCGTGCGTGTGGTGAGCCCCCCAGGTGGCGGTTGAAATTTATATTTCGGCTTGGTACGGACCAAGCCGCAGAACAGGCAGTTGGGGACTGGATGTCTGCTTGAAGGAGAGGAAGGACTTGTGGGGTGGGAGAGGTTTTTATACCCCTCGGGTTTGGGGCTCGCGTGTCGGTTTGGGGGGCTTGGCGTGGTGGTGGTGGTTGTGGTGATGGTGGTGATGAGGGAGGAGAGCGCTCTCGATGGAGTACTTCGTAGAGGGGTGTGGAGGTTGTATTCATGGGTGGTTGTGGAGCGTCTATGCATCTGTAAGTAGAGCGGATCGCTCCCTATGAATCACTCCTTGTATAGGCGTGAGGGTGACATTCATGTCCAGATATGCCGTTAATGGGGGTACGTATGTATATCACAGCAGTACCTATCTCTGAGCGCGGTGGGTATGTACGATAAGTCCATTTGTGCATGTTCACACACCTCTATCCCTCCGTCTATGCATTCTAGATCTGGGTATCGCATTCTCAACTCCCGCGCTGCGCCGTCCCGTCATCATCATCCGATCCCATCCGTCCTGTCCGTCCTGCCCAACGCCTTGTCCGACAGCTGGACTTGCCGTGGAAATGCGCTCTTCCTGCGCACAGCATGCGCATATTGATCTGTCTGCTCGCTCGCTGCCCGCTCGCCCAGCACCCAGGCCTGCGGTCTCCGAGCCCAATGCCGCGCACGGCACTGCATCTCCATCGCGCAGCGGCGCCATCGACACGCGAACGCCCCCAGTCGAGCAAGCGCGCAAGCAGCGGCCGGGCGGCCAAACCGTCCAAAACGGCCCCCTTGAGCAAGCAAGCAGACAGGCAAGCCCAACCCATCCCATCCCAACCCGACTCCTCCCAAGCAAGCAGCCCCCCGCCCCCACGCCGCTCACCCCAAGCTAACACCGCCCTCACTGACCATGACACCATCGCCGGCCCCCTCGCCCTCCAACGCCTTCATCACCGCCTCCACGTTGCCGTACCCACTGACGCCCCCGCCCGTGACACCGCCACTCATGCCCCCACTCCCAACAACGCTACTGCTACCCTTGCCGGCCCCCGAGCTACTCGAGTGTACCTGGCCCACGGTGCTGGCGTGCGCGTCGGCCAGCCCCGCCAGCCCGCCCTCCTGCAACGCCTCCGACATCTTCTTGCGCTCCTGCTCCTGCGTCCGCGTCATGTACGAGCTGTAGTTGAGGGTTGACAGGATGCTGGCGGCGACGATGACGATGGCCGTCACGGCGCGGCGCGTGATGGTCCAGCGGAGACCTTCAACTTCGGAGCGCGCGTCCGAGTTCAGCGCGACTGTGATCTTGTAGTTGAGTTCTTGGATCTGGGAGGAGGGTTAGCTTGCGAGTGGGAGAGGAGGGAAGGGGAGGGGGAAACGTACCTTGCTCTCCATGGCGCGCTGCTCCATGCGCACCGTCATCTTGCGGTCGTCAAACATGCCCTTTAGCTCCTCCTTCATATTACTGCAGTCCTGATCCAGGCGCTGCGTCAAAATATCCACCTCATGCTGCAGCTGATTGCGTTGCGTGCTCATGCGTTCATTCTCCGCCTTACGGTTATTCTCCACTTCGGTCTGCAGCTCGCTGCATGCGGCGCGGAACAAGTACGTCTCGTTCTCGACGTCCGACTTGCCGACCAGCCCGTCGCGCGCCACGTCCAGGTTGTCCCCTAGTATGCCCCGTATGGCTTTCATGACGCTGACGCTCTGCCGCGCGCTGAAACCACTGCCCTCCAGCTGCTTGACTAGCGACCACGTGTCGAAGTGGTGCACGTACGGCGGCGTCGTCAGGTGCGGCGGCCGCCCCGTCGGCGCCGGCATCCGCAGCACCTCCTCCAGCGGGTTGGACTCGCTCTGCTGCAGCCGCTGCAGCTTCGCGCGCTGCCGCATCTCCGCCGACGCGCCGTTCGTGCCGCCCTCCAGCTCGAATATCGTCGGTGACGCCTTGGGCGGCCCATCCGCTTCCACTGCGGCTCCGCCTGCCCCTCCCATACCCGCATTTCCTGCCTCTGCGCCTGCGTTCCCGGCCGCGCTCGCCGCCGCCGCCGCCGCAGCAGCCACGGCGCTCGCGTCTTCCCGCTGCGCCTCCTTCTTGTCCATCTCCTCCTTGAGCTCCTTCTCCCTTTCCCGCTCCTGTTTCAGCTCTTTCGCGGCCTGCGCCTCAACCTCGGCATCCCCCTCTTCCTCCCCCTCGCCCTGGCTATAGCGTCCCGGCAGCGGCTCGTTCGCCGTGCCATACCGCCCCTGCGGTCGTGCGTCGAGGACACAGCGCGGCGCAGTGCCAAAGGCTGCTGCTGGTGCGCTGGTGAGATTGTGCGGGGCGGCGGTGGAGGTGTGTTGCGGCGCCGAAACGCCGGGGAGGCATTGGCGGCGCGGGCTCAAGCCGCTAGCACCAGTGCCGACAGAGACGCCAGATGAAATCGCGGCGGAGGTGGATGCATATCGTCCTGAGCGGGCGAGGAGCAGAAGATGCGGTGGGGAGCGGAGGAGGGGGAGACGGAGACGCGGCGGGGGCATTTACGGCGGGAGTGGAGTGTTTGTATCGTAATGTCGTGTCTGGATCGTGCCGGTCGTTGCGGCAGATGAAGGTATGCAATGCGCGCGTCGCTAAGAGCGATAGAGACAGTAGTGGAAAGATTTGAAGGTGCGGGCGTGGCGGGGGAGGAGCAGTCGAGGATGATGATGAGCCGCGGGCGGGAGATGGCTCGGTGCGATGTCGGCCTGTGCGCCGTCAGGGGCCGATGGAAGCCGCGATTGCATAACCTGCATAACTTCATATATACATACGATACATACATACACAAACATACAACACACACCTTTTCTCTCCTCACCACTGCCCCTCTCACCCCCTCATCAAACCCACCCAAACACCTCCGCATTGGACAAGAAGCCCCACCACGTGCCCGCCACGCCCACCAGCACCACCACCAGGTCCGCGAGCAGCAGCACGCACCCGGCCATCATGAAGCGCGGGCAGAAGACGCGGTAGAGCATGAGGTGTCTGCGGAGGTGCGCGGCCCACAGCGCCGTGGCCGCGCCCACCAGCGCATACGCCGCCGCGTGCGTTGCCGCCGCCCGTGCTACTGCGCCCAGCATCCCCGCCCGCTTCGGCGGCTGCTTCCACAGCGCTATCGCCGGCACCGCCGCTGCCGCCACCACCTGCGCCCCGAACGTGTTCAGCACCACCAGCACCGGCGACAGTGGGTAATGCACGCTCTTCAGCGGGATGAAGGCCGCTTCCCACTGGATGCTCGCCAGTGTCGCCTGGTGCCCCGTCTTGAAGAAGTGGAACGACCCCAGCAGCATCAGCGTCACGGGCCCGATCGCGCTGGAGTTCAGCCTGTTTGCGTCGATCATCTCGAGCAGCGCTAGGATCTGGAGCACCAGGACGGCAATCACCCCGCTGCCCATTGGCTTCTGCAGGCAGATCACCACTCCCGCCCACACCGTCATCAGCAGCGCGTACCGCGATCCGTGGAGATTGGCATACCCCAGGATCGCGATACTCTGCTTGCCGCCCTGCGATACGATCGTCGGGTCGTCGACGTCCGTCGCCTTTGCTTCCCGCGTCTCGATCTTCAGCAGCGGCGAGCACCACGCGTACGCGACATATCCCGCGCCTGCAGCAATGCCGAGCGCTACGCGCGAAAAGACGACGCGGATGCTCTTCTGCGTCTTCTTGGGCAGGTCAAAGTAATCCATGTCGTCGGCCGCTTCAAGCGTCCAAAAGACCGCCGCTAGCAGCAGGCCCATGCGGAATGCAAAGCCAATCCAAAACTGTGCCACGCCCTGGTAGTTGCGAGTGCGCTTCAAGAAAAACTTGACGCCTTCCGGCAGACCAAGGGCGACAACGTAGGGAATGGCGACCTGCCAGACGGCGCTTGTCGACGAGGTCGACGACGCATAGTATGTCGGCTTGCAGTAAGGCATCTGCTCGTCCCTGCAAAGACGGGAGAAGGAAGCCAGACGGGTAAGCATGACAAAGGCAATTGAGTGAAGGCAGCCAAGGGTGCGGTCTGCCTCCACCTCCTGCCGCAGGGACGAGATGAAGAAGAGGACGCCCAGCGTGGTCAGGAAAAACAGCAGAATCTCGTCCTCCCAAATGGTAAAGGAGTTGGACGCGAATCCAATGGACAGCAAAAGCGGGAAAAGGACACTAATCCCGCCCCAGAAAGACCGCGGAAGAGGCGAGGAAACCCTGATCCTGGCGGCCAGAAAAGCGGAGCTTATTCCCAGGATAATGCCTACAGCCGCACCGAAAATGGCGGAGTGCTGCATCTCAAAGGCGGGGACGAAGTTGCTAACCGCGGCTCCACTTCCGGCGCCAGCAACGAGGCCAGTGAATCCCCTGAAAAGTAGGACGGGCGTGAGGTCGGTGTGATCACCAGTTATACCGCGCGCGTAAACCACCAGGATGATAAGCGAGCAGACGAGCACACCAATTCCTTGGTACATGCTGACAACGTGGAACTGGGCCCAGAGACTGCGGCAGAAAGCCAGTGTCATCTCCTGGTAACTCGAGTAGTCCTCGTAAGCCTGCTTCCACTGACTCTGGCTTGGCTTTCTCGACTGCGTTAGCTGCCCCCATGTTTCGCCAGCAGTGCTCCAGCGCGTCAGAGGCGGCGAAACCTCCTGCTCCCCAAGCCCACGTGCAACCGCGTACTCGTGCTGGTAGCGGTGAACCTGAGATGCCGCCAACCTGTTGACGAGAGCGAGGTTCTTGTAGTCGTTTCCGCTACGGCCAATGAAGGCCTCCTCGATGGGCTTACCAAGGTTGTTGAAAGGAATGGGAAGACCAAGCAGAAGAGAAAGGGTAGGAACAAGATCGATCTGCTGAACGGGCCTTTCCTTCGCCGTTGCCGGCGGCGTGACGTAGTCTGATGAGCTCCGACCAAAGACACCCTTCTTAGAGTACATCCAGAGAGCCGCCTCGACTTCGTCGTCAGATTCACCGCCGTGATCACCTTTGGCATCCATTCCGTGATCACCCATGACGACCAGAAGCGTGTCATCGTCAATGCGTTCGATGATGCGGCGGACAATGTCATCCATCTGTTGAAGCTTGGCCGTCATGGCCGAGTGGTCCGGCCCATAGCGATGGCCAGCATGATCGACACCCAGATAGTGACCGATGAGAACGTCCCATTTCTTAGCGCTTGCAGGCTGCAACAAAGGGAAGAGATGCTCCGTGACACCGTTGTCCAATGTGTGCAAATCCCAGACGTTGAACGAGTCGTACGGCTTCGTCAACTCCGGGTCAAAGTATTCAGGGAACAACGAGTGCCAGGTGTCATCGCCGAGATGAACGACGTTCTTGCTGGCATTCTTCAGTTGCGCAATGAGGTTGTCCTCCTCAATTGTCATGCCCGCAAAGTTGGAACCCGCATCGATGAAGGTCGGCAGGGTGCCGGTTGTCAAACCCTTCAGCCGTTGCAGCGTCGTCGTAGGCGGGTCGGCAATGAAGGGCAGGAGAAAGGCATTGTTTGGCTGGCGTGTGGCCGTCTCGTGGAGCACAGGAATCGAGTTGTGGAAATGATGCGGCGCTCCGTCGGCCTCGGTGGGCTGGAAGGGGACGGTGAAGTCGTAGCGGAGGGCATCGACGATGATGACAACGGCCTTGTTGAAGCTCTTGGGGTGCCAACAGCCAGTGTCGCGCGAGCCGGCGATGTACGAACCGTACAAATCAGTTGGGGGCGCAGCACACTCGGATTTGTGGTCGAGGACCAGGCGCGTCAGGAGGAAGCCGCTGGTGAAGAGGTACAGGCCCAGACCGTGGAGCGCACTGCAAGAGTCATCAGCCAATGCCCCGCGGGGAAGACGCCCAAGGAAGTCTCACAAGATTAGAAGGAAGAAGACGACAAGCAGGCTGTGCGATGACTTGAACCTCAGCTCGCGCTGCTTGTTGGCGATTTTGGCGGCTTCGGCAGTGATGTGAGAGCTGCGCGCGCTCTGTGCCTCGTCGCTTGCCTGCTTGGACTTGCCCTTGGCGACGGCAAACTGGCCATCGTGCTCAGACTTCGCCTCGTTCATCGTGACCGCGATGGAAGCATAGGCAGGTGTGCGGGCAATGTGGGAGGGCCGAGGAAGCTTAGGGCGCGGAGAGACTAAATGACGCTTCGGCCAAAAATCGGGCAAGGAGCACCTCGGGCCCTCTGCATCGAAGCTTACAATAATTCTGCCTCGTCCACGCTCGCGGTTCCGCGTCACAGCTCGCCCCGGACCCGCCGCGGGCCGGAGCAGAGGTTGCAGGTTGGCATCATGCATTACAGAATAGAATTTACAAAGAGCCGGGGCGGCTATAGCCCCCCGAAGCAGGCCTCCCTCATAGGGGGGAAGCAGCGAAATTACCGCGCATTGAGTGGTATCCCAACAACGAAGAAGACTGCCGCAGAATGTACAGAAGGGGCTAAGCCTTCGCTCGGAGCACCCTTCGGCGGCCGTCGGCGGATCGAGCGGTCGCGGAGGGGCTTTTCAACAAAAAAAGGACAAAAATTGGCGTTGGAAAAACACAGATTGCCGGGGAATCTGTACAAAGCCGTCATACTAAAAAAGACAATAACAACCGGGATCGTAGCCAAAGGCGTGGTGGAAATGGGGGTGTCTCAGGGAGGTGGAGTTGCGATTGCGGGTGCTGTTGCTGGATTTAGGGTACATTGGTAGCCTGCAAAGCGGCGGCAGAGATCTTGTCGATTGCTTAGGGAGAGTACTCGTTCTTCTCCTTCAGTCCGCCAATGCGCTCCAGATCGAGGGACTGGAAGCGGTCGGTCGCGTCCTTCTGGTAAGGCGGCAGCTGTTCCTCGTGCAGCGGCTCCAGCCCAACGCTGTGCTCGCCGACACGCACCACAACGACCCGACCAGACTGTTTATTTCCCTTGTCGTCAACCTCTTCCGGAAACGTGATGCGGATTTCCGGGACGGGGCTGCTGGGCGTCTGGGGCTCGTTCGAGACCTTTTCGTCGCCGTAGACGAACACAGATGGGTTGCCGGCCGAGTAGGCGGGGGCGGCGGCGATGGTCAGGCTGCGGTGATGCGACGACATGCGGGAAGAGACGGGGCGCTCGGTTTCGTTGTACATGGGCAGTTCGGGAGTCTTGGCTTTCTTCGCGTTGCGAGCCTTGCGCATGAAGATCAGCGCGACAACAGCCATGAGGGCAATGACGACAAGGACCAGCAGGGCGATGAGAAGGTCGACCATCAAGGGAGTCAGGGCGGCGTCATCGGCGGAGTCGGAGGCAGAGGCATCGCGGCGGACGAGCGAGAGAACGGAAGGCATGGTGAAACGAGCGGCGGCAAGATGTTTTGGCTTGTCGGGGAGTTCTCCAATTGGTATGCACGACTGCAGAGCGAGAAGCTGCAGCACGTTAGCAGTGCACGCGTCGCACGTGCGTGTTTACTCTCGGGCGGTGGAGAGAGGAATGCGGAACGTACGGTCGCAAGGAGTCGGGCGTGATTTTGGGGAAAGGAACGTAGCGCAGCGCAACCAGCTGAATGAGTGAAGCCGATTGCTTGCGGGCCCGGAGGGAAGGAGCGGCGGGAGGGAAAGAAGTTTTTTTGGTTCGGGTTGGACTTGGCGGAGTGGGGAGAACTGGAGAAGAAGACGGAGGAGAAGAAGGAGAGCGTGACGGGGGAGCGGTGGAGGCCTTTGGCCGTTGCGAGGGCTAGCGCGGCCAGCGGAGATTGCACTTCTGATCTTCACCCAACCAAGATCGGCCTTAGGCGCCTGCGACGACGAGGATCACGGCGAGCTTGGCCTTCTATATTCGGCCAAGGGGGGGAGGGGCCAGGCGCGTATTCTGCGTGTTGTGTGTTGTGCTCTGGCGTGCCAAATTCTCCTGAGGCGGTCCGTTACGGTTGTGTGTTAAGCTTAAGTTGGGGGCCCGGATCTCACATGGGGGTTTCCGGTAGATTGATTTGAGGATTGGCTTGTTTGATGAGTGGATGGGTGCATGATGATGATGATGATGGTGTTGAGGGCGCTGGCTCTTGGTACATAGGTAGCAAATACAATACTGCCTAGATCTCAGTCCCCACCCCGCGTTCGTGCGCGTCATGATCCATGTTGCCGACCATGGATCGTGATGATTTGGATGATGAATGAGTGCGACTGCGGTGCGACGAGCTACATAAGAGGGCTGCGACGCGGCAGTTTCATCGCGCTGTAACTACCATCGTCCCCTTATTTATCTTCGGCCCCAATCGACTCGCCTCGCGCCAAGCAGCGCCGACCACGTCTTGGAGGCTCTGCCCGGGGCATGCTAGTGGATCGTCCCGCAACGTCCCATTTTTAGCACGACACCGTCGCCAAATCTCCAGCCGCTAGCCCTCGGATCGCCTGGCCTTGCGCCCTCAACACCACCGGCCCGCGTCGTCGCTGCGCCCTTCTCTGTCCTCCCTGCGCCCAGCTTCTCAGCGTTGCCCTCGCCACGACGCACCCGCATTCCTCGCATGCCCACCCCTTGCGTCTCCACCCACCCGCGACACCCCCAGAGCCTTCTTGGACCTACTGATGCTGTCCCTGCCCGGCGCGCGAGGATTCCGCTTCGAGCTTAGCATGCGCAGTGGTTGACACACGCACAAAGCCCTCTCTGTAATTACGCCCTGCCCAAGGGGTGCGGGCCATATCAACGTCGCCGTTTCCGCTGCCTCTGCCTCTGTTCTTCACCTCCTGCCAAGCTCCTTGTACATGCACTGTCAATTTCCCGCGTATCCCGCCTACAAAGGTCCGTCATGTCGCCCGCTCGTTTGCTCGCCGGGCCCCGTGCTGACGCCTGGTGTACCTCAGCTCCCGCTCCGCATACATAATCCCGTACATTCTCGCCCGAGCCCTCCAAAGCCTTTCGTTTTCCCTGCCTGTCCATGATGGTATCGGGCCTCGTCACCCGCCAGACGTCCAACAAGGTGCGTGTCGCCGCCGAGCCCAAGCCGAGCCCTGCTTGCTGACGTCCTGACTCCAGGCCATGTCCACGCTGCGCGACTACGCCGGCGTCAAGTCGCCCGACGACGAACGCGCCCCCGGCGCCTCGTCGCTCGCCCAAAGTTACACAAACGGCAAAGGCTGGAGGGGAAGCATCTGGGGCAACGGCACCCTGAACTCCACCTTCAACTCTACCGCGCGGGAAACGCCACGGACTGGTGAGAAACTCGCTGCCTTGGGCGCCGATGCATATCGCTCACATCCCGCTCCAGACACCAGAGGCTACCGCCACTCCGTTTCCCAGGAAATTGAGGGCAAGACGGGCTCCGGCTCCCTCGTAGCCTCGTCTGAATCTGACCATTGGAGTAACCAAAGAACGCCTTGGAACGTCACCGAGCCCGCTCAGCCCATTTCTCAACGAAGAGCTTCCAGTGTGTCGCCTGTCAGCCAAGTACAACCTTCGCAAGCATATGTTGACACTGCCCAAGGCGCTTCCCAGCGCTATTCTGTCTCCAGAGGCCCGATAATCGGACAAAGCCTTGCCAAATCGGGGCCCAATGCGATCCTCGACCCCACATCCGGAGCTTTCGTGACGCGGCAACGGCCAGACGACGGCTATGGCGACATCAATCGGTTGATGGATTACCAACCGCACCAGCGATCGACAGACTCGGCTATGAGACCCTGGACCGACGCTCAACACCTTCACTCTCCCACCGAAGACCGCCGCAGCGTGGCGAATTCCGAATATTTTTCCAGCTCCAGTGCAGCACCATCCCGCAGTGGTAGCCTGCCTCCTTCACGACATGGTTCAGATCCAGTTCAGTACCCGCAACCCAATGAGACGTTCGCCCGGTTCTCGCAACCGGTCCAGGCAGCAACAGGGGTCGGTAGTCGCGGGCACACGGCATCGATTTCGGCGCAGGGTGATGGTCGCTTTCAAGAGCGTAGCGATTCATTCCAAGGTGAAGTTATTTCACCGTTCGGCAGGATGGCGCTCGACAATAAGGGCTCAGATCAAACCATGATGATTCACAGAAACTCTCTTAGTTCTGCTGGCCAGTATTCCCAAGTCTCTCACTCTGCCTATCCTCGTCAAGTATTAGGAGACATACCGCAGAACATTGCCAGTTCTGAGGACATTGGGGCTAGCTCATTTACCCCAGAGGGTTATCCCACCCAATTCCCAGACCAGAATGCGGCCTTTCGCAACTTCCAGTTCGCCAACAGGGGGGCGTTGACGCCCAATGCGGATTTCCGTTCGAGTCCATACTATTCCACTGCAGGGACGCCTCCCGCGTTCGATCATCTTTATCCATCGCGGAATGATCAGAACGCTCGTGCGCAGCCGAACGGCCATTCGGCCCTCTTAGACCGCAAGCTGAGAAACGTTCAGCAAGAGCAACAAGCTTTCATTCATCCTGGTTACCAACAAATGCTCGCGGCGCAGTTTCGCGACTTCAGTTCGTATCCCTATGGCATGCATCTTGGCACTATGGCGCCTGGATTCCCTATGCATATGCCTGCCGGCATGGTGCCCACTCTCGAAGTCCCCAAGGGTCCCAGGGACCAAGACAGCGGTCAAGGTCTGAGGAGCGCAATGCTCGATGAGTTCAAACACAACGGCAGAAGCAAACGGTATGAGCTGAAGGTAAGATCAGATCTCAAGCCCTCTATACTGCAGTAAGAAGCTAACTAGTTACAGGACATTTACGATCACATCTGTGAGTTTAGCGGTGACCAGCATGGCTCCCGGTTCATTCAACAGAAGCTCGAGACTGCCAACAGTGACGAGAAGGAGAGAGTGTTCAAGGAGATCCAGCCGAATGCGATGCAGCTCATGACGGACGTCTTCGGCAACTATGTCATCCAAAAGTTTTTCGAGCATGGCGACCAGAATCAGAAGAAGATTCTAGCAAACCGCATGAAGGGTCAAGTTTTGAGCCTTTCGCTGCAGATGTACGGATGCAGAGTGGTACAAAAGGTCAGTTAATTGCAGCTACTCATGGAGTCTATAACTAACTATATCAGGCACTTGAACATGTTCTGGTCGATCAACAGGCATCCATGGTCAAGGAACTCGAGAAGAACGTCCTTCGCTGCGTCAAAGACCAGAACGGCAATCACGTCATTCAAAAGGCCATAGAACGTGTGCCAGCAGAGCACATTCAATTCATCATCGATGACTTTACCGGCCATGTATCGTCACTTTCCGTCCACGGTTACGGCTGTCGTGTCATTCAGCGCATGCTCGAGCATTGCGAAGACGATGCACGCCGCGCCATCCTCACAGAGCTGCACGCGTGCGCCTCCACCCTTGTCTCAGACCAGTACGGCAACTACGTCACGCAGCACATCATCGAGCATGGCGATGAAGATGATCGCACCAAGATCATCGACTATGTCACGAGCCAGGTACTCAATTTTGCCAAGCACAAGTTCGCCAGCAACGTAGTCGAGAAATGCTTGGTATTCGGCACGGACCAGCAGAGGCACGACATTATGATGATCATTTGCCGAAGACCTGAACGGGGTGAGAGCGCCTTGATGTCGCTGATAAAGGATGGATACGGCAACTACGTCGTCCGTAAGTTTTTCTATAGCTCCTAATACGGTCAAGGTTGATTTGCTCACTCGAGTTTACAGAAAAATTACTGGACACGCTCAACTCGCAAGATTATGCCATATTCATGGGGTCCCTGTGCCCAGAAATGGCCAGTGCGAAGCGCGTCCTCACTGGGAACAAGCAGATCCAAGCACTCGAGAAGAAGATGCACCGATTCGGCAAGCACGACAGCATGGTGCCGGATGTTGCGCAGCGCAACAGCCTTAGCCCGACATCACGCTCGGCCGAGGTCTCGCTATCGGGCGCCGAGTAGATTGGCCTCAGGCCAGAAACACATTAGCATACGGGCCGCGCCCAATGCATAGCAGCAGCACACACATGCGCGCACACCTATTGGAAGCGCCACATATGCACACAAAACAACGACGAGTACGATCTCGGTAACGGCTTTTTCACGACACACTTCGGAAGTCGGCGTCCCTGCCAGCATACCCTCACACTCACTGCCAGAAAAACAAATTTGTCTCATATTGCGTGCTTAGTGGCTTTTATGAAGGCGTTTAATAGGGTCGACAAAGACAGACTCATACACACACGCATGTACGGTACACATCCCGATGCGGCGTGTGAAACGCGCTGGATTCGCGAAAATGACGAGGGCGTGGAATGAGAGAGATAACCAGGACGCTACGGACGTTCGTTTCAGACGATACCCCATGAGGAGGGATGTGGACATTTCTTTTATTGTTTCCTTTTTCACTTTTCGGGCCCGGCGATTCTTGTGGTTTGTTCTGGTTTGTTTTCATTCTTGTCCTGTCTTGTTGTTATTTCTCGGCGGGGGGATGGAGGAGGTTCCGTGGGTACGGTTGTTGGTTCACCACGACCACCCGAACCCATCCATATCCAGGTGTTGTCTTGTTATCGCGGTCCC